CMYMSAGATCTACACCTGATCAATCGTGCAGAGCCCTCGACGTGGGCATCCCAGGCTCCACTACTAGAGGCATCGAAAAGCTCATTCAGAGATAAAAGCTGCACAGCACAGAGAACGTCCGGGTCCAAACAGTTAGAACTCGCAACTGCATTCTGCACCAGACGTAATGTTTTCGCATAGAGACGTAGAGTCGAGCTTTCCCCTCTGGGACGAGGAGATAGAATGTTCCCAACTCTGGCTAAGATGCAATCTGTCGCGGCGGCCAAACATGGGCTGTGAGGATATCTCTGCGGAATGTAATCCAGATAAGACCATTGTCGATGGTCGAGCACTGTGGCCAGACGCGATGGGGAGCTGGCAAGGGCCGAAATGGCGCTTTTACCGATGTTGAAGTTGGTGAGAATCGTGAGGGAAGATAAATCTATGCCACTGTTCGAGCGAGCGTGCCAGTAGTCACCCTTGGTGGAATCGAGGCTCTGAGGAAGCGTTGCACGATGGGTCATGGAGGATGTTCCATGGCTCATAGTCGTGATCTCGGTATTGTTATCTTCAGGAGGCTCTGTGCTTGTTGTAAATGTACGTGAAGCCTTCGAACTCGAGGAAGAAGATGAAGTCGACGAGTCGCGCAGAGGAAGATGCACTGGCTTCCTGAGCGGTCTTTCATCGAACTCGACTTGCTTTTCGTACGGCTGACCGTGATTTCGGCGACGTCTACTCAGGCCAACCTCTTTCATCGCCTGTCTCCTAATGATCTTTCGTGCAGCAGGATCCGGCCTTGGTCCCCTGGAGACGACTGAAGTGCCATGTGAGTCTCACATTCTGGAGAGCGAGCGAAGAGCTTGAATCTCACTAAATTGAAAGCTATCCTCTGTGGAATCAGCACTTCTGTTGCCTGACATGTCGTTGTTGCTTTTAGGGCCTCGTTGTTGTGACAGCTTCCACTTTCTCAGCAGCTCATCGTGAATGACTGTTCAAATGACTGTCTAGACCAGAGGCCTATGACTGTTCTTTGGTAGAACGAGACTAGAATTGCTCATGCTCAACCAGTGTTGAAGTAACAAGTGTGAAGGAATGGAGGCCTGAACGAAGGACGGACTAGCCAAGGAATCCCGCGCGAACCTCGCACTCAATGTTTTGCAGGGATATAAATMCTACTGCGGCCTTCGCTCTCAGCAATTGGCCTGCTGGCCCAATGGCAAGGCGTCTGACTACGAACGCAGGGATAGAACCCTATGTTGCGGAATCAGGAGATTGCAGGTTCGATCCCTGCGTAGGTCAATTCYTTTTGCAGTTGTTAGCAGAGCTGTAATTTTCCATTTTTGTGTCCGTGAAAGTGGGGTCAAGCTCTTGATGAGGAGACGGTCCCATGACTCGGCGAAGCAGATGGGCTTCCTTTTTGGACGATTTTGAGTTGCTACATATCGAGCCACAGCAAAGCAAGATGATATTTGGAGTGAATATGCATTTGACCAAATCGGGAAGTTGTGCGGGCAAGTGAGTGAAACCGTATGAGTGAATGCTTTTTTTTTCAAAATTGGAAGGAGCGAGTCGTGCTTAAGCCGGAATTCCTGCACACATCAACCACATCGGACAGCTTTGTGTATACAATGAATAGGGTACTATGAGGCCGCCTTTTGTCAGCTGCGCATCCCTCGTAAAATGTTTTGAAGTCGAGACTAGCMGGGAGGGAGTGCAATTGAGACATACTGGGATTGACATTCCGTATCATGTTACAATTGTGTATATACCATGCCGATTGAATGTGTACATTGAACGTTGACCTGGTACATGTGACACCCATTCGCCTAAGACCATCCCGCCATAGTGATACACAGGGCTCACTCCTGTCATGACGCCTTGCTTTTCCCTGTCAAAAGCTGCATTGCCACCACCCACGGATTATCCATGCGCTCAAGCGTATGCGGAGCGTCTCCAGCACACAGACCACCGCAGTGACGTGCAGGATATCATACTTTATCTCGTGGATGGTTGCCAGGATCTCGCCGAAACACCGAACGGGACTGGCCAGGTTGGAACCCTCGCGTGGATTCTTCTTGCGTGAAGAGTCGTGCACCTGAAGCTGAGGCGGCCACCCCGATCGCCAGAGATCCCAGTAATCCTACTGTAGGGCCGTTCCCGTCATTCATCTTACATCTCCAGTTGTGTACAGTCCTCCTAAACTATGCCTGCGGACCTTCTACATCCTCGACGCTCCTTATGTGGAGTTCCTTGATCTTGATGATGGTGTATCGATGCTTGCTCTTGACCTTCCGGATGTGACGTTGCCTTCGCTTCGTCTTCTCCTTGATCCGCATGGGTTCGCTCTCGACGCCCGTGACGACCGCTCTGCACACGAATAGCCTAGGGTCGATGTATGAATACCTTTCCTTGGCAAGATGTGGAATGTAATGCGGCACGTTTGAGGGAGTTTTGGAGAACTGCAGAGAGTCATGTGGCTCTTCAGGCGATGTATTTGTGGGATCGACAATATTCGAAGATGTCGTTGTTGCGCTCTTTCGCTTGGCTGGCGGTGCAGGAGCTTTCAATGTGAAGTCTCTGCTGCCCAGATTGATGGCACGGTCGAGACGTAGCACATCGCCGGGTTCAACATCGTGCATGTAAAAGGGCAACCGAATGGAGTCGCCCTGTGTGACGAGATATGGGTTGCCGTGGATGTGAACGGTGATGTAGTGCGGCCCTTGTGATCGTAAAAGAGGTAGGAGTTCGCGAACCGAAGGCGAGAGTTGCTGTGGAACGGACGGCTGCGCATTCAGAGCAGGCGCGTCTATGCTGATTGCGCTTGCATTTGATGCCGACGAAGGAGATGGAATCGGCGGCGGAGGTGTCGAGCTTTGCGAGACGGTGCTCAGTGCTGCAATCCTTGTTATGGGGAGTTGCTGTGAAATCGACAGCGGAGTGCGGGTCTCCAGCAGTGCCCGGCGGAGAGTGCGCGCCAGCATTGTGTATATCGTTGTGGTTGGCGATGACCTTGAATGTTCAATGCACTTGCCTCGTCCTGCGGTCTTTCCCGCGGACTGGACCCCGACATTTTGAGCTAGCGGGGATTACCAATTTTCAATTGGAAGTTGTCGACCGCCCGCCTTTCTTCCACTCCACTCCACAACTTCCACAGCACACCTCGAGGCAATCGCGCCCACAATACCGCCGCCATGCCTCAGAATGAATACATGGAACGCTTCACCAAGCAGCATGGTCGCCGCTTGGATCATGAAGAGCGCACTCGAAAGCGTGCCGCCCGTGAGGCCCACCACGCCTCCGACAAAGCGCAAAACCTGACGGGTCTGCGTGCGAAATTGTACCAGCAGAAGCGCCACAAGGAGAAGATCCAGATGAAGAAGGCCATCAAACAGCAGGAGGAGAAGAATGTCAAATCTTCGGAGCCCGCCCAACCATCCACCACACCGCTTCCTGGATACCTGCTGGACCGTAGCAACACCACAAACGCAAAGGCGCTCAGTTCGGCTATCAAGAACAAGCGTGCTGAGAAAGCTGCCAAGTTCAGCGTGCCATTGCCAAAAGTACGAGGAATCAGCGAGTCTGAGATGTTCAAGGTTGTCAAGACTGGAAAGAAGACGGCCAAGAAGAGCTGGAAGCGAATGATCACAAAGCCCACATTTGTCGGACCCGATTTCACAAGACGGCCTGTCAAGTACGAGCGTTTCATCCGGCCCATGGGTCTGCGCTACAAGAAGGCCAACGTCACACATCCCGAACTTGGCGTGACTGTGCAATTGCCTATTATCAGCGTCAAGAAGAACCCACAGAACCCAATGTACACACAGCTTGGTGTTTTGACCAAGGGAACCATCATCGAGGTCAATGTCAGCGAGTTGGGTCTTGTCACAGCTGGTGGCAAAGTCGTATGGGGTCGCTGGGCTCAAGTCACAAATTCGCCCGAGAATGACGGTTGTCTCAAGTGTGTATTTCCCGACCCTGGAGCTGCCTTGATGAATGCATTGCTGACCTTTTTTGCAGTGCGGTCCTCCTTGTTTGAGATTTGATGTGAAATGCCCAAATGGAGTGTGTAGCGAGGAAAGACGCGTTAGGTTTACCGCAATTCCGATGATGTTCCGGATTTGAGAACTTATACCTTAGAATTGATACCCGGACGAACCACAACAAGTTTTTATGTCGATAGCAGGTTGCCAAGGCCTTGTGATCGACAAGGACCAAACGAAGGCTCTCAGAACTTCATTGCGGCCGATAAAGGCCGGTTCAAACCGAGCGAAAGCAAGCACTCAAACCACACCGCATCCGCATTGGAATGATGACAATACTGTCAAATATTTCATCCCGAGCAGTTGCTCAAAATACGATGCACAGTGATGAAGTAGGAGGATAAAGATGGCGTTTCAAGGCGTTGGACAGGAAATGTACAGCAGCTGAACGTACTCGAAGAATGGGAAATGAATCAAGATGGACAATCTGGCAGTCTTGCCGCGCACATCGTATCATTGCCTCCTAACAGTGCTGACTCGAGTAAAGAGTAGATTCCTAGTAGGACACGACGTCTGGACATGTCTGTCAGGCGTATATGGCCCTCATAGTACTTGCAAACAAGTACGAAAAATGCAAGCCGCTAGTTCGTTTGCTTCACGTGTCATCGCAGCTTGTCAGCGACTTGCGTTCAGTCGATTGAAGCTTTTCTCCCAGAAATGCGACCTCACTTCACTCCTCATACACTCACATCTGCCGAATACTACTTCGCACTTTCGCTAATTTTCCGAGCATTTCCAAGCGACACCTTGTCCGAGTAAGGCTTCGGGGCGATTATGAGAATTGTACATTACGACTCTGTACGACGGGTACTTCCTAACACAACGTCACTTATATCTCCCACTTGAAACAGTCCCATGAACAACGCCTCGCTAAATCAAACGACTTCCCTCCCATCTAGTCATCAACGATATCATCGTCTTCGAGGATCATCCTGTCAATTCGAGTCTCGACCGGAATCGAAACACTCTCGAAAGTAGTCTTCTGCTTTCCCTTCTTTGAAGAAGATTCAAGCTCTGGCCTATCCGTTGCCCATTGTTCTGCGCCATTGGCCGTTTCCTCTGCRTCGTCATCGTCGCCGACACCAGCGGGATCTGTAGCCTCTGGTACCTCGCCTGACATGCGAGTGACGGAAAGAATCTGCTCCAGGAATCGACGTGATGCCATGGAGGTACTTGAACATGTCTTGATGTGTGCCATGTAAGGTAAGCGCTCCAGCAGCATCTGCTTCTTGATCTCACCGCCAGCTTGCGATATTTCCCCAACTTCGGGAACATTGACTGTGGGGTCCTTGTTGGCTGAGGGCTGGCTTCGTTTCCATGCATCAACACCGCTCGTCGCAGAAGCATAGGATGCAGCAGATGTGCTGACTCCCAAATCACTCCCAAGTGAAAGCTTACTGATGAGACTATTCAACTCGCCATCGATCTCTTCCCGCTTTCTCCACAATCTCAGAGAATTCGGATATAGCATGCGATGTGCATCGCCTCGTTTACCGCCATTACCGGCGCTTCTGTGGACAGGACAGGGCAGATTGAACAGCAATCCTCTTACAGCGACCTGGAAGCACATTTCATCTTGTCGCAAGGTATCGGTGGCGGAGCCGGAGAAAGCTCTTGTTCCGAATGAGAAGCGATCTAGAGAGAGCAAATCCGAATCGGACAGATTGTCCATACATCCAGAGAGACTGTCCAGAGATTCTTCGGCGCCAGAGCATGAGCAAGACAAGGCATAGTTCTCGTGAAGAGCCGCAATGAAGGTTGATGTATCAGTTCCAAGCTCGTCAATGAGCGAATCAGCATCGGTCTCTGGGACTTTGCTCCGGCGATGTTGCGGAAGCCAAGATGGCGGCTGAGGTACGTCTTCGGGGTTTGCAGGATCAGTTCTTTTGTTATACACCACCTTCCCAACGGCATGGAATATCCCGAGACTGCTCTCACGGTTTGTGATCAACTTCAAAGCCTCGATCTCTGACTTGGACAATGGAGGCTGGGTCTTTGACTGCTTCGGTTTGGTGAATGTGACTTTGCTGGACCATGTATCGCCGTCATCTCCTCTCAGACATAGAAATTCTAGCGACGAGACGGCGCTGCGAATATCGCCAGTTTCGGCAAGATGCTTCAGCACTTGTGGGCCGGGCGTAGTTCTTCTGCCCGACTTTCGCGCCTCCTTGACGACAATCGTCTCGAGAGCCTTTGTCAGGAAAGTGACAGCAACAGCATTAAACTCAATGGTGTTGACGTATGGATTTGTGATGAGCTCTGGACCGAGCAGCCGATGGGCAGTGAAGCTATCAGCAGCGGCGGTATTTGTTGAGAGTAAGGTTTCAGATATGATCATCACGAGCGGTGTCGGGATCGCTTGGCCTGATATCGGCGATGAGAGGTACTGCGAGATTGTGGAGCGGAAGGATTGCAATGTAGTGGAAGTCTTCGAGAACGTATTCGGGAACTCCTCAACAAGCAAGATCTGAGGTCGGTTTGGGGTGTCTTCTTCGGTGTTCTCCATTCGGGAGTCGATCGGAACACTTGCATTCGCGTCTGTGGAAAGAGTGAGTCCAGCACATTTTCCAGCGCGAGCGACAAACTCCTCAAAGCGATCACCAGAGGACACAAACCCATTTTCTCCATACTCAGAGGTGTTCGGATCGCGCCATTCGATAAGCTCTGCACCAAGTTCTTTGGCCAGCAGTCGGAGAGTAGTCGTTTTCCCWGATCCTGCTGCGCCTTTGAGGACCAAAACCTTCTGGCGTCTGCCTCGAAACGTCATATCAAGCCAGCTACGTACGTCTGCCACCTTTCGCTTATGGRCTGCGAGTTCTGTCAAGTCGATGGGTGCAAATTGCTCCGTCCATGGCCGCTTGTCCTCATTGAGAACTGAAAACGAAGGCACGCGATCACCAGCTACTGCCTTTCTAAACTTCTGGGAAGTAGATGGAGGAGGTTTGACAGTGTCTTCGAAACTGTGGACGCGCTGAAACTTGCGTTTTCGCATGGCTGCGGCGGTGCTAGATCCTTTGGATACCATCGTGCTCGGAGGTGGTGCATGAGAGACTCTTTCTTCGTCCGTATCATCGTGGATTGCCTCAATATCATCTCGTGGAGTCGAGATTTTCTCGGACTTCTCCGGACTAGGAGTGGGTTGGGAACCCAGCTGCTTTTGTGTAGCAACATTGAAAAAGGAGTAAATGGGCTTTCCGGCGGGTTTTGAGGGCTCCTGGGCGACTTGCTTCGATCTGGTCTTCTTCGGGGATGGCTTTGGGCTGACCGTCACCTTTGACTGGGCTGTCGATGGTTTGCTTCTGACCGACTTCAACTTTCCCGTACTTCGTTTCTGAGGTTTGGGCTCTTGATCGTGGGTGTTGGGCTTGTCATCGTCGTCGTCGTCCGACTCGACGACTTTCCTCCGAGAGGCACGCGGAGCCATGCCGCACCTTTCCCTCTGGACTGATGATGTCGTCGAAGTCGGCTCATCTGTATGGTCTTGTCCCGCACGACTGGCTGTTTTAATGTTGAGTTGAGGTGCTGTTAGACTAGGCAGGTGCCATTCGCGAAAACGACGCGTTCCAGATTGGTTACGTCGATTACGTCACTCACCAAATTGGCATTTCATCTCATCTCACGCGTCCACGCTGCCTTTCAATACCATCATCAACTTCAATCCCAGAATGTCGAAACGTCCAAGAACTCTCGATAGCTTCTTCGCACCACACGCGGTCAAGAAAAGCAAGCTTGTCTCGGAAGAACTCTCGGAGACTGCCATCATCCAGCAGAACTCCAGACATGCTACGTACCCATTCGCCATCCCAGAACTGCCATTGGAGCTGCGAGAGATGCTCAACTTTGTACCAGCGACGGAAGGACGTGTCATGAACAACCAGCCAGATCTTGATCTACTCTACTTCTCGCCTTATATACCCAAAGACGCCGTACGAGGACTGTTTGAATTCCTCAGGCATGAGCTCTTCTTCTATCGAGTCAAATACAATATCAAGCGCGGTCCAGTTGAAACTCAGATCAACACTCCCCGGTAAGCTTTAATTCATGAGGCATGGTATGTGGCTGAACAGTGTAGCTATACGACCGTGTTCGGTGTAGATGACACTGCGCGCTTTGACGATGACGGAGCATTGGTAGATGCCAAAACRGAGAAGCCGGTTGCTCAAAGTGCTTATAAGCAGCGACCGCGTCCAATACCAGCGTATGTCAAGTTGTCAAGACCACACTACCATTGCACATCTCTGTAACTCTTATTCAGTTGTCTGGATGATATACGCAAGCTAACAGAAGCTGCGACCGGCTGCACATTCAATTTCGCTCTGGTCAACTATTATGCCACTGGAGAGGACTCCATCTCGTACCACAGTGACAATGAGAAATTTCTAGGCATTGATCCAGCAATAGCTTCCTTCTCGTTGGGTGCGAAGCGCGACTTTCTTCTCAAGCACAAACCGACACCCCAGAAGCATGAATCAGAAACCAAGCCCACCAAACTCAACCTTCAAAGCGGAGACATGATCTTGATGAGGGGAAAGACTCAAAGCAACTGGCTGCACTCCATCCCAAAGCGCAAGGGCGGCGAGGCCGATAAAGGTCGGATCAACATCACTTTCAGGAAGGCCATGATCAGAGGAGGTACAGACAACTATTATCGCTACAATGTGGGCGATGGGGGCATTTACAAATGGAGCGACGACCATCGAGAGATGTTGCCCAGTACCAATGTAACTCCCAACGCCTGACACTGCACTGCCCCAGGCCATCGACATTCATCTCGACGACGACGTAGTCATGAACTAAACCCAGCCGATGCACCTAACTTCCGGCTGCCTCTAACTTCCGACTACCTGTTGGTTGATAGCGTACTGTTTTCATCTCCAATCAAAAGCAAGAACGGCATCACTGAGATTCGACGTCTCCGTTCTTTCATTCCAACCCACGTTGGCGCTCGCCATACAGTCCTCCTACCTACCACAAGCCGACTCACTGGATTGTTTCCACCGCAACATATGACGGCGACCAAGCCCCAGCATTRATGGCGCCTTCAAAACTTTGACTCGCCATCACTGCCGGAATACAACGACTAATTGGCGAAATTTGAGGGCGCACTTCAAAAAGACCACAGCAAACGGATGCAGTCAGCTGTGAAGTATTCGTTGCGGTGAATGCTCGGATGCTTGCGCCCGATCAGCCTGTTCCGCCCGAGACCGCCGCTGGTAATCGAAGGAATTACATACATCTCAACGTCTTTCTCGAAATGCTACTCGAATCAGACCAACTTGACCTTCCCTTTCAATTCGGCGGCGGAGACTTAATTCAGACTCTGGCTGCACCACATCCGCCCGAACGAACTTCCGATGACCGTTTCTGTAGGCATGGACGCCCTCACATCCTCGATGGATAATCTCACCTCGTGGCTAGACGTCATTGCCATTCCCATTGAACTCTCATGATCCTCACAGAGATGTAATGATTGTAATCATTGGGGGATTTATGGAGCTCCAGGACGAGAAGCACGATTCAACGCACAGGCGAAGCAAAGATGGGCGCAATGTCCTGTCAAAATGTCAATAGAGGGAACCTGAAGTGAGCTTCACGTTACCCAGGGTTTACTTGTCGCTGGTACTGGCTGCGATGGCATGGATTGTGCAACATTTCGATTGCCACCTGGGATCCGTGAGTCGTTTGACTCTTTGCAGACGTCACGGCTGCCATCTTTCAAGCCAACAGCGAAATGGCATAGCCAAGTCTCCAGCAAGACTAGTCTCCGTGTCTCACGGCATTCGCTTCTCTCGCATTGCGCTACCGTCTCTACGAAGCTTTGATAAGGATGCTGCTAACCGAATCCGGAAGGAGCGCAAGAGCTTCGCAGGTGATCGCGTGAGCTTGCATAGCTTGTCTACCTGTCAAGCGTGATAGACGAGTGCTTCTCAACTGGCGCATATCCAGTAGCCGTCTTAGCCCTGCGTTGAGCGCTACCTCCGGAAGTACACCATGACCATTCGTGAGGTCTCGACTTACCATCTGTGGCGCCAATACGGACCATCTTGCCGCTTCAAGAAGGGATCGACAGCTACCATACTCTCCAACCGAGGCCGTGCACCTCTCACTTTCACGGACTCTTGAGCCACCGCAAACCACCCACCTTGTTGTTGCAGCCCGTCGTAGCATATGCCAGGTACCGCGCAAAAGACAGCTGAGTAGCTCGTCACAGTGGCGCAAGCCCTTGAACTCGTCCCATTCTTTCTGCCCGTTCAGGAAGGAGAAGAGCCGGCACATTGGCGGCGTGTAGATGTGGAAGATGTATAAGACGTGGAAGAATCCCGATGACATGGACCGTCATATCATAGTTCTTCCTAGCGAAGATGTTGGTAACCTCCCTTCTGGCTGCCTTCTTGGCATCATGCGCAGCTTCTCCTCTTGCAATTCCCCATGTCGTTCATGAAAGCAGAAGCTCTGCACCACATGGGTGGGCAAAGAGAGAGGAACTCGGTCGGAACACCATGCTGCCGATGCGAATTGCACTCGCACAGAGCAATCTCGACAATGGAGAGGAATGGCTGATGGACGTTTCACACCCTACGTCTGACAAATACGGCAAACACTGGACAGCTGAAGATGTAGCTACTGCATTTGCGCCAAGGTAATATCATCGAGATGTTATCATCCTTTTGTGAGAGCTAACATCCATCAGCACCTCAACCATCGAGGCTGTCAAGGAATGGCTTTCCGCGAACGGCATTATGAAGGAACGCATCGATCAATCACAAAGTCTCGGATGGTTAAACTTTGATGCTACCGTTGACGAGGCGGAACATCTGCTCAAGACAAAGTACCACGTTTATGAACATGAAGAGACTGGCCAGCGACACGTAGCTTGTGAAGATTACAGCATCCCAGCTGCCTTGAAGCACAAGGTCGATTTCATCACCCCTACGCTCCACTTTGACCTCAAGGTCAAGCCGAGAGACGCCAAGACGGAGAAGCGCGCAGTCAACAACCACATCAACCCGGGCAGTCCCAGCAGCGGAAACATTCCCAAATTCATTCCCATCGCCAAAAGCAACATCATCAAAGAGCTCGGCGACTGCGACAAGCAAATCACACCGAATTGCTTGCGAGTACTGTACAAGTTCCCTCCTGGACTTACAAGGAACCCGAAGAACAGCTATGGTATTGTGGAGTACACTCCTCAAGCCTACGTCCCCTCCGATTTGGATCTCTTCTTCCGCAACTTCAGCACCAGACAAGTGGGAGATCGTCCCATCTTGGACTCGATCGATGGTGGTGTTGTTCAGCAAGACATGATGGGATTCAACTACAACGGCGAGAGCAATCTGGATCTCGAATACGCCATGACACTCATCTACCCGCAGAAGACGACGTTGTATCAGGTTGGGGATACTGTCGAAGGAGCTAGCTTCAACGACTTTCTTGATGCCATTGATGGCGCGTATTGTACTACTGATGGTGGCGATGATCCCGAGCAGGACGCCACATACCCGGACCCACTTCCTGGAGGATACCAAGGACCTAAGAATTGTGGAGGATTTGCTGCTACAAAAGTCATCTCGACTTCGTATGGGTACAACGAACACGATTTGACACCGGCTTATGAGCGTCGTCAGTGTAACGAATACATGAAGCTCGGCATGATGGTCAGTCTCGAAGCCTCTACATATCCCTTCCTCAACATCTTGGGACATTTTCAAGACACATGCTTACCTTGCACATTCTTTTTCTAGGGCATCTCAATCCTCTATTCATCCGGAGATTACGGCGTGTCCGGAAACGGCGGCCAATGTATCGCGGGCGCAGGCGAAGATGCTCCCTATCAAGACCAATCTCTCGGGGGAAGATTCAACCCGGCCTTCCCATCGACCTGTCCCTACGTGACATCAGTAGGCGCCACACAAGTCAAACCGGGCACCAACATCCTCATCACGCCCACGCAACCCGAACAAGCCTGCGAAACAGTCATCTACTCCGGTGGAGGCTTCTCCAATGTCTTCCCCATGCCATCCTACCAGTCCAAAGCCGTGAAGTCCTACTTTGCAAACCACGCGCCTCCTTACACCGCGGCGCAGTATAACAATTCTCAAACCACGCGGGGTTACCCGGATATCTCGGCCAATGGAGCGAATTACGTCGTGGCGGTGGATGGGAAATGGTCGCTGGTCTACGGTACTTCGGCTTCGGCTCCGACTTTGGGCGCGATTATTACGTTGATCAACGAGGCGCGCTTCAACATTGGGAAAGGGAGCGTGGGATTCTTGAACCCCGTGGCGTATGCTCATCCGGAGGTATTTAGGGATGTTACGCAAGGGGGAAACCAGGGTTGCAATACTCCTGGATTCCAGGCTGTGAGTGGATGGGATCCGGTTACGGGGTTGGGGACGCCGGATTTTTTGCGCATGTTGCCGCTTTGGTTGGTTTTGTGAGGGTTGAACGGGGAGGGAGGGAGCGAGGAGAGGATGTTAGATGATGATTGATGATGATTGATGGTGCTGCTCACCTGGTGTGTGCGGTACTGAATGWATGGTATGATGTGTGGATATTATGATGGTTTCAAGAATTGTATGGACACGTCGGTTTGTGATGCCGATGCGGATCTCATGCTCTGACGAAGGTGACGATGCGATGGTAGAATGGAGGAGTTCTCATTCTTTTACTCCTTTCTCCTAACCCTGGAAGCATCTCTTCCCTGTTGCTGATCTCACAAGGTACCTACCTTATGTCCGTCTTACAATTCTGCTTTTCATCTCCTCACACCTACCTTATTCCAGACGCCGGGCAGGATGCGCTTGCTCTCCGAGCTCCTGATGAGCCAAGCCCTGTATGAGTGCAGCACCATGGCTAGGTAACTACGCTGGCCGTCGACATTGCTTGCTACGGCCGTAACAAAGGTCGTGCTTGCTTATTATTGCCGGCGAGGCAACAACCATCAATGTACAATCAGCGGAATGCCCCCAATCGAGCCTTATAACCGACTTGGAGGACAACCATGGCGTTTTTTATAGCCGAGAGATGATGCAATGATGCGATCGATGCATGGTGGGGCAAAAAGATGGATGTTTATTAATGCCCCTCCTCTTCCCCTCCAGGTCAGATCTACCATTTTCCAACCACAACTCTTATCAAACTTACCATCATCATGTCTTCCCCCAAACTCCTTCAAGGCACCTTTTCACACATCATCAATGGCAAATCCTACGACACCAAGGGCGCCAAAACCCTCGACGTCATCAACCCAGCAACCGAACAGCCCATCGCCCAAGTCCCCATTGCCACACGCGAAGTGCTAGATGAAGCAGTCAAGCACTCCCAAGCTGCCTTTGAAAAATGGTCCAAGACGACGTGGGCAGAGCGTGCCGAGAAGGTCAAGGCCATTGGCGAGGAATACAAGACCTTGATTCCCGATCTTGCGGAATTGATGGTTCTCGAGCAAGGCAAAGCAACGGCTTTCGCGCAGGGTGAAGTGGCGCTGGYGAATGAATGGTTTGAACGTATGCCGGATATGGAAATCCAGGAAAAGGTTGTGTGGGAGAACGAGGAGAGTCGCGCAATTGAGCAATATGTTCCTCTGGGTGTCACGGCGGGAATTGTGCCTTGGAATTTCCCCGTGCTCCTCATGGTGTGGAAGATCATTCCAGCGGTAAGATATCCAGTGAAGAAGACAAGGCATGCAGGGCAGTCTAGCCCGGGGGCTTGTCTCTGTCACACATTGAGAATGTCTGCTAATCTCTTCTATTCTTCCCCTATATAGATCCTCACCGGCAACAGCATCATCATCAAGCCCTCCCCCTTCACTCCCCTCTGCGACGTCCGCGTCGTCGAACTCTTCAACAAACACCTCCCTCCAGGCGTCGTGCAAATCGTGCTTGGAAACGACAACCTGGGACCCTGGATCACCGAACACCCCGACATTCGCAAAATCTCCTTTACCGGCAGCACCGCCACCGGCCGTCTAGTCGCCAAATCCTGCAGTGCAACTCTCAAGCGCTTCACTCTCGAACTCGGCGGCAACGATGCCATGATTGTCCTCCCGGACATTGATGTAGAGAAAGTCGCGCCTACCATCCTCCTCTCCGCCTTTTTCAACTCAGGCCAAGTCTGCCACGCCAGCAAACGTCTCTATGTTCACGAGGACATCTTTGACAAACTTTCCCAAGCCCTGGTTTCCGCCGCCAAATCCGCTGGCGTGGGACCCGGTTCGGATGAGGGAGTCATGTATGGACCTTTGAACAACAGACAAGTCTACGAGAAAGTCAGCGAATTCTTCGCGGACTCACAAAAGAATGGACATGATTTCTTGACGGGCGGTAAGATTCCCGAGGGCGAGAAGGGATTCTTCGCGCCCTTGACACTGGTCAACAACCCCCCTGAAGACAGCCGTCTGGTACAAGAAGAGCCCTTTGGACCGATTGTACCATTGTTGAAATGGAAGGATGACGCCGAGGTGTTGAAGCGAGTGAATGATTCGTCATGGGGATTAGGAGCGACGATTTTCGGCAAGGATTTGGAGCGGGTGGAGAAACTGGCCAGGCAGGTGGAGGCGGGTGTCGTGTGGACTAACACGATGATGCAGCAGCATCCTGAGGTGCCTTTTGGAGGGTTCAAGGGAAGTGGCATTGGGTGTGAGAATGGTTTGGCGGGTCTCAAGGGGTGGTGTCAGGTGCGAAGCATCTACTTGGCCAAGGCGTAGGTTTGTTGAGTATAGTGTAGATTGCATGTTGGAGGGTTTGATGGGGAGGGAGGCAGAGCATATGTGCGGATCCCTCAATTTTGACAGCTTCTTGCACATACCTTATGTAGACAGCTTTGTTAAACAGAGAGACGACAGATCCTGTCTCTTCACATAATCCTTCCTACTATCTCCTCCTCACTCACTTGCTCACTTACTCATTCACTCACTCACTCACTCACTCACTCTCGATGCACATATAACAGCAGAATGATAGAAAGAGTTCAAAATTTATTAGAAAGAAAGGAAGAAAAATAGAAAATAAAGTCCAGAACATACAAGCCATAAGATATTCAGCCTGTAGAAAGAAAGGCAGAGCAGTGGAATGAAGGATATACCTATCAATGATGTTTTCATTTTTTCATTTCCGTTTCATACAGTACGTACGGTCTTTGACTTCACAACTCTCCCACTCTCTCCCTCTCTCTCGATCTCTCGATCTCTCGATGTCTCTCTCTTTTGGTTTCGAGCATGGGAGGAAACGTGACGCTCAATCTCTATCAGACCACAACCTAGAGTTTCTTCCTCCAGACCATCTCATCGTCCAAGGACCTCATTCCTCTCCATCATACATGTCATGACCTGCCTTGACATTCCAATCATCTCGACAGAGCAATATCATCAATCCGCAAAATCATCTTGACCGTCTCACTCGCCAACTCCATGGCACTCGTACTCACCAACAAGGGCTGCATGACTCCCTCTCCACCCTCGCCCATGACACCCACACCACCCCTCTTGATGCTGACTCCCACATTCCTCTCGCCACCCACGTGTCTCGCGCGCAACTCGGTCACGACTTTGATGCTGTTCAACCCCGCATTCTCCGCGAGGGTCACGGGCACAATCTCCAGCGCATCGGCAAAGGCTTTGAAACAGATGCTATCCGGGTAGCTGGCTGTGAGGGCATCTTGGGAGAGTTGCGTGGAGACAGCCATTTCTGGGGCTCCACCACCGGGGAGGAGGGCACGCTTCTTGACGAGACAGCGGATGACGCACATGGCGTCGTGGAGGGAACGTTCTGCTTCGTCGAGGATGAGGGTGTTTGCTCCTCGGGCGACAATGGAGACGGTCTTGGGGGCGTTGGGATTGGGGTGCTTGACACCCGAGACTCGGGTGTAGCGGGATCCGAGAGATGAGACTTCCTCGACGAGATCGGCGGAACCCAGCTTGTCTTCGGAAAAGGAGTCGATGTCGGCGATGGGTTTGCAGCCGGTGGATTTGCAGATGAATTCCACCTCGTCACGCTCGATATCCTTGACACAGAGAATCCCGAGTTTGTAGAGAAAGTGGAGGGAGAGATCGTTGACGGCATCGCGGAGGATGCTCTTTTGGATGAGGAGGACGTTGCATTTTGCCTTTTTGATCTTCTTGACCATGTTGAGGAGGTAGGTGCGCTCTTCCTTGAGGATCTTGTCCATTTGACGGTAGTCGTTGACGACGATTTGGTTCTCCATGTCGGGTTTGGGTGGGGAGAGTTGGAATTGGATGAGGGCGATCTTGGCCTTTTCTATTCTGGTGGGACCGCCGGCGCTCTTGCTGCACTGCTGGCTGAGGACCAAACCCTCGAGCATTTCGGAATCGTCAATGACGCCTCCCGCCTTCTTCAAGATGCGAATGTTGCGAAGATCAACGTTTTGGGCGTTTGTGGGGTTGATCGTGCGCAGGACGGCATCAACAGCCATGGGCGCCAGTTTTGGTTCTTGAGCGACGATTTTGGAGGAGAGGGAGGTGGATGCGGCCTTGAGGAGAGTGGCGCGGTCGGTGAGGTTGATGGGGACGGAAATTTCCTCGAGGATTCCCACCGCTCGGGCAGCAGCACGTTGAAAACTCTCGCTGATGATGGTTGGGTGCAGGCCCTTGGCGAGGAGTCTCTCAGCAGCGCCCAGCAGACTGCCGGCAATGACGACGACTGAAGTGGTGCCATCTCCCGCCTCGATATCCTGTGCGTTGGCCAAATCGACGAGCATCTTAGCCGCGGGATGCATGACCGACATGTCCTTCAGCATGGTGTTTCCGTCGTTGGTGATGATGGTCTCGCCCTTTGCCGTCTGAATCATCTTGTCCATGCCCCGAGGTCCCAGCGACGTTCGAATGGCATCCGCGACGGCGCGAGCAGCGGAAATGTTGCCTTCCCGGACAGCAGCTGGCTTGGCCTTGTCCTTGAAGGTCGCATTGCCCGCGTTGGTGGCCGCGTCCGAAGCCATGTTGGGAGATGGATGTCCTTGCTCTTTCAATCTATGCAATCCAGATGATGTGTTCTTGTTCTATTCGGCAGCGGTGGAGGTGGAAGTGTTGCGATGGAGATTGTATTGGTGAGGTGGTGTGGTCTTTTGCGATCATGTCCCCTCTACAGCTGTCGTCCGTCCCCAAGAAATTCTGAAGCGAGCGGCGTTTGTCACACGCGACTCCCGAGCTCGCCGACGTAGCTCCCTCACTCACATGCACTTCATCATCGCCATCACATAGTTACATCAACACCACCATCACCACCACCTCCCACGACCACCTCACCGCTGTGAAATATCCCATCAACCGCGACCACATCACTGCGACTCCGCTCGATACATTGCCACCTCCACCAACACCACCACCTCAACCCACCCCACGCGTCATCCGCCATGCCTTCGGCGACGGGCTCGAGCTGGGAAAAGTACCAGAAGAAGTTTGCCGACGACGAGGTCGAGGAGAAGAAGATTACTCCGCTCACAGACGAGTAGGTGCATGGACAAGAAGATGGTGATGAATGCTGCATACTAATGAGATGAATCTAGAGACATCCAAGTCCTCAAGACATACAATTCCGCCCCCTATGCCGTGGCATTAAAAGAGCTGGAGAAGAAGATCAAGGACAAGCAGACTTCGGTTAATGAAAAGATTGGCGTCAAGGAATCCGACACAGGTCTCGCCCCACCACATCTCTGGGACATCGCCGCCGACCGACAACGCATGAGCGAGGAACAACCTCTCCAGGTCGCCCGATGCACCAAGATCATCCCCGATGAAAAGGATCATGAAAAGAGCAAATATGTCATCAACGTCAAGCAGATTGCCAAATTCGTCGTCAATCTTGGGGAGCGCGTATCTCCCACCGATATCGAGGAGGGCATGCGCGTGGGTGTCGACCGCAACAAGTATCAGATCATGCTGCCACTACCTCCCAAAATCGACMCAAGTGTGACAATGATGACAGTCGAGGACAAGCCCGATGTCACCTATGGAGATGTAGGAGGCTGCAAGGAACAAATTGAGAAGCTCCGTGAGGTCGTGGAGATGCCTCTACTCTCTCCCGAACGCTTCGTCAACCTCGGAATCGACCCGCCCAAGGGCGCTCTTCTGTATGGACCTCCCGGTACAGGAAAGACACTCTGCGCGCGAGCAGTCGCCAACCGAACAGACGCCACCTTTATTCGTGTCATTGGCTCAGAGCTGGTCCAGAAATACGTCGGAGAGGGAGCTCGGATGGTTCGAGAACTCTTCGAGATGGCCCGCACCAAAAAGGCATGCATCATTTTCTTCGATGAGATTGATGCGGTCGGAGGTGCTCGATTCGATGATGGCGCAGGAGGCGACAATGAAGTCCAACGTACCATGCTTGAACTCATCACTCAGCTGGATGGTTTCGACAGTCGTGGAAACATCAAAGTCATGTTCGCAACCAACCGACCTTCCACCCTGGATCCCGCATTGATGAGGCCGGGTCGTATCGACAGAAAGATTGAATTCTCCCTGCCAGATATGGAGGGTCGAGCCAACATTTTGAGAATCCATGCCAAGAGCATGTCCGTGGAGAGGGACATTCGATGGGAGTTGATCTCCCGATTGTGTCCCAACTCCACCGGAGCCGAGTTGCGATCGGTGGCGACCGAGGCGGGCATGTTTGCCATTCGAGCGAGGAGAAAGGTGGCCAGTGAAAAGGACTTTTTGAGTGCGGTGGAGAAGGTCATCCGAGGAGGCATGAAGTTCAATAGTACCGCGGCCTATGCGCAGTACAATTAGATGGGCGTGGACATGTCTCGTCTGGCAAGAACCGAGACGTGGACAAGTTTGATATCATGGAGCGATGGCGTTGTGTGCGGTTTTATTTCCGCCTGCCTGCCTGCTAGAATGGCGGCAGAGGAGCTTTGTACCAGTATGGCATGGAGGGAAGTGCAGGTATATGATGTGTATGTCCACTTCATCACCAACCAAGAAATCACCTACCAGTATTGAGGAAGGGGCAGTTATTACATTTCACCATCCAGAACTCGCTTTTATCAAGACCTGTGTACTCTGGAAGCATTATGAAAGCATTGCGGAAGCATTGTGGAAGTATTCTGGAGGAGAAAGATATGGAAACGGGATTGAAGGGATCTACAGTATCAGGCAACGATTGATTGATATTGGAGCTGCACTGAACTGTCTTATTAAAGGGCATATATACGGCACTATACAGCGTGGGAGAGAGGGGAGTAGAAGAGAGTACGGATTTCGTCTTGGGTGTGAGATATTTGATGTTTTGTTTTGCTAAATCGATGCTATTCTAAGGTAACCGAAAGTATAGAATACCTAGAATAGAAATGTAATGTACTACCTAGGTAGGGTGTAGGTGGTGTCTCAGAATTCGCGAGGGAAGTGATGAAAGGGACGGGAGCTTGCAGACAGGACGACAGGGCTGAAAGAAGCTTTTTTCCATTTCTGGACCTGTAACTATATTAAATCGCCGGGCGGGTCGGCGTCAATCAATTCATTAGTCAATCCATCCATCAATCATAATGAAAATTTGAATTGAATGCCATTAATTTTTTTCGTCCAAGACTGTACGTAAATGGCAAAACAAGACAAGACGCATCACGGCATCTCTACTAGTAGGGCTACGTAGCGAGGCTGTAAGGAGTACGCACGCAACAAGAATGTCCACGCGTCTTTGCTTGGAGCGCGGGCCGGCGAGTGGCAGCTTGGAAGGGAAAGGAAGGCTGAGCGGCAGAGTTTTGGCTTGATGATCCACGGCGCGGATCCACTCTGATGATCCTTGTGATGTTCATTCGGAGCTTGGAGGGGCGGGGAGATTGTCGCGGGCCTCGTCATCATTTGAGAAATCCATCCATCATTTACCCATGCATGTGGCTCCCGTCTTTAAGACTCATCCATTTCAGCTGTCAGTGAATAGGTGACTTTGATGAGGGGGAGTGGCATGTGATATTTTGGTGGAATTAATGGCGATTTGATTGGACAGAGGTCATCATTCATCGACACATACACCTTCCCTTCCCATTCCATCCCATTCCTGCCTCCTACCCATCCCACCCCATCCCATCTCCACCAATGTCACGCGCCAATGGCTCCCCCGTGGCCATTTCCGTCACATCGCCCACGCTCGAAAGGCAGACGTTTGTTGACGCATCCGAAAGTTGGGCAGAAATGGACAAGGAAGCCAATCCAGAAGTGCAACGACGGAAGCTCTCACGATCCCACGCCAGCACCCTCACCACCGAATCCGCCATTTCTACCTCCCTCCCGCCCGAGGGATCCATCTTGACGGGCAAGCAGGAGCACTACCTCAAACGTGAACTCATCGCCACGCAAACCGCATGGGAAGTCAGCGAACTCTCCTCTCCCACCGCCCTACAACGATTCGGCGCGCCCTTCCGCTCCGATGCGGGCGAGGTGCCGCCGGAAGACTCGGAGCTGCCGTTGTTGAGGTACATCTTCGTCCATCATGTGAGGAATTTCCCCTTTCTCAACCAGGCGCGGGAAAAGGAGTTTTGGCAGGACAAATTGCAGGCCTTTTTGGAGAGCTTCGCCAACAAACACATCTCCACCGCCGTCGACCGCCTGGAGCAGACCAAGAGGGCCAAGTTGGCCATGAAGGTGACCAAATTGGTGGAATTGATGATGGTCTCGGGCATCCCTACCGCGTCCGGATATGAGGAGAGAATTCGCTTTTCCGAAATGGAGGTGGTGGATCGGGGCGCGAATGAGGATGGTTTGACCGTCAATGTACCAGAGGGACATGAAATCAATGGATGGGATGTCAACGTCGCCGGAGTCCGCCTGGTCAGCGTCAAGAGGCATGTCCGAACACACAAACACGCCGAGTTCCTCCTACGAGTGAAGCGCAAGGATGGAGACGTCATTCACATTGCGAGACGCTTTGGCGATTTCGTTCGCATGCATAAGAAGCTACGCCTGGAATTGCCTGGCAAGGTTCTGGCTCCCTTGCCGAACAAGAACAAGTCGCAATCTATCTACAGCTCACGAGATGATGAGGATTCCGATAGTGTCTCTTCCTTATCCACCATCGATCCGCCTACTCCAACCACGGATACCCCACCACCGGTAGAAAGTGGTGGAATCCGTGGTTACCTATCTTCATGGACGGGTGGTGGAAGCAGTAAACACACCCGGAATCCCTCTCGTTCATCAGGCATCGYATCATCAGGCTCCCCTCGAGCTTCCATCGACTCTCCTGGCTTGCTTCCAAAGGGATCGAGTGCTGCATCCACAAGAGAGTCCTCCTCCAAAACAATCCTCCACCGAGAAGATCAAAGAGTGTCATTGCGAGCATTCCTGAGAAACTTTCTCCAAACCGAAGCCATTGCCAATTCGAGAGCCATGTACGACTTCCTGACGGAACAGCCAACCATGTTGACCGATGAGGAAATGGTCGACATTGCAAAACGAAAGTCCATGGATGAGAAGCGTCTGGATGAGCAACGCCGATTCTTCGAGGTGGCGAGGAAGCGCGCACAAGAATTGGATGTACATATGGAAAAATTCAGAAGAGGCGTCGTGGAGAGGAACGGGTTGAGGAACCTCTTTGCTGAAATCAAGCAAAAGTCCACCATTGCAGATCTCGACCCGGAATACAAAAAGTTTGCAGAGTGGCTGAGGATAGAGGTCGCCGCGACATTGTACCACCTCTTCCTGGCCGAAGACAACTCCCCGGATCTCTTCGCTCAAGCCAAGCGGATCCACGGTCTGGTCCCGTATACCGCCCTCAAACAAGTCATTCGATTCACCAACCCTGCAGCAGTCATGGCAAGCGTGCTGGATATCTTCATGGCGCAACCCTTGGGTGCGAAATCTCTCCTCCAGCGAATCTTTGGCCTTGCACTGGGAGATGGTATTCGTGCTATTCAAAAATCGATCGACACTCTCACCACCAAGACTGATGAACCCACCCTTACAGAAAAGATCCGCAACTACTGCGAATCGGATGAAGAAGTCAAAGCCAGCGTCCGCGAAGGAGCACAAACCGAACAAATCGACTTATTGGTCAAGGTCCTGCAAAGTGAGGATGTCCACCCAGAACTCTCCACCGAACAAATCGGCCGCATCTTCAACGCATATGTAGCGTGGAATAACGCGGTGGAAAACGTCGACGAAGAAATGCGGCAAGGAGCCGAACTCTTCGCCCGATTGAAGCAGTTGTTGAAACTCCACACTCGACTGCGAGATAAGAAGAAGATGCTCGAAATGATTGAAGAAGCCAACACCTTGAGACTATTCCGCGACCTCTTCTCCATCTTCTACGAACCTCTTGTCCGCGTCTACAAATCCGCCAACGTGTACAACAGCGYGACGGATTTTGCACGTTTTGCCGATGATGCCATTGCAACGATTGAAAAGGCTCAACGGCAAGACGTTTCGGCCGACCCGAATCAAACGGTGCAAAGTTTCATCGATTTGTGCGAGCGGCATGAAGAAGATTTGTACAAATTCATCCATGAAGTGCACTTGCACGACAATGGCCTCTTTGACAAGTTGATGAACTGGATCGAGGGGATTTTGGAATTCCTTCGACATGGACCCAAGGGCGGGAAATTGGACATGAATGCCCTCTTCCAAGGCGCGTTGGAAATGGGGATTGTGGACCGAGCCAAAGTTTTGCAGGAGATCAACAGTCTGATTAAATGGCAGACGGCGAGGAAGCGATGGCATTCGGATAAGACGAGGCAGAAGATGGCGAGTGGTGGGGACGCGAGTGGTGGTCGATCACAAGGAGTGGGTGGCTTAGCTTCCACGTTCAAACCGCAGGATTTCGGATTGAACCCCCAGGATCTGCAGGATTTGGATATGGGAGATGAGGATGAGGAGAGCAGTGATGATGCCAGTGAGGAGGAGGATGATGATATGGATGATCCGATTGGGGCGGAGCGGAGGAGGAGGCAGAGGAGGCAGGATCTGTTGAAACGGACGGCTGGGGAGCCTGTTAAGCCTGAAATCACGGAGTTGCATGCTATGATGCCGGGGTTCTTGGCCATGTTGCGCATGACGTTGGCTTGATTGTTGAGGAGAGTGGTTGGAGACTTGGTTGTGTGTGGTGAGGACGGTGTAGAGGGAAATGAAGTGAGGATGGGAATTGAGTTGTAGATATTGTTTTATCATCATTGTCGAATACTCTGATGATGATGGCGATGCCGGCGACGACGACGACGGTATGGAAGTCCAAGTCGAAATTCTTCCTTGAAAGACTCCTTTTGGACGAGTAGTCTATTGATCTTAATATCCATCAGGGATTYCTACGGTATAAAAGAACCGAATCAATTGAGCAAGGAAGGGCATGAACCTTTCAAGTCCTTGGATTATTGACAAGGTAGCCCTTTTTGAAGTGAGTGAGTAAAGTGAGTGAGTAAAGTGAGTGTATGGAGGTAGATGGAGATGGCCTTTAATGATAGCGAGAGTGGGAATAGGTAGAGATAGGAATAGAAATGGGAATTCGGGTAGGAGCGACAGGTCAGAAAGTCTACTATATGGGATGATATAAAGGAGGATAGTTGGCGTGAGATTGCGAGAGTACTTTACTCGATGGATGGAATGTCTAGATTCGTATCTATGAATGAATGAATGAATGAGTGAGTGAATGAATGAGGCTTGAGGCAAGCAAATGTCTCTCTCTCGCTTGGCTTGGAATCGAACCTGGGCGTCGATCCGCGCTTCTTTACGAAGAAATGGAGGCTCRTCATCTCACTCACCRTCGACTACTGTATCACCTTCTATATCTACCTACCGTATACATGGCGACTTGTGTGGATGTGAAGGAAGGAAGAGGTGTAGTCTGTTCAGAGGTTGCACCTGCCCGGCACGGTCCGGTCAAACAACGTCAGTCACTGCGCTGAACTCTCCGACATTGAACGTAGGTGACCTTTGACGCCTTTCCGCCTCATCCGGCTGACGAATGCTTTTGTTTTTCCAGATCCATCAACACAATCATATGATATGACATGCCCTTGCTGGACGTGTAATATCCATCAGTCATTCCCAATATCTGGATCTGGTCTTGTCCTTCCTCGAGAATAATCCTGAAAATTGAAAATCTTTGATGACATACATTCACGACAACATGGCATTGAATTCGGCGCCACATCCTGGAGGCTGGAGCACCAAACTAGTTTCCAAAATCGGAAATACCTTTCGATCGGAAAAGGCATACACGCAGGAAAGCATAGACAAGAAGAAGAACAAAAAGTCCAAATTGAAGAAGAAGAAGAATCCCCAACAATTTCAACCGCCAGCCCCAGAAGTCAACGAATTGGGCGAGCAGGAATATGCCGTCTTTGCGGAAAATCGAAGGCCCGCGCGACCCAAAGTGCAAGATAATGGAGAAATGATGCACAGTCTCGCGCGAAGCGGATCCTTTGACTCTCTGGTGGAGGAGGAGAAACAGGATCCTTTTTCCACAACCACAAACCGTAARAGAAGAGGCTACATCGTCTCCTCCTCAGTCCACCAAGAGCGAATCGCAAGCCTCCCTTCTTCCGTCTGGAAACGCATCGCCCTCTTCCTCACGCCCCTTGAAGTCTGCAATCTCGCCCTCGCATCGAAAACTCTCCACGACAAACTCGGTCCCCGTCCCTTCGACATCCTCAACCTAGCCCCGAACAAGCACCACAAAATCGCCTTCCTCCACCAATTCGACCCCCTCCTCCCCAACCACCTCCTCTGTTTCCCCTGCGCCCAATACCACCTCCGCCTCTCCCCCGGAAACGAAGTGTTAAAAAAAGACTACGTCTCCAACCCCCTCTTCACCTGCCCCAAAGTCAAAACCTCCACTCTCCCTCGCACCCGCCTCACCCACGCCCGCGAACTCCCCTACGCCTTCATCCAACTCACCCTCCGCGCCGCCTCCCTGGGACCCCAATACGGCATAACCCCGGAAACACTCGCGCGCAAATGGAAATGCAAAGATTCCTCCTGGCAACACACAACCCGCTACCTCATCCACGACTCCCGCCTGCTTCTCCGCGTGGTATCCCAACGTTTCGCGCCCCCGGCATCCTCCCTCTCCGTAACCTCCGAACGCCACATCCTCTACGACCGCGAAGAATACATCCCCTTCTTCTCCGTCTGCGCACACTGGCGTGATGGGGACCTCATGAAAATCTGTAAATGTATGCTAGGGCATATCCCTTCCCCGCCAGATCCCTATCACAAACAACTCCAGCGCGGTTTCCATGTGAGTCGCGCGGCTGCGAATCCCGATTTCATTGTTCGAGGTTGTGATTCCTGCCGTCCTGCGCGCCGCTGCCCGGAATGTCCGAGCGAGTATTTAGTTGAAGTCCGATTGGTGGAGGATCCCGGGGATAAAATCACGAGGTTTAAACATGCGATTGTTGTGACTCGATGGACGGATTTAGGGGATGGGAGAAATCCATATACGAGTCCTGAATGGGTGGCTATTAATGGTGGGAGTACTACTACCACCTCTGAAGGAGGAAGGGAGGGGGAAGGGTTTGACAGTTTTAGTCAAGTTGGACGGAGAGCTGTCGGGGGCATTTTCGAAAGTCGCGTCAGTGGGAGTACGCCTGGACAGAGATTATTGTCGTTGAATCCGGGGAATAAGAAGATGGGAGAGGATGGGACGGGGTGGTATTGAGTGGAATTCAATTCTTGGGGTTGGTCTTTGATAGGCAAGGACATTTGTAATGGTTTGGTTTCAGGGTTGGGTCTGTTATGTAGCGAGAGGTTTCTTTATCCTGGTGGAGGATTAATCATGTATAGTAGTAGAGTATATTGTATGTTTTACACCATGAGATGAGGATGATTAAATATTATATCTTCCAGCCGATTCGAGATGTCTTGAGCTCGTTGTTCAATATACATAGATGTATTAGCAAGCCAGCACCATCCCATCCTTCTCTCAACCTGTGAATGAACATATAGTCACCCCGGGAAAAATCCTCTGGCATGAGATCTCCTTCCCTTCGAGCCGGCGAAATAGCAGAGGAATACAGGCACAAGAGCCGTAGCATTTCTAGAGCACCGTGTCGATGATTGCTGAGGTTCTTCTCATTTCCAAACTTCTAGACCTCACTCAACTCGCATTTGAATGACTGTCAACAAACTTGGTCGCAAATCTACAAGACAGACAGATAGAGCGTGCCTCTGATCGCAAAACTAGATTTCACAACGTAACCCGACCTACTTTGAGAACAGTCAAGTTTGAATCGCAGGATTTCTTCCATTTGATTGACCTGTGCTAGAGTAGAACAGGATAATCCTGCCACATCGACAACCTCATGGCGATTGGCCACGATTTTGGATGTGACAACTTAAGAAATTCTTCAAAGTAAGTAAACAACGCCCGAGAGGCCTCTCCAGCCCAAATTGGAAGGTTCAGAAAATGAATCCCAGGTTGATGATGCCCTTTGCATCTCAAAACTGCTTGATCACATGATTGATCATCTTCAACACCGGTCCTCCAATGCTTTGGGTCAGAGGTCTGTCGTCGACACCAGGTGGTGCCTTGCCTTTCCCCTTCGATTGTGACCTGGGGTTTGCTTTCGAAGGTCCGCCTTCCGCTGACTGTGACCTGCGCCTTTGATCCGATTGACCGCTTCCCTAGCGCGGTCCACGCTCGACCGTCTCGCGGCGCACGTACCGATATCCGGAGCTGCTACTGCTGCTGCTCCTGGATGACGAGACACTACGTCCATCTTCAACCGCCATGCTGTCATCTCTTCTCTCCTCGGTTCTGTACGGTCCGAAGCCGTCATCCCTCTGCCTCCCCGCCATCCGTCGTGATCTCTCCCGAGATGGACTCTCACTCTTGGCGCGTGCAAGAGGAATGTTGTTGACCGGGATCATCTGCGGTCTCGATGGTCGAACTGTGCGGTCCCGACCAGTCTCAATGGCTGCACCACCGTCTGTCTGTTCGGCAGCGACTGACTCCCGCTGCTAGCGGTAATCGTACCCTTCATAAGGCAGACGGCTTCGAGCACGGCCCCTACGCTCGTACTCCGCAATGAGATCTCCTCCCGTCTCTCCACTTCCGAGATCTCTCCTCATCCTACCCAGTTTCCTGAACTGATCCGAGCCCGCCTCGCTTCCGGGTGGCGTGGGAGAGAACTCGACTTGTTGAGCAAAGCGAACTCGAGAGGAAAGGTCGCTCGTGGGCGGCTTGCTTTCCTTGCCTCGGACAGTAACTTCCGACTCTTCCCGAGGCTTGACCTGATCCTGTGCGGGCTTGCTGCGCCGACCAAAGGTCTCCTGCACTTCGTAGTAGGGCTTCTCGCGACCAGATCTCGACGATGCTCTTGTGTGTTGAACAGTTCGCTTGACATAGGTGTATTCACCTTCGGGATCTTGAGGTTGGCTTGTCCTCGCTTTGGAGGCTTGCGGCTGTGGCTGAGGTGAAGGCATMTGCGCGGAAACAATGCTTTCCTCGGCAGGATATGGGAGAGTGCTCGCCGCTACACGCTCCACAACTTGATGTCTCGCACCATGGGAAGAGCTCGCCATAACACGCTCTTGTGTGACTTCCTCTGGAACGACCGGCTGGCGCTGAAGAACCAGTCTCTTAGTACGTAAAGTCGTTGGAGGCTGCTCGTTGCGTGGTGCGGCAGTCTTTGTTGAGTGGGCTGCCCCTGTTTGCGCAGGAGGGCCATCAAGCCAATACTCTCGGTCAGTCCACCTATCACTGGACGAGCTGGCGGCTTCTTTGAAGCGCGCATCTGCAGCAGGCTCCTTCAACTTCTGATCGAGCTTCTCCATCTCGACGCGGAGCATCTCATCCCTGTCCTTCAGGAGTTGGTCCCTGTCAAGCTGTACCCTGATCTTAGCCCATTGAGTCTCACGCCGGTCGGACACTTCATCTCTGTCAGTTGATGCTCGCTCTCGGCGATATGCAGAGATGTCATATACCGGCCCTCCTGGCGCATCAGAACTGTCTGAGGAAGAGTCAGCCCGGAACCGGTGCGGGCGCGGTCCCTTGTCTTCTACGCGAGGGTGACCGTCAAGCGAAGCAAGCGAAGCAAGCGAAGCTTGCAGTATACGGTCCCTCTCAATCTTCCTAGCTTCTGACCGCTCCTGACGAGATGCGGTCGCAAGCTCTGGTTGGCGCGGACGCTCAGGACTCTTGATCCATGGCCTGTCAACGACATCCTTCTCCAGGGCAATTCTCCTCTCCATCGGAACACGGGCAGCTGGTTTGGGCACGGGCGGAGCTGTCTCCTTCTCTACTACCCTGCCGTGAGCGTAGACGTCTCCGTGAGCCTCCATCATACGTTCGATCCGGCGATAGCGTTCGACCTCGTCTCTGGCAAGTCGACGAATCTCTACTTCTGCTCGCTGAGGATTGTACGCTTCAATCTTAATGGAGGTCCGATTGTCGTGCCTCGACCTAGATCCTCGGGCCTCGATCACTTCTTGAACACCGTCCACCCTCTTCGGGCTTGTTGGAGAGGCCGCTCGAGTCGGCATCGGACCTGCAGATTTGGGCGAATCCAATCTGGATGCTGAAGTCTGTCCCATTGTTGCGGCTTTGCTGGACATTGTCGTATTTGTCTTTTCGCCTGACGTCACGGTCCTCGTCCGTGGCGTAGATCTTGGCGGTGATGGTGGAATCGTCATTTGGGCTGGGCGATATACAACATCGGAAGCCTTCTGCTGAGGTGCGTGAGCGCGACCTCGGATGCGTCGATAGATCATGTCACCTTCCCGTTCGGAGGCAGACTCGATATCCATGTAATCGCTTTGCTGCATGTAGCGCTCAGTGGCCCTCGCTCGCAACACGTCCGCGGAAGAATAGTCGCGGGTAGACATCAAACTTCTGACTCCGAGCTTCACCTCGCCGCTCTCTTGAATTTCCGTCACCTCTGCGGTGGCAATCTTGGATCCCTCGACGGAGGAGATGCGACATCTGCGGCAGATTCCGGGCGGGGGAGGAACTCCATCAATTGGGATGGGATGCTCACGGTGGTAACGTGCACTGCGCGGCCGCACACAAACGCGACAGATGTGGTAGACCGCCAATGGCGGGATGGGGTCCGCTGGCAGTGGATTGGTCGCAGTCGCAGTCTTGTACGTGTAAGTCCTGTACGTTCGCGCGTTGGCATCATCTGCTGTGGGAGCGGGTGGTAGATTCTGTGAGGCTGGTCGCGCTTGTCGCTGGCGGGGCTGCATGGGCAGACAGACTTCACTGTCGTCACACAGCGCGGCGGACGTCGAAGCCATTCTGCCGGTTGACTTTGTCAGGTAGAACTCAGGCAGRGGCGGCGGGGGGATTGGCCGGTAGGTTGTTCTCGCTGAGCCTGCCATATTGAATGAATGTTGGCATTCGAATATGGCGGATTGATGTTGTGCTGTTGAGGATGTGACGAGAAAGCAGTAGGTGAAGAGACAAGCCAAGCTTCGAGGTGGAGTGAGAAGTGAAGTTGCAGCTCGAATTACAAGAAACCGCGACTGAAGGCGGCAGGAAAAATCCAATTCAGAGGACACAACGAAATGCAAACCGTAGGTGACGGCGCAGGAGGGAGGGAGGTATTATCACGGCATGTCTCTTTCGTGATCGATGAATGGACACGATGCCAAACAACATGCTTTCAAACGATGGAACATTGACAAAGGAACTGTAGATACTTCCCAACTCACCTCCTTAGGAACTGCACTTGGTGCGCATCATATCATGCTCCTCCAAGGTACATCTTCATTGCCCATCGATTCCGCGCAAGGGAGACCATCTGGAGCTATGACTGCCACAATAGCTTCCTGTCCGATGCTCTCCTCTGCTGCATGTCCTGTATACCACAACTGCAGAATCCACTGCAGAACAGTGCGCCTCTGCCTTCCCCAATACATCACTCCCCAATGCAGTATGTACAACCTTCCGGCCCAACCCAGACCTCGTGCTTTCTCTTTGCCTCAACATCCAAACGCGCTCCCGGTCCAAACGTCTCTTTGGTAGGATTCTCGTCGTCGGGATAGGATATTGTCAGCTCGCCCCGCAGGATGAGATGAGTCGTCAATCCCGAATGCTTGTGTGGTGGGTAATGGGCATTGCTGCATTCGTCAGCTCAACCCGCTGTTGAGACCCCTTCGTTTGGTGAGGCTCACGGCCCATCTGTCCATGTAAAGACATGACTGTTGAATCCCCACGAGCGTACTTCGCGCTCTGCTTCTGCAGGAGATTTCATGTTGTTGGTTCAGCAGGACATGAAGACGAGAAAGAAAGGTTTCGGCAGGATATGATGTCAGCATCTTCTTGGCGGGAAGGAGCAACGAGTCAACGACAACACCCGACCTGCAAGCTTGCCCTGTGCAGCAGACCACCAGGAATTAGCCGATGAGACTAAGTTCATTTGATAGGCGGTGTGAGGTACATGTGCGAACACCTACTGTCATCTTTATCACCAACCTGTGTCATTCACGCATCTGACCTGCTGTGCTATATCATATACTCCGGACGCTGACGCTACGCCCCATCCTTCGTGCTCGGCTGGGCTGAGCTGAGCTTCGAACAACATTGACTGCCTACTTTGTAACCTGACACGCAAGCAAACGCAGTTTCGAACCGGATCAAAGGTGAATGCCGACAAGCCAGTTCGAATGAATCCTCACAAGCCAGCCATGGCCGAGCAGACGACTCACGGACTCTCGCCCACCATCATCAAGCACGCCAAGCTCATATTCGATGAACACAAAAGCAACGATGGCAGCTTTGATGAGTTTTTGACACATCTTGCCAAACCCGAGAGCTCCGCTTCTCTGCCTATTGCAAATGATACAACTCATCCACTCAGTTCCTACTTCATCTCCAGCTCGCACAACACGTATCTGTGCGTTGGCAACCAGTCTCGATGCCCTATCCGCATGACTGACCTGACCAAAATGTAGTTCCGGGAACSAGCTTTGGGGCAAGTCAAGTGGAGATGCGTACAAGGATGTGCTCAAACGAGGATGTAGATGTATCGAAATCGACCTCTGGGACGGTGACTCGCCCTCCAGCTCCGAAGCCGAGGATGGTATGAGTTCGGAAGACGGTGAAGTCGGAAAATTGGCTGGCAGGCTCAAAAGTAAGCTGGGCCGCTTGCGTTCACGTTCCAATCCGGACAAGGACAAGACTGGACACGCAGATCCACCGGCAAAGGAAGATCAACAAGCGCCCATGCCATGGCGGAACACTTCTGGTMGCTCCGAGTAAGTCAATCGTGATGTCCGTCTGTCGCTGTAGCTTAGCAGCATACTCTCATAACCCGAGAGACGCTGACTGGTATTGATCATCTCCAGACCCGCCGTATACCACGGCTATACCGCCACGAGTGAATTGCCATTCCGAAAGGTGTGCGAGGTCGTTCGTGATTATGCATTCAAGAACACCGACCTCCCGCTCATCGTCTCACTGGAAGTTCATTGCGGCACTTCCCAGCAAGAAATAGTGGTCGAGCTCATGAACGACTATTGGGGAAGTCTTCTCCAGCGTCTTCCAGACGACTTTTCTGACCAAACGCCATTGCCACCGTTGGAAGAAATGAGGAAGAAGATATTAGTCAAGGTCAAGTACTCTCCTCCCGGCAAGACCAAAGATGCAAAGGGTGACAACACCGCACCGAGATCCTCCGAGGATCAAGAATCACCTGGAGAAGATGATGCTGTCAAAAAGGGCAAGATCCTGCAAAGCTTGAGTTCAATGGGCGTGTTCACTCGTGCTTTTCACTTTGACAACTTCAGCCAGCCAGAGGCAAAGATTCCAACTCACGTGTTTTCACTGTCAGAGACAAAGCTGCTCGACGTCTGCGAAGAGTCACCAGAGAGCATATTCGCACACAATCTCAGACATTTCATGAGAGCGTATCCGAAAGGTACTCGATTAAGTTCGTCCAATCTTGACCCAGCGCCATTCTGGCGCTTTGGCATTCAGATGGTACGTCGCTTTGCAGTTGATCCAGTCTCCATCTCCATCATCTAACGTTTCAAAAGGTCGCCCTCAACTTCCAGAAGATCAATGCCGCCATGATGCTGAATACCGCTCAATTTGAGGGCACCGGAGGTTGGACGCTGAAGCCAGTTGGCTATCTTCCAACGCAAGGCAAGCTACCAAAGGCGAAGAGGGCCACCCTCAACCTGACCGTCAAACTTCTCGCCGCACAAGGATTGGGCTTGGATGACGACATACCCAACGTCTTCGTCAAGTGTGAGCTGCACGTTGAGAGCAAGGCAGAAATTGAGCAGCACCGAATTCCGAAAGATGGCCAGAACAAGGGCGGCGAGCGGAAACTACGCTCTGCTGTGCGCCATTCACGCGACCCAGATTTTGGCGGCGAAACACTGGACTTCAAAGGCGTGCAACACGTCTGTCCAGAACTGAGCTTTGTGAGGTATGTCCAATTCTCCTTCCTTGTCCTCGTCCTCGATCGTTTCGATCCATTCCCAAATGGTCGGAGATCAAATGCCGTGTAACCTCGTACTACATCTACGCATCTCCGCGCCTGGGTCCGGAAAATTCGGTCCCACCGGCGCCGTGTTTCCATTGTCGACTCGTAGCAGTATGCATGGCCATCTTGCGGTGAACCAGGGTTACTGCACTACACAGTGAAAGMGTTGAGGGTCAATCGGAATCCGATGTGATCGTGTTGCAAGTGCTTGCACCGTCAGTCGTCACACCGCGAGGCGCCGGATATGGGAGAAGTCGGATCACGCCTGTGCGAAAAATGACTGGTATACGCATGGCGGGCGCCCATCGTCAGACAGAGATCAATGACACCCCACTAGGGAGTATTCCACACAGGTCACATTCACTGACAGTTGCTTTGTAGAATCAAGGTCATGGATGATCAGTCATATCAAAAGGATCGCATGCTTGGCTGGGCATGCTGGAGACTCGACAGACTGCCACAAGGCCTATTGTTGGTCCACCTACGAGGCGACGATTCGAAGTTGACGGGCGGCAAACTACTACTGGAGGTTCGCGCAAGCACGATAATATCCAGCTGATTGGCACTGTGGTACTAGCATCGCGCAATCTGAGATTGAGCGGATGGAATATGACCTTGCATTTGGTGTGACATCCTGATGAGCTCCAAGTCACTCCCCATCACCAACATGCTACCACCAGTGGTAGTCATGACCCCTACCATCACATGTGTTACGATTCCGACTCCGACTCCGGCAACCGTGACCGTTGAGTCGTCTGTGACCGGATTCTGCATCCCCTGGAACGTCGATGCATCGGTCCCACGTGGGCCACTGCAGCAATACCCGCATTTCGGATCTCGAACGTAATGACGTTTCGGTCATTGAAATGGTACTGTAGACGCTGGGGCTACTGCCGTGTTCATAGTCGGTCGCCTCATCAGAACTTGCCCTAAACATTCATAGATCTGCGCAAGCCAACCTTGACCTTGCACGCCGTGAGTCAAGATCCTCGTCAATCGATGGCGGATGGCCCGGCCCCTCTGCTTTAAAAAGGTACGGCAGTACAGGTGCCGGCAGAGCGGCATCCTTCCTCTGTACATATTCGCATGTCTTTCGGTATCCCGTCAAAGTTTCCGAGCACGTCAGATAAGATTGATGGAACGAGAAGGAAGCACCTGATTGAAAACAGCTCACAATGTCAATCACATTTCATTCATAGCAATGTGCGATCGAACATGGTCTACCGATGTCTCGACTTGATTGCAGACCTTTTGGTCCCTGGATACACCCATTTCGGAAGCGTAGGCAGTAGGACAACCAGGAGTCGCAGGTTTGGAGGTGGGCAAGAAGTGACAGCTCGCAGAAAGACTGTAAAATCGCCGACCGGGATTCGTCATTCATTTCTGGGGACATGCATGTGCGCTTACAGGGGTCATACGCGGCACCGGGTTTTCAAAGCTCCACGCCAGAGTTTCTCCATCCATACACATCACAAAATTGTGTCAAATGCCGTGTTTCGCATCGCCTATCAAACCATCGACACTGAAGCTGCACACTACTTGGAGTCGTCGCGTACTTCTGGTTATGGAGACCGGCAGTTGCGCCAAAGTCGGTCATTGGCAGCCACCAAAAGACGGGTATGCGCTTTTGCTATTATCTAGTGCTGGACGGGATCCGGCATTGGATGCGTATTACCTTCCGACGGTGACCAGGACCAAAATCTCCCTGGGCTCGACCGACTTTTGATTCCCTGGCAATGCGCGACTGCAGGTGATGAGAGCAGGTTGGGAAAAGGGCTGCTTTTTTGGAGAAACGTATGTCTTTTGCATGCTTTCGTTCCCTTTCGAGGTACCTAGTTTGCGATTGAGTTTGATTGGAGCGCTGACAACATAACATGGGTTTCGACGCTTTTCCGCATAGAACACACACCATCCAGGATTGCGCTCGGATCGACCACAACGCCATGCTGAGTTTGTTGAAATCTGATATGTGCAAAGGCAGAGCGGCATGCTGCAGGAGGGACCTATCTCCGTCCTAGCGTAACAAGCTAAACAGCAGCCGGACCGGGATTACTCGCTGGCAGCTGCAGTGCAAATGTTGTGGATAGATGTACCGAAGGGCTAGCCCTGCTGGTGGAGTGACAGGGTGTGTGTACAACGACCGTCGTAACTCAATGGGATCATCGAATCAATGCCTCGTCAGATTGGAGCTTACCGGGTTATTCGTGGACAGGTTTGAAGAGGTATAAAGACTGGTCTGCTGTTCCTTCCAGATTACTCCATCATTCAACTCAATCTCATACCAGCATTCCTCAACTCGAGAAAGCCATCATCAAGCGACTGTCACTTTTAACATCAACCCGACGTCCACCTTCACCTTCACCTTTACCAAACCAACCAAACCCTCCAACTTCAGCATCATGTCCTACAGCGCCCAAAAGTACGAAGCCCTCCGAAGACTCGGCGTCCAACAACTTTCCACTCTCTACGAGCCATCTTACCACCACCATCACCATGGTCTACACCACACAGAGCGCCGCAACTCCTCACCTCGCAATTCATTCGATGTCGATGAGCCACGCTACCCATTCGCAATGAACTTGCCAATCCGAGACCGACCTGTAAGTCCTTTCATAAAAAACATTCACTCGCATCATTCATACATACGCTAACAAAGGCCCTCTCTTCCAGGTCCCCGGCCGCAAATGCCCCAACTGTCTCGCTCGTGGCCAGACCTACTGGGTGGCGTACGGAAAGCGATGCGCGCAGTGCGGAACCGAGATAAACTAAGCTGATTTACGACCACGATCACGATTTCTCCTTCTCCCGAAGTTTCAGGTGGTTGGTGGTTGCCTTCTACGATTGATTTACTTGGCGTCGTCGGTGTGATTGGGAAGGAAAGGTCAAGGGAGCCGGACGGAAAAGCGGGAATCTTCACATGCTTACGGAGGGGATATTTTTGGGTGGGAATGCCCGGGCAAGGCAAAAACGTGGTTGGAGTCTCTCAATGTGGATGTTTTCGGAGCCAGCAGCGGAGCGATTCTTGTTTATCTTGGTTCTTTGGCGTGGGGAGATGGGTTGGAGTTGGGCGGATTCTTGGTGTATATGTATCGGTGAAGGAATGAATGATTTTGAGATGTATACGAATAATCAACGATCTTTCTCGTCTATCTTGACAAGAAAAATGCCGAAAGTGAAAGTCACAGGGAAGAAAAGTCAAATGCCATGTGTGAATGCTGTTTTGGAAAATTCGGGGGGGGGGGGGGGGGGAAACTGACAGGTCTTAACGCCCGCAGGCTCAGTGACTTGCAAATGCTTTATTGGGTCAGGCTTCAGGTACCTTCCTTGCTAGGTTCGAACCTTGTGAGCTGCATGCACATCATTCAGCTTTCCCATGTCGCCCCCGGCAAATCAGGACAGGAGATTTCCCTCGCGTCGGGCGGTCCGCCCCACTCCGTCGGCTGGGAAGGTTGTGGGGCTTTTTTTCCACACGAGGATCAAACAATCGGCTTTTGCAAAAACACAATTCGTGTGCCCTAAAAGGCGCCGTCCAGCTCGTTCTAGAATGCATGTGAGCTAGCTGGTCTAGCTGGTTCCGCTAGCATGTTTCAATGGCAAATGTGCCTGCATGGACGCGCGGTCATGGGACTTGTTGATTGATATTGATTGAGCATGTTGATGATGGGGTGGTGTTTGGGATGTGAATATAACTGCGTGCGTGGTTCTTTATTGTTGGAGTTAGTTGGCAATTTGGGTACAGGTCATGCATGGAACGAATTGAATGGAGAATTAGGTTTGTGAAAAGAGTGGAACTCAGACTTCATTGCGCTTTCGCATGTGACAGGGAATGCTTGACAAGTTAGACCACGCCAGGGAATTTCCTTATCAATAGTTCCGTTGGTTCAGGCACGACACCGCCGACCATCTGAACGATGCGGACATATCCTTGACAATGTACGATGTCGTGCATTTCGAACATCGACGTTGTACATGAAGACGCCATCATCGACAAATCATGATCTCATCATGTTGAGAGGCATCATGATGATGCTTTCGAAAAACGGTCGATGAACAGTTATAAGAAATATTCACACACAACATGTACTCCTCAATGTATCTCTTGCTCCCAACTACAATTCAACGTTAAAGACCCCATGTATTCAAAACAACAATCATGACATCCCGTGTTCCAAAATCCCTCCTTGCACTCCGCCCAACATCAAACCAACCTCTCCGATCATGGAAGTCATTCTCCACGATTTCCACCCATTCGGCAGCGGGAAAGGCCACCCCAGACGCAGAACTCCAATCTCAAGCAACTAAAGCCCAAAACTTCCAAAAAGCAGCCGAGGACATTGGCATCAAAATGCAAGCAGCTCCCCACTCCATCACATCCGAGGACGCAGCACACCTCAAATCCCGTGAAGCTCGCGCAACCGGACAAGCTCAGCCTCCTGCAGATTCCATCAGTGCAGAAGCGCAGCGATTGGCGGCGGAGAATGAAGGGGCGACCAAATCCAAGGCCTCAACGACGTCGACGGATCCTGTGGAGCAGTCGGTGGAGGATCGGGTGAAGAATTTTGAGAAGGTTGCTGCAGATATGGCCGAGAAGCTGGAGAGGAGTCCGGAGAGTGTGACGAAGGAGGATGCGGGAGTTGTGCATTCCAGAGAGCAGAGAGCTTTTGGGAGTACGGCGAAGGGAGGCATTGCGAGTGAGGTGCACAAGGTTGCTGACGAGAATGAGAAGCAGAGGTGAGGGATTGAAAAGCGTGATGTGTAAGATAGGATGGTATCGATGCAGTATTCGCAAACTGTTCAGCAGCTGTCTGGCTTTCCTCCCATGTAATGGCCTGTTTGTGAGTAGATTAGAACACCAATGTCATGCAATATGAGCAACATCAGTCCTCCATAGCATCATCCGCTTCAGCCTGCCACTCCGCCCACTCCCGAATCTCTCCTGACCCTCCGTCTCTCTCCAATGGCGGCATAGTCTCGCTCTGCCCCAAAAGATACGCCTTGACGGATTCTTCGTATGGMGAATTGAAGTCCGTCCCTCTTGAAAGTACACAGAGGTAGTTGACGTCGGACTCGTTGCTGACTCTTGAGGCGTCGTCCCACAAACATTCCATGTAGCAATGCTGTAGAGTCAAGATCTTGGGGATCTGCTGAATGGCAAGGTCGACGTTGTGGATGAGCATGTCTCGTAGTTCCAGTGCATTGAGAGAATCGGCGTGGTTTCGCAGGAACTTTAGTAGAATCTCCGCGGGGACGTTGGTCGCTAAGGAGAGCTTCTCAAGTTGGGGCCAGAGGACATCATCCGAATCAAACAGACTTTCTAGCTGGGAATCAGACTCATCATCTGGACTCATCTCGTCGTCACCATAGCGGAGGTCCAGCTTTCGGAGGTGTCTTGCAGTGCGCAGAAATTCCATCGTTTCCACTGACACTCCAAGACCGCTGACATGAGCACTGACGGTCGCATGAGGGACATGTAGATACAGTGATGTGAGGTGTTGGAACCCAGCGAGTATCGTCTGATATCTCTTGCCGTGACTTCCGCAGGAGCGATCCATAAGACTGAGGTAAGGGTCAAGATGCGAAGAATGAATGTTGAGCTTGGTGATTTGTTTCGTGGCTGCGAAGGAGGATCGATATCCGATCGCCTCCAGAAGAAGTAATGCAGCTTGGCCAGTCTGATGAGCGTAGTCTGGCTCTTCGATCGGCTGTCGCCAAACGAAGTCGTCTGGACCAACGAATATCCTCTCTCGGAGATTTCGCCAAAGAGGCCAAGTATTGCTGAGGAATTATAGTAAGCACAGACATATCTAGAGTGAATGACTTTCGTGACTCACCACCGGCCTGAAAAAGGCACAGCACACTGGACACTCGCGTCTGTGAGATTGGGAAACAACGAGAACAGCTCCTTGAACATCAACCCATGAGCATCCTGCCTCCACAGCGTTTGCTCTCCAACAACCCTCTGATAGCTGTTCCAGCCTGCGGTGAGCTCGGATTCTGTGAAAGTATGTCGAGGAAGAGTATCGTAATCTCGCCGAGGGTCGCCAGAGTACAATCGGGATATGACGGGAGAGTCTGATTCAAATCCTCTTACTTGCGACTTCCTGCTTGCCAAGTAGATGGAGAAGGCAGGCCGGAAGTCTATGGCTCCCAGCCAACTATCTTTCGTCCACGAAGGTACCTTGGAAGCAGTTAGTCGGGTATTGACAGGCAAAACTCCTTCCCAGTCATTTGCGGAAAAGGGTTGAGAATGGAAGGTAACCATACAACATTCCGGCTTATAACTCACAATGTCAGAGTAGATGGTGAGTCTCTTCACATGCTTCGCTAGGGGTGATTTCGATATATCCCTTGCTTTGAAAAGCGAATACTCAAACAGGCCCAAGTAGAGGTCTTCAAAAACGTGACAAGTACTCGCTTCGCAGAGCCTCTTGTTCACCAATCGACAGACCTTGAGGTCTGCATGTTCACAATGCTCACAGATGAGAGCAAGGAGCTCCTCGGGTAGACGGTCCATGGACGACGGGAGATGCATCACGAGATGGCTTGGATGTTGTTGATCACATGAATGCAAGCCATGAACTCTACAAAAGATCCAGGCGTCGATCGCTCCAGCTAGTCTAGCCTCTTTGGGTTGTATGCGCAAGCTTCTGAAAGTAGGCAGTTTTGGAAGCTGGAGGTGCAAGTCTCCGCTCCTCATCCAACATATCACACTATATTCCTATTTTAAACTCCTATTACCATGTCCCATACACAAACAAGGCTAGGCGGTGGCGGTGCGTAGCTGAAAATCACCCCTCCCTCTCCAGATACTCACCCATCTCTTCCCCAAGCATTCAACCATGGCCCATCATCCAATGCCGAGCAGGAATACGACCGACTCCGTGATCTGGCACGCAAAGAGCAAGGTCAACATCAGCATTTTGCGGCCGAGGCTAGACAGGCATATGAAAGAGGTGATGGTGGCCGGGCTCATGATATGAGCACCCAAAGCAAGAGTCACGCTGCAAAGGMCGATGAGTACAACAAGCAAGCTTCCGAGTTCATCTTCAGGGAGAACAATGCTGTGGGCAAAGTAGCCGGAGATACCGTTGATCTTCATGGTCAATTCGTAGAGGAGGTATGTTTTTGAGGGCGTTTGCTAGAGAAATGCTGTTGGAGAGGCACTGGCATAACACAAGGATCGACACGTACTCCGTGGGAAACTTCCAGGACATGCCAAACATGCTGACCTCCCCACCAGGCCGAAGAAATCCTCGAACAACGAATCAAATACGCTCGCCAAACCGGACAAACTCATCTTCACGTCATTGTCGGGAAAGGTAACCACTCTCCCGGCCATGTCCAAAAGATCAAGCCCAAAGTCGAGGAAGTCTGCCGCGAACTAGGTCTCCAATACAAAACGGAGCCCAATGCCGGACGCATGTATATTGATCTCACAGGAGGTAACGTGGACTCGATTCCTCATTACGATGACAATCAGCACCAACCCCACCACGAGAACTACGGAAAGCCACACTACGAGAGCGCGTATCCTATGGGCAACATGCCAAACTACGGAGGTGGCTATCCCGGTCAGCAGCAGCAACCGCAGATGCAGTATGGTGGGCAGTCTGGATATCCTGGTCAACCGCAGCAGAACATGCAGATCCAGGAGCCGGAGCAGAAAACAACCAAGTGCTGTGGGTTGTGTGTGGTCATGTAATTTGGTTGTTAATTTTGGAGAAAGATTGCTTGGGGAGATCCATGTCTGGAGAGTAAGCGATTTGAGGTTCATCTGCCTGGCGATTTGCACATTTTTTGGGCTATCATGGCCGTGATGTATTTGAGAGCGATCTCTGGGGTAGAGTTGTTGGTATAGCGATCGATCGAATTTATCCAGCCTCAGGGGAGAACGAGTTGACAAGCACGACAACTGGTTTTCTAAATGACCGGACGGCAGCTTGAACAAGGTAATCGCTGTTACAATTGCTCTAGCTCTTCTCTTAAGGCGCAGATCCGTATTCCCGCCCGTCTCCCACTTCTGCGAATCCCAAGCCTTCCAAAGATGTCATCGATCGTCTCCAACGACAACAATTCATTATTGACGACAACATACTTCGAAAGTACTACTACAAAGTTCAAAAATTACTTGTCAACACAGCCCCTCATCTCATGACAATAACACGTTTGTCAGCAGCACCATTTCCCCTCCCAAATAGAGGAGAAAACGGAAGCTTTTTTGTAAGGACCATCGGCCCATCGAACAAATCTCACGATCCCCGGAACCTTTTCCAATCACGCCATTATATAAACTACTACGTAGGTACCTGCAAGCCACTACTACCCGCATGTACATCTTCCTCGTCCCACAACCTCCATTCCAACTTCCAATCTCGACCAAAACTGAAGCTACAATCATCAACTACCTTACTCAAACCAACTCATTGATAACAAACCCGAACAAATTTCAAACCAACGGAAAAGATGGATAAAATCCTCTCCTTCTATGCCTTCTGCCCAGTGAGCAGCCAAGTCACAGCTCCACAACCTTCAACTGCTTCTTCTCCTCGTGCGCAACAAGCCGCCAAACCAGCGGGAAAGAAATAAACGGTTTCAAAGAATACAAGAATCAAACAAATTACCAACAAAGTCGAAATCAGTCCTTGWACTCATCAAGACTTTAGAGGAAGGCATTTCGCTCCTCAGCCATCCATATCTCCCTCCATCATCATTGGGTTAATTGGAACTCGCCGATCTGGAATTTCCCGATGAATCTCGGGAGGATGTCCATGCATGAGCGAGACAGTGTGGCACGCGATCGACTTGATAGTTATGAGAGCGATGGAGTGAGCGGGAGAGCGGGCGAGCGAGAATTCGACGATGCTGCAAACTGCCATCCGAAAAGCGGGTTGAAGCAGCCAGTGTCGAACGGCRGAAGTGACTGATCGAATGTAGTCGAAAATCAAATACTGGAAAGGAAAACGGAACGAGGAGAGTGCAAGTCGTAATCGTAGCATAATAGCAACCTATGGACGCCATAAAACCCGTGAGGGCCTTTCCAACTATGCCAACTCAATGCTTTCATGATTTTCGTAAGTCATCTCCATAGCCAACCCAGGCCTGCTCATGCAGAAACTGTTGGCTGCTGCAGGTCTTGCTCCTGTGTGGTACATCAATGCAACTCGCAAAATTACCCAAAGGTGAAGAGAGGATTCTCTCCCAGGTAATCTCGCAGACTCAACCTCATATCCCTTCGATACTGGAGCAAATGAATTCCCCAACCGAGTCCTAGTCGTCGTCGCCGTCTTCGGGGATCGCACGGTGAACGGAATAACGACGGGGTCTCTAGTACCGCTGATTTCCGTTTCCGCCGTCCCTCGGAGCGTACGGATTGCCGCTCAAGTCTGGCTGAGGTGGTGCTTGGGTCTGTGGAGCAACTCCTCCGGCCAGAGCAGCCTGGTAGCCCATAGCCGCGACTGGGTTATGCTCGAAGGCCTGCAACAGACGTTCCTGCATTTGCTGCTGCTTGGCCTTTTCTTCTGCGATACGCTTCTTGCGACGCTGCACCTTCTTCCGCTCAATGTCCTGAATCTCGCGTCTGGCAGGAGCGATGGTCAGCACAACATCCCAAAAAATCGGATGTAATAGGGAAATGTTACCTCTGGTCGTTCATCTGCTTCCATTCAGAGAATGCACCCTTGATACCCAGCGCAGCAATACCAACAGCTGCAGCATCTTGAATCCACGCCTTGGTCTGTTGTTTGCGAGCTTGCTCGGGAGACATCTCTCCTTCTGCTACTAACTTATGCCGCTTTTCGTGTGCTTCCATACTCGAATAAACACCGTGAGCGGCGTGAATAGTTGCCACTGAAGCCAAAGTCGCTGTAATAATCTCCTTGCCGCGAACGTGCTTGCGTGTCTTCTCCATGTCCGCGGTACTACTACTGTCACTGGAGTTGCCGTCACCCTTGCCATTCGCGTCCTGGTTTCCGTTCCTGTCGCCGCCGCCACCGCCGGATCTCACCGCCAATGCGCCTGCACCAGCACCAGCTCCGGCGCCGGCCGCGGCCGCATACCGATTACCACCGCGAGCGAGAGCGCGATCGTCTTGACCGCCACGGAGCACGGGACCGTCTGTCCGGCGAGTACTGGCGGTATCTGAACGTGGTGAGCGGCGCCTGTCTCGTTGACGGGTGCGGGAGGGCACATACGAGTCTGAACTGGAGTTTGATGGTGAGCGTCTCTTGCGAGACTTGGAGCGAACCCGATCGAAGAGCGCCTTTCCAGCGACGGCTGCCGCGCCGGCGCCCAGAAGACCCTTGCCCAGAGCGCCGTTTCCACCACCTCCAGCTTCCGAGTTGCGGCCACGAGATTGCGAACGTCCACGGAACCTGTCGATTATGCTGCGGCTGCGGGAACGCGGGCGGCCATCCGGTGATACACTGCGACTGTCCCCGCCGCGAACCTGGGAGCGCGCGCCATTGGCGGCACGGTTGATACCCAAACCGCCAATGACTGCTCCAGCCAGGTGGCGCTTCGACTTCTCGCCGGGATCCTTGCCAGAGACGAGACCATCAATACCTCCGGCGCCCAGTGCAGCAGTCGCAATGCGCTTGCCCTTCTCTCCGGTCCAAGGTCCTGGTGTCTTGCGGGATCTGAAAGCCTCCACAGCACCTGCAACGAGCGCGGCTTGAGCAGCTTGGGCCCACTTGCGCTCGCTGTTGCCGCCACGAGACCGACTACGACCACTGCCGTCAGAGGAAGGTCCACGCCGACTACGTGCACCGCGGGACCGAGATCGGCCAGCGCGGCCACCACGAGACCCAGAGCGAGAGCGCGATCGATCCTTGTCCTTGTTGCCGCCAGCAAGACCGCCAACTAGGCCTCCCAGGCCAAGGCTTCCGAGAAGCTCACCAACGCCAGACTTCTTGCGCTCGCGGCGAGGTGGAGAGTTGGAGTATTCAGATTCGTAGTCACGATCATCACGCTTGTGTCTGCGCTCACGATCGTAGCGACCGCGTCCTGCGGCATAGCCTGCAGCACCTGCAGCTGCTGGGCCAGCATAGTCGGTGTAACGATCGTCGTCGCTGTAGTAGTCGTCGTCGTAGCGTCTGCCGCCCGTGCTCTTGCTGCGGCGAGGTGCGGAGTAGTCACCGTATTCCGATCGACGGGAGCCACGACCCGGTGGAGGAAAGTCGCGTGGAATGTCTTCGGTGCTATCGTCGCGTCCACGGTAGACCAGTTCAGCTCCACGAGGTCCGGGGCCCTTGCCGCGCTCAATGTAGACCTCCTCGCGCACCAGATCGGGCTCGTCTCTCTCACGTGGGCGCGTGCGAACCTTGGTAGTGGTTATGTCAGCTGGCGAAGTTGGATCCGGAACTGCCGCTGGTGCTGCGGTCGTGGCTTCACTCACATTGCGGTACCGCCGCGGCTCGTCGTCGTAGCCGTCGTAGGCGCTCATCGTGGTAGAGGTGTGGCAATGCAGTGAGGTGGATGTTGTGGCAAGTCGCTGAGATGTTGAGGATGTCTTTTTTTGTAGGTCCGCAGAAACACAAGCTTTGTGGACTTTCACTTCACAGCTGGGGCTGCCTGTTGATGTTCAGTGACGAAGGTTTGGAGGGGTAGCCAAGAGCCGGCCGATCCGCCGTGATTAGGATGCGAAGCTTACTGAGGTCCTGCGCTAGGAGGTAGTGGGGGGAAGTAATCAAATTGGTCGTGTGTGTTGATGAGGTGGAGTGGTTGGAGATGGAAGAGTGACCGTGTTGTTTCTTTCTTAGGGATGTGAAGCTGGTTGATGCTGGTGTGAAGCGAGCCAGAGTAAGAGTGCGTCACCTGCACTTGCAGATTACAAGGATTACAAAATTCGGGCCTCAAGGCAGAAAGAATGTGGAAGGGAAACCACCCCCCCTGTCACAGTCGAACCTGATTTGTTGCAATGCTGCACCTTTCAGCTGCACTTGCGCCTCGCTCCACATGCAGCAGTGGCCGTGTGCTCCCAACAGTGGCAGAAGTTGCCCAAAGGTGAAACTCACTACTGTGAAAAGGTGGTGATGATGAGGGCCAACTAATTAAAATCGTCGTCGGCACCGGAGGAAGAAAACTAATCTAGTTGTGCTCCTCGTATCTGCTTTTCCACCTCCGTGCCCAACAGCATTTCTCGAAAAAACGCAGGGAAAATCCCACCAGACACGGGCTCCACGATTCAAGAACTGCATACTCCCACGAGCCACGCTACGTGATTCTGGGCATTGAATGTCCGCCTGGCTGCATCATCCTTCAAAACACTTTCCGGACCGCATCCCGGTAGTGGCGGCGCCATGATGAAGGACTCGGAGTGGCCGCAGTTCCGCAAGGATACCCGCTATAGCGACAATTCCAACCTCAACACCTTCCAGACATGCATTCCTCGACCAACATCTTCCAACGATCGCAAGCGCGTCTGGGTGATTTACGTTCATGGCGGAGCTTGGTTCGATCCCGAGCAGACAGCGGCTACTTTCGACAAGGCACAGAGTTTACTGCTCAAATCGCCCATTGTAGAGCACGTCGCTGGTTTCGCGTCGATCAACTACCGTCTGTCGCCCGCTCCTTCGCATGCCACCAATCCTTCAAATCCCTCGGATCCAGCACGTAATGCAAGACATCCGGATCACGTCAACGATGTTTTGCAGGCCATTCTGCATCTACAGGAAACGTATGCTTTCCGAGACCGATATATCCTGGTTGGCCATTCCTGTGGAGCGTGTCTTGTGTTGCAAGTTGCCATGAAACGTTATTGGGGCTCACAGTATGAATCTACATCGGCGCTGGAGATGAACGTCACTCCTCCACTGGCAATCCTCGGGATTGAAGGACTCTACGATCTTCCAGCGTTAGTAAAGTATCACGAGAAGCAGCCTTTCTACCGCCATTTCACAGAAAGCGCATTTGGCAACAGCAAAAATTGGGCTGAAGGGAGTCCAACGAGTTCAAACCTGAACCAAAGCTGGGAGGATGGCAAGTTGGTAGTGGTGGCGCACTCGCGAGAAGACGAGCTGGTAGAGTGGGAGCAACCAGATCTCATGCTCCGGTCTCTCTCATCACAGGGCTTCAAAGACTCTGGGAAGCGGCGGGCCAAGCTTCTCGAGTTGAAAGGGAAGCATGATCAGGTGTGGCAGGAAGGTAGTGAAGTCGCGAGAGCGATAGAGTACACCATCAAGGAACTGTTTGTGATGTTGTGAGGCTGCTTGTATTGACAGTGTGCGGATTTTGCTGAGCGATGAGAACTTTCATGATACCCTATTATTGACGGTCTTTATAGCGAGCAAGACGATAATTTGATGGCTGCAATGTCCATCTCGTGTGGTCCACCTGTTAGAGACGACGCATCAATCATCGCGATCGCTTGAGTTATGGGTCCGTGTTCATCTCTCCTCATTGCGCCGGCTCCATGGCATGCCACGCCATCATCATACGTACAGACATCAACCAAAGCGGCAGCGATCGATCAAGTAACCTTCCAAAAACCGAATGCGTTGCTATACGATAATGCTACGTATAGCGAGCAAAGGAGAACTTCCCACCGCACATTCCAAAGTGGAAGGAAACCGCTGGTATGCATCGCAAGAAGTAGAAGAAATAACCCATCTCCAACCCTCGTACTGTGCGCAAACATTCCTTCGTTCATCGTGGACGAATTGGACGCGTTACTTTCTCTATGCAGAGGAGACGTGAGTCTTAAAAATTATGGGAGTTGTGGAACTCTCACATTTTTCCTCCTTCAAAAAACGGATGAACAATCATCAGCTGGCTCAAACGCGAACAGCGTCTCCATTCAAAGCGGCGTCCTGAGGGTCGGGTTTCCTCCTAGGGGCAGTGCCAGGCGCCGCCTTTTTCCGCTGAGGTACGTCCTTTGCCTGTTTGCCATTACTTCGCATCTGATCTGCACCAGCCTCCATGTCCTGGTCTTCCGCCTCCCCATCATCGATTTCCTCATTCTCATCCACCATGTCTGCATCAGCCATGTCGTTATCTGTCGTAGACTTGAGCAAAGCTTCTGCGAGAGCTTCCTGGTTCAGCGCCCAAGCTTTGCATTCATCCAATTCGTTGACATCCATAGGTCGGCTGCGCAGCCACTTCATGCGCGGACCGTTCTTAGCGATTTCGGCGACACGGAAGCCGTAGATTCGTGGTTCGTACAGGCTCGTTGCGCCCAGTCCCGGGGCAAGGTTCTTGGGTGCCACGCCGTTGATGGACTCGGGCTGCTTGGGTAGAGGGGCGTTTATAGGCGGAGGTGGAAGACCTGGTTGTTGTGATGCTAGAGATGATGAGAGTGAGGATCGCGATGGCTTGTCTGTCAACATACTGCTCTGTGCCATTGCCGCACTGCCGGCGAGAGGAGAAGATGTCGAAGTCTCAAGGGATGGTGCAGGCTTAGATCCGCCCACGTCCAGGTCAGGGAAGGTCATGAAAAATAGACAGCCAAAAGTGGTGCCAAAGAATGCGCCGTCCACTGTCTGGAAACGACTGTTGGGCGGRCTGTAAACATCCAGACAGCTCGGGCAGAATAGCTTGACCGTCTCCTGTCCAGGAATGTCTGAGCAGCCTACTGGGAGTACCTTTGCGCCATGACAATGCACGCGCGGGCAGTGTCCAAAGTGACCCAGCTCGTACTTTTCTGCCATTTGCTGAATGCCGGGTCTGCTGGTGATGAAGCGCTGGTGTATGAGGCCGTACAGCATCTCCGCTGAGCTCTCAATCATGCTCAGGTCGCTTGCCATGCGCAAATGTCTCCTCTCCGCCGCAGCCGCCGCAGCATCTGCCGCCCTCCTATATCCCGGCCGACCCAAGCCCTCCGCACCATCCTGCATCTCGTCCTCGTCTTCGTCTTCATCTTCCTCCTCATCTTCTTCCTCTTCGCTGGCATCTTCGGGTTCCACGTCCAGAATCATCTCCAACGCTTCCTTGTACATTGGCACCTGGCTCTGCAGGCCCGTCAAGTTGAAATCATCCTCGATGAAGTCCTCGGACACCTCGGCGAAGTATTCGTGGCCGACCAGAGAGCAAAAGGCCGAGATCCACGACTCTGGCGCCTGAGATGAAGACGACATGCTGTCGAAATCGCGGAGACCGAAAAGAGCGCACGCCTTATCTAACGCTGCACTCAGTCCGCGGTCGTCGGCGGCTTGAGCCGATGCAGCAGGCGGCTCTGGGTTGCTCGAAGAGGGCGCAGCAGGCGCGCCGTTGCTAATGGAGGTGGTGGAGGCAGTTGTGGTGCTGCCGGTGTCGCTGATCTCGTCGGCGACCTTGTAGTGGGCCAGCGCTGCAAGTTGACAAGTGGCCGAGCGGAGGTCGCAATAAGCGTGAAGTTGATCTGCTGAAGTTGAAGATGGAGCCGGAGTGGAGGGGCTTTTTACAGATGTTTCCCGTCTTGTGCCTGATGCTCGAGATCCGCGTGCTCGCTAGAAGTTGCTTGACACTTCTAATCAGACACGGGAGGAGTGTGTACCTAATCACCGCCGGAAATTCATGTTGAAGATTTGCTGTGGTCTGAACAGGCGAGATCGGATCATCAAGGGTCGTGGAGGGGCTGTTCCGGTATGAGGTGTAGTTCTAGTGGGGAGACGGGAGACTAACAGCAAAAGACACCCTTGCACGACTCATAATTCTTGATATTCATCTACTGACGTCCCAAGGTATCCATTCAATTTTAAGCAAGCCGCTTCAGAACAGCTCCTTGAGTATGTGCGAGAGACCTTCACCACCAGTGAAGTTCCCCATGCCATCGGCCAGGTAGTTCCCATCGTGGCCACTCATGGTGTCTAGAGCGGCATATCCCCCTGCTGCCTCAAAAAGACTTGTCAGATCATTCACCATTCCCTCGGGACTGCTACTGGATCCCGCGGCCCCATTCCATTGACCATGTTGCTGTGGGGTTCCGTTGAAGAGCGACATTTCATCCACGTTATGCCCAGCAAGACCGGCCATTGCCACAGCGGCCGAGCGACTCGGGTCGGGGTCCTCATTAGATGGAGCGTTATGTGCCGACGTAGCTACGGACTCTTTCATGGTAAGACCTAGCTTGGGTCYGACTTCCTTCAACACGCGAATTGTTTTCCACAGACGTTTTGACACCCAGCTGCCTTTGGAGAAGTTGCGTACAAGCTCAAGCGACATGTAGAACTCCTCTCGCACATTCTCGGCGAAAAGTGCCGGCGTATGACTGACCGCGAGGAACAACACAGCCAGAGCCGAAGTTAGGAACGCGTTGAAAAGAACTTGCTGGGTGCGGTAGAGGTCCGATGTCTGGTTGATGTTGGTCAGGACTCGCACTGTGTCCTTTGCGACCTCCACCACCGTTTGTGCCTGTTCACGATGGCCCATGATGGAGGTCGCCGAGTGTAACACAGGGCGGTAGATGTGTATACGCATCTGATTTGCTCGCAAGTAGAGCAGTATGCGCAGCCGGCGGGTTGCTCGAGAAGAAGAAGCAGCACCAGGAGTTGTCACTGTCCCGTTCTGTGAAGGGTGTTCAAAGCGAAGATGGGCGGGCACATTTCGATGCCATTGTATAACTTGATAGTCAAAGTAATTCATCTCTTCGGTGTTGATCGGTGCGCGATTTGGCGACGCTGGCGTGGATATTGATCGCCATACTTTGCTGGAAATGGACGAGTAGGTGATCATTGCACTCAAGTACGGTGAGCGTTCCTCGGGCTTTGGCAGTTGTGGGTCAATATCAGACTCTTGCAATGCGAATGGCATCCCAGTGCCAAAGCTCCAGCGACGATCCAGAACGTAAATGGCCCAGAAGAGGAGCATCGTGTCGGTTCTGTCATCGTCGTCTTTCATTGCATCGTACGTTTCTCTTCGGTGGAGTCCAAGTTCGATGCAGAGACGAGCTGTTAGACCTATCATACGCCATGAGGTTCCTTCGTTGTCTCGGTGAAACTCGTACATCGCCTGATAACGGTCAGCCTGGCAGAACAAACTCATGGACAGACAAGACCCACCGCCATCGTTAGCAATCGAACTCCTTTGATTCCAGCATTTCCAAGAAGCATATTGTCGATTGCAGGCTGTACATACTCAAACAATCGCTGTCCGAGCTCGCTGCGACCACATGCCTCCACAGTCAGCGCGGTAGCCAACATCAGCTTAAGAATGTTCGTATCCTCATCGTCAATCGCATCTGCTCCGGGCAAGTTCTGCCGCATCAGTCCAGTTCGATATGCTGCCTCTATGAATCGATACAGCGATGTTGCATGAGCAACCACTTTATCCACATCAATCACCKGGTACATGAGTCCTATCTCATCCTCGTACACCCTGCATAATCTCACTGCCTCGTCCTTGGGAATGCCCCAAATCGGATCTTTGTYGGTGACCAGACTCGGGACGAACTGAACGCTACTTTCGGGAGGTTCTGGTGTGACCTCCGTCGTGATAATCCCACTTCCCGTGTTGCCATTGACATCTCCCTCTGCCTGGCTTGTAATACCCATCGTTTCCAGACTGTTCTTAGCCACGCCGAAGTTGAAAGCGGAACTTGTCGGACCTCGAAAAGACGGCTGCTGGTTCTGGGACTGGCTCTTCCGACGCGCTACCCGCGGTGACATGCCCAAATTTGAGGCTCCAGGAGACGGCTGCATGTCAGAGAAAGAAACAGACCCACGGTGTGGATGCGAAGGATACGTTGTGTTTTGTAGCGAGGGATCGATGGGCGTGAGTTGTTGTTGGTGCTGCTGCTGCATTTGCTGGGCCATTACCTGGCCGCTCCCCATCTGTACACGCATCGCATTCAACGATTCCCAAAGCGCGTTCACCTGCTCCTGCAACATGGAAATATGTTGAGACATGTCCTTGAATTCCTGCGAGTCCTTGAAGCCATTACAGCAATTCGGCGCATAGACACACTCGAGAWTCAGATTGCCACATCGCTGGCATGGCGTCTCTCCATTACACTTGATCTTGCGTCTCTTGCACTGGTTGCACGCGATGGAGACATAGCGATTCCGGCGGGCCCGCTGTTGTTGCGTCTGTCCATCGTCGGCCTTGCGCTTGAGCGCGTTCCCGCCGTCGTTATTGTTGTCATTAATATTGCCATCCTCTTCGTCCGGATCCTGATCATGCAGCTGCTGTGCCATGGCGGCAATCTGCTCGACGGCTGCTTGCATTCCTCGACGGCGGTGCGGAATCTGTCCGTCCGAGGGTCGCGAGCGGTGGAGATTCAGTCGCTCTGCGGGGAAGACGATTTGGTGTGGAGTGCATGCGCCACGTGCGGGAAATTTGGCCGCAAAAGAGCAAGAACTTGACACACAAAACGCAAGTTATCGGTCGTTTCTGTTCTGTGATGTAGCACAGATGGTATTCGCATCTACTGAAGCCGGTGCGGTCAGTCATGGCATATCTCGACTGAGATTTAGACACATCCTCGAAGTAGGTAGTCCCGCGTTCTACATCGGATAGGTGGATCTACCTCGTCTTTCAGAGCGAATGTAACGATGGCCGCAGAGCTATCTTGCTCTCCATCTGCCTATCTGGCATCCCCGTGGGTAGATTTTCGGCCCACAGCGCTCTCGATACACCTACGCGCATCCGGCAATTTCTGCTGGGCAATCTAGCCGTACCACGATCGTGGTGCAACGATGTCTTCCTCAATCGAGACCACAACACTGGCTTGATGGTGTCCCATGAATCTCTTCAAGATGCGCCTGCTGCTGCTTGTCCACCCTGTTGTTGTCCAGTGAGCATCTTCTGTCTCAACACCTCCTCCACCACCCGCAGGTTGTTGGCCTTGCCATTGACAATGCTCTCCAAATCCTTGATGTTCTTCCCAAGCTCCTCAATCTTCACCTCGTAGAACTTTTGCGCATCGTCTGTAGTCTTCTCCACGTAGAACCCGGTTCCGACATCCACAACCACCCGCTCAGGATCCGCGAGCTTGCCAGGGACGTACAGAGAGGAGGTTAAAGGGACGAGTAAGGGTTTGTCTGGAGGAGAATTAGAGCCGAATATGGCATTGGGCAGCAGTCGATCTTCATCCTACCTTTCACACTATTTGCGACTCCATTCTTSATGCTCACGATACAATCCCGGAATTTTTGTTGCGCGGTTCGTAGGTTCTGGTATGAGTTGGTCAAGTGTTGGACCTCATCGTCGAGCTGTTTCTTGACTTGCGAAAGCTGTTGTGATGAGAGCGTTGCAAGATCGACTGCAGTTGTTATTAGCTGTTGCAGCATGAGCTTTGAACGATGGACTTACTCTGCTGGCCTTGTCCTGCAGCAGCCATTGTGAAGTTGTTGTGGTAGTATGGAGCTACAAATTGTGTTTCATTCATTCATCAGACGGGAAGAGGAACGGAACCTAGCCGCTAGCCCGATTGTTCTTATCGATAGGCGATCATCCTCAGCGACTCCAGCAAATGTTACTACAAAAGATCTTGGACAATGAATTGTATCGACTTTCGATTTTTTATAGCATCAGCATAAACATTGTACACGGAGTATCCATCGCTCTATCGCTCCTAGGGCGGAGTCAGATGCCGTACAACGCCGTACCGGACATTGTTCTTCTTCACCTCCAACATGTGTTCGTACCTTTTCGACTTCAGCTCCTCTTCGTCTTCTGGCAACGACTTGACCAAGGCCTCGAAGAAGACGGGATCATCTGCCTCGCACACTTTGAGATGCAGTACTTCGAAGACCCCGGGATAGTTTCCCGCGAATTGCTACAAAGCAGATTCTGTCATCGACAGTTTGTATAACGTTGCGAGGAGTGATGTCCATGTGCCCTGATTCAATTCATGTGGCTTCAGGTCCAGATAAACTGTAGGAMACGATAGCGCGAGCTATTGGTCTAACCACGTATTCATTTCGTTAAACGTATTGAAGGATCTGCCAGGGCCAGTGTCAGACCACAGATACCCGCATGGTACGCCGTCTTTGATAGGAGGCCCCGGACGGGAGAGATCTGGAGGCTTGATTGTCTCCAGATACTTCATAGCGTTTGCGACTCGAGGAGCAATCCTTTGCTTGTCATCTTTGGGAAGATCCTGCACTGTACGTCCACAGACGTATTCCATCACCAGAAATCCCGTTTCGAATATACCTTCTGTTCCAGGGACCATAAAGTAGTCTAGGACCTGAGGTATAACAAGGCATGAGTTATCGGCATGGCGATAGTGATACGCCTGAGTTTCGGCCTGTTGCATGTCGACACCAAATCCAAATTTCACCGCGATGCCAGAAAATCTGATGACTTGCGGGCCGTACTGGTTTCGATGGATCCAGGTTCCATCACCAGACCTACATCTGGATATGACCTTAGATCGAGCAAGTTCAGTGTGTGCCAGTTTGTACAGGTCTTTAAAGTCCAGTCCACTTGCTGCTTTCTCTTATCAACAATCACGTAGCTGGATTGAGGGTGAGCAAATCAATACCAGTGAGCGAGCAAGCTGCTGCTTTCATATGGACAGCAGAAGACATTTGCTGATAATATTGGTCAGCGTAACAGGGAGAAAGAGTAAAGCCTTTTAATGAGAAGTGCTGCATATGTCTGTCGTAAGCGTGCGGCATGCGTCTTTCGAACTTTCGATATCCTTGGCCTTCAAACTGCTTTCCTGAAAAATCGATTGAAAGCGCGCAGAGAACAATCACCTTTTCGGTCGCAATCGTCACCTCGAGTGTCTGTCAAATGTCTCTGTCGCTCGATTTCACCGTCGAGCCCTGAATCCTTCATTTTCGCGCCCGGTATCGGAGCGGTATCCTGATGCCTTGAACAAGCGATCGGGATATCCGATCGATCCCCATGTATGTCTGCTTCGTACAAGCCCAGTCGTCTCCACATCATGGTGGCATGGCTAAATTGGTGTCRAATCAATGAACCGGTGGTATTTTCATAGGGCAAATGGTCGGCGGTGTCAGTTCGAAGACATACGCTCGATGTGCAGCCAACGGTATCGCAGCATGTAATCGTTTCATGCTGCGCCCTGCAGGGTACTTTCAGGTATGTAGATGTGGGGACGATTCCGAAATTGAACACCGCATGCACAGCCGCATATTGGCGCAGGCCCTAGTTACTGTGCTCCAGGCTTCACCGGTGACCGGAGCTTTCCCAAGGTTCTCAGAACTCGAATTTCGTCTCTCAAATACAATGTTCAAGGCCAAGTAGGTAGCACACATAGATTGTTGGAGCACTGAAAGTAGCCTGGCTGAGAGTGTCCTTGGATTCGAGCCATGTTTCCTAGCATAAATAAGGCGCATTGAGGTCGGCTGAGAAAACTAGGTTGCAAGGACCAGAAACCTTGCAGTATGAGTCAACATTTTAGCAGCAAAATAATGTGGAGGTGGTCGAGGTAGGTGAGAAAGGGCCCGTGCCCTTGGTGTGCCGCAGCTGCCCGCCAATTTCGCATAACTTCAGTCCGTTCCCACTTCCTTCTTCCCCTCAACACCAACCAACACCGAACATACACATCACAATACAATCACAAGACAGTTATCATGGCTGCCTTTTGATTGTCGTCGTCGTCGCCCAACATATCTCACCAACCCCACCAACACTCTAACTCCACTTTTCGTCGGCCTCACGGCCTTCACCCAACCCACGTGCCTCGTCCACCAAACGACCACTCCGTGAACATTAACCCACCGCCCCTCACGGCTTCCCAACAACAAACATGGCTTCCACCACCAGTTTCACCAAGGCATACGCCAACACCCGTGTTCTCACAAGACTTCGAGCTCTACCAATCGCAGACCCTCCCGCAGGATCCTCCGCGCCGGGCTCCATCGCTCGATTCGACGCCGCATCTTTCGTTTAACACTGCGAACAACTTGTTCCAAGTGAACGGAAATATCACGTCTACGAACAACAGAAGGCCTCCTGTACCACTTTTCAATAACAACTCTACCGGACACCTGCCCACCCAAGCACAACACCAAGTACTACATCAAGCACAGAACCCCCCAGCTTTCACAATGGGTGCAGGTAATACAACATCACCTCACGTAGCAGTAGTCCCTATTCTAACAGCCCCTTTCTCAGAAATCAACGTCGCGTACGACGGAACCTTCGGTGACCTCGGCGCCGGAGGTAACATCGGAGGGGGCGCTGGCATGTTCAACTTCGATTTCGGCGAGGAGAGCTTCGACTTCGAGCTTATGCCTCAGAGCCACAGCTCTCTGGACAGCGCTGGCAGTGCAGCTCCTGGCACGGTCTCACCAAAGGACCTTTTCAATGACTCTATGCCCCCATCTGCCTCTTTCACAAACCTGACGACCCCTGGATCAACATTTCTCGATACCCCTGTGGAAGACTATGAGACTTCGCCCCTGTTTGACGGCTTGACGGCCGACAACAACCAATGGTTTTCGCTATTCCCTGATGCCCCACCTGCGCCAATGGAGAGGACTTCTTCGTCAAGCCAAATACTGGTCCACCCAGGCGGAGAGGGCAACMCTCGCAAGCGTAGCTCCGCACAGGCGTCTCCTAGCTTCAGCCCGGCTGTAAGACACTCGGATGTGGCTGGCGTTGCTGCCCGTAAGCGCGATAAGCCTTTGCCACCAATTGTCGTCGACGAGGCGGACCCCGTCGCCCTAAAGCGTGCTCGAAACACTGCTGCTGCTCGCAAGTCCCGTGCGAAGAAGGTCATGGAGAAGGATGACTTGGAGGGGCAGATCAACGAGCTGAAGACCCAAGTCGAGTACTGGAAGGCAAAGGCTCTAGCGCACGGAGCAGCTGATGAGGAGTAAATGCTCGCTCTCACTGACGGCATGTCATGAGAATCATCTCGAGGGTCCTCTGTGCGAATCATCTCCACTTTCACTTCGGAGAGCGTGGCACTCGAAAACGGCACTACCTACACTGGTGGTGGAAAAAATGTTTGTGTTTTGGAGAGTAATAGGCGCTTGTCGCCATGGCCATTCGCCACTCCATATCTCTTTACTTCGGGTTGCGGTCGTTGACTAAATGTCATTGACAAGTGTTTTCTTGTTTTAAAGCTCCTGACGTCTCCTGTTCCTGTCTAGCAGGAGCAGTCGATCGACTCGTTGCACGCGTTACGGACAGACAGAACGTAGCTCAAAAGTATTGACAGTTCATCCCTCGCGCACATCTCTCCACCATTTAGCGTGACCTGTTCCCAGAAATGTCGACCTTGTGAAGACTGCGATCTACATGATGTCGTCCTTGTACACGGAGTATCTGCGGCACGCGCCAATGCTGTCCTTGAGACTGTCGGTAGATCGACGCGATTGATCTGCGGGCCCGTGCGAGGCTGTGTACTTCACATGAGCGAATGGCTTGTGAAAGTGATCGAAGTAGGCAGGAACTTCTCATCATGGCGGACAGAATGGACGTTTCTTCTCCAGAATCTTCTGGCGAAAACATCACCACGCCAAAGGAACGGCAAACAATCGACCCTGCCGCGCTATCTCCCCCAGACTCTCAGCAGCGCAACATGCCCCTCAGTGCTTCGGGATCCTCACYCGCAAACTCCAACGGCAAGCGTCCGATCCAGACCATCAGTAACGAAAGCGACGAAGTTGAAGGTGGGCCTAGCTTGGCTTGATGAAGACCCGCATGCGCCGCGAAATCTAACATCATCCACCACAGAAATGGCCTCTATGGGCAACGGCGGCGTGAGCTTGAACGCAGGCAGCAGCAATCCCAGCTTTGCCGGTCCCAGGACTCATCCTAACGGCTACACATGGACACTCATGGAAGATGAGCCGGGTTACAAGTGGCAGAACAAAAAGGCACAGGACGAGTACAAACGCGCGTCCGATCAGATGGTACACAAGGACTGCATGATTAGAGGTGAGTTGCCCAAGGAATGTAATGATGACGAGCGAGAGAACTGATGTTGGATTTTTAGCCACATATGGAGATATCTTCGAAGTCGTCGAAAACGAACGGGCTGTTCTCGCTAGCATGCAGCAGCGTTGAGCAAGGCTGGGAGAAAAAATGGCTTGATGCAGCGTTTATTATGCGGCATGGGCAGGAGTTCAGGCACGTGGGATACCCAGTAAGACAGCAAAGGGTGCTGATATGAGAATGATTCACGAAGAAGACAGAACGTAGAGTGACATTATATCAGCCATTCAACCAGTCCATTAATGACAGGTGAAGTTCAGACATCAAAATCGCTTAGAGGCATGAGAAAAGCCATCCTGGCCATCGTCCAAAACGCCCGCGGCTTACAATAGTGCCCAGTGCAGCACATCCTTTGTAATGCTCCACCTTAGTCCCGAGCCATGGACTCAAACTTCTCCCGAATATCCTCAGGATGAACCCGGCGACCCGTACGATCAGTGAACAGACTCGCGACACGTAGCCACGAGTAGACACCATCTCGCGACTCCTTCAGATCCGTGATGATCAGCTCAGAGAGCAGCTGAAGCTCTCTGAAATTGAACATGTCGTCTTCCTGCAGTGTCATCCACTCGCCCATAGTGAACTTGGCTTCACTTCGGCAGCTCCCTGCTCTGCTTCCAGCTTTGCCTCCGGCCTTGCTTCCGGCCTTGCTCGATGGAGCTTTTGGTTTGGCTTCCTCTTTGGGAGCGCTCTCCTCCTTACCTGCCTGCTGCTTTTCATTCTTTTTCTTGWTCTTGTTGTGGTTGTTGTTGTTCTCGCCATTCTTCTTGCCTTCGCCGCCACCTCCTTTGGCGTTCTGGTCGCCCTTGGCCTTCTCCCCTTCAGCGTTCTTCATATCACCGCCGTCRTGCCCCTTGAGCTCGTGAAGTCGCCTGCCAACATCTTTCTTGCTCCGCCCATCAAGTAGAGCTGYGATGTTCTGATTCTTCTCTCCCTTCGACGACATTTCCAAGAGGATGGCGTCCTCGGCGGCGGTCCAATCYCCCTCCTGCAGCTTGACAGTACCTCCAGCATTTTTCTGAGACTCCTTTGAGTTGGTATCCTTCTTTGAATCATTCTTGATGGAGTTGTTCGGCTTGGAATCACCTTTGGTATCTTCAGATGGCCCACTGCTTAGTTTCTTCAGCTCTTGATGTCGCTGTTTGACCTCGTGAACCTTTTTTCCAAGCTCTTCGGCAACTGTGGCCCAAGGCCCACTGGGATTGTCGGCCTTCATTTTGAGCAATTTGGCGTCTTCCTCTGGGGTGAAATTGAGCTCGTTCTCGTCCACTGCGCCGTCCTTCTTCTCGTCGGCTTTTCCACCGTTGCTTGCCTTGTCATTCGTGGCACCTCCATCCTTCTTCGCGTCCTCGGGAGTTGCTTGACCGTCACCACCGCTCCCGATGCCGACAGATTTATCGCGATGCTGAACCAGCACCAGCTTGCCCTTCTTGTCCTTCGACACAACGCTGTGAGTGACGGATCCGCGAGAGCTATTTCTGTCTTGGGCTCTGTCGACAAGAGGCTTGCCAATGTCAGAATCAACAAGAGACACATTGAGCACCGAGCGCAGGAAGAATGGATACATATCAAGATGTGAGTGAGGATGTTTGTGATGTAGATGAGATAAAGAGAAAGAYGTGAGGTGCAGTGAGGTAGTGTAGGGACGGCATGGCATACCTTGGTTTCATTTCGAGAGGGACTGATGGAGACGATTCTTGGGCAGAGCGCGTCAATCAGCGAGACGTTGGGAAGCTGGCCGGGAAGCTTGTCCGCGCTGGAGGCTTTGCCTGCGATGTATGTGGCTAGGCGGCCCATGGCGCGTTGATGGGAATGGTACTGTTACTGGAGAAGCTTGAGGTGGAGAGGACGAGACAGTGCATCGAAAGAAAAGTGACCAAGCTAGACTTTTGCGAGTGATTGAACAACTTTCTAGATTTGGCCAATGCGAATGGACTCGACAAAATGAATACTGCTTGCCTCGTCTTTAAAAGTTCTTTGACCAGATTTACCTACATCGAGGTGTGAACGCGAGACGAAGTAGAGCACCTTCTCTGAAAGTCCTCGGGCTCACATTTGTGATGCTTTCAGCCATTGCATCGAATTGCCAGAGACGAGCAGCAAGAACCAGTAGCATTTGACCGCCTGGGATCCGCAATTTTCCCAACTCTTCAACAGCGTCCTGACGCGTCGCAACGACCCGCGAGGTTTCGACGGCCTCGTCGTGGCATTGGTCATAGCGACATCGTTCGAGACTCCGCATGCGCTGCCCGATCCTTATTCAACATACATTTTGTAAACAAAAACTCCCGAAACTGGTGCAAAGCAAACTATTGAGCAATGATGTTCGAGAAGAGGAGGGAGATGGATGAGGTTGGCGCGTCAAAGTATAGTGACTGCCAAGAGTTGTACGAGACCCTGGAGACACGTCCATCTTTCCTGTCCTCCCTACCTGCTTGCGGCTCCAGCATACCAAAAGACTCGCGATTTATCCGGTGTTCCCTTCGACCTTCTTCTGGAATATGGCGTTCTACACAGGATTCTTACTGGCGTTGCTGTCCCTCCTGGCTATCTGCAATGCGCACAACATCCAGCTCAAGGCGCACTCGCGGGAATGCTTCCACGAGGTTTTGCACAAGGACGACAAGATGACAGTGACCTTCCAAGTGGGCGATCGAGAATTCGGTGGTAGCGGAAACTTGGACATCGACTTCTGGGTATGCACAATCTTGGGGAAGAGCAAGCAGCAGAGGCATAGGATGATATGGCGTGCAATGAAGAAGCATTGAAGATAGACACGAAACGGTGGATACGTATGCATGGGWGAATGCTGACAGATATGGCACAACAGATCCAGGACCCAAACCTTGTCAACCTGCGCCACCAAACGTCTGTCAGCGCTGGAGATCACTCCTTCGATGCCCAGTCAGACGGCAAATACACATACTGCTTCAGCAACGAGAACTGGTCAGCGAATACAAAGGAAGTCAGCTTCAACGTCCACGGAATWGTCTACGTGTCTGAAAGTGAAGCTCCTCAAGATCCGCTGGAGAAGGAAGGTGTGTGAAGGTCAAAGACTATGCTCTGCTCCGACAAAGACTAAACGTGATCAGTACGCCAAATGACCGAACTTATGGCCCAGGTCAAGGATGAGCAAGGTTATATTGTTGTTCGCGAGCGAACTCACCGGAACACAGCTGAGAGCACCAATGCTCGTGTGAAGTGGTGGAGCATTTTCCAGATTGGTGTGCTCCTCGGCGAGGGAGTCTTCCAGGTATGGTGGCTGAAGCGCTTCTTCGAGGTAAAGACATCCACTAGCAATTCATACCACAAGAGGACTCTGAGCTGACATCATAGCAGGTCAAGCATGTAGTATAAGACGAGGACTATGGACCAGGAAAATTCCAGAAATGCGATGTACGATGTTTGATCGATTTGCATGAATTGAAGACGAATTCAAGCCACGCTTTATGCTTCACGGCCGTGTTTCTTCACATGCGGCGATTCTATCAGACGTCGATGCCAATGTTGATGCCGTGACACTCCTGGCCAGAACTAGAAATCGCAGAGCCATTGTTCGCTTGGTTGAGAGCCGACAATCTAGCCACTAGATGATCTCGCCAGGCTGTACGACTGTTCGTAACGATGCACAGGGCGAAACGAATAGTCTTGAATTCTYTACACAGACAATCTTCCTGAGATCGGCAATGGGTGCAGTATTTGAAATTTCGAATGAGGTCGTTTGGAAGTTGGAACATGTCCTCGATTGCTATGAWCTGATCAAAGATTTTCTCATGGCTTGGGCCAGTGCTACGATGCTTCCATTGACACGATACTGCTAAGCGGTGCTCTTAGGGTTAGTGTTGGGGTAGGCACATTTGCCTTTTTCGCGTGCAGCAACACCTGATGTAAGTGATAGGACTGGGCACGATGGATGCTGGGTTTCTCCCGTGTATGGAACGACTACCTTAGGTTGTGGTCATAGATGCGCGATATGTTACTCATTTCGTCACTTTAATGTTGATGCGATTGCCAACCAACGCGGTGCAAAACTCTTGCCCAAATGGAGATGGGGAAGATACTATGTAAGCATATGGATACCGTTAAGGTATGACTGCTCAGCGCATCCCTATGATAACGAAATCTATTGATAGCATTCGGGGTATCTTATAACTCATCAAACAGCTTCTTCAAATAAGGATCCTCACTCACAGTCGCGCGAGGTATGGGGTTCAGTGCAGTGATCGAGGAGGCAAGCTCGAGGACCTTTGCAACCGACGGTACATTGCCGCCGACAGCCCCGTGCTTCTTTGTGGTAAAGAATGCCACAATCAGAGCCACCACAGCAAGAAAGACAGCCCAGATGACACTCCATCGCATTCGACTCTTTTGCTTCTTCTCCTTTTCCCGCCTCTCATACGCTTCAACACGATTCCTGGCCGCTTCGAGTCTCTGCCCAATCCTATCTCTCTGGTCCTTAGAGCTCTTCAATTGTACAAGTAGCTCGTTGATGGCTTTCTCTTGAGAGTCGAAATTCTCGAACCCCTTGAAAGTTCCCACGGTGTCTTCCTCGAGTCTACCAGACTGTTCCCGAAAAGAGGTATGCAAATTCCGACTTTCCTCTGCCAGTCTCTGCAGACTTGCGACTGTGGACATCAACAAGGAAACTTTCTCCAGAATAGCATAATAGGTATCGTCCAATTGGCGTGTGCTGCTCATGGCGACTTCCTCCACATTTTTCAAGCTCTCGCGGAGCTCCTTCTGCCTTCTTTCGTTGTCCCTCTTCGCCTTCTGGACGTCCTCGGGCTGTATCTGGCGTCGTCTGGCCTGTTGTGCCTGCTGGGCTCTCCGTTCCTCTTCAGTTCGCCGCTGATTATGTGACGCACTGTTGCTAGAATGTCGGCTGGAGTCTAGGTGTTTCTTATCGCGACGCAAGAGGCTGTCGAAGCTGATCGGTGGCTTGAGCTCTATGGCTGACTGTACCACCTCTTTTGCACCATGTCGATGATGGTGATGGCCGTGAGAGCCGGTGAAGGCTCTGTTCCGCAAACCGTGAGAGTGCAACCGCTGGTGCAGGTGCGACTTCTCACGACGGTGCTCTTCGGGGGATGGAGGAWCGGTTTGTGATCGAGCAGGAGGTTCTGATGGTGGCACTTCTGAAGTTCGAACGGACGGTAGCAATTTGCGGAGACCTTCTGTATTGTTGGACGACATCATCGGCCGCGGTATCGCAGACCAGCTGCTCCACGGGTCGCTGCATTTGGAGGCGGTATTTGATTGAGGGTAGTTGGTTGGAGGCGGTCACCAAGTTCGAGGATGGTTAGTAATCCACGTCTCCACAAATGTCTTGCAAGCTTCCTTCTTCCGTTCTCAATCTTCATCTCCTCACTCACATTTGTTGCTATGACTAGAACCCCTTCTCCCTTGTTTGCGATCRTCGTGTCGTGTGCCAGAGGAAAGCCACAAAGCACACTTCACCCAACTTCTCTTCATGAAGATCATCAGTCTCCTCTAGACCTGGCCTCGCAAGGCCATCTTTGTGGACCGACAACAGTGCCAAAAGCATAACAAAAGCAATTCAAAATTTCACCTCCAACGACCAAATCCATGTGCATGGAAATATCTTTCGAATCTTGGTAATATACATGTAGCATTCAACAAAGGGTCACATTTCTACAGCTAGGATGAAGGAGAAGATATCAATGGATCGAGAGCGACGGGCCAGGGGAAGGGAAGTTACCTGGACGGACCGTGATGTACGGTTTAAATGAAAGACCGCGAGGCATAAGTCAAAGTCATGCACATTTGWCTGTGGCAGGTGACCATGCTTGAGGTAGACTCGTCAGGTGTCTGCCATTAGTGAGCACGTACACCGCGACACGAACGGATCGAAGAAACAATAAACGGTCATCACAGTAGGAGAGAAGAGCTCAGCTTGAAAGCCTTCCAATATTCGCGATTTCTATGTTCAAACGCTGATAGAAACAAAACAAAAACACCAGTAGCGAACTTAAGGATCATCTGTATCCAAGCGCAATGCAATGCATGAAACTTTCTAAGCTTATCCCAAAATGCCTGCCCTGTGTGTATCCTCAAGGCAACGCCGGCCAAGAAACACATGCACGCAAAAGGAAATACAATCCAATCCAATCCAAGCATCGCCATGATCATGCGCCCATCAATCATACAGAGGCTCCTGGCCTTTGTTCGGATCGTAAAATCGTGAGTTAGAGGAAAAGAGTGCAAAGAGATGCCTATGCTACCCATCCGAACCATCCGTTCTGTGCGTGGCGACGGACATGGGCGTGACGGAATTCCGAGCGCTTCATGATCTGGCCGTTCGAGCAAGTTGTACCCGCAGCGACAGCCTGCCAGACCACATTGCCATTGTTGCAAAGACCGAACTGGGATGCGCCGTTACAGACCAGAGCTCCGTTGGTGGAGCAGGTCGAGCCCGATGAAGTTGAGCCAGTGGCGATAGGAGCTGCGCCGGTGCCGGCTGTGGTGCCAGGACCGGAAATGCCCGCGCCAGAAGAAGGTGTGAGAGTTGGGTAGGAAGCTGGTGGTCCCATCGAGTCGGGAATCCCCGCTGGCGAGGAGGACGCTGGAGCAGCCGTAGAGATGGTGGGGATGGGGACGATRCTCAATGGGCTGTCAGACACGACAGCCGGCGAGGAAGGCGCTGGAGCTGCCGTTTGCATGGTGATCATGCTGGATGGAGCAGCTGTTTGGATGGTGATCATGCTGGATGGACCACCGCCATAGCTGGCAGGTGCTGATGTTGGTTGAGCTTCGCTCGCGGTTGAAGAGGCAGAAGAGTCAGCTGGAGGGCTGTTGCTGTCGGGCGATGCGGTCTGATAACCGGAAAGTCCTGAAGTCTGTGCGGCCGCGGCAGCAGCACAGCTTGGGCCAGTGGCCTCTTTGAGGATGGCGCCTGCGGCTTTCACAACGTCTTTGCCAGGGTTGGGAATGATAAGGTCTGTGCTATCAACACCTTGACACTCCGAAGGGGGGAGGTTGATCAGATATTGGTTGGGCAGACTGTCGAACGCCTCCTTGGAGTCTGAACCGCCAGAAATGGTTATTGGCGCGCAATTCATGTACACCTCACGGGTTCCACCTAGCTTGTTGTACCAAAGCCACGCAAAGGTAGCCTGGCCGTTGGGGAATCCCTTGGGAATGGTGAATTCGAATGCCAGTGGGTCGCCGCTACCCGTCGGGGCGCTTGGGCAACCACCTTCGAAGACTTTGATCGTCTTGAAAACTGATGAGGCGGTGGGCTCCTTGTCGAGGGTGATGGAAAGCACACAAGTGCCTCCAGCGTGAGTAGCGCTTCCGCTGAAAGTGAGTGGGCTGGGTACCCCGACAGTCATGTTGTTCATGGTAGTGATGTCCCACGGCGTGCCCGCTTTGTGCTGGCAGGGGTAATCCGACTCGGGGCTTCCTGGCTTGACGGGATGAAGAGGGCTGGTGGTTGGCTTGCCAAAAGGGACCGGCTCGTTGATGATCATGTGAGCGGTTGCGTGTCCAGCGAGAAGCAGGATTGCCGAGATAGAAGTAAGCATGTTGAAGACCATGTTGAAGGTTGGTACTGTTGCTGTGGTAGGGGCAAACAGTGCGTGTGTGGTTTGCTGGCGATTCTTGACCTGCTGAGAATCGACGTGGTTGCTGATGAGCGTTGGTGGTGCTGAGTTACTGTTTGAAGAAGTGGGTTGCTTGCCAGAAGCAGTTCGTAAGTTCGTGAGTATGCTGAGGATGCTTGAAGTACGAGGGGGTTGGAAGGAAAGTGGTGGAAGAGAACGAAGGAAAGTCAAGTGTTGCAAACGCGAGTGATAAGAAGAAACGCATTCACTGAAGTGACAATGGGGAAAAGTGGCACRATAAGAACAAACAATCTCATTGTTCCCGTGGCGTCTGTCTTGCAAAGTGACCAGGGGCGGCCGCGTGTTGGTCGCATTCACTGCTGCAACTTGCCCGCAAGGTCCTGGAGGTGGATCTCGCTGCAGCGACTCTAGACGAGAAGGCATGCCAATTGGATCTGGCGTCACGGTCGTTTGTGGTCTGTTGTTTCATTCTCGGCATCCAAGCATCGTCAAGCTTTGGAGAGACGCAGGCAAGCGGCTGCAGGTCAGAGACAGACGTTCACTCGAGGTCTGAGACACGGTCGCATCGGCTTGTCCCAGGTTTGCAGATCCACATGGGTCGGAGAAAGCACAATAGCCTAGCAAATCCACGCTGCTGTGGCCATAGGTTAGCTGGCGGTTGGCCAGCGGTGAGGTCGCACTCTCCCATTCCGAAACACACCACGAACTTTACGCGCCCATCAGTTCTGTGACTGGAGGTTGAAGGCAGCACTACGCATGCCGGTGGGACCATGGCAATCATGGCATTGCACATGGCCGCGGCACGTGAGATGCTGGTGTTGATCGCATCCTGGCGCACAATTGTGGTGGATAATAAGACGTTCAATGTCGGGAGAGGAGAGGAGACAAGCAACACCAGGTAGTGACGGCGGGAGGACGGCAGAGTGGAATGTGGGAACAGTGATTGATGGAGATGTTCGTCAATATTTGATGGGTCCCATCAAACGTGGTGCTTTTGGTCCCTTCCTTCAAAGTTCGCTTTCGCTGGCGCAAACGCGCCGTCACGTCTTCCTCTGATCTTCAAGGAATTGACAATCTACTCGCTGCCAGGCTGGTTCCTCTCTCACGCCACACCGGATTCCCCCTCAATAGTAGTGCTTAAGAGTCGCCGGGTCCACGCGATTCTGCCTGTGCGCCATTCCGCACTCCACGCGCGGCGGACCTTCGCGGTCTTGCCAGACGACCTCCTCCTCCACCGCGCATCATGGCCACGGCGGTGAATGTCAACCGGACCAATGCGCCACAGGCGTTCGTGTCCAGCTATGCGCCGCGGATCCGTACCTATGGGAACTCGCTGCTCACTCCAGTTGTCCYCCAGACCGTTCTGCCGCACGTTCGCACCACCAAACGCGGCACCACCGCCATCAACTACGCCGAGGAGTTTGAAGATGATAGTATTGAAGATTCAGATGGTCCCCGCCCCGCGACCGGTTTGCGCACCGCTMAGCAGCGGCAAGGTCCAGATCCGATGGCCGAGAAGGTGAAGGAGTTGGGCAAGGAGGTTCATGCGCCTGTCGATGTGCAGGGTATCTGGAGGGATTGGATGGGCAAGCCCAAACGTACCCTGACCGAGCGGCAGATGCATGTGCAGTCCGCGCTGCCGACCACCCTCATTCCCATCAAGATCGACCTCGACGTGGCGCCCTTTCGTCCCGAGGCCGCTCTGCCCACACCCAGCAATGCAAAGGACTTTGGAATCGACGAGAACCTACCAGCATACAAAGCGCCAGAACCCACCCTTCCCTACAGGCTAAAAGATAGTTTCCTCTGGAACTTGCACGAAGCTCTCATCACACCGGATATGTTCGCCAAGACTTTCGTCGATGAGCTGGACTTTCCCGTGATGAGAAAACAGAATATGATTGTGGAGATTGCGCAGCAGATTCGATTACAGCTCGAGGAACATGCTGCGACCGCGTTGCATCCACTGTTCCAGCCCGATGCTAGCCAGCAGACCGCGCCAGTTACGAATGCGCCTACTCCCTCCGCGAGGCCCGCCATATCTCGAGAACATTCGTCAACTCCTCTCAACACCGAGATCCCCACGGCAAGCCATCTACAGCCACCTCAAAATATCCCGTCATCTGACCCGTCCACTCCGATGGTGAACGGCTCGTCCACTCCCGCACTTGCAGCGACCGCGCAGCCAATGCCCAAAGACCCGTTGGCGTCTTCTGCATTGAACCCACCAGATACCCATCGTTGCATTATAACCTTGTCTATCAACATGCAGAACAAGCTGTACACAGACAAGTTCGAATGGTCCCTTCTTCATCCTCCTGGATTTCCGGAGATCTTCGCCAGACAAACTTGCGCAGACCTTGGCCTACCCGGAGAATGGGTTCCTCACATGGCCCATGCCATTTACGAGGCCAGCCTCCGACTGAAAAAGGACATGATTGATAATGCTGGCACCCTCGCTGGTGTTGTTGGGAGCGGCGTTGATGGATGGGGTGTTGTGGAGAACGAAGCTTGCGAGTATCACGGAACTGCCGAGTCCGCACTTGGCGTCGGAGCTGGCTGGAGATTCGACGAAGACGGTCTTGGAGCCGACTGGGAGCCAAAGATCGAAGTCCTTAACAAGGAGGAGATCGAGAGGAGAGAAGGCGATCGAGAGCGACAAATTCGGAGACAGCGACGAGAAACCGCACGATTTACCACGACATTGCAGACGAAGAGCGGTGGAATGGCGGATTACTTCTCCGGTGGTCTGGGTGCATCACAACAATCCCTGTATGGAGATGACGAGCGCATGGGACGTGGTGAACGAGCGAAGAAAAAGCGCAGGTTCAGGAGTCTGTCGCCTGCTGGACGCGACACACCAGACGTTGCCGGGTTTGGAGGCACTTCGAGCCAACTCACCGAAGTCGAAAGACCGCATTGGCATTGCTCGCATTGCTATATCTGGGGCACGGCCATCTGGGGTGTCAGGGATGGTCCCGCTGGTGCAAGGGTACGTTGTGATTCTGTTTCATTACATGAACTATGCTGACAATCAAAACAGACACTGTGCAATAATTGCGGTCTTTTATATGAGCGTGATAAGCGACTTCCGCCGTGGAACCATCGCCTCTTCTTACACGAGAAGAATCAGGGGTCCCGAGAAGCACACCTTCCACCCCAAGCGGTCGCGCCACCCGTTCGTCAAGTCTCGCAACTCCAATCGGACRTTGCGTCTTTCCCGCAGTCCACACCCACGCAGTCTCGCTTTGTACGCGATGACCCGGCCATGTCCTCTACGGGCGGTCAGGGCCAGATCTCAGCCAGCACGCTAGCCGACATCGTCAACTATGCAGAACCTGGCGAAGACCTCGACTGGACCAAGATAGTCGAACCACGGGAACGAAAGCGGCTGCAAAACATCATCAATGGACGGAAGTATCGCGAACGTCGTCTTGCAGCAGAGGGTCATGGAGGAAGCGGTGGAAACTACCCTGGCGCGTCTGGCGTTGGGAGTTACCTTAGCCAGGTGAGTATCTACGGCGCCACTTCATCAGATTCAGTTACCTGACTTTGGGGGTTAGGGTTATGGACAGCGTCAGTCCAGTCAGCAGAATACTACTTCTGCCGCGCAGACTCCCGCATGAGTGAGCGGTCGACGATATTTATGATGAAGCAGGTATCGAACCGGTCGACCTTAGGGCGCCGACATTCCAATGTATTAGCGGAAGTKTAAGAACAGCAGGCGATGAATCTGAAAAGACAGATAAAAAGCCTCGTGAAGGCAACGATGTTGTATCTCGTCAATGTCACGTTCGTCAACCATATTGCGACAGCAAGGCTGATGGACGATATTACTACGATAATTGAGGAAAGACCACCGATTTCCCACCGCTCCTCCACTTGTTACACCTTTGGACACTCTCTAATCGACTTTCCCCCATCCCAACATTTCCAAACTTTTCCCCTCACTAATGATTCACATCTAAGTCTCAATGGCAGCTCTCTTCACCAAAGGCTCGCTTTCACTCTCGGGAGACTATAAAACCGCACTGTCAGCTCACGTCGACCTACAAACTCATCTTGGATCACTTACATCTTCTGCCTTCCTCTTCGCCCCGCCACTCGCAGCATCAACCACAGAAGCTTCCGCCGTGAACCCCGGTTCAGGAGCGACGGCCGGACTTCCTTTCTGCCTCAATCCAATCCCTCCGATGACATTCCGGTCCCCGATGACTGTGATGCCACAGTTGATTGTCAGATCTACTTTCAGTGCTCTCGGGCGTTTAACAGCTTGCGTTGTTGATGTTGTTGTTGCAGACGCTGAGATGTCGGGGGCAGTGATGTGGTGGATGACTTGCAAGAGAGAGGTGCTGAGTTTGGTGATTTCTGCGAAGGGTGGTGGGGGTGTTTGAACGAGGTTGTTGCAGCCGTGAATGCTGGAGGCGGTGTTGATTGTGAGGGTTAGGGGTTGATTGGCGAGTCTTTCGTTTCCCGGTTCGACGTCTTCTTCGTCGTCGGAGTCGTTGTCTGAGTCGAGGGTTTCTTCGTAGGGTGGTGGGTCGATGAGGTTGGAGGCAGTTTGGGGTTGCATTTGGGGCGTTGGGGTGGGGAGGTAGATTGTTGGGAGCATTGCTGTCCAGGCCAGAGTTTGGTCGTGAAGCTCGGAAGTGGAGTGGTAGACTGTGGAGGTCCGCAAGTTATATTGATGGGGGTTGTTTGGTTCGCACTCTGGTTCTTTCTTCTGGAATCGTATTGATGGGGGAGAAGGTGTTGCCTGCCAAGAAGACAAGAGCAGGTTTGTATATTTATTTGTGAGACTGCTGATGTTGTGCTTCGAAAAGCAAATGAATGATGAAGAATGAGTTGGGATGGAAATGGAACTGGAAGGGAAGTCAACTTTATACCGCTTCGAAAGTTGGTCACAATAGCAAGTCGACAATAGCATGCATTGATGTACCAATCGGGCAAGCTCAGCTTTTTTTTTCCTATTCAGAAACGCCTGAGAATTACAACTCAGGGTCACATGAATCTTGCATCATACACTCGTCGTTCCAATGACAGGTGCTGCTTCAGATCTTGCGTGGTGTGGTACTGTAACTACAATAGTAAGGTAACGTTACTACTTGCGAAAGTTTCATGGACAATATGAACAGAAAAGCACGGACCTTTTTGACCAGCCCTCCTTTCCACCAACATGACACATCAGTCCTTGAGTGTTCTTCATCACCTCGCCTCTTCTTGACAACTATCAGATTATATGCGGTGGGTCGTGAACGCAATCCGAAGTGCTCGCTGCTTCTCGCATTTTCAGTGTAAAATGAGTCTCATTCATCGTCGAGGCATTTTCAACCGAATCCACTGTGCCTCTACGAAGCACAAACCCGGGTTTCAAAGTCCGTTGCGATGATTGACTCCTAGTCTGCAGTTTTCGTTCCCAAACTTGATCACTCATCGCTTTTTCACTCACCATATAGAGGTGACAGGCTCATCGCGAGAGCGAAGGAGGTTGGTACGCGGCCCGATCAACTCTACCATGAGCGTGAACGAGATACTGCCCGACGAGGTAGCAAAACAGTAGTTTGGCGGCGACCTTGTCCGCTCTTTCAACGGCGTCAGCAATTCGACTGCTTTGGCTTTTGGGTTCAAGCTTGGCAGGTTGCTTGGACKTGAGCGTTGTGTGATCTGTTGGTTAGAGCATCATCTCGACTCTCATATCTTATGGACCACATTCTTGTCGATTGAAGTGCTTCGTTGATGGTATCAAGGACGCTTGTGGAGTTTGGTAGCGCCCGCAGATCTCTTGTTCCAGGCCGTGGGTGGAGAGAAGAGTTTGGGGGGCGTGAGGACGGACAACCCATTAGTTGCGTTCAGCTTGGCCGGTAAGTTCATGGTCGAAAGGCCATACTAATTTGGTCTTGAGTGCAGGGGAGATGGTATAGGAGAATGTGATACTTACCCAGAATGTTACTAGTCGTTAGAAAATGGGACAGGGACAAAAAGTCTGAGGCTGTAGGAAACTTCTTTTCGTCCGCTCATTCGAGAAGTATCTCGCTTACCTGCTCGATGTGAGTATGAAGGTTAGAAATATGAGTCGAAGAGTCAGTATTCCGGACTTGCACGGAAGCWCAATGACCAAATATTCACAAGAAGCCTCATTTCGCCCCCAACCATCACAGACCAATGTCGTGTTGAAGACAGTTGACGCAGTGAATATATCGCACATTCCTGGTATATGTGCCGTATACCACATCACGCCGCTCTTTCGTTCCATTAGATTAATCTCCGCCATCCGGCTCGCCAATAGCCCATCACCACTATTCTGAATGCCACTTCTTTTCTCGCACGTACATTTCTCGGCCTTCCTTCTCCCGAGACCCGTCGGTCTCCTCTTTGAATGCCCAGTATTCGCGAAGTCGGTGCTGAGCATAGCTGGCGTAGTCAAAGTCTATTTGACTAATCTCATTCTGAATCAATGCCCATATTCCCCAATATAGTCCAGGAAGACCTCTGAAGGATTCCACCTGATCGAAGAGCTGATCGATGTCTTTCTTGAAGTCAATCTCAACAGCGATGGTGTCATTGTCGGAAATGGAATGGTAGCGGTAAGAAGCCACATAATGTTGCAGGAACTCTCGCCTTTGAGACTTTGTGGGAACCTGGCTGTGGTCGCACTCAAAGCCGCACCATTCGGCGAAGTGGTTTGCAATGTCAAATGCTGCGTGGCCGGGAGTGGCATATTCATAATCAATGAAATTGACTGGCCTTTCTGTGGACTCGCTGCTCGGATCGACGGCAGGTATAATCACATTGCCGGAAAGGAGGTCGCAGTGGGTGAAGACGTAGTCTTTGCCGTCAAGACCGGGTGTGTCGCCAAGTTTAGCAGAAACAAGATCAAGCTCTGCCTGCAGCACTTGCTTCTGCTCCTTCTCCTTTTCGGTTTTTACAGGAAGCACATCGACCCACTGTTGCATAACGGTCCACGTATTTGGCTCGGGTCGAGTGTTGTTACCATTCGTGGCCGCCAGGTGTTTTGAGTCCTCTGTTTTGGTGGCCTCGATTATCGGCGTGGAGGTAATAGTAGAGATGGGTAGACAACCATGCCATTGCCCAAGTCTCTTTGCTACCTGACGATAGACCTCAGGCTTCCGAAGATCTTCAGGCGTGCATACATCGCCAGCAATGTAGGAGTACATGAGCCCATTGTCAAATCTAGCAAGTAGGGGTGGTGCCAATCCGAGATTTGCCAACAAATTGTGAGCGCGAAGCTCCCTCTCGCGGTCAATAAGGACCTCGGTATCTTTCCCGTACGCTCTGATGAGTATGGCGTCTTGATCCACTTCCAAGTCTGTTTTGCCCGGACGCCGTTTAATTGCCTTCATCAGGGTGTTGGTAATGCCTTCCGTGAAGCGCACCAACTCGATCGCGCCTTCCTCATTCTTCCACTCCGGCGAGTACTGCTCAACTAGCAGCAAGGCACTCTTGTCAGGCTCAGTGGTATCGAAGGTAATCGGTATGTGTYGTAAAGCCAGAGGTGAGTCGACCTGATCTGGCCGGCGGGCGGTGGACGCGCCCTGAGGAGTTGTGGACATTGCTTGTATTCTGAGGATGTGTAGCACTGCTTCTCATAGTATGCCGCTAGCTGGCGAGGGGTCGCAATCGACAGGTTGCTGCCGCACGGCGTGTAATTGCGCTCGACTTGTCGTTGATGAGAGAGAGTGAAGGGAACTGGTAGAAGGAAACCTCGGGCATGTAGGACACATGTAGTCTGCTCCAGTTTCCTTCGGTGGACCGTAACTCAGTGTCTTTTTGGGGAGATCATCGGACCCTGGGAGCGGGGGCGAGGGCGGCAGCCGCGTAGTAGCGTCCTCGACAGGAGACCGCCTGCGATGAGACCACGAATGAACCAATGATCCGCCCGAGATTGCACCCGAGCTGTGTTCTCTTTTCAATAATCTCCTCGCATTGCTTTCATTAATCGCACTGTGTGTGAGTGTTATATTGGCCAGCAATGGAAATGGGAGGTGTAGTCTGCTCGTGGATCAGGGGATCGTTGAGATGAGCTTTCGCCTACATGACGGGAGCTTCAAATGCCTCAAACCGCAGGTCAAATTGCGGACCCTCGAATGGATGCTAAATACCTGAACATCAACAGACGCATATGTTGTTATCGCCCTCAAGGTCCACCCTCCCTTGGGTCTCGAACTCCTTCTCCCCGAGACCCACTCTCTTCTTCGATGGAGCTTGAGTGCGCATGGGTTCAAGAATTGAACCCCTGTTCGCCAAGCCGGCAGAATATGCTCGTGTGAGGATTCTGGAAGAAGTGGCTTGACATGTGACAATCGTCATACTTGATGAAAGCCAAGGACATGCTGTCGTTGCCGACAGCTTGTGTGTGGCACAGGTGATCAATCGTGAAGGTCACGAGAGCAAATTCGACAATCGAGATGTTCTTGGATCGTCCCCACTACGATCTGAGAAGAGGGATGAAGTGTGAGATGATACCCATTTGAAGCAGTAGCCTGCAGCGCGTGTATGACTTCATACCGAGCTGTGAGCTGAAGTCTGTCTGCTACTGCCAACAGAACCAATCCAAAGCAACGTCGTTTCAATGCCCATAAAGCAATACCAAACCCTAGAGTGCGAGACCATTCGTTACCCAGTTGACGCGACGCAACTTTTCGAAAGGTATGCTCCAGATGCACGCTGAGCCGCGCAGGTCTCCTTGTCTCCATAGAGACGAGCACCTCCAAGCCGCTGCTGGTGCCATGTTTCCACCGCACCTGACGATGAAGTGGAGATCCCTTTCGCGTTCGTGCGGAAAGTAGTCATCTTCCCTCCATCCACATGAAACAAACCATCAAATTTTGATGGTGTCCATTCTCACGCAATCCGCAAAATGCCAAGTTCCTTCGTTGGACGGCCTCTCGATCGACTTCTCCTACGATAAAAGGCAAACTCAGGCTTCTCCTTCTTGGGCTCCAGCAGCAATTTGCCGCTTCGTAGCCGAGAAGTGTGCTCAAACAGAAGCTCTGTCTCGCGATGGTCCATGTCCTGGAGAATGATGATGTATTCTGAGTTGGTCTGTGGAGCAGTCAGCAAACGATCTGAAACGAGCGCCAATTGTGCAACATACCGGGTCGTACTTCCAAGGAAGCTGGTAGTACCGCAGCGTCTCGATAGAGATGTACTTGGTCTTGATCTTCGGGTAGACGGGTGCTCGCGGTGGTTGAAAAGGATCGTCTTTCTTCTCAACTTGTGTCTTGAACTTCTTGGCCTTCTCCTCGTCGACCATTATCTCGATGGTCTTGTCAGTATAGCCGAGATTTGCGAGACGCTTGCGCATCTCGCCTTGGAAAGCGTCCTCTGCTTCCTTTGCTTCCTTTTCTGCCTTCTCCTTTTTCTCCTTTTGCTTGCGCAGGAATTCGTTGTATACGCGTTCCTCCTCATCCTTGGCATCCTGCTCGCGCTGCTTGAACTCCTTGTATTCGCGCTCCTTCTTCTCCTTTTCTGCAATCTTGTCCTTCTCCAGCTTGTCCTTGATCCGCTGCTCCTCGGCTTTCTCCATCTCTTTTCGTTCGCGTTGCTTTTGCTCAAATTCCGCTGCAAGGCGCTTCTCTTCCTCGGCCTGCTCCCGGAGCTTTCGCTGGTAGTTCTCGAGAACACGCTGCTCGTTAGACTTCGCTTCCTCAGCTTGCTCTCGAAGCTTTCGCTGGTAGCTCTCGAGAACACGCTGCTCGTTAGATTTCGCGGCCTCCTCAGCCCTCTCCTTCTTGGCGGCCGCCTCCAGATTATCAAGCTTGATCTTGGTCTCAATGCGCTCTTGTTCGAGCTTCCACCTTCGCTCGCGCGACTGCTCCTTGAGCTCCTCTTCACGTTTCTTCAGCTGCCACTCAGCGAGTCCGGGGAAAGCACCTGGCATGACAGAGGCGTCAGAGCGTCCCCTCGACCGGGATCGGCCATAACGATGCTCCAACGCCATCTCAGCTAGGTCAAGCTCGAGCTCGTCGCCCAGCCGATCGCCTAGACGTCGTCCGCGAACTTCTGGTGAGGCACGAGGAGTGACCCGTGGGGAAGATCGGGCGACTGGATAAGGCACTGGGACATGCATTGGGTACATTGGCTGATGCATGTAAGGTGGTTGAGGCATGTAAGGCGGCTGAGGTGAAGGTGATCGATTGTCGTTGTCCTGGGCCATGCGATTGTGTATGTTGATCACAGGAGCCGGGCCGTGGCCGGTAGATCGGCTTCGATGCAGACCACCAGAGGTAAAGCCTGGATCGAGGTGTGCAGTCCTACGGTAGTCGCTATAGTGATGGTGAGGTGAAGGGCGTCGTGAGGAGTCGTAGTCGTAGGCACCATCATCGCCGTAGTAGTAGGGTAAGGGAGGCATCTTGATCTTAGTCAGATCTCAGACGACTATGAGTGTGGGTTGCCTGATTGTCGCGAGCAGAAACGCAACAGACCGGTGAGCAGATTGACAAGTCTATTGGTTGGGGCACCCGCGTGGTCTTTACGTCTGGATGCGTTTCTTCTTTACACGTGGAATGGGTGGAAAGGATGGAAGGAAGAGGAAGAGAGGGACAGTAGATCTCGAAGGATTTCAGCCTCGTCCACTAAGCCCGTAGTGCAATGCACGTCTCAGCCGCGGTGGGCGAGACATACAAGCAGGAAATGGCTTGCTGCTCGGCTAGATGAGTCAACCAACAGACCTACCGTTATTAGTCTCGACCTGCTGTCGGAGGAGTGCGCGTTGGCTGCATCCTTCGCTCATTGGTTTTAGGGCAACCCGAACGTTGTGATTAAGACGCTTGCCCCGCGTCGCGCATGGCTCTACGTCTGATGAAGATGCAGCCGCCACATGTACACGCCGGCATGTGTCTGATCTGTCCGGTCACTGGTCCCAGCTGCGGCTGCTGACCTGTGGGAGCGGCTGTTGGGTTTGGAGCACACGCAGACTGACCCAGGTTGTTGGACATTTGTTGGACAAACCGGTGCAGCGGCGGTCTGCTGCATGTTCTAGCCGAGAATAGTCCTAGTTCAAGGCGTTCCACTGCACGCCTGGGGCTGAGATGTTGTCCCGGAATTTGTTGGCTGGCTCCTAGACATCGGCATGCCACAGTGTAGCTTGAGGATGTGCCGGCCAGAGAGGTGCAGCATCCGGAATGGTAGGTAGGAGACAAGAGGAGTGAGAAAGGTAAGGTAAGGTATGCTCACCGCTGGTCACGAAAGGACCCCGAAAGGCCACTTCAACGTCACTCGAATCTCAACCTTGTCCATCGCGAATTTTGCCGGCGGTCGCCCAACATTTACATCAGGCGTTCTTGTCAACGAAATCTAGAAGTTGCGATGAAGTCGCGACGTAAAGACGATTTCCGAACAACTGAAACATCTGTGAACTCAATCTCAAGCACACCCTGCACGCTGAGCTATTGCATGATGTAACGCTTTCTCGCGTCACGGCAGAACCAGACGCCACTCTATTTCCATTCCATGCCTTCCTGGTTGTTGGTATACAATATACAATGCCTAAGCCTCGCTCCGCCACTATTGCAACTCGAATTCGTAGAACACATAGGGTTCATACCCTTCACTTCCACCACCGAACCCGGTGGCAGCCATTTCCTGCTGCATATTGCTGTCATCCTGCTTGGGCTTGCCTTTCTTGTCCTTGCTCATTGCATTACCGCCCAAGTCCGAGAAGCGCGAGTCCAGAGATGCTTTCGCTTTCTTCGAGCGCTTGTTGTCCGTCTACACCAAAATTAGCATGGGCGGTACCGACCACATTTACCCGGTTCAACTTACCTTGACCAACCCGCAAACGTACTCGAGCGGCAGTCCGTATCGCAAGACCGTTTCAACAAACACCCTCAAGCTCAGCACGTGTATCCAACTCTGCACAGCATCACTGTAGCCTGTCCGCCCCAATCGCAATGCTTCTCCCCACACTCTCCGCTCTTCCTTTTCCAGCTTCCGCAGCTCCTGCTCCTCAGCCTCCCGTCCGCCTTCTGTGAACTTCATTTCTCGTGGTGTCCACCTGTGCTCCCTGCACTTGTGCACAAACTCTGCGGAGTGTTTCTTAAAAACAGTGACGGCATAAAGCTGAAATTCGTCGTCCTTGGCCAGCAATTGTGCGCTGCGTGGAACGACCATAGGGGCGACCGATTCATAAGTCTTGAGGAAGTCCTTGATAAGCTGGTTGGGAACAGCGACAAGGTGCTGCTGCAGGTACTCTGAGTCGTCGGGTTTAAGAAGGGAATCTGGGTTGACCACGCTGACAAGAGACTTTTGGGAGAGGTTGCCAGTGTGTGAGCGCTGCATGCTAGCCAGGTTGGTCTTGGTTGTGTTGTATTGCTGGAACTTTGCCTTGACATCGTTGTCCACGGCGGCAATCTCCTTTTGTAGGGTGTCTACCAACTCGGCGATGGGTTTGTCGGACCGGTACTTGACCTTGTTCCATTGGAAGGACTGAAGGTAGTTCTCAACGGGTCCTAATAGATGTACTTAGCACGCAGACTCTTGCATGAGCCAGCCGGATCTGAGATCATCACCTACTATCATTGACTACCTTCTGCTCTTGCAGCTTCTCCTCATCACCCTCGAGCAATGATCTTAGCGAATCTGCCACCTTCTCTGCTACTCCTTTACAGCCCTGCTCCAGCTTGGCCAATTCATCTGCCTGCTGTACCAATGCATCGAGCGTGCCAATTTTGAATTCAGGGATGGCAAAGGGATATGTGGTGCCGTTGTCGTTGGAAACAGCAGAGCGGAGAGTCGTGAGAGCTTCGTCTCGATCGCCAGACGGTGTGATGGAGATTGGCAGCGAAACGAGGAAAAAGGTCTGTACCGGCATCGTGCTGGAGGCCGAAGGTGAAAGAAGGATAGTCCGTTATAGCTAGCTAGCCGTGAGTTGATGGACTCGTCTGTTTCTCCAGGTTGGGTTGGACAGCAACACGAGACGAGCATCACAACTGACGTCCGAGCGCCTGTCCACCGAAGCTTGACAGTGATGTGGGGCTCTAAAAAGGCCATCAGACCCGACTTCCAATGCACTTTCGGCCTTTGATACCTAGCCGGACCTTTCTTCCTCTCTAGGGAAGCAGGAACATGGAGTAAGAATACAAGTATCGTGACCCAACCTAGTCTACTCTTACGGAGTTGTTTGTGTTTTGCAGCGTTCTTTGGCGATCAGTCCGCACACCTCACTCTCACTCTGCAAGGCCACCAACAACATGTCGGCCATCAGAGCTATTCCGCGGACGGTGCTCCCTCTTCGGAATGCCTTGAAAATCTCGTCTATGCCTAGCCAGAAGACCGCATCCGCAGCGATTTTCCGTCAATTTTCGACCCGCCCTTCTGGACGAGAGAACTATTCCAGATTTGCAACCAAGACGAAGAGCTCATTGCTCCAGCAACAAAAGCGAAATCAGAGCTCCAGGGTGACTCCTGTACCAGAGTTCTTCACAGACGCAAAGCCAGGCAAAACCGATCTTTACGATCTTCATATCCAACATGGCGGCAAAATGGTTCCCTTTGGAGGATACAGCATGCCTGTCCAGTACTCCGACCTTTCCGTTGGCGAATCCCATGCGTGGACACGCGAAAAGGCCTCTCTTTTCGATGTTGGCCACATGGTGCAGTACCACGTCGAGGGTCCCGGCGCCGAAGCATTTCTCGAATCCATCACGCCCGCTGGACTGAAGGAGATGAAGCCCGGCCAGTCATCGCTTTCCACACTTTTGCATCCCAAGACAGGTGGAATCGCAGACGACTGCATCATCACTCGTCTGGAAGACGGTCCCAAGCACCTTTTCTACCTTGTGACCAATGCTGGATGTAGAGATAAAGATTTCGCCTATCTCTCCTCTGCTATTGAGAAGTGGGAGAATACTGTCAACCCCGTTGTTAACCTCCGGCATTTGCAAGCTGAGGATGGAAAGCCTTATGGACTCATTGCTCTCCAAGGTCCTCTCGCTGCAGAGATTCTCCAGTCTACGCTCAGCGACTCGTGCAAGGTTGACCTCAACCAGTGRTACTTTGGCAATCAAAAGTATATCACACTTGCCCTACCGTCAGGAGAGTCTCTCCCAATCGTTGCGTCTCGTGGCGGCTACACTGGCGAAGATGGCTTCGAGCTCAGCATCCATCCATCTCAGACTGTTGAGGTCACCAAGTTTCTCATGCAGACCGCGACTCCAGACAAGCTCCGCTTTGCTGGACTTGGTGCGCGTGACAGCTTGCGTCTAGAGGCAGGCATGTGTTTGTACGGCCATGATTTGGACGATACCACGACGCCTGTGGAGGCTGCTTTGRGCTGGATCGTGCCAAAGTCACGCCGTAGTGGCGAAGGTGCCTCGTTCAACGGCGCGGAGGTGAGACTCATCCTGCTCAAAAGTCAGACATCTGTGGCTAACCTATTGTGCTTGTAGACTATCGTTCCACAGCTCACACCTGTATCGAAGGGAGGCGTTGGCGTCTCTCGTCGCAGAATCGGCCTGATCGTTGAAGGCGCCCCCGCTCGGGAGGTAAGTTTCACGCAGCATCAAGAACCCCAGTTGCGAGAATGCATATACAACACATTCTGACATGTTCTTCATAGGGAGCGGAGATCCAAGACACAGAGGGCAACMCAATTGGCAAGATCACTTCAGGATGCCCTAGTCCAACGCTAAAGAAGAACATCGCCATGGGCTACATCAAAGACGGCATGCACAAGTCGGGCACCGAAGTCAAGGTGGTGGTCAGAGGCAAGGCACGGAATGCTGTGGTAGCGAAGATGCCGTWCGTCCCGAGCAAGTATCACAAGGAGCGATGATCGATAGGTCTCATGTTGGTAAACTTATTGTATTCAACGCTCTCCTGGGTATCACTTGTCCGTTAACAAAATCCGGAACGCCCAAGCCACATTCGAAACACCACGCCTGCGCTAAGCCTCGTACATTTGAGGTAGAAGCAGCCACTCCAATCGTTGAAGTTCAATCAATCCCACTGTAAATGCGCCCCTGTATTCGATCCCTGCGCTGGTCTCATCAATGTGTCTCCCACCATAGTCCCTGCCTTCCAGAGCCATCCACTCTCTCTTGCCTTCCAACCCACAGCATCGACAGCAGCCATGTCCCAAATGAACCCTACTTCACCTGCGGTGCAGGTTCGGGCATCACCAATCTACCGTTAACGACCGATCCGCTGCCCCTACTGATCGCAGTGTGAACATGCTTGACACTATCCTCGGAAGATGACCTGCTCCCGGCATGTTTGAGAACTCCTTTGGCGGGGCGAGGTCTGCTTCGTGATGGTCGAAGCGCATGGGCCGGGACAATCTCCTCATCGGCAAATGACTTGACTTCAATTGGTGTCTCGATTTCTTCCTCGTATCCGGCAGACACGTAAGAAACGGTAGTGCTGACTACGACTTCGCTGAACTGTTGCACTGGCGGCATGGGTGGTACTTGCAGTACACTATCCCGTCGCGTGACGCGCTGGTCACTTATGGCTCGCCGCTGGGCGTAGGTAGGCCGGCTGCGTTGTGCTGCAATCCCGCTTACATGGAAGGAGTTGCCTGCCACTATGAAGTCGTCTTCATCCTCTTCATCATCGTCGTTGTCGGAGGCGATGGCATTCTCTACTTCAGGTGTGTCGAATATGGCACATGATCCGTTCGAAGTATCATTCGTGTGCATCTCGATGTTGGTGATGTCCGCGGCCTGGATGGAGATGAGACCAGTATGATCGCTTTGAGTGCGGCGCAAAGGCACTTGCAGCTTAACGAGATGGCYGAAAGACTTTGCATCTTCGGCGGAATCGGAACCTTCATTGTACCAGCAGCTAGCACGCCTACCGTGGAAAGTCTTTGAACGACCACCTAGCTGKGGCGGTCGAAGAAAGCTGCTCGTTCGTGAAGGCTTGTGCAGGGAGCAGTTTGAATCTGATCTGAGAATAGCCATCTCTGGGGCGTGGTATAGCGAGCCGCTCGGTCTGAAAAAGCCTGGAGCTGCGTCTTCCAGTGGCGATGCTGGAATGCCGGGGGATGGCGGTGCGTGAGAGGAGACGCTGGAATCCCGCGATGAAGATCTGCTGGGCAAGATGAAGCCTCTGGTAACCCTGCAGCCACTGGCATCAACCACTGTGGACGGCCGTCGTGACCCTTTGAGGGATCCAGGCTTGTGTTTAGCTTCCCAAATTATCTGTTCGGTCGGCGGCATTTTGAAATTCTCGCTGCAGCTGCAAGCTGTAGAACTGTTGGCGATGAGGGTATGCCGCGGAAAAGCATGCAATATGGCGATGCTGAACAAAGTGCTGAAGTGCTGGGAATGAACATGTAGGTGATGAGAAGGTCGAGTGATGAAGAAGAGCAGGTGCAGCTGGTGTGGCAAGCAGGTGAGGTTTTTTAACAATGAGGTATAAAAAAAGCTCAAAATCGTGGGGAGGGAAGAATAGAGTGAATGGGACGACCGGACCTTGGAATCATGGAACCTCGACTTAACATTTGGTACCGTTTGTGAGGCATCAAAGTATAGATGGAACTGTTCTTTGAAGATGGGGAAATCTCCATGTAATGGCCTTCGGTAGGTTTGCTATCGCATGGGACGGGATGTGAGCACGATCACAAGTAAATCTGCTTCTTCAGAGCGCGCATCCCACATCACTCTCCCCCGCCACTTTCCGAGTTGCCACCACCCTTGTATGGGGCAGGTGGTCTTGAAGGTAGATAAGGAAGGTCATGCACGAGTGCTCCTGACCTACGTCGCTCTACGCTCGTGACTCTGGTCTTGTGAACGCCATGCCATGGCTCCCCAGCGCAGTCGTTCCGGACATTTTGTATGGAGCCGGGCTCTCATAGATCTGATCTGATTTTCACATGCCGCGGCGATGGTACGATTACCATGACGACGACCATGTCAAAGGCAAGACGAGAGCGGCCGCTGCCTTGAAGTAAGGTAGGTAAGGTAGACGTGAGGGAAGCCAACGCGAGCCGGGAGGGGCTGATGCAGATGCCGTGATCGGCCGACAAGAATTTCATCATCGCAACCTAACGCGCCCTCAAGTCAACACTTTTCTGTTGAAGCCTCTCGCAGTTGTGAAGAAATTGCAAGTTCCTGTTTTGAAGCACACCCGCAACAAAACCTCAAGCAACACGTACCCCAAGCGAAGATGGCAACGTAGGTGGAAGCATTCCTTTACCACCCAACAAACTTCTCCTTCACCTCTAACAACCCCATCAGCAACATCACATGGCACGAGGGCCTCGGCCGCAAGGAGCGCAGTGAGCTTCGCAAGCAACAGGGTGCCACGATCTGGTTCACTGGTCTATCTGCGTCTGGAAAGTCTACCATTGCGACGGCTCTTGAGCAACATTTGCTTCACCTGGGTCTGGCAACTTACAGACTCGACGGCGATAATGTCCGATTTGGTCTGAACAAGGATCTGGGCTTTTCGCCAAAGGATCGCGAGGAGAACATTCGCCGTATCGCAGAGGTAAAGAACACTCTGCATAGTAAAGACGTCTACATCCCGATGCTCATGCCTCATAGGTTGCCAAGCTCTTCKCCGACTCGACCACCATCGCTCTGACTTCYTTCATCTCTCCATATAAGGCTGACCGCCAGCTTGCCCGCGATCTCCATGCCGACACCAAGAACGTCGACTCTCCACTCCCATTCATCGAGGTCTTTGTTGACATTCCTATTGAGGAGGCTGAGAAGCGCGATCCCAAGGGCCTGTATAAGAAGGCGAGAGCAGGCGAAATCAAAGAGTTCACTGGCATTAGCGCACCATACGAGGCACCAGATAACGCAGAAATCCACATTCACTCGGAGAAGACGAGTGTTGAGGAGGCTGTGCTTATCATCACCAAGTACCTGCAGGAGCACGGAGTGATCAAGGCTTGAAGATGGCAATCTGGAAAGGCCAATGCACGAAGATATCTCAATGGAGGGAAAGGTCACAAGTAATGTCTGAAACATGACTGATGTGAAAGAGGGATGGAACAAAGTCACGTTCTCTCGAGGCGGCAAAGCTCCATCGCTGTGTTAAGGGGGCCAGGCACTGCTCTGCAGCTTAACCCAGGGGGCTAAGCCAGTTCTTACGAGGCACGTAAGTAGGAACGCGGACGAAATGCCATACTAGCGATCCATCGATAAGCAGCATCATGCGCTGTGAAGTCCTTGCGACGTCGGTCTGTGGGCTTGCCAGCAAATCCTTGTGAAGTTTATCGAATCGCTCGAATTCACCTTGAGTTGATGCATCCATTGCACGCATCCTTCACGAAACTCAGGGCAAGTTTGGTTCGAGGTTCCYCGGTCTAGGGCATGATTGTACCCCATAGAGCCAATGGCTTGGCTTATACCGCGCTGACTGGTACCGGATCTCGGGATCGCTTTCCTCAATGCCGGGTTTGATATTCCAAGATTGGTGCGGAAGCATCGCAACGCACCGAGTGTATGATAAGGCGATGCACCAACGCTGTGTAAGTCTATTTGTGTTCAAGGAGTAGTCACAGAAACTGTCCTGGAATTGAAAGGGAAGACGATTTCTTTTTGTCTCGTGCCAACACTTTCCGCTTGCAGCATTCACGACTGCAAGGCAACCACGCTTCACCATGAGGGGCTTCTTTTCTATAAACAACCCACCAGCAGTTGCAAACGAACGATTGCATCGAGCAGAAATGAACGAGCCACCGACCAAAGCTGATCCCGAGCTCTCCCTCCTCAATACATATCAACATACGACGCCAACTCAGCCACAGAAAGAAGAACCCATGGCTAGCTGGGTCGTACGAAATCGAAAGCGACTGGCATACGAATCAACTTTCATCAACCAAGCACGGCAGCTACACGAAAACAAAATGACCACGGCTGAGCCAGCTGTCTATCCCCACGCTCTTGCCATCCGACTTGCGAAGCGAGGAGCGATTGAGAGCGAGGAGAAGCATGGCGTCGACTACGAGCAAAGACGTTCGTCGTCTGTGTCGTCGGTGGAGGACGGAGTAAAGGCCGAACCCAGCTCTTTCGTTTGAGGAATGCTAGGGAGCAGAGCTTGGAGAGAGCTACGAAGGAATGGCATTGATGTCTTGGATAAGGCATGTGCCCATACTGCACCTTGAGATATTTTATGTGCTGTTTTACGTGAGGATTGCAGTCCTTGGCAAATGCAGTGGTCTTTAGGACTTCACATCTGTGGTTGCTATTGTCCACACATGGTGTATATTTTGAGATGATGCCTGAGGCTGCAAATTACGACGCTAAGAAATAATCGACTTCACTAGGACCTTAACTTTTGCCTGTACATCATTCGCTGAATTCACGCCCGATCACCTCCTCGTCACTTGACATCTTCAATCGGTTCCAGCTCAAATAATCATGGCCGGGCCAGCAAAGAAACGGCAGAAGCGCGAAGAGAAGCAGGAGGGCGAACTTCCACAGAAAAAATACTATCGGCAACGAGCACATGCGAATCCATTCTCAGATCATGACTTGACCTAGTATGTATCACTTTCAATATCAACTCTGTCAAAGCTAAGTGAGTCAAAGTCCAGAGTCTCCAGCAGCAATGGACTGGAGCCAACACTACCCGGCCTTCATCGCCCCAAAAGAAGACACTGCAGAACAATCCGGCTTCCCGACAATGGCCAAACAAGTGACAGTAGCAGACATAGGCTGCGGCTTTGGCGGACTCCTTTTCGCACTCTCCCCCAAACTCCCCCAGTCCCTCATCCTCGGCATGGAAATCCGCACATCCGTAACGTCCTTCGTGCAAGACAAAGCCAAGGCTCTCCGAGCTCAACACGCATCCACAGGAGAATTTCAAAACGWCTCGTGCATTCGCGCCAATACCATGAAATTCTTACCCAACTTCTTCACCAAGGGCCAGTTGGAATCTATCTTTTTATGTTTTCCCGACCCGCACTTCAAGGCGAGGAAGCACAAAGCACGGATTGTTAGCACGACGTTGAATTCCGAGTATGCGTTTGTTATGAAACCTGGCGGGAAAGTCTATACGATTACGGATGTGGAGGATCTGCATTTGTGGATGGTCGAGCATCTGGATGCACATCCAAGCTTCGAGAGGGTTGGAGAGGAGGAATGTGAGGGGGATGAATGTGTTGCTACCATGAAGACGGAGACAGAGGAAGGGAAGAAAGTAGAGCGAAATGCCGGCAAAAAATTCGTGGCGGTATTCAGACGATTGGAGGATCCGCCATGGCCGGAGTGATATGTATCGTCATAATTGTACAATTGAWAGCATATGTACGGGCGGTCTATATCTCCAATCCTGCAGGGAACTCACTGCTGACCTGCTGCGACGCCTGCTTTCGTGCTGCATCTCTGAGTCGCTGTTTTTGTTCTCTTGATGCAACACGAGACTGGTAGAGGTCGTCAATTTTCTGGTTCAGTTCCGCGCGGAACTCCCTTCTCGCGGCATTGATCAGCGTCCGCCGTTCATCTTCGCTGAAAAGCTCGACGGCCGCTGCTCTTCTATCAAGCTTCTCCTTGAACATCTCCAGTCGACTCTCCACATAATCTGGAAAGCGTTCTGCAATCTTCGCCTTCTCCTGATCTATCCATCGTTGCGGGTCCGGCCGAGTTCTCCGCCATCCATCGGATGCGAGCATAACGTGCTTTCCAGGACCGACACGGAATTTGATGACTGGGAGATCTGCCGAGTGCTCCACTTCGAAGGCATCGTCCGTCATTGGAATGGCCTCAGTCTTCTCAAGGATGTCCTCCTGATCGGCTTCCGCAATGGCTTCGAATGATTCAAAGCCTTGCGCAATTGTGTCAACCTCCTCCACTAATCCTAGTGCCTTTCTTTCCTCCCTAAAGCGCTTCTTTACACTCGGAGTCTGCATAATGGCCCATCGAAGCCACCAGCCAGACTCGCCCAGTTCCTTGATCCTAGCCTCCTTCTCGCCCAATAGGTACTCATCCAGCCCACCCAGCTTATCAATCGTTCGAAGCACACGTGCACTCACGCGAACCTGTACCGGCCGGTTCAGGCTTTTGCTGAACAGCTTCCGCGTGAAGATATTGGGATGCCACGTTCGTCTCGTCTTGACCGCGATCTTCTCGCCCACGTTGTTGCCGAATTGAATGCGCTGTCCACCGTAGAGACCCAGTCTTGATTGTTTATACCATCGTGTCGGGCCGTAGGGATAGGGTGGCAGTGTTTCCGCCAATACCTGTGGGTCGTTCTTATCCCACTGTAGACTGACGGCGCGCGGTGATGAGGTCGAGAATGCGCGCTGACATTGGCACAGTGAGCCTGGCCGGCGGAATAGGGCGGCCATCCAGATCTGACTTTCCAATGTTGATGGGGTCAGAGATGCAAGTGAAGAGTGATGGTGAAGTTCATCAAATGGACGGCTTTCGGCGAAGCCAAATCCTCCGCGTTTCGACTTCGATGTTCTCGAGAACATTCACAATCGACACTCACACGCACTTTACACATCATGGTTTCCCTACCGCAGCGGATGCGAAAGCTTCAGACACGCCTACTGGCAATTCGATTAGGATCTGGTGCGGTGGTACTCCCCAAGGAAGTCAGAAGAATCAAGATGCGCTTTGCGCCTCAAATGAATGGAGGACACATGGGACCACGGTAATACACACATTCTCCTCAGATGCATCATCTGTACTGATGAGATACTGCAGAAAATTCTGGAGACACGAGCTTGTTCGATTGAAATATCACAACCCTTCCGTCTCAATGACAGTGGATCGAAGCGAAACGCAAGAAGGACCGGCGACAAWGGCAGTACATTTTGCGGACGAGAACGCAGGCGAGGCGAAGGAACGGATAGAGACCATCAACATGAAGAACTACTCAAGTTCGGAAATTCTGGATGCTTTGGTGAAATTGACAAAGGCATATCCGATTGAGCCCACGCCTGAGGATAGGGAGGAGCTTGCCAAATTGGATGAACAGCAAAAGAGGAGTGAGAGAGACAGTAAGCTGTCGCAAGAAGTCCGGGCGAAGGCGAAGAGGGAGCAGCAGCTGTTGGAGCAGGCGAGAGGGGATGTTGCAGCGCAGTCCGCGTAGAAAATGATGTACAACTGGATCGTCGGGCTGGAGCATTTAAAAGCGGGGCGTACGGCGCAGGAGACACTGTAAATATACCATGGGCTGTCGCTGTACAGTAACATTATGAGCAAGACGTTAAGCTACTGTGGGTACGCTGTCTCCTTTCCACCATGCCATGCATCCCATTACGAAGACGATCACCATGACATCGCTGAAGATGGTCTTTGCGATTCCGATGTATCGTCCCACGACGCGGATGTAGTTGGCGTAGGGTTCTGGGATGAATCCGCTGTTTGCGATCGATGCTAGAGGTCCTCCACCCTGCAGCTGGCCCCTCTCGAGGAAGTACCGCGTACTCTGCAGTACCAGTTCTGAGGATGTGAAGATGATGAAGAGGCGTGGTCCAAGTCCGTATCCAGATTCCTCGCTATAGACGCTCTGGCTGCGTCCCAATTGCGTGCCGTTGAATGTGGATGTGAGGCAGATGTATACGGCGAGAATGAAGGCAAAGATTGCGTGAACAATGCGCCTGTAGGTCATGTAAGTCTTATGCTTCGGGGACAATTCAGGGGGTTTGATCTCACCAAAGATGAGCCGTCCCGCTTGATGTGGCTTGTGCTCCTCCCTGCTGTTGACCCCCACCGCCCATAAGGGCTTGTAGCATGGGAGGTAAGTCCTGCTGAGTGGAATTTGGATTGCTGGGATCTGCTTGTCCGCCCATCTGGCCCATCATCTGTTGCCTGGACATCAAAAGTCAACAAGACAATCCCATGTGTCGCCATACTTTGTGACGATAGAGTGATATTCCACATACATCATGCGGGCGATAGGGTCGTCCTCTGCTCCACTCCCCGCACCACCCATTCCCTGCTGCATCTGCATCATCATATCCGCCATAGGGTCGCCTGTCGTGGTCTTCGAGCTTGGAGCAGAGAAATTGGTGATATCCACTTCCTGTAATCTGTCAGGTCCTCGTCCAGATTGCCTTCCTCGTTGCAACTTTTGATATTTACCTCCGGATCGTCCACCACTGATGCAACACGAGGTACTGCTGGTCCACCAAGCACCTCATCAGGTGGCGCGATTCCTCCATTCAGCGCTTTGATCTTGGCCAAGCGGTCTTCACCCTGCTCCGTCATCTTTTTCTGCCGCTTTTCTCGTCTCAATCTAGCTTGTCGCTGGTTGGGTGTCTCGTCGACCAAGCCATCGGAGCCGGTGGTTACTGCATCTGTGTCGGCCATTGCGATGTGTGGATGTCCTTGTCGAGGTAGCGGCTTGGACAAGTGGAGGTATCCGACTTTGTGGTTACAACTTTCACATGTGACGAAATGAGGGACAGGGATGATCAAAGCCCGTCTACAACCTTCGAACGACATCACCTTCACAATTCCATTTCACAACACATCGGACAAGTCGGCGCCGCGTATTGGATCGTGAACATCATAGGGCTACCTGGTCCGCGAGTTGCACCTGGATCGTATCGATCGATATCTCATGCTGTCAAGGAGAGTTGACTGACTCTGCTGCATGATCCTGAAGCGAGTTCAAAGTGGAAACCTACAACGCTCAATCTCTATTACATCCACAGCAATGGTAGGCCCAAACCCACCGTCAAAGTCACAGTGGCAGAAGAAACCGACTTTGTCGCATTTTCTGTGCCTGCCGCTCGTGACCGAAATCTCTCGGCCTCAGCTGGACCGATCTTTGGGGCAGTTCAAAGCGGAGGTGTGTGCAGATGGGCCAGGAGATCTCACCACTCGAGATGAGAGTGGCACATCGGCAGCTGCGCAGTCGTTGTCTGCCAAAGCTATACGACCGCTCGGCACGCTGCATCTTACACTTGGAGTCATGACCCTMAATCAAGACCAGCTCGCCAAGGCTGTCGAACTGTTACGCTCTCTGGACGTTGCAACGTTGCTACAACCATCGTCAGTTGATTCGAAATCAGAGTCTGAATCCGGTCAATCGCAGAATACTACGGCTCATGCTCTGACCATAGACCTGAAGGGTCTAGAATCAATGCATGACCCAGAGTCTACCTCCATCCTGTATGTGGCTCCCTCAGACCGGACTGAAAGATTGTATGCGTTCTGCCTGGCATTGCAAAGGCACTTCGAAGAATTCATCGTCTCGGACGACAGGCCCTTGAAGTTGCACGCCACGATTGTGAATACCATTTATGCCAAAAGCAAAAACTCTGCCAGTCGCTCGCAAGGCCATGGTCCAAAGGCCAGAGGCTCTTCTAAAATAGATGCCACAGCTGTGCTTCGAAAGTACCATGACTTCGTATGGGCCGAAAACTTCAGACTCGATCGAATCGCCATTTGTGAAATGGGTGCGAAAAAGATCATGGACGCAGCCAAGGTTCGCGTGGTGGAAGAGCGGTATACCGAAGTTGCCAGTGCTGCTCTTCCATCTTGATTGAATTCTATTTCATAAGTACCTGTCCTGAGATCTGACACAGCTGCATCCCAGATACGCTCGAGCTTGCAGGATCGATGGAATTTCTTTGCAAGTTTCAGGCGTCCCAATATTTCAAATAATTGACCATACTAGATTGAGGTTCACCGACAGCCACACCTCAAGCTTTGGATGGCTGGAGGTTTTAGGGTTCCAACTTCCCTTCGCAGGCTGTGCTAGCTGCGCGGCTGCGTAGGCCAAGACTTAAAACTTCACGAGTTCGTACTCCTACTTATCAGCATCTGTTTGAAAGAATCAAGCCTGAAAAGAGAACGGTTCACGGCGAAACAGACACCCTCGTCTAGCAAAGGCTACTTCTTTGGTATGGCCTGCCCAGGCGTTCTACGGTTCACCGTGCTACAGACAACGGAAGACTCCGAATGCAATGAGCGGGCGATCCTTCGCGTGTCGTGGAGCTGGAAGAAAGCTTAGGTTCGCTGTTTCGTCAGGTCACAGCCAAGGCCGTGACCGGCAACGTGCTTTTCTTCCTCTGTACCTCGCGTCGCTATCACTTTCCATCTTGTGCGCCTCACAGCGTTATATGCAACACCGTCGTGGTAGCCATACCACAGCCATTCGCTAACAATGATYATCCATCTGGCTGTAGCGGCACTTACGCTAAGAATGGCGATCGCCAATTTGCAGGAGAGCAGCACGACGAGGACCTCTACAACTATACCTATGGCACCCGTCGTAGCCACATCGAAATCAGAGTTGAATGTTGCGCCTACGATTAGCGATGGCCCTTCCACATATTATGCCTCTGCAAGGACTACAGGCAGCCTACAAGACTATAAGAACACCGGTTCAATAACTGCACCAGTTCCAGGACTACCAATCACGAGTGGAGCAAGCGATTATGCAGCCAACAGCTCATCTTCGTTGCCGGGAATAGTCTACACAGAGAAGACACAAGGGTCCCTCAATGCTTCCACGTCTCACCTACCTCCCACATTTCTACCCTCACCGATAGCTTTGTCCAAGTACTCAACAATCGCAAAGCCTACATTGCCCTCGACGTTCCACCTAACACCCACAGCTCTGTCTTCACCGATAGCTTTGTCAAGCTACCCAGCAGTCGCGTCTCCTACGCTCCCCTCAATTTCAGAATCGCCAATCGCGTTGTCGGAACAATTGTCAGTTGCTGCGCCTACATTACCCACAGCTGGACCTCAAATCACGGAGACCTACGTACCTGCCATTGTGCATACAGAGATGCCGGCCGAGTCTCTGGAACTTCCGCCTAGCCAGACGCATATAAATCCTGGCCACGAGACGACCCTTCCAGATGGATTCATGCCCGGCGCGAACGATGGCACTGGGAATCCCCCCAGWCAGACAAATGTATCGCYGGGCCATGAGACAAACCAACCCAGTAGACCGGGAGCGGACACTGGGGATATGGAACCGGAAATTGTTACTGTACCGACCACGATTGTCACCGTTGCGCCTGGCATGATGATCACGATGGGCGGCTATCAATCAACTGTCACGCGTGCAGAGAGCCGCCAGTCAGTGGTGACCGCGATTCCAAGTCAAGTCATGACGATGAGCGGAGGGGAGGTTGTCACAGTGCCTGCAGCTGTATACACACTACCAGTCATTCCAGTGTCAGCGACAAGCAGTAGTATGACGACGACAATCTCTGGCGATAGTGGTAGCGAGCCGAGCGATACCGCGCCGCATGGAGGTGGTGATGGATCGATTGATGTGGAGGACGAACAAAGTGCTGCAGTGGAGGTTAATGTTGGGTCGTGGATGCTATCGCTCTTGGGAATCGCTGTCGGAGCCATTGCTCTGATGTGATTGTATTTATCTTTCTTGTGGGAATCCTGCAGTTCAGGAGTATAAGCGCGGAGTTTGGGCATGGGCCGTACATCTGAAGGTCTGATTGGGGAGCATTGTTATCAAATTTCTTGTTCGCGTGAGGAAGAAACAGATGAACTGAGACTGAGAAGATCTGTGATATCATAAAACGTGTAGCCTTCACGAGTTCTGCATTCAATGTGCCATGGTATTCTGCTTTTAGTGAACCATTCACGACACGGCGCTGCTTCTTTTCTGTCTTCAGAGACGGACCATGCGCAATGGCAGTCCGTGATCATCCCTGCGAACAAATGCAGCACCCATCCATGCCATAACGCCGAGTAGACCGAATAGGAGATGTTGTGTCCATTCCTCTACTTCCTGATCGCACGCTGGTAGAAAGCAAGCTCCTCACCCTCCAGAATGTAACCATCGACACGACCGCTCTGGCCGGGACGGCTGGCAACAACGGCGTAAAGACGACCGGCCTCGAACTGGCGCTCGAGTGCTGGCTCAACCTTGCCACCGGCGGTGTGACGCTCCTTCTGCTTGCTCTCAACAGACTTGCTCTTCTTCACAATCTCCTCCTCCTTGGCGGCCTGGCGTCTGCGGCCAAGGGCAGCACCGTAGTGGGCCTCGTACCACTGACGGAATGGGGCGGCATCGACCTGGACAACGGCGGCCTTGGTGAGGGTGTTGGTACGGATCAACTCGTTGTTGGAAGGGTGGAAAGCGACGGCGATGACGCGGACCTTGCGGGCGACGCCTTCACTGCCCCACGAGAAGTTGCCGGAATCGAGGCGGAGTGCGCGGAACTTGCGGTTGCCGCCGCGGGTGCGGACGAGGTGGACGCGCTTGGCACCGATACGGGTGTTGGCGGGCTGGCGACCCTTCTCGAAAGCTCTGTCTTCACATCAGAATCTGATGTGTAGGCGGGAGACGATCGGTTTATGCATATTCATACCTCTTCTTGCGGTAATATGCGCGCTTAGCACCAGTGGCGCTGCGCTTGTGACGGGAGTCACGAGAGATACTGCGAGCGGGTCAGCACATGTCGGTCAGAGGGGAGGGCGGAAGCGTGGTATGGACTGTACCCCATGGTTGCGGTTGGCGAAGAGTGCTGCACAGAATGTTAGCGGTGTGCTGCAGATGTGGGGATACGCCGTATTTCTGCGCAGGAGCGAGTATTCCAACGGGGATTGCGTACAAATTGACGGACACTTCACCTGTGCAATGGGTGATGTTGTAGTGCTGCAGCGAGCTTTGATGTTGAAAGACTGAAGTTCGAAGTCCTTTTTCGCATCTGCCAAGAATTCTGCGGTCCGAAGTGCGGGCGCTTGGTACCTCACTTTCAATATCTCGCGTTGTCTACCTCATACCTTACACAGCGTCTTGTCGCATTGGAGTGGTAAAACGCTGGAAGACAGCAGCTATTAAAACTGGTTCCTACTGCATCCGAGTATTCTATCGGCGAAATACGCTGTTCGAGGCTGCTAGGATTGTAGCGTTTTACCACTCCAATGCGACAAGACGCTGCACGGCTTTGATCACTCAATTACGGATTTTGGAGCATCGCAGAGTCTCACAGTAATGGTCACGGCATGGTTCGCAAATGCTCTGCATTTGCCTGATTGTCAGGAACTACCTAACCGCTGCACCCACTCGTGTACTTGCTAGGACCACCTCCCCAAGGACATGACCTTGTTCCAGCCTGCAGTGCGCTCCTCCGTCACAGTGGTACCGAGACACTGCTCGATGTAGCTCGTCCACCCAATCTCGGTTCCTGCTGCGAGGCCATCCATGATGCTGCTTTCGCATTGGGTTTTCAGAAACCATGCCGCCGATCCGATGCTGAATTGCATGCCATTCACCAGGGCAAGCACAGCTGTGGGCCCTTCTCTCGTCGCCCGTTCGACGTCTGCAGTCGAGATACCGCAGTTCGTGCAGGCCGTGGACAGAAACGTGGCGTACTTCAGATTGAACGACGGGCTTTGCATATTGCGAGTGCCCTGGCCTGGGACTCCAGGGTAGTGATTGATGTTGTATTTCAAGTTCTAAAAGAATGTCAGCCAAGCTCAGTGACATGAAAGTATGCCAGGAGACCATACACCGCTTTCGAAGAGCATGACTGCCACTACGGCTGCCTGGGTGTTGAAGCCCTTGATGCCGTGGTTCAAGAAACTGAGGTCGATGTATGGTGCGGCTGTAACTGCCGTGACGCACTCGCTCAGGAAAGGTGCCCCATCGCAGGACCCGGTCTCTGGAGCTATCGAAATCAGATTGTCTGCCGATATGACTCCTTCGCTGTTGGCTGCGGAGATCATGCAGGCCCAGGCGCATGCCGAAACCCAGGTGGATGTTCTCATTATGTTTGGAGTTGAGCAGTGTGGTTGTTCAATTTGAGTTCCTCACGCCGAAGCGCTGAAGTTGATGAGACTATCGAGATTGGCGAGGGGTGAAGTGTCGGTCTTGTCGGAAGGAACGTTGCTGAAGTAGGTAGGTAAGTTGGTACTAACAGGAACTGGTGCATCTAAGGACACTTGCTGTGATCATCTCAGTGAATCGGATTCTGACCGAGCTCGTATGAAGGCGCGATAGCAGGCAGCCGACCTTGGATACCGCAGAAAGAAACGAACGACTTGTCTAGGTCAAGCCGAGCACATTTGAGACCTGATGAGTGCAACTGAAAAAGTGAAACCCTCACACTTACTCGCGATAGCTGCAGTGTGTCAAAATCCAATCCCTTCAAGCAGACTGGACGCAAAACAGCATCAACATCAACAGATGTCGACATTTAAGGATGGATCTTTGGATGCCAAAGGATTGCTGTGGAACATCTCGACCAATCAGACTAGCTTCTTGAGCTAGCGTCGCTTCGTTTCAGCTGGATGTCTTCCCAGAGATCCTTTGGCTGTCGTTGCATCTCATCTTTCCATTTGAGAACAGCATATCCAAGTGCTCAAGGCCAGCAACATGGTCCACCCAGAAGTGTCAGTATCAGACTACCTAACTACCATGTAGATCTCAAGAGACACTTCACTAAAGATTCCACAGCCTACCAACCCCATCGATCAGCGCTGCAAACGCAATCTGGACTTCTCACGGTCAGGCAATCATCCAAGTCCCAGCTACAGAAGCCTACAGCGCTTTGCGAGACTTTCAGTCGTACTCGGTCTGGAACAAGTTCACTCCGTCAATTTCGACTCCATCCGGTACCAACAACATCGAACTGAATGACAGGATCAGTATCTCCTATCGAGCAGATACCAGAGAGAATACCACTTCAATTCCGTGTAGAGTCACAGCGGTATCGGATAATGACATGACTTTTGCTTTGCGAGCATGGCTGCCCTTCGTACCGGAATGGCTACTTGTACCCGAGAAAGTGCACAAGATCACAAGCAGAGGTGAAGATGAATGTCTATACCAAGTCTACGAGACACAGAGCGGAGTTTTGGCGTATGCTGTGAAGTATTGGATGGGTGCGAAGCAATCAAACATGAATCAGTCCATAGCAGATGCACTGAAGATGCATTGCGAGAAAACGAAGCGAAGAACCCATTGATTTTCTGAACGCTCAAAAGCCGATTCGAGTCAAAGCGAGCCTCCGGCCGGGGAAACAATCCGGCCGCTTCGCATCGCAGAACAAGCACGTGAGCTTACACGCGAGAACTCCACGCTCAACGATAGTTCACGCGACTTTTCTCGGAGAACTCCAACGCCGATCTCCGTGTTCACGATGATGCACCAGGTCTTCGTAAGAGCGCAGTGGAAAGCGAGCCGTGGCATCCAGATGACCGCGCTGTGTCCTACTTTCCGCGCATTGAATTCCAGTGGCAAGGTGCGTTGTTTACTCGATACGCGAAGGATCGCAGCAAGAAGTCACGCCGGCAGAATCCGCCAATAGCGAGTGCCGCGTCCGTCTCGACCGGTGAAGGATTGAGGTCCAAGAGCTTCCAGGCAGACACGCTTCGCCGACGGGCCCCATTCCTTACTTTCTACCTCGATTTGCCAGCGATACTGCCACAATGCTAGGGACGTCCCTATTTGACAACGTGGRTTGGTAACTCCAGTCAATCGACGACTATGCACTGTCGAGAAAAATAAACGCAAACCGGCAAGGAGTCTTTCCCAAATCGTGCCCCCGGCTTAATAATAGCGTCGTCTGAGCTAGGCGAAAGCTTAATTCTAGGCAGCGACGCCGACGACTCGATCTGAAGTGGTTCCCGGCTATCGTTCATCAACCAGCTTGTATCCTCAGGTTCCCTCGCCTTTCACAGCATTGGATCTCCTTCTCGCCACGAAGTAGCTCCCACTTGCAAATTTTGGCTCAAATTTCCGCAATATCAAACCGCATCACTACGACGTTCGCAACTTTGTTCATCTGCTTGTTTGCAGGACAGCACAGCCCACCTCGGATCCCAATACCTGGTCATCTGGTCACTGGACTGACGCAAAATACACCTTAGCAGTCCGAGGATCCCAATCATTGCTGTGCATCTGGCATGCAACAAAGGCTTTCTTACACTCCCAAAGTGACCACCGCTGGACTGCCTCTAAGACGGCACCTGTTGCCGCATTGCATCGTAAGTATCCAATCGATCTACTCTGCATGCTTGAGCTAAAGTTGAGTCACAGGCTCGTGCTTGACCTCTCCCCCCTCTACGTATCCTTTCAAATGGCGAGCCCAGCCGCTCAGAACCCGCGCCGCCGCGCCGCCCCCAAGCCCACTGCGAGCAACCCCAATCTGACACCCTCTCTTGTCGATTCCTTCCAGAGCATGTCGCTTCGGAAAGGAGACACCTTTCACCCACAATCCAACACCAGTCAGAGCAGCTTCTGGGATCCTCTAGAGTCAAGAGTCGGATTACCATCTATGCCCTCTCGCTCTGCTACCTCCCCCCAATCGCTGGAAGACCTTCTCATCGGCGCCGGCGAGCGTCGCATTGCTCAGCTCCTCAACAACGTCGATCAGGCCATCTCCACAAACTCCAAGGTCGCTTTAGGCAATGTCTTGAGCGAGCCAGAAGTACTTCCTGTCCCCGAGTTCATGGTCGACAACGCAACACCACGAGGGCCCTTGAGAGCGCCACCCCGCGGCCGCAACAACCACCACTCCCACACTTCAGACAGCGGAATCGGCTCTTCAGTCGCAGACTCCTCGGAAGCGGCATCTTCTGCCAAGAGTTCCACCCGGACCGGTGAGCAACTCCCTGCAGCGCCCCGCTCCTATGCCCACGCTAACGCAGTACAAGTCACGCCAGGAGCACAGTCATTCTCTAGCATCTCTGATGCATCCGACGACGAGCGAGGTCTGAGCAAGTACGCTGCAGAGCAGATCTACAAGCACATTGTCAAGCCCATATTGCGTGAAGAGTCACTCAAGGAATTTCACGAACTCATCAAGACCGTTCCCGAACGTATTGGAGACAAGGAGATCAAGAATCTACGAGATCTAGAGAAGACACTCATCTTTTTGGCACCGGTAAGTCTACACATCCGTCGAACGGATGGAGCTTTTGCTTACGGGTGTTCTGGCGTTAAGGATTATTCGCGTTCTCCCYCGAAGTACCTTCGTTTTTGCGAGCGAACGATCCGCGTCCTCCACACGACTGTCACGACACTCCACGAGTCCGACCAGCGAGCGCCGACCGATCGACCGTACACGCAGGGCTACTTTTTCGAATTGGTTGAGCAGGTTCGTGCTGGGACTTTGACGCCTCGCGGCGCCGCAATTATTAACACATTGCTACAGATCCGCAGATACGCCACGATTCTGGCGATTACAAGAGAGAAACAAGCACAGGGCGAGGATTCCAACGCAATGGATGTCACAAAGTACGTATGGTTCTGCTCTATCGATTCTTGCCGTTATCGCCGCCGCTACGAAATTTCTTGCTATTGTCGTTGTCACCCCATTCAATTCTGCTATTGCCGTGCACAAAAATTCGTCAAGCGGCTGATGCGCGAAACGAACAATACCATTCACTTTTTAATTTCGCCATTCACAGCAAAATTCCCTCCTACAACACATCCTAGACCTTTTGCTGCATGTCCTTCTTCTCTCTCACAAACAACACCACACATCCAAGACATCATGTACAGCACTCTTTGTTCCACAAGTTACAATACTAACGACACCTACTTCAGGAACGAGCAGCTCTCCCTCCATGGAGGAATGTCTCGCACCGGAAAACCAGCTGAGCTGGTCCGCCACACTGCCGACGGGAAGATGATCTCACTCGCCACCGGTCAGATTGTCCCCGCAGAGGAAGTCGCCGCTTCTTCATCTTCGATGAAGAGACCAGCAGAGGCCGAGGTCGACGATGACGAGGCTCTGCGGTCCATGGCTCGTCGCAAGAAGAATGCCAAGCCGGAGATTCACACCTGCGAACTTTGCAGCAAGGAGTTCAAGCGTCCCTGCGACTTGACAAAGCACGTCAAGACCCACGAGCGGCCGTGGAAGTGCTCGAGCGAAGACTGCAAGTACCACGAATATGGTTGGCCAACCGAGAAGGAGAGAGACCGTCACGTCAACGACAAGCATTCCTCGACACCRTCGTTGTATCATTGCCTCTTCAACCCGTGCCCGTACACCTCGAAGAGAGAGTCAAACTGCAAGCAGCACATGGAGAAGGCACATGGATGGCAGTACGTCCGCTCCAAGAGCAACGGCAAGGGTCGTGCTTCCATTTCGACGACACGTCTTCCACAAGGTTCTGTGCCGCCATCACCGGCATCGGCGGTGCTCACGCCAATTGCGCCGTCTCCATCGAACCAGTCGTGGACCAACTCCTCCCGGCACGGCTCTATGGCACCACCTCCAACTACCGGACCCAGCAGCTACAACAGCCCTGCTGCTTTCGGCACCCCCGCGTTCGCTCAGCCGTCGCCTGACTTCTCTGGCCACTTCGACATGAATGGTCTCTCAAACTTCGATTTCAACGCCTTTCCATCCTTTCCCCTCACCCCCGCTATGAGTGAGGAGCGCCGTACCTCCGAGTCATTATCGTCGCATTCCGGTGTCTTCAATGGAAGCTCCTTCGACGATGCATCGCCGCAGGACTTTCAATTCGACGACTTCGACTTTCAGATGAATACCGCCGACTGGAAGCAACAGTACACCCCAAACTCCAACATCTCTGGACCAAGCGCAGTAGCGACCGGCATGCACGCCTCGCCAGGAGCTCAGATGGAGCAAACATTCACAAGCGATGCCATGGCTGTTGATGACTTCAACTGCTACGCTGCTACCGGTGGCGACTTCACCCTCTACGGCGGCGGCTCCACCTCTCACAACACTGGCGACGACATGTTCCCTGACCTCTCGGTCTCGGAGGCCAGCTGGGGCAACATGCACTTTGCCTCTCACCTTGACTCCACTGCGACTCCAGCACTTCCCACTGGTAATACGACTCTCCACGAACTCTTTCCAGACCTTGCTTAGTGGTTCAACCCCAGGATTTATCCGGTGAACCCGGCGGGATTTACTCCACATCCCACCAACGACTCGCTATCATTGACAGCGATCTGATGATATGAATGAAATGACTTGACTTGAATTTGCACCGGTGAGATGGGGAAGGCTCTCGCAGCGAGCTTTTGTTACGCACCTCCTTAACAGCCGAAGGCGGGATGGCAGGATGTACTTTTAGACAGCGATATGCTTTGCGCTCAATGCGCTTACCAATGACCATCAACTGCTTTGTGTTTGGCTTCCTTTCATTTTAGTGTCTGGAAAGCCCAGTGGTAGGTGCAATGGACCTTGAATCTTGATTGACATGTGCAAGGCCAGTGAGGTCRCTTATCTTTGCATCTCGGTTCATCCATTCACTTCGATTCTTCCCTCTTCGTATCACATCGTTTGCTGCACACATGTTCCGTTGCTACCTTGCTGAACAAGACACAAAAGTACCCTTTACAATACATTCATCAGATGCAATCCTCCATGCCATCCTCAGCTACTCGCGCGCGCGCTCTGACCGCTCCAATCGTCCAAAATACACCAGCTCTCGATCTCATCCGCTCACCGACAAACTACAGCCGCCGCGACCGGCATGCGGTGCCTCCCTCCATTCTTGCGCAGAACAGAGAACTGCTGGGCATTGCAGAAGCTCCTCGAGTCCTCACGTGCAACGAAGAGCAGCACGTCTGTGTAGACCCGATCCGTTCCGACTCTACCGAAAGCGATCATGTTGAACTCGGAGAGATTACAACTGTAGCTACCCTGCCAACCCTGACGGCTCGGAGACGAAGCACACTTGCCAAATTGAGCGAAACGGCTCGGAAGACTGGACGAAATGCGAAGCGGAAGCTCTCAAAGGTCATCTCTTGGAAAGGCAGAAGAGATTCGGGGAAAGATGGAGAAACCACAAGTCCCTTGAATAAGGTGTCTAAGACAAATGATAGCGGAGACGTTGAAGCCATTGGACCCAGGGCTACATCGCTGGGCGATGGACACTCATGTGTAGATCCTGCCTGGGAAGAGGCAATGGAATCTTCTTCTCACGGGCTCGAAAAGAACTCGCAATCGCCTCCAGAGTACGAACCTCCACCTTTCCGACTGGAGTTGCCAATCCTGGACAATACTTTTGCAAGCCCGGAAGATTGGCAACCTTCGCYACAGACCTACATGCAAATGTCTGTCGATTACTATAATCGGCACTGTCAGGCGTCGCCGGACGAGATGCCGCATGACTGTTTCATGGACGACCCGTGGCTATGGGAGGGCTCTAGGAAGAGACTGCAGTTTCTTGTGGAAAATCCTGACCTCGTTGCGATGAGATTCGATGAAATCTACAGAGAGATGTTATAATCGAAATTCGACAACGTTGAAGATGACAAGATAGATCAGACATATTCAGTGCTGGATGAATGTTCGGGAACGGTCTGCTGGGAGCTTTTTCGACTGCTCAACCATTTTCGAGCCGCTGAGAGTGTTGCGTTGGTCCGATAAATCGACCGCTACTGATTGACGTCCAGTAGATGGGGCTGCGCTGTAGAATCGCACGGGACGGCTAGAGAGATGCGGAAGAAAGGAAAATGAAAACCTGCAAGATATTCTGCGAAAAGCGTTGCTGCACAACAGTGCGGAGTTTGATTTGACCCAGCGTTTCGTGATCTATTAACTACCAGAATGACATCGAGTATTCTGCTAGGAGTGCAACACTACCTCAAAGGCATATCCACTCCCTTCTTACTTTCCACGTCCGCCTGAACAAATCGTGGCAGCAATGCAACCCTCCATTCATGCTGGAACATTTTTGATCCTTCTGGTAAGAGATCCCCACTTTTAACGAACGCCTCTCTGAGCACTTTCAGCTCGACTGCAGGCAGCTCAATTTCTCCCTCAGAAAGCGTCTGCCGGTCTAGTCTACCTTCATTATCGTTCAATTGCTCTCCATCTCGATTAGAAGACTGTTGTGGCCCTGCATCCTTCCAGAATATCTTCACTGCACGTAATGGTCTCGGCTGCGGTGCCGCTGATGACGAGATGTTGATGTCCGGGTTGAAGATCCACACTCTAATTGATGATGAAGCGTCCTTGGAGTCGAAGGGCGACCGTATCAGGAATTTTCGCACGCCTTGTGTTTCGATGCTGGAGAGGAGATGGCAGGCTAGCCATTTTTCCGGTACGAAGGATTGGGTGGGCGACTCTCGGGAAAGCGATAGAGAGAGTGCGAGTTTGCGGAGCTTGTAACCTTCGCTGCTGGTGTGAACCTGCCCGATTGAGGCACTACAATTGCTGCAATTCAGAGAGACAGAGACCTCATCCTTATCTTCTGCGGTTGATGTATGGGACGGGACAGTCTAGAAAAGAGATGCGAATCAGCATTACGACTTAATTTTCAGGCCTGTGCTATGTATAGGTTTGTATCATGCTCATTGGCATTCTCGTCAAGCCCATGGGCTCCTAGAATTGACACTGAATCGGCAAGACGTAAGCTAAAGTATTCCACAAGATCAACCATGAAGGCTGATGCTCGCTACGCCTTTGGCTGCTTCGATCTTGGACATTTGTATCCCGAAACTCCCCTGGAAATGACCTTACGGCCTGGAAAGACCGGTTCTTTTTGCCCGTCTGTGGATGTGGGGGAGAAAGATGAAATTTGAAGGAAGATGGGTGGTTTCGTAACCTACCGTTAAGTTTTGGCAGTCTTCGACTGCGAGCACAAAGTCCACAGGATCCACCATGCCAACTCCAGGCTGTATTACAAGTCTACTATCCGCTGAATAGCCCTTGACTGGAGTTTTGTGGTCATGATCGTGTGGGACATCTGGGCGATGGCAATGCCAGAAGTCCATCATTTCTGCCCAATTCTCCGATGGAAGATCTTTCCATACTTTGACCTTGCCGCGCGATACTATGATAGATCTGCAAGATTCGCAACGGATTTCTGAGTCTGCGGTAAGAGAGACGGCGGTCCATGGCACAATGTCGTCAGTTTCGTGATCGTTGCTGCCGCGCAGGAAAGTGCTCCCTGGCTTTTCCTCGAGTTGAAACCGAAAGCTGATCTCCTTGGTAGGCACCGGCGGGAGAACAAACGTCGCTTTGCTTTGGCCGCCTGGAACACGAATGGGCAATTCTATCGCAGCATTTTCACCCTCGTGGGAGAGAGATAGTTGTGTACCATCAGCTGCGAGTACGGCTCTTGTTTCCTGATTTGTTGCGGTTGAGAGCGAAGCTTGGATGGAGAGGGTGCGTATATTGACCAAGTGCTCAGCGTACAGATGAATTGGCATTTTGCAGTTGATATCGTTGTTCTGGCTTCAAGATGAAGACGACGGAAAGCCTCGATCCACTCCTAACCAAAAGTCGAGGCGAAGCGCGGTGCGATCCGCYAGCGTGGTTGGCCCTTAAATATGGGACGATCTTGTGGAATGTTGCCCATTGACGAACCTCTTGAGAACTTTCGATCCCAGACACCAGCTACTTCGTGAAGCCCACCCACCAGGCGGAGACATACCTTCGTCGAGAAGGATTCAACAGGCGATTGTGCTTATCAGAGCAAAGAAGTCGTCCGACCTCGTCCATCCACTTCGTCACCTTTCCCCCATCATGGCGTCCAACGAGCAAAAGATTCGGTCTCTTGGCCACGTTCTGGTGACTGGCGGATCCGGCTTCCTGGGAAACCACATTGTTACTCTCCTATCGTCCCGCGCTGCATGCAGCAAAATCACCGTTCTCGACCTCAAGACCCCCGCCTTACCTGTCGCCAATGTCGACTACCGTCAAGGTGACTTGACCGACTTCGATGCAATGCTCAAACTCTTCTCGGCCCTGAAGTTCGATACCGTCATCCATACAGCCAGCCCCCTCATGACGGCCAGTAACAACAAGGAGCTCGCCTACAAGGTGAACGTAGAAGGCACAAAGACAATGATTCGCGCTGCTCAAGAGACCGGGGTCAGGGCATTTGTCTACACCAGCTCTGCTAGCGTGATTCATGACACACAAAGCGATTTGATTCACGCCGATGAGACCTATCCTCTTATCATGGGCAAGGAGCAGCCGGAGTATTACTCGACTACCAAAGCTCTCGCCGAACAACATGTTCTTGCGGCCAATCGCTCGCCTTCCCACCCAAAACTCCTCACAGCTGCTATCCGACCTTCAGCTATGTTTGGCACTGGAGATGTGCAGCTCATTCCACCAGGGCTGAGCGCATACTACAAGGGTCAAACCAAGGTTCAAATCGGCGAGAACAACAACCTTTTCGACTTCACCGAGATCACGAACGTAGCTCACGCCCATCATCTCGCTGCTGCAGCTCTACTGGCAACCGCTGAGCGTGATGATAAGGGTCTCGCTATTCCCCTGGATAATGAGAAGGTAGATGGTGAAGCGTTCTTCATCACCAATGATGCTCCCGTCTACTTTTTTGACTTTGCGCGGATGTGCTGGGCTGCAGCAGGTGATAAGACCACACCGGATCAAGTATGGAAGCTCTCAAAGGACGTCGGCTTAATCCTCGCAACGCTCATGGAGTGGGTATTCTTCTTGTTTAGATTGGGCAAGCCAAACTTGTCACGGCGGGAAGTGAGATATACGTGCATGACAAGATATTACAACATCGATAAGGCGAAGAGAAGGCTGGGATACAGACCGCTAGTAAAGCTGGATGAGGGCATACGAAAGGGTGTGGCGGATGCGTTGTATCGAGGAGTAGTGAAGGGGCAGCCCATGGAACTCAAAGGGAAGAAGATACAGTAGATATGCACAGTGAGATGATCAATCTTTGTACAAATAAGAGATTTTTGAGGCAGTAAATGGAAGATTGATTCCTTCCAACAAAATGTTCATGGCTTCGTCCAGTAGCGGTCCCAACACAGTGCTAAGCTCGTCGTAGCTTTGCATGACGAACATTGAAGATCGGGCCTCCGAAAATCGAGACCAATTGACAGCATATGACCCCAAGCTTGTCCATCAGAATCGGTAGCTTTTGGCTTTCAAGTCCAGGTCGATATTGGCCAGTAGAAGGAGTCGAAAACAGGACCTTGCTTCCCTACTCTGTGCTTTCTGCACGCGAGATCAGGCTTGGTTAAAAGGATAAGAGGTACATGTGTGCACGATGTTGGTTTGGACCGAACAAATGGGAAGGTTCAGACCCTTGCGCTTGCCTGAGAACGGCAAGGTGTTTTGATCCTGCGTCGATCGCCTCCACGTTCCTGCAGACGCGCATTTCCCGTCTCCTTGACCCTGACCCTGTACACCTCAAAATCCAAACAYAAACCTCCCGTGGGTACGACGAAGCCCGACTGTCCACACGACAAGACAGACGACAATAAGAACACACGATGGCAGCGTACCTGTCATTCTTGCAGTCGCCTAGCACTGCCAACCTGGCCAGCGATGCCTCCATCAGTTACATCACAACCACCACGGCGATCAAGGAGCCAACGGCCATTCTGAAGCATCTCGCGGCGCAGGCCAAGCAGCTGGAGAAGAAAGAAGAGAGAGTACTTTCGACCATTGAAAGCGACCGTGGCTGCTGTGTGGAGACCTTGACAACCTTGCTGTTCAAGACTGGCGGCGGCGCCTTTCTCCCTAGCATGGACTCGAATCTTTTGGACGAACGGGAGGTCACATTTCCACTCACTCACGTGGTTACATACGATGCGCAGTCCAAGATCCAACAGATCMGTCTGTATTGGGATCAGGGCACCTTACTGAAGCAAGTCGAGGCCATTGGCAGGACGGGCCGCAACTGGCCCATCCGAGACGGAAAAGCTCAGGCCGACTTTGTAGTCGCCAGCGTCAAGGCTGGAAGCAATGGCAACAGTGTCGCTGCAGGAAACAATGGCAAGCCGCAAGCTGCTCGCAGTGGAAACGAGAACCTTGTCAAGGAGCACAACAAGCGCGACAGCGTTTCTGTAACACGGGATCCTCACGCCAGCCTGTCTCTCTTTGCCGAGCGTGATGTCAATGATGAGGGTCGATMGTACTCTGGTCCGAAGTATGGTGTCGCGAAGTCCGCAAAGCCAGCCGAGCGCGACTACGGTGAACTCTTCACCAACGAGGAAAGCACAGCTGAGCTTGTCATGACTGCCAGAAGCAAGTCTCCGCACAAGACTGATGGTACCATCCTCAAAGCAGGCGCCGGCAAGCACCATACGGGTAACCGCCTCTTCGACGTAGGCGAGAATGACATGCCCAAATCTCCTGAACGCAAGAAGACCTACAACCAGAAATACGAGCACTTTTCCTTTGGTGATGGCGAGGATGTTCCCACCAAAGAGAATCGGCCTGTGAGTGGCAAGGGTCAAGGTCAGCACAGCACGACCTTCAGCTTCGAGGACTTTGSCACGCCGCCAAAGCACGTGGAGAAGCCCAAGATTGACTTCGAGCGTCATTGGGGAGCTGGAGTGGACGAGGTAGGTACACTAAGATCGTTCACCATCTGCAAGTTAGCTGACCGAGGTTGTACAGGATGATCCATCATCACCACCTAAGCGTCCAATCGTTCACGCTGCCCGCAAGGACGCCGACTCTCACTGGGAGATGAGCGATGAGTCTCCACTCCCAGCTGCTAACAAAGTCACCAAATCATTCCAGCGGCAGAAGGGAATGGGTCTGTATCAGGACCCAACGATGGACGATGACCGCACCAAGTACGATGTCTCGCAGCCTGTAGAAAAGACTGCAACCACAAACACAGACAATGCCCGTCGTGGGGGCGATTTCAGTGCAGGCTTTGCCATGGTTGACAACTCGCCTGCCGGGTCCAAGGCTGAGCCGCCAAACAAGCGTGGCACTCGTACTGAGTTCACATCCAACTGGGGGTTCGATGGAGCTGTAGACTCACCTCCTATCAAGAAAATCTACAAGACCGCTGGTGATGGTATGGGTTCGCGCAAGGTTCAGGATGACTCTGCCGATGCACCAATCGCAAAGAAGATTTACAAGACTGCGGGTGACGGCATGGGCTCACGATCAGGTGGTAGAGCCTGGGGAATCGGAGATGGTAACGTACATCGACTCAGTCATCATCGTTCACGCCCCTAACTACTTTACACAGAGAGCGACCCCGAAGTTGAAGCTGATCTTCGTCCCAGCGCAAGATCCAGACGTGCTCAAGCGCAAGCGGGTGCTGACCTCGACTTCTGAGGTCATCGTCAAGGCGTCTAAGCATGTCGAGATGAGGTCTCGCGCCGAATTGGAAAAATCTGGCAATCTTGACAACCATCTTGCAAAGTCGGCCCCCAGGGACGTCTTGGAGAATGAGAGGAAGGAGAACATCGCTCCCCAGAATTGAACAGTTTGTATGCCTGATCAGGGCGAGCTTTTAGTTAAAGTATGTGATATGAACACAGCTTCAGGATTGTCAGAAGAATGATACCCTTACACTTCAGAAATTGGAGCTTGACTGTGGCACTTTCTCGTTGACCTGCCGGAATGGTAGACTGTTAGCACAAATTACGAAACTACAACCGTGCATTTGGACAGATGCTACCAAAGTTCCAATATCGCAAGGCGAGTGAGTGTGCTCGTTACGTTCTTGCTTTCGATAATCGAAATGGCGTCGTGTACTGCGTTGTACTTCCTGGTTGTTTTGGGCGATCAAGCTCAGCTCCAAAGCTCTCCACAATCGCGTAAACATTGACAACACCTCAGTCATGCCATTTCCCTTTGCACTTCCAACGACCAGCTCTGTGCCATTCTCGGATTACTTTGAGAGTGTCACACATCCGTCCTTGCCATTGTCAGCGACGACGCGCCGAAGCGTGGTGAAAGATGCCCTGAAGAAGCACAAACGTCTGTCGCCGCAAGCCAAAGCTGCAAATCTCCCCACAGTGCAAGATGCTATAACAAGCTATGTCCCGTACTTGCTCGCCCYCAATGCCGGGTCTGGATATCGAGATGTTGGGCCCGAGAACATCGACGTTGAAGTGAAGAAGCCGCTCGAAGTCGAATGGCGGAGCAGTCTCTCTGCAACACTGCCGGGACGCGAGCCTCCTCGACCAAAGTTGGTAGGGCTGCACCATGAAATTGCTTTCACTCTATCTACGCTCGCGTATGTGCAGTCGCTACTGGCACGCTCCCAGCTCCGTACACTTTATGGATCCGATGTACTTTCCGCGGAGCAAAGGACCGCAACCATTGTTGCTGCGATGAAACACCTACTTGAAGCACATAGCATCCACAGTTACCTAGTTTCACTGCCCTCTGTTTCTGCCGCCAGAGATGGACCTGTGGACATTCAGCCATCGACTATATCCGCTCTGGCCTCTCTAGCTTTGGCAGAAGCCACTATCATTGTCGTGGCAAAAGACGACCCGTGGACGGCCGCAGTAGCCGATGTTCGCAACGAGCAAAACACGGATTGGATGTTCAAGGCTCCAGACATCCCCCAAAAGCGAATTCAGATCTTCCCGCGATTATGTCTTGCCGCGGCAGAACATGCTGCCAATGCTGTTGGCCTATTCGCTTCCGATAGCAATAAAAGCACCAATGAGGATCTCGTCAAATACGCAAATGATCTTCGTCGAACAGCCAGAGGTAAGGCCGCGAGGTTTCTTGGAATAGACGCCGAGATGTCAGGAAAGACTGGCGAAGCTCTTGCATGGCTGAAAGGCGCAAGAAAGGAACTGGGTCTTACCGTCGATCTGGAAGATGGGAAACGAAAGGGTCTCAGAGGACTGAAGCAAAGCTGGCAGGAACGACGTGAAGATCGCAAGGTCGAGAAAGGCGGGGAATGGGGAATGGACGGCGGAAGGTATGAGGAGGCGAGGGTGGTGGAGATGCTGGAGGCGAAATGGGATCGTGAGAACAGCACTATGAATGTCCAACTCGTGCCTCCTCATGAGCCACTTCTGGCCGGAATGCCGTCTGGAAGAGAGTATCATGTACCAAAGGCTTGGAGTCCACCCGTTCTGGACAACGATGTGTTGGTGAGAATGCGTGCACCACCAACACCGGGCGAGAAGGCTTTCAGGGGAGAAGAGGATGATAGCGGTGGAGAGGATGGCTATGCAAAAGTCGAGCCAGTCGGTGCATTTCCTGGAACCGGCAACGACTATACTAGGACTGCAACGAGTAGTACGTACTTCTAGTATCGAGATCTGTTGGGTGTCTCACCCTCTCCGCGAAAATGTGTTCGATATGTACGGTTGCATGATTGTTTTCACTACGACTGCGGTTTCAAAAACACATAAATAATTGCAAAGCACACCTCATACTTGATTGTACTCCATCTACCAAGCCAGAGTTCTCTAACAAACCCTAGAAGAGGTATCTCCCCACCCTAATCACCCCAACCCTAACGCTAGATGATGTGCTCCATGAGGGGAGATCAGCGGGCAACTTCGTCGCTCTCGCTTCCCCAGAACTACGTCAGGTGCACACCAGATCAGCAGTGCTTTCTTCCGCAACATCCCATGTCATTAACTCTTCCCGACATTCGCCAATTAATCTGAAGAGCATCGCCATGTTTCAATTCAAACTTCCGCAGCTACAGTTACCGTCATGGAGTTTGCCGGGCAGCGGCATCAAGATCTCAAAGGCAGAGGTCCATGAGATCGAAGAGCGGCCAGAGAAGCGAGCGCGAACAGTTAAGCACCTCATCAAAGCGAATCACATCAATCACAGTATCATCTACAACGAGCTCCGCTTCCACAATCACACTCCGCACATACTTGGCTCGGCGTATATACTAGGAGCAGACGTGGAGGAGCTGAACCACATTTACGAGGAAGAAGGCAAGAACTTGGAGCCTTGGAAGGACAGTCCAGGTGAGATATCGGAGCATGACTGGAGAGACTATCTGGGCAAGAGAGAATACCAGCGAGCCTGGATCGACTTTTTCGAGGATCAGCTAGTTCAACATGGATACAACTGGCGTTCATTGCTCGACGAGTTCCTTCTCTCTGGCAAGGAGCCACTCATCAACAATCTCATAGCCGGTCTGGCGCATCCCCTCATTCACCTTGGCTATGCACACGAGCTCTCCTCCCGAACGGTGGCGATCGAGGCTCTGGGTCTTGCTGCTTGCTTTTACAACGAGTGGCACGTTTACCTCGATGATCCGAAGTATACAAAGCCTGCCAGCCACCCGTCGGACTCGCTCTTCACCATTCTTGATCGAGTGGCAAGTGATCAAAGGTTTGATGGCCTCTTTGACCATCAAGGCCCTGACAATATCGAGAAGATCCTCGGGGATGAGAATCTTGCTTCAATAGCACTTGAGTACTGGAACTCGTGGGATCTGAAGAAGCCTACAGAACAGTTCGCCGAGTCTCAGAAGCTTGCAGTGGCTCTTGTGGTCGCTGCACAGACCCCAGACAAACCCARAGGCTATGACTTCTTCGCAGTACACCTTCTGACCAGCTCACACGCCGTTCGCACGCTCCTGCCGCTCCTGCCCAGCAAGCATCAGATTCCACTCATGCGTCAATGGTGGCTTTTCACGCTGTTGGTGTACATTGCGCAACAGCGGCCGAAGGTCAACATTGATAAGATCAAGCTTGTCGAGCTCGATGGCCGTGACTGGAAACACGTTTCTAATCTGGCCGTCAAGGGCGAATATCGCACCGATGCGCACTACGTCAAGGCCTTGCGATGTATGCATGAGGCCAGCAAAATCTCTGGCGACCCCAATCAATTCTACCTCAAGGCTGCGGTGAAGATGGGTGAGGAATTTGCAGGATGGGGAGGCTTCGGTTCTGCCATTGCCGAGGAGGAGGCCCATACATCATCATCGAAGCGCAGCAGGCGATTCTCGGACCAAGCTGAGGGCGTGTATGAGTACGACACTTGAGGCGATTGCCGAAGTGAATGAATGACTTTCCCAAAGCAGAATAAGGTTTTGGTTTCAGGTTGGTTTTGAGTTCTATTGTAGTTTTCTTGTACTCGAGGACGAAGAATTATGCTATTGTCACTGCTCGTTTCTTCACAGTATAAGAGAGAGGCATGAACATCATCAGTCTCCCACTTCCTTTCCTTCTCTCTGACTGCTACCACACAAAATTATCATCAAGTCATCACGTCATCCAACAGCACATCGCATATCGCAGCAGACATTTCCGCCACCAAGCATCATTCGAATCTCTAGGAGGAGCCTCCAGCACCGTACCTTCCGGCCAGCCTGCAGCACTACAGCAATTCAGTCGCCGACGGAGACATCGATTCATAATGACGTCTTCCACTTCCTCCTCCCCCATACAGCAACTCTGTGAGGGCTCTGAGCCCGACGACTCGCCAATACCGTACTTCGGCCCGCCCATTGGATTCAGCGCTCTCAACCTGAACCACAGCACCCCACGAGGAGACTCCATCACGACGGTGACCGGTAGCCCCAAGGCTAACCGCCCGAGGTGCTCAATCGAGTGCAGAGACATCAATTGCTCTGTATGTCATCCGTCAAACACTCCTTCAAAAGGCCCCCCACCGCAAGGCTCCCGTCCGCAAGCTCAGTCTCCGCAAACTCCCACCCCGCACGGATTCCAGGTACGTTCGCATTCTCGATCTTGCGTCGAGCAAGCACTTGCTGACCATCAATAGTCGAAGCCGAAGCCAAAACCGGTCGCAGAGCTCGAACCTGTTCCTCTCGCCAAGGTTGACCGAAGTAGAACGGATAGCTTCTACCAAGACTCCCCGGCGGAAGGAGAGAAGATGCAGTCCTGCGACGGCCTGCAGTGTACGATGTGTTATTAAAAACGAACGTGTTGAATTTTGGGCGAGAGAGGGAAGGAGCGAGAAAAGGGAGGCATCGGCGAGACACGGCGAGACACGCSGCCAGGCTTTCTTTTAGATCACGTACTGCTACCGCAACGCTGCGACTTGTGTAGGTATAAACCGTCTTCATCAAACAGAGAATCATAAAGAAGGTCGTCCATTTGTCGACTGTGCACGTGCACTTCATAGCCTTGACATGGAAGCTGACGTCGAATAGATCCACCTCTAAGCACGGTCAATACTCAACCGTCGATTGAAACCACCTCCTAGTGTCACTCTCGAACGATGTTCTTGGATCTTATTTAACGGCCGGCAAGAGTCAAACACTTTATGTACGACAGATTTCCGAGGCTAACTTATCGATCCCAAGAACAATCACAGGAAACAGCACTGAGTCGCGAGAGAGAGATTTGTTCCCAGGATTGTGTTTGGCATCTGTCGCTACCCGTCATGGAATTGACACAAACACCTTTTCCCGACGACAAGTTTTATCGCGTGGCAGTCACTCCATGTTCATGCGGCTTACCGAAAAGCCATTACGGGCGGCGACAGTAGTGTATGACATTGCGTGGACGATTGCTTACTCCTTTGTCTTGATCAAAGACAGGAGCAAGGTATCCTGAAGGGCAGGCCTTCACTACTGAGCACCTTTTTTTGGATCGACCTCTAACTGGGTCACGCGAGTGACACAGACATCTCCGCATGGTGGACGGCACGCGTTGGGTGCACGAGCTGGGCGATACACCTGGTTGCAAGCTTCCCGCAACATGTTTCATACGATCTTTACACCCCCGTTGTCCTATCAGAATCGATCTTTTGCGGCCGCTTGGGCTTGGACGAACGAGAATTGTTCTTATCAAGCTTGTTCCAACTCGCGGATAACAGGTTGGTTTCGGCTGGAGATGCAGAAACGCAGCAATCAAACAGGATGTCCCATCGCTGCAGGCCGGTCATCTTCGTCATCGGRAGCACAGCAAATATACGCATGGTGGTGGGCCAATGAAGGAGACTTCACGGAGACATCAAGGGCCCGATGGTGTGGCAAAGCAACCTACAAGCTTGAAAGGCGTGCAGAAGGATCGCCCGTACGCAGGCGACCCCGAGGCTCTGGCCACTGATCGAAAGCTCCGAAGTATAACGGTCCAACAGGACGAAAAGTGCGCGCTGGCTTGTGTTGCACAACAACGTTCACAGTGTTACATGCCACTACATGCCACTGCGTCGGGCACACCCTCGTGTGTTTCCACGACGATTTCTTACCATGCCTTGAATCCTCAATTCCAAGATCTGGTAACGAACAGCGGTCACGGATGCCCCGAGTGTTTGTTGAATGTTTCCCATTGTGGCTGCCTCTAACGGACCCTTGCTTCGCTGACCGCTCAAGGAATGTCTCAAAGCCAGCGATCGTTCCGCCCGACTGCTTCGCGCTTCGGTCAGGCCGTTTCCGGTGCCGGTACCAACAAAGAACAAAGAAAGCCTGCAATATCGACTCCGCAACAATCGCAGCATTGCTTTGAATTGCAAAGAGACCAGGCTCGTCATTGGACAAAGGAAGGTATGCCAAAGCGAGCGTGAGATAATAGGCACAAAGCTCCTCTTGCTTCTTTGCAATAATGAGAATACCTGATTCGTCGCGCCCTGTCATTGGTACGCTGCGCTTTCATTGTCGGAGGGAATGCCAGTGCAACAAGAGATCGTGAGACCCTGCCACCTTGCTCTCGATGTCGGCCGCCCAGGACTCATTGCTGCCGCTGCCATTAACCTGGGATAGAAGTCCGTCCATTCAAACGCAGCAACCCGCTGATGATTCCGGGCGGATCGTATTTACAAGACAGTTGTGGCAGCGGACCATGACTGACAAGCCTCAGGGTGATCAGAGTGTCTCGAACGGGTCTCACTCTCAAGATACTGCGGTCGTCCATAACATTGCTGCTGGTCCCTCTCGCCGTACATCGTCTGTGTCGTCACGATCGCGGAGGAATTCACCCACAGCATCGCAAGGCGCGAAAGCTCCGCTGACGCCTGAAGAGAGTCCGCCATTCCGGATAACGAGAAAGCGCAATACTGGTATTGTCGAGCAAGAAGACAAAGATCTTGAGCGTGCTGAAGTTGGCTCATCTCACAGCCGAACCAATAGTGACGACAGTATACACGTTTGCATTTGCCAACCAGATCCCAAAATCCCCAGACCGCGCAACGGTAGGTGACCATGACTTCCTTTTCTTGTGTATGGGACAGCTGCTAATGCAAACCAGCATTCATCTTGTATCGTCAACATCATCAGGCCAACGTCATCTCTCAGCATCCAGGCTTGTCGAACCCAGAGATCTCAAAGATCATCGGCGAACAGTGGCAGAATCAGCCACCAGAGATCAAGGGCAAGTGGAAGGCCCTCGCCGAAGAAGAGAAGCTCCGCCATCAAGCACAGTATCCGACCTATCGCTACCAGCCTAAGCGCAGCGGGCGTCGCAATAGCCAATCTGGAGACGTAGTGACATCTGGGATCGAGAAGCCAAAGTGCACCAAGTGCGGCGGTAAGAGTATCTTGGCTCCATCAACTCCTTACTCCCACCTGAGCAGTGCTGGCACAAGCCCATCGGGTCCTCTTACTCCTGGCTCCGCTTTGACTCCAATCTCACGAACATTGCCGGYTCTACGAGACCTCAGTCTGCAGTCACCCGCGCTCCGTCGAACAGGGAGGCCGTTTCCTAACAACAACAACAACAACATCATGTCGCCGTTACATCACCTCGATGAGAGGGATGAGTTGGGACCTCTCAGTCCCGATGCGAAGCGCCGTCGATACAATAGCGATCAGCCAGCAACGTTCAGTCGGATCATGGCGCCACGGTATCCGAATGCGCCGCAACAGCTCGTATCGGTCGGCCCTGGTACACCATTTCCTTTCCCGCAGCAACCACCACACCCATACCCGCCAGGCGCGAATGGAGCCCACGCTCGACGTGACAGTCTTCCAGGTCTTCGTGGTATGTCAAGTCCTCCGGGCGTCATGGCACCACCGCCTAGACCGGTTATTGGATACCAACAGCACCGTCTTTCTCAAGGTCATATCCCTCACGATCGATCGTTGACTTTGCCACCGCTTCAGACCAGCAGTGGCGGTGGCGGACCACCCAGTGCCACATCCATGTCCACACCTGCAACCGCCAAATCTGCGACCGAACAGATCATGACCACGGAGTTCTGGCACAAAGTCAGGGTTCTTCATCAGGTGGCCCCTCCAACGCCAGTCAGAAGAGAGGCACTCCGCGGTCCTCTTGTTGCCATCGAAGGTGACGATCTCGAGTCGGTAAAGGAGCTGGGTATTTGGCTGAGTGAAACTCTCAGAAAGGCGGATGATCTGAATGTGAAGCTTTTGGAGGGTCCAACGATGACAGCCGATGGCGGAAAGCAACAGATCATGGCGCAATACCATCGTCTGGCTGCAGAGTGGCTCGACAAGAGCGGTGATATCATCGAGTCGCTCGCTATCAAGACCACATCTCCAACGGACACGATCATGGTCGATGTCGCCACTGCTCCTACGACTAGATCAGCGATCAAGAATCGTGATATCGACGAGAGATACGACGATAGTGATTCCTCCTCATCAAAAGCCGCCAGGGAACCTCCAACGAACGGCGACGACAAGGGCCGCAGGACTTCTGTCGATTCCTCKCATACAAACCTCGACATAGCTTCCAAATCATCCTCGCTATCCAGCAGAGGTGGTTCGCAAAACTCCGCCAAACCTGTCAGCATCATCGCCAACTACTCGATACATGCTAGCAATTTCTTCGCTTGCCACATCCCCATCACTGCGCATGATCCATACTCACCCATCGATCACTGGACGTGGACAGCGACGCAGTGGCGTGGTATCATCAGTCCTGATCTCACCATCTACGTCCGTGATGCCGCAAGTAGCGATGGCAGCAAGTCCAACGTAGACATCATGGCGGATGGCAATCTCTTTGCGGTGAAGCGCACGAAGGCTGAAGGCAGGGATTGCCTGGAGATTGAGCCATCCGTTTTGCGCCGTCTTGGATTCGAAGTCGGCGAGTGGGTCCAGGCTTTTGGCGCGAATGCATCACAGTGAGGTACGGGCGATGTAGTCATTACATGTAGCAGGCACGACTTGRACGATGCATTGTTGGTGTTGGTTTGAGCGTTCTGGCGATCGTCTCGTAGACAGACTTTTTCAGCATTCGATACGTCTCAAGCATTCCGAGGGAGATATGGCCGTAGAGAAAGAAAGAAATGCATGAACATAATCTGATATCTATATCTTGAATATCGATCATCTTCAGTCAGCGTTGGAGGGAGCTTTATGAGCATACACTACTTACTGTTTTGCTAATCCGCTTCATTAGACCTTGAAATCCACAGGCCGGTACTTGTCGGTCTTCTCGGACTTTCTGCTGGTCGTGTATGTGAGTCCAGAGATGTTGCTAGGACCGTTAAGATTGTGATCGGGCCGGAAATCTTGATGGAGAGGACGCTCTTCTTCCACTTTCCGGAGATCGTTGGCCACGTTCCGCTGATTCCTCGCTTGACGTTCGCTTCGCCTTCGTGGAGCCATGGGTCTCTTGCTTGAGTTCCGTTTTTTCTTCCTGTTCTTCTCGACTTGAGGCTTCGTGACAAGCCGATCGAGAAGCTTGTCTCCGTAGCTGCTGTCCATGACCTTATCCACCGCGCACATAGCAAGACCAACGAACTTGGTATCGACTGGCATGATGTGTTGCTGTGAAGCGATCTTGAGTTGTAAGTTGAGATTGATGCTTTCATAGAGGGTACCAGGGGATGCAGCATCTTTGTACACCGCAGTCTACACCTATGAACGTCAACCATGAGTCCAAGCCATCTCATGACTTCCCAGCAGGCCATGCTTGTCTGCTTGTTCGTGGTCGAATGCTATTGGGTATGCCGATCTCATGCCCTGAGCGCGACACCTGGGATCGAATCAATGCACAGACCTCAAATCTGACGCGGCAGACCTCAGCCTTGACCGACTTCTTGACGCGCTGGCATGTCGCCACTGTGGTTTGAAGCGTTATGGGAAGTGCTCACGTGCAGCGTGCGCTTGACTCGTGCAGGTGCGGTGAGAATTTACGTGGCGATGCTTCAGATGCCTCATCATTATCATCCTACCTTACAGCGGCCCAAGTTATCCAGCTCCTGCTGCCACCGTGAGCGTAGCCCATTAATCTCAATGGTCATTTCCATGCCGTGACGGCATATGGACGATGTGTTGGCCGTGGCACATGTCGTCCACTTCTCGCGTTTCTCGCGCCTCTCGCGCACCGTTCCACAGATCACGGCATCTTGGTCGTGTTCGAGCTCGAATCGCCCGCGTATCTAGCGAGCTTTGGTACGTGACACAGGGACGGCTAAATTGCGCGTTGGAAAAGGCCATGTGTGTTGGAGACTCCACGATGTTGTTGTTGCAGTGGCACCGAGGGACGGAGAAAATGAGTTTTGCCGGACTGAGATGGCCATGCTCGCGATGAGCTAGTTGTCCGTGATCTGGTAACAAAGCGGCACGGCCTGTTCAGAGTCTACAGTGCCATCGAACGCGTGCACCACAATTGTCTTGATGTAGAATTGACAGTAGGAGGTAACGTTAAGGTAGTATGGCGGTGCATTTCCCTCGCACGGTCGAGTAAGGTGCCGTAAGTTTGGTATTCCACGCGTGGGGTAATCCCACCACTTTTCACGGGCTGCCCGCGTCATTGCTTTTGTCCGGTCCGGAGCGGTTTTCACATGAAAGGGCTGATCGCGGGTTATTCGGATTCGGTCACTCGCGGGTCGGGGGGTCACGATGGCTGCTCTGCTGTCCAAAGATGCTTCACTCTGCTTCACGCGAGCCGGGTACCTGATTTCTCCCTGCTGATGTCTATTGTTACAATACCGCAGAGTGACTGACTCAATCATCGACATTCCAACCTCACCCTCCAGCCTCACTCAACCACAAGCTGAAACCTACTGCCGATGACTTGACGGCGAGAGTGGACGCCTGCGAAAGGAACAGAACTTCTATCCATCCATGATAGGTAGGTGAAGGGCCTCAGACCCCAGGATTTCACACGTCTAACAGCGCCCAGACCACATCTTAGGCCGGCCCTCCACGCGCTTCCGCAAGTGGCAGGTCTTCACCGTTGTCCTCTTCTGGAGCCTCTACCTTTCCAAGTTCCGCCGGCATGGCCCGCCTGGGGTTCAGCGGATATCACGATGGCTGTCAAATCGATTCACGATGCAWCAGGCGCTCGTAGCGTCTTGCGTTGCCCTCTACGTATCGCGGAACTTTGCAAGAGTAGTGGGGTTGGAATCGCCAGAACCGTTGGCGAACCTATACGACCGTAGCTTCTTCAGAGCAACATGGATCACCACGGCGCTGGACGCTGGATGGTGGACAGCTATGCGGTTACGGCCCAAATGGCTCAGACWCTCCGCTGAGATCATATTCACGCTCTACTTCTTGGTCTGCGCAGAGCAAGCCGATGAGATGGTGCGCCGGGTGCGTGGAGACTTGAGTGTACAACACCTACGAGTATCTTGGAATAAGCCAAATACGCCCATTCTCCGCTACTTTACGGGGCTTATGCGGCCCAGGTTCATGAAGTATTCACCTCGACAGATTTCAATACCACGGCCCAAGAACAGTGACTACAGGGAGCCTGTGTCAGCTTGGCTGTACTTTGATGGACCCGTGTCAGAGCTAGCTCAGCAACACCAGATAGTGCTCGATATTCCTGGAGGTGGCTTCGTGGCAATGGATCCGCGATGCCACGATGACAAATTAATGGCATGGGCGGGAAAGCTGGGTATTCCTGTCGTGGCTTTGGACTACAAGAAAGCGCCCGAATTCCCATACCCCCATGCATTGAACGAATGTTATGATACCTACTTCCAACTTGTCGCGACACGGGGTCGCTGCATCGGACTTTCAGGGGAGCACACACCGAAGATCATCATTAGTGGCGACAGCGCAGGCGGGAATCTTGCATTTGGCACGGTGTTGATGATACTCGACGATCAGTCCCCATATGCAAGCTGGGAAGCTGGCCGGTCAGTACAACGCTTGCCCCCACCAGAAGCAGTTGTTGGCATTTACCCAGCGTTGGAGATGAACATTGGTAATTGGATGACGGACGAGCAGTTGTCCCTGTTGCGAAGACCTGGTCGACAAAAAGAGGACAAAAAGATCATGAATCGCAAATCTCAGGACTACAGGAAGCTGACGCCAAACACGCCTGGCAATTCCGATGACGAGGATGATGACGCTGTTACTCACCGGAAAGGACAAAAGACCGCTCCAAAGATGTACACTCGCCTCGCCATGAGCAGTATGATTTCCTACTTCAATGATCGGATCATCTCTCCGGAAATGCTTCGGGCTATGATTGTACTGTACGTTGGTGAATATCGTCGACCAGACTTCGCAACGGATTTCCTACTATCACCTCTCCGGGCACCGGAAGCACTGCTCGCCAGATTCCCGAAAACATTTCTGCTTTGCGGAGAATGTGATCCTTTGGTGGATGACACCGCCATATTTGCTGGTCGCCTTCGACAGGCTCATCTGCAAGAGTTTCAGCGACGGCAAGAGGTTGGCCTAGAGAGCGAAGATGCGGTCTTTGATGACAAGAAGCACGTCGAGGTCGTCCTAGTTAACGGGGTCAGCCACGGCTTCTTGCAATTCGTCAGCGTCTTCCCACGGGGTTGGCAATATGTGCACGCCTGCAGTCGATGGATGCGAAATGTCTTCGAAAATGCTGAAGCTGCAGAGCCTCCCTCCAGCGTTGCTTCGAATGGCGGACAAGACTACTTCAGCTATACCAAAGCTAGAAGTCGCAGGACCAGCGAAGCTTCAGGCGATGAGCGCCCCTTGGAGATTCCTAGCAAGCTGCGCATGACATCTATCAATGGAGCGACATCTCCCACGGCCACAAGGCGGAAGGGCCACTCGAGCCGAAACAATGCGCACCGTGGCAAGATCTCAAGGTCTTCAGGGATGTCTGGGCGTAAGAGTCCAACTGGCGCGGTTCACTTCTTGTCTAGACTGAATTCCACAGAGGATCTTCTGGAAAGGAGAATGAATCGCGTCACAGAGAATCTCAATAATGATGATATGAGGCCAAATAGGCATGCAAGGTAGCACGCTTGTGTATGACACTAAACCGTAGATCTCTATGAACTGCAAGCAATTGCATCACTTGATTCTGATCTTCAACCCGCTCGATGATCATTCACAATCACCACGTCTCTGCATATGAAGTCTTTGACAGAAATAGGACGGTTGTCGGCTCCAGCCGAGTTCGAAATTGGTGCGGGTGAACTGCGGCCTGCTTTTTCAGCGCCAAGCATCGCACCTGCCTTTTCCTGAAGTTCTTCAATCCCACCTCACCTTGAATCTTCAGGTCACGACGACTACACACATCCACCAACAATGTCGCACCGAAAGTTCGAAGCGCCTCGCCATGGCTCTTTGGCATTCTTGCCTCGCAAGAGGGCCGCCCGCCACCGCGGAAAGGTCAAGTCGTACGTCAAACATTTGAGCGCACATTGATCCGCTGGCACGAAAAGTTCGAGCAGACCGTAACTGACACCTCCTCGCCGGATAGTTTCCCCAAGGATGACCCCAAGCAGAGCGTACACCTCACCGCCGCAATGGGCTACAAGGCCGGCATGACCACCATCGTGCGCGACTTGGACCGCCCCGGTGCGAAGTTGCACAAGAAGGAGATCGTCGAGGCCGCCACGGTCATCGAAACTCCTCCGGTACGAGACTTGGCGCCAATACCATTCATGGCATGCGCTGATCCGTACATTTATACAGATGATTGTTGTTGGAATCGTTGGATACATCGAGACTCCCCGCGGCCTGCGCTCGTTGACTACTGTCTGGGCTGAGCATCTCTCAGACGAGCTCAAGCGTCGCTTCTACCAGAACTGGTACAAGAGCAAGAAGAAGGCCTTCACCAAGTACGCCAAGAAGCACGCTGAGGAGGGCGGCAAGTCCATCACTCGCGACCTCGAGCGCATCAAGAAGTACTGCACCGTCGTCCGCGTGCTCGCACACACCCAGATCAGCAAGACCCCGCTCAAGCAGAAGAAGGCCCACCTCATGGAGATCCAGGTCAACGGTGGCTCCATCGCTGACAAGGTCGAGTTCGGCCACGGTCTCTTCGAGAAGCCAGTGGAGATCGACTCMATCTTCGAGCAGAACGAGATGATTGACTGCATTGCCGTCACCAAGGGTCACGGTTTCTCTGGTGTCACCAGCCGTTGGGGAACCAAGAAGCTTCCGCGTAAGACACACAAGGGTCTCCGAAAGGTCGCTTGTATCGGTGCATGGCATCCATCTCACGTGCAGTGGTCTGTGGCTCGTGCCGGTCAGGACGGTTACCACCACCGTACCTCGGTCAACCACAAGATCTACCGCATTGGAAAGGGTAACGACGAGGGTAACGCCACCACCGACTTCGATCACAGCAAGAAGGCCATCACTCCGTAAGTTGAAATCCTCGATTTGTTGCAAGGCCCAATCACTAACGAATTGTAGTCTTGGTGGCTTCGTCCGCTACGGTGAGGTCAAGAACGACTTTGTCCTCCTCAAGGGTTCCGTCCCTGGTGTGAAGAAGCGTGTCATGACCSTCCGCAAGTCCATGTTCATCCACACCTCCCGCCGCGCACTCGAGAAGGTCGACCTCAAATGGATCGACACCTCAAGCAAGTTCGGTCACGGTGCCTACCAAACTCCTGCCGAGAAGAAGCAGTTCATTGGCACTCTCAAGAAGGACTTGACCACTACCGCATAAACTTCCAGCGTGTTTTACAGGGATGGTCGGACAGGGCGGCGTTCATGATGGTTCTGGAGAGTGCAAAAAGCCTCTGGAGCGTTCACGGCATTATACGGGTAGTTAGTTTCAAATGATACCAGAGACTTTCTCCCGAACACATTCCGAGTGTAGGTTCTCATGTTTTCTTGGCTCTTCTAGTTGGCGACTTGCGGTGATGTATGACTTTCCGCCATCAGCGAACAGATCGCATGTTCCAGCATCAGCGACATGTTATTCACTCGATTGGCTTTGCACATGATTTCGAAAGAACATGCACGTTCTTACTCGTTGACAAAGGTTGACCGCGTGAGATCTACTTCTTTCTTCGCCTCGTCTTCAGTATCCTCTCTCATCATCACTTCTCACCAGCTTGATCATCACAACCACCACCACCACCACCACCACCACCCGTCATGGCTCCAACCCCCAGACCGCCCGGTGGACAGCTCGCCATCCAATCAAAGCGCAATCAACCATCTTCGCTGCTCAGAAAGCGCTGCGACCAGAGGTTTGCGAAGCTTCTGCAAGATTACCACGAGACAGACGGACATGCCGTGGAATGGGCCATCATCTTTGAGAGCGGACGGGACAACAAGCTTCTGCTCATCTCGGTGTTTGGGGAGGACGACGTTTTCCCGATTCGTTGGGCGGGCGATGGGGAGAGCGAGGATGAAGCTGAGGCGGAGATTGAAGCTCAAGCGAAGCTCGCTGAGGCAGAAGCGGAGAAGGCGAAGGAGGATGAGGGTAAGAAGCTGAACAAACGCGAGACTAGCAAGCTGAAGAGAGCAGCCCGCGAGAAACTGGAGGAGGCGAGCAGAGTTGCAGAGGAGATTGAGGCGAGGAAGGACGAAGAATCGAGCGAGTTGCCGACTAATGAAGAGGTGACCGAGGCTCAAGAACTGCCCATTTTCACCGCAACACAGTCCTACGACATCGAAAGCGTCTCAGAAGATGAGGATGTCCCTGAACAGAAAGCCGATCCCACTACCAAGACCGACTCCAAAGCTCGCAAAATCCCGTCTAGTTTCAAGGAGATTAGAAAGGAGAAGAAGAAGACCTACAAGGAGGATTACGCTGTTGTCGGCACCATCATGGAAGGCAAGGTGGAGTGGATGTGCGATGATAGTCAGTACGAAGGCTTCCAGGACAAGACGACGTACTTCAACAAGGATGGTTCGGCTTTGGTGCATGGCGTGAGATTCCACGATCGTATTACGAACAGGGAAATTGCAGCGTGGGCAGAGTTTGAGAAGATGAAAGACAAGGAACACGAGGTCTTTCTTGCGCAGGAGAAAGTCAAGAAAGTTTCGAAGAAAGCGAGGCAGAAGGCGGTATGTTAATGGTCCAGCATGATAAGGAAATAAGTATACTAACCTTGTTGCATAGGGCCTCCCAGCCGAGCACAGCGACATTGAAGAGGACGATGCTGCTGTTCGCAAGCGAGAGAAAGCCAAAGCAAAGCGAGTCAAGCAAAAGCAGAAGCGAGACTTGGCCATGGAGAGGGAGGCCGAGGAGATGAGGGCTGAGGATGAAGCTCGGAAGGCAGCCACTCAAGCTTGGTACGAGCAGCAGACTGGCGAGGCTATCAAGGATGGTGATGAGATCAAGGAAGTGGATCAAACCACCCCAGAAGGCGCGTTGGCCGTTCAGCAGGCGAAGGAACGTGGATATACGTTATTCGCGAAGCCCAAGCTGAATGGACCTGGGACTTGAGGGGGACGGAATAGGGGCTACCCACAGTTAACAATGCACCCCAAAGATCCAACATGTCTACCAAGGCGTGAAGTGCTCGCCGGGGGRCCTGCGGAGGGATCATTACTGAGTGATTTGATCAATCTGTAAAAGTAGCGAAGCAGGAGATAAGCTGGTAGACACCATATCGAATGTGTCGTTACCATGTTGTTCTCATCATTCCTCACTGTGTGACAGCCTCCTTCGCAGCGTCTCTGTAAGTCCTTCCTCAGGTGCGACAGCTAGCACTGGCAGGGCGATGAATGCGTCGGCATTACACGAACTTGAGCACTGGCGTGCKCCTCAGCTGGAAGGTTTGGGGAGCAATAAGTGTCTTACTCTTCGAAACCACCCAAGCACTTGGCGAGGAGTGACCATTGATCGTGGACTTCATGCCCAAACGCCCTTATTGGCAATTCTCACTTATCGATAGAGCAGCCGCGGGCTTCTTGAGCCTGGCTCTCCCCTCCAGTTCTCATCTTCCCCGGCTATACAGAAGCCTGCCGTGAACGGCCTGGCTCCATGGCCGATGGCCGATGGCCAAAAGCTAAGCTGAGCTTGTCGTGCAACCCGTAGTAGCGAATGCGTCCATAGATCTGGTATTCGCCGCTTCACTTCAGCTGAGAATAGCTTTGAAGAATGTGGAGCGTACGTGCTGGGTTCCATGAGTGAACGTCTTTCGGAGCCGGGTCGTCACCGATCTTTGCCTCCCTCAACCACGAAATAACGCCCGACCTTTCTCGCCGCAGTGCCTAGGACGTCCCATTCTTCGCACTTATTGGGCATCTCAGCCTGTCGTCGAATTCTCTTGTGGAACTTCCCTTTCACTTCTTCCCTCCCCAATRCCTCCCTCAAAGCATCTAGTCCCAACTCAGCTTCTCTCTCTCCTTCTTTCGTTTCATCTCGGAGACTTTGCAATGGCTCGACTCCGGTAGTGTCGACCTCTTGAATCTGCCGTACGAAGTGCAACTGCGACGAGAGGGTTGCGAGCATTGATTCTTCCTCGGCCGCATCTTTCGGCGGTGGCAGGGCAGAGAGGCGGAGGAGATGGCGCAACTGTGTCGATGTGACTGATGGAGAAGGTGTGGAGCCATTCGATGGCAGAAGAGAGGAAATGGACCAGGTAGGAGCCGCAAGGAGCTGCGAGACATCGATTTCTCGAGGCGGTGTCTCCAAGACTGTGGTGCTGGAGAGGCTACGGAACTGGTGAAATCGCACTGTTCCTGGGAGGGAGCTGCGGGCAACGCGAAGGCAGTTCCTATGCGCCGACATTGTAGTGTTTTTCTTGCGACTCTGTCGTTGATGTCGGTAGCCCGATGTCAAGAGCTTGAAGAGGAGGCTTGTGCAGCTTCGAATTAACGTTCGGGAGCACTTTACGCGAATTAGGCGACAGACGCGTCCTCCAGATGGAGCTTTGCCACCTCCCTCGCACTTCTTCGCTCTCGACTTTTTCAACCACCACCACATCCAACTACAACCATACAAAATGTCGGGAAGAAGAGCAGGAAATAGGATTCGTGGCCCGCAGAGTGCTTTGACTGACTTTCTTGCTGTAYGTTTAATGGATGATGACAATGCACCTCAAATTGCTGGGTTGCTAACGCACTGTACTACAGGCAAACAACATCTCGGCTGCACAGATTCGCGACGATTACGAGAGACGGAGACGAGATGCTGATCAGGCAGACGCTGCCACAGCAGGAGCATCGAATGAGAACGATGAAGATGACGATGCTGTGGCTGCTGTTGTAGCTGCGGACGTGGCCGAGGAGGCCGAGAAATTGGAGAAGAAGCAGAAACGCAAGCGCAACGAAAAGGAAGCTATTGGGAAGATCAAGAAAGCCAAAGCGTCATCTTCCAAGAAGGGCAAGGGGAAGAAGAGCAAGAAGGACTCCGACGACGATCTGGACTCCGACGATGAGTATGATGATGGGATTGCACGGGAGATGTACAAAAAGGCACGTCCTGCTCCAGGTCAATTTGAGCATTGCGAACTTTGCAACAAGAGATTCACCGTCACGCCATACAGCAAGGAAGGTCCTGACAATGGCTTGTTGTGTACACCCTGCGGCAAAACACAGACCAAAGACTTGAAGCAAGAAAAGGCAAGGGCAACCGCGAAGCCAGCAGGGAGGAAGCGACGCAAGCTGGAAAGTGATCGCCTCGACGGAGTCGCGTCTGGAGGGTCCAAGTCGTTGCAGCAGCTCTGCATTGCAAAGGTTGCCGAGCATCACGAGGATGTCGATGAGTTGGGTGAGTTACCACAGGGAGTGTTGGAAAAGCTGGGTGAGATTTTCTCCAAGAAGCGAGTGATGAAGCCTCGAACGCTGCCACTCTTCCTCCGGCCCGATCTGGACTCTGTCGTTGTCCACGATGCTGCTTACCTTGAAGTTGAGAACTACAACCAAATCGTATGTTTTGTTGGTTTTACAGGCTTACTTCTGGCTACTGACACTGTCACAGTTTGCTACGGTGCCCAAGATTCAGCGACTGATATTGGGAAATTGCTGCCAGCTAAAGGATGAATCGATCGACTACATGCTGGACAAGTGCCACGACCTGAGGCACCTACAACTCTATGCCGCCAACCTCGTCAGCGACGATGGTTGGAGTAGGCTGTTCCGCCAAGCAGGCAATAAGCTGGAGGTTGTTAAGCTGTCTTGGCTGGACGCTGCCTTCGACGACACATCAGTCCGCGAAATGGTGAAAGAATGTCCCAACCTCAAGAGGCTCAAGCTCAAGCTCTGTCGACGCATTGGTGAAGACGCCGTTATGGCCATGTCAGACATCTCCCAGCTTGAGCACCTCTCCCTATTGATGAACARACCAGTCTCCAATGACACCCTGCAAGACTTGATCACCAAACGTGGCGCCGCTCTTCGCACACTGTCTCTGGAAAAGTTTATGGATGCTGACGATGCTGTTCTCTCTGCCATCCACGGCTCGTGCACGCGATTGTCAAAGCTGCGTCTGACTGAGAACGACACAATCACAGATGCTGCTTTCGCCGCCCTCTTCACGGAGTGGTCCAATCCGCCATTGAGATTCATTGATTTCAACTCAAACCGAGACATCGACAACAACAATCCTGACGGCCCGGAACATGCCATTGGTCTCTCATCTACAGGTTTCAAGGCGATGATGGCACACTCTGGCGCATCCTTGAAACATTTGGATATAAGTTCTTGTCGTCACATTTCACTACCCGCATTCATGGACGTGTTCAATGGCGCAATGGAATATCCTGCTTTAGAACACATCAACGTCAGCTTCTGCAATCGCATCGAGAACACCGTCGTCGCGGGGATTTTCAGGAGCTGTCCGAACTTGAAACAGCTGGTGGCTTTTGGCTGCTTCGACATACAAGAAGTCGTGGTTCCCAGAAAGATCACCTTGATCGGCGTGCCTCGAGCTCAGGATGCCCTTGAGCAATATGGCGTCGGTATTGATGTTGACGAGGCAGTACAGCGGGTAAGCAAAAATAAGTGTCTCGAGGCTTTCGCGCACTCTCCAGCCCCGAATGTTCAAGACACACGCTGACTTCCATACTTCGTCTTTAGATGGTCGAGGTTRCAGCATGATGAAGCAATGACGAGAATTGCTATTATACACATGAACAGAAGATACCCAGGGACTTTCCGTTCTTACGGATCGTAGTAGGTCCACGATTGATGTTTGTGAGTAGATGCTATAACGAGGCTTGTACAGATACCATGATGTTACACGGCATTTGCCTTCTCGTGCGTTGTTCCCGGCACCAACCTTGTTGGATGGGATATCCATGTTGCATCTGCAGTGGAAAACAAGCATCGAAAAGATGAGTGGAATGAGAGCCCGGGCTACGAAGCGTCCCAACGTATTGGAATGGAGTTCTCGTCTCACAGGACTACAGCTGGGCAAGCTTTCGACCAATCCATTTGGGAGTGGCTTGGAAAGGTGTCGGTCCGCTTGTTAATCAATGCCACTCTCATGCACGAAGGAGCTATACATCAATGCCATGTGGACTGGCCATGTGGAATGAACTACCCCCCTGGGATTATGACGACACGCAGGCTACAGAACAGCATTCATTGATGATGATCGAAGAGCTACATGGAACTGGGCGAAGCTAACACAATCGCCTTGTCATTGGCGTCCAGTCTAGGCCTTCGACTCATGTTCGACTGACCAACAGTGCTTCATCTAGCATTATGCATTGGTGACATAGGTCCCTTTACGACCCACCACCCCCGCAAATGGCTTGGAAGCTGAAAGTGGGGCGTATCAGGGCTGGAGCTGGAAGTTCGGCATCGCGCGGGCACCACGCCGAGGTCACCCCTCCTCATGGTCGACAAGTGCATATTTATTGTTGCCTTCAAATCGGTTTGCTCATTCAACATAAATCGCTGATCTCTTCCTTCTCTCGGTGCTTTTTGCCTTCAGAAAACTTCGTTCACAACTGTATCTTCTCTACCACTCATCTCTTTCATCAACACATCATCACAATGGGAGACATTCCAAAGAAGTACAAGGCTGTTGTCTACGATGAACCTGGCAAGGTCAGCACAAAGGTCACTGAGTTGGACACCCCAGAGCCAGGTCCCGGCGAGGTTCTTGTAGCTCTCACACATTCTGGAGTATGCCACTCTGATCTTGGCGTAATGACGAACAGCTGGGCAGCTCTTCCAGCTCCAACACAAGCTGGTCAAGTTGGAGGGCATGAAGGTATGATCCMAGGGGTGTATTGCTGGCTCATCTGGTCATCAATGCATCTGTTAAGCTAATTGAAACGTTCGCTGACCTCGCTGTTCTATTCCTCAGGTATTGGAAAGATCGTGAAGATGGGTGCAGGAACCGAGACCGCTGCTGTCAAAGTGGGAGACAGGGTTGGTATCAAATGGGTCTCTGCCATCTGCGGATCTTGCCCTGCCTGCTTGAGTGGAGAGGACGGAGTTTGCTTCAATGGAAAGATTTCGGGATACTACACCCCAGGTACTTTCCAGCAGTATACCCTGGCGCCAGCCAACTACGTTACGCCCATTCCGGATGCTTTAGCGAGCGATATGGCAGCGCCCATGCTTTGCGCGGGTGTTACGGTGTATTCTGCTCTGAGGAAGTCCACTGCTAAGGCGGGTGATTGGATCGTGTTGCTTGGAGCTGGTGGAGGTCTGGGTAAGTTCATGCCATGTAGCTTCGAAAAGCGAAATTTTTGGCTGATTGTGATGTACAGGCCATCTTGCAGTCCAGATTGCCGCCAAAGGTCTTGGACTCCGCGTTATTGGAATCGATCACGGCAGCAAGAGAGATCTTGTCATGGAGTGCGGCGCAGAAGTTTTTATTGATCACACGCAAGGCAAGGCCGAGGAGGAAGTCAAAGCCGCCACAGGAGGACTAGGTGGACAGGCCGTCATTGTCCTCACAGCGGCGAACGGTGCCTATGCTTCGTACGTTTCCCAACATCGTCGACTTTTTTGAATAAGGAATCTGCTAATATGTTCTATAGATCAATGGGTCTGTTGAGATTCGGCGGTACTCTTGTCTGCGTCGGTATTCCCGAGGGAGAACTCACTGCTATCGCTACCGCCTACCCTCAGATCTTGATCGCCAAGGCCCAGAAGATTGTCGGTGTGGCGGTTGGTACGCGAAAAGATGCCATTGAGACACTGGACTTTGCTGCACGAGGAATTGTCAAGACGCATTTCAAGTCGTGTAAGATGGATGAGCTTACGGGAGTATTTGAGAAGATGGAGAAGGGTGAGCTTGCCGGCAGAATGGTGCTCGACTTGACTGCTTAAGTAAAGTAAGAGGTATCGAATGGTGAACGAATGCCGGGACGAGATTTTCCCAAGCCTTTCTACTGTGCTCTTTCAATGAAGTGAGTGATTCAGGTTCGTATTGCTTTCATGTTCGTTGTATTTCTATATCGCATCATGCTAGCTAACTATCTGGATATCATTTCTTTATGAACACTCCCCGAGCGCCAACGCTGATGCATCGTCCACAGTCCATTAAGCATTTCAATCCCGCTTGCCGAACACAGCGTCGTACTCGTTGAGAACGAATCTGTAGCGTACGCCATCGTTGTCATTGACAGCAGTGACAGCCTTCTTGCATCCTGCCTCGGAAATCGGGACCTTTGTGATCCAAGACTTGATGTTCTGTTTCGACGCAAGGTCAAACATGGCCAGCATCTCGGGGCGGTTGCCAATGTGTGAAGCACCAATGTAGCAACCGTTGCCGGCAAAGTCCTGCGCCATCATGGACGGTAATGGCTCATCGCCGAGTCCGACGTTGTGGAATCGGCCCATGACTTTCATCGTGCCGAAGTAGTCCTTTAGATTGAATTTGTGGGTTGCGTCAGCACCTAGAGCGAGGTAAAGAAGGTAAGCATGTCTCAAGTTTCGCGGCCCCAGTGTTGACGTACAGTTGAGAATGAAGTCGAAGTAGTAGGCGTATGGCTCGAACCATTTCTCGTCGCTGGTGACAACGAAGTTCTTGGCACCCATGGTGAGGGCATCCTCCTTCTTGCCTGGGCTGTGCGAAAGGACGGTGACTTCCGCGCCGAGGGCAACGGCCCACAGGATAGCGAAGTGTCCAAGTCCACCCATTCCTACGACTGCGATCTTCTTGCCAGGTCCAGCTCCGAGGCGTACAAGCGGCGAGTAGACGGTCAGACCAGCGCACAACTGTCCCATGCTGTTAGCCAGAATCTCTTTGTCGTCGGCACGTCGTCAAAACTGACCATAGGAGCGGCAACTTCTGACTCAATGTTGTCAGGGATCTTGAATGTGAAGTACTCGTGAGCTCGCATGTGAGAGGAGTATCCACCCTGGGAGATGGTGCCATCCTTGTATGGGGCGCCATAGGTGTCGACCCTGGTTTGGATGTTAGCCGTGGCCTCTCGGAACAATAGGACATTCTTACATGTTCGGGCAGTAGTTCTCCTGATCAGCTTTGCCTGATGGAGTGAAGCGATTAGAGTGATGCTCGCGCAATGGTCGATTCGAACGTGCACTCACAGTTGTTGCAAGTTAAATCAGCCTGAATCTGAGCACCAACGCCGACGCGGTCTCCAACCTTGATCGTCTTGACATCCTTCCCGACCTTGATAGCTTTTCCAACCACCTCATGGCCTACACAGATTGGCAATGGAGCCTCTCCCCAYCCACCGTTGATGGTGTGGACATCGGAACCGCAAACACCACAGCACTCAATAGCAATATCGATGTCGCGGTCCTCGAATGGCTTCAACTTGAATTCCTGCTTCTCAAACTCTTGCCACTTCTTCTGGTCCTTGACCATGAAGCCCTCTGCAGTCTCTGGGTAAACCATCTTGTTTGGTAAGAATGTGGTCGTTTTTGGTACGTGTTAAGTTGAAGATGAAGAGAAGAGCGGCCAGAGAGAAGAGGAGACGGAAAAAGTGGACTGCTAAAGCCGCTGCCAATTGATACCCTGGCGCTGGAGGCGAGTGAGGTCATTTAACCGTCACGAATGGTAGCAGTCGCCGACGAGTGAGTGCATCCTTACGTTGTTTCCTCCGTGGAGTTGTTGTTCGAATGTCCCATTTCATTCGTCCAGATTGCTGCCGCGTTTACGTGTCGGGACTTTGCGTGAAGTGACCTACCACGTAGGTTTCCCAACTTCAGTTTTCAGTTTTCAGTTTTCACCTTTCGCCTGTCCTGGTGCTTGTGCTGCTGCTCTGCCCTCCAATCAGGCTGAAAGTTCATCCGAGATGCGCCTTGCTATTTCAGAAACTATGGGCCTTGTACAGGCCAAGCTCAGCCCTCAAAGCAGAGCTGCGTTCATTTGTTTTTCCCAATGAACATTGGCGGTGTATTCCTGCGGCCATGCCGTTCCTGGAAGCGTCTTCTGTTTGTTCGTTCTGGTAAAGTCTTGGTGACTTGAGTGATGAGGACCTGGAAATCTTGACAAGCATAACCCCTCAATGTACCCCTCCTCGCCTTAAGCCGCCCCGACCTTCATCGGATTGCCTAAACCGTAAGGCGTCCTGCTTATTACAACCTAGTTCGATATCCCGCGTCTTCTTCCACTCTCATCGTTGGCCATTCTCAATTGCTCATACACCTTCTCCAACAACGCCTTCAACCGATCGCTGTACACCATGGCTGCCACCATGAAGGCTGTTCGATTCCATGGGAAAGAAAGTCTCAAGTATGAAGACATCCCGATCCCAAAATGCGGGAAAGGCCAGGTGATGGTTAAACCTGCGTGGTGTGGTGTGTCTATCGTTATACCAGAGCCATATGACGTTGCGTTGGCTAATCTTGATAGGAATTTGCGGAAGTGATTTACACGAGTACCTAGGAGGTCCATCACTCTGTCCTTCGGAGAAACCCCATCCAATCACTGGAGAGACGGTACCTTTGACGTTCGGTCACGAATTCTCCGGCGTCATCGAGGAGGTAGGTGAAGGGGTTTCTGACAGGTTCAAAGTCGGGAGCAGAGTTGTAGTGGCACCCATCATCTTTGACGGAGACTGTGGCGCCTGCGAGGAAGGACTTGTCAACTGTTGTTGGCAGAATGGATTCATCGGTCTATCCGGTGGCGGCGGTGAGTACGTTTGAATTTCGAGGGCACCGAGATTGCAGTATCGCTTTGATGTTTGTTGATCTGAGTGGTGGAAAGAACCGCCATCCATATGAAGGAATCCTTACGAGATTCGTTCCCCGGCTGACCTTAGATTATCCTCCTAGGCGGCCTTTCGGAGCATCTTGTGGTGCCAGAGTATGCACTGTATAACTGTCCCGATAATGTTGGGCTCGACACCGCAGCGTTGGTAGAACCTCTCGCGGTGGGCTGGCACGCGGTGAACTCCAGCCCGTTTAAATCTTCCGACACAGCGCTGATTCTGGGAGGTGGGCCGATTGGTGAGTAACAGAGCAAAACTGGCGCCTCGCCAATGCTCCATCGAGGCGTTTGCTGATGTCGTTATCCTCTATAGGATTAGCTGTTGTTCAGGCACTCCGGGCGCGAGGATGCCCACAGATCATCGTTTCCGAGGTTTCTGGAATGAGAAAGCAGTACGCAAAAGACTTCGGTGCCCACGTTGTGCTAGACCCTACAAAGGACGATATCGTTGCGCGGTGTATGGAGTTGACGAAGAACAAAGGTACGCTTTTCTCTCCGTCGGAATGGTCCATGTAAAGAGCTGACATGCTCGTGGCTAGGAGTGGATGTGACCTTTGATGCAGCGGGAGTCCAAACGGGTCTTGACCAAGCCATCAACTCTCTCAAGGCGAGAGGGACCCAGTAAGTTTTGATCCGAAGAAGATACATTTGCGAAGAGTGAACGTCTGACTCCCTCTTCTTTCCATAGCGTCAACATCGCAATTTGGGAAAAGCGCGCGACATTTATGCCCAATGAGCTTGTCTTCAAAGAGAGAAGCTATCTGGGTGTTGCCACCTACGTGCAAAAGGACTTTCAAGAAGTAATTGATGCATTGTCTGATGGCAGACTAGACATGGCCAGCAAAATGGTCACGAAGAGGATCGAAATGGATCAAGTGCTGGAAGAGGGATTCCTCACTTTGATCCATGACAAGGACAATCAAGTGAAGATTCTTGTCCGAGGCAGTGGTGAGGTTTGAATGTACGGGTCAGATGGTTGAGAAAGGTGTTGGAGTTGTGGAAGGTGGGATTCGAAGTTGAGGTCGATGGAGATCGTATGAGGTTGAGATTGAAGAAGAATGAGAGAGACCCATCAAGGTCGCGCCATCATTGTGCAGACTATACGTATTGCCTCGAAGAAACGTGAAGCGTGACGACCTTACTCTTATGCCCGGCGGCGACATTCCGCGAGTRTTGCTGATCCAGCGTCTCTTGGCATCGGAAGCCATTCCTGCCTAGTACACGTCGCCATGACACTGGAAGAGATGGAAGGCTGTCCCTGCGACGCATTATCACATGGAAAAGGTAGGTATGCTCTTGAGAGCAGGAACAGGGATGCTTTGGAGTCTGCGATACCTTACACGTCGCCAGGGCACTGGACGAGATGGAAGGCTGTACCTGCGACGCATTATCACATGGAAAAGGACGGTAAAGGTATGCTCTTTAGAGCAGGAGCAGGGATGCTTTGGAATTTGCGATACACGCCGAGTAACAGCCAGAATTTCATCATCCTCCCGTCCTCCTCGCGRGCTCGACCAACCAACAAAGGTCACACGCAGGGTACAGAGAGGACTGGCATCACGCACCCCAGAATTGTGGCTGAGAACACTCGAAACCTGGCGCAGGGCAGTGGGCGTACATAATGATCAAAAGGTAAGGTAAGGATGATGAAAGATCCTGGGGAACGACCTGCATTCGATCGGCGAGGCTGTGTGGCTTGTGGCTTGGTAGTCCGAAGAGAAAGTTGGCGACGGCGATCAACAAAGCGCCGTGAAGTCTCGAAAATGACGTCCACTCATTAAACCCTCCCGTCTCTATAGGCCAGACAACCACCCCCGTGCGACGGACAGTTTAAACAAGCCCTTTACACCGCATTCCCCAGCCGTTTTGCTTCTTGTTCCTCGTTACAACCACCACACCTCTCCCAGCCACTACACCACCCATCACCGCTCACCATGGGTCTCATCAAGGGCGGCTTCATGCGCCTGACGGCCACCTTCATCTACTTTTTGGCCTTTCTCGCGTCCGCCGTGATTCTTGGCATCTACGCGTACTTCCTGTCTGTCCTGGCAGACCGCAATGTTCGCATCCTGCCTCGTTGGAAGGCCGTCACCGGCATGTCTGGTGGAGGTGCCTTGTTCGCGCTCATTGCTGTTCTCTTTACATGTTGCTTGGGTGGTATGTACCTTATCTGAATCGCAAACTCAAAATCGTCGCGTACTGATTTCATTCCCTCCAGGAATCACCTTCTTCGGCTTCATCGCAATTGTCATTGACATTGCTCTCGTTGGCGCCTTCATCGCCATCGCCATCTTGACGCGCAGTGCCACAGGATCTTGCCGCACCAACTACTTCAACACTCCCCTCGGACTCACTGCGTCCAGCAGCTTCAACGATGAAGTCACCTACGCAGTTTCGGGAAAAACAGCCTGCGGCTTGAACAAAGCTGCATTCGCATGCTCAATCATCGGCGCATTCCTCTTCCTCATCGCAGCCGCCTTCCAGGTCCTCCTCATTCGCTCCCACAAGAAGGAGAAGCGTTACGGTCCTTCGCCATCCAACAATTACACGTCTGGCACTGGCAAGCGTAACTTCTGGCAGAGAAAGCCCAAGCACGACCAGACTCTCTCTCGTGATGCAGAGATGGGAACTACTGGCGCACCAGTCGGTGGCCTCGCTGCCCCCACTCAGGACATCCGTCCCAGCTACGAGACCGGCACTACGGTTGGCAACGCCAATGTCTATGATACCAGCAAGGCCGATGGCACCCACGCCGGTTACTACACACAGCCTCAGGGAACTGGTGTCAACCCTTACGGCCAGACTGGAACTGCCACCAATTATTAGATTGATTTGAATGATCACGACGATGACTGCAAGTAGATACCCACATGTTACGAATCCAGCGTGAGCGCGCGAAAGGATGGAAGACACGTCTTTCAAGGAGATGATAAACAGTAATCTTTAATACTATTAATCAAACCACTTCTCAAATCACTTCTCAAACGTTCCGTTCGTGGCATCACTCTCATGTGCATTGTCTAGATTCTTAATGTCGTTCTCCTGCGTCACGCGGCACAATACGCGCACTCCGGCAGCTGAAAGGTGTTGATGCCCTCTGTAGCATACCTACAGCTTTCATGCCGTTTGCGGCTTCTTTGCTCCCAAGGCTTGTCGAGCATCTTTCGACTCACCAGATCTGATGAAAAGGGCAATGTACAGTCGTTACCTAGCCAACACAGCGCAATTCAGCGACCTTCTTCGCGAAATTTGAACACATCGGACCCCCATGTTCTGAGGCAGAAGTTCAAGGACACGAAAGACGCTTTCCGAAGCACGTGCCAGCGCAGCTCACCTAAGCACCTTGCTTCAAGCTTTGGTTTTGGCTACAAGAAACATCTTCGGGCCAATATTGTGCATCGTGCATTGCTCCTCTTCGAATGCGCGCACTCGCACGCCAGAGCACTCGCCTGGCCACTATTCGTCAACCTTCTCAATCACGTGGTCGTCATGCAGCGGAGCAACTCCGTAGCTTCAACAGGACAGCGCATTCAGCAAACGAATCTCGCGGACCCAACGGGAATCCAGACCATGAGACCCGCACAGAGAATCGCAAAGACAGGGAGGAAATTCAAGCTCGCGAAGATGAAGTCGCTGCGCCAACAGCGGAGAGCGAATTGGGAGAGGCAAGGGCCGGCAACAGCTCAAGCCGCAAGTTGGGCGTGGAGAAGACACGGCGTCAGCGAGTGAAGGACATGAATAACGTACCGAAGCCTCCGCCAATTCCAAGTTGGTTCCTGAACCACAATGTCAAGTTCCAGGTGGAGTCTGCCTCGCCGAATCGCTCGGCGAAGAATGCGCAAGTCCTGCGATGTGTTGATCGGCAGACTGGCCATACGCTCTTCTTGCTGCCGTGGTATGAGGCGTGGCCTGTGCCAGATRCAGATGGAAGTGCATCTGCTGAGAAGAAGAAGCAAATAGACCGGGGCTTCTTTGACAACAAATTCGCGTCCCAACCTGAACCGACGACTCCTTCCAAATCGCGATCTGTGCCCACATCATCACCGCCGTCAAAAGATGATGTTGAGGAGCCAACCCCTCACAACCTAATACGATGGGCAGTCCTCGAAGCAGAAACCGGCATTCGAGCAGGTTTCACTGCTGCAGCTCGTGCTCAGCCTGCTTCTTCCCATGCAGCCTCCAAAGTAGACATATCGCTACTCTCAGACCCTGATACCCATGATCAGCTCGATGACTTGGTGGAAGATCTTGCGGCCCTGACGCAGGCTGATATAATACGGCTCGATGCAAATGATCTCTCGGACCTGACTGCGGACTATGTTGGCAAAGGCTCGGATGTTCCAGGAWCTTTCTCGGCATTGGGATATGATGTCTTCGATGGCTATACATCCTCTCCAAACCGCCCCGGTCGGAATTTGGAGGAGGATGAGGAAATGGACGAAATGGAAGAAGGCGAAGAAGATGAAGATGATGTTCACAGCACGGGCGGATTCAATGCCACACCCTTCAATGGCCTAGATGGTCTGAGAAAAGCACTGTTCGAGAATCGCCATGGTCTCGACAAGGCATTGGGAAGGATCAACGTTTCTGGAATCTCACTGGGGCCGGCTCACATGGCAAGGATAGGGCCTTTGGGCTTTGGGAGCCAGCTACGATCCATGGAGTCGTCGAATTCGGACGGATCGAAACCCTGGGATAGCGATAAGCTGGCCGCGTTGCTCGACAGTCTCCTTGATGCTCCCAAGTCGAAGAGGTTAATACCCGAGTCACAGCAGCAGGAAGGGTTGCGCCGCAAGCTGCCAAAGCTGATTGGGAGCGGRAAGGAGCAGATTGACAATAACATCCCGACGGAAGAAGCCCTAGCAGACCAAGCCCTCTGGAGATCATGGCGATCTAGTCCTTTTTGGCAACCCGATGTGGCAGGTCTGCTAGCAGGCCATGTTGTACGGTCAAAAGACTTGCCTTTGGAGCTAGAAGGGCACGACGGCCAAGTTCCCAATATTTCGGGTACATCACAGAGAACAATCGTCCATATCCGAGATCTCAAGGATATCTGTAACTCACGAATTGGCGATGTCATTGTACACAAGCTTGTTCGTGTTGTCCAGAAGCGAAGACGAGCAGGCGAAGAGATCCTCATTGTCGGCACGTCCGCTCAAGACGTGGTGGGCGGTACATTCGCCGGCTTCTCGCAGTCCACAGATGACTTTCCATTCCGGACGATCAATGTGCCTGCTTTTGACATGACTAGAATGGAACAATCGCAGTTCAAGATCGATGCCGCCAAAATTGAGCCGAACGCGAACCCTACCTACCACAGAATCTTGGAGATCAATTTGCGACATCTAGAAAGTATGTTGAGACGCCTCAGGCCTGGAGATCCTGTAGATCTCTTCACAGAGACAGCACAGCGTCAGCTGCGTTTAGCGGGGTCCCAGATCCTAAGCCAAAAAGTGCTATCGCATGACCATGTGCAACGACTCCTGCTTACCGCCATCGGATTGAGCCAAACGCATGCACCGGCGGAGACGGTCAGTGCAGGCCACATTGGCCTGGCTGTTCTAATCACTGGGCAGGCAGACCGCAATGCCCGTGCTTGGACCTCCTACAGCTACGGCAAAGAGGAAAGACAGGACGTTGCCGAATCGAAAGATCGACTGGAAACTGCAAACTCCGGGGTGRACAAGGCCAAGGCGAGAATTGATCAGCTGGCAAGGACCTGTAATTCYCACGAAACCAGACTCCTGGCCGGTGTGGTTGATCCTCAAAATATCAAGACTGGATTTGGGCAAGTCCACGCACCGCCCGAGACGATTGAGTCCCTGAAAACGATGACCTCGCTATCGCTGCTGCGACCGGAGGCTTTCAAGTATGGTGTTCTAGCTGCCGATAGGCTTCCTGGTCTCATGCTATACGGACCTCCTGGCACGGGCAAAACGCTTCTTGCTAGAGCCGTCGCAAAAGAAAGCAAGGCGACCGTGCTGGAGGTCAGCGGGGCTCATATCTACGAGAAGTGAGTGTCATTTTTCCACTTTCAAATACATTGACACTTTACTAACACTCACTGCAGATATGTCGGAGAAGGCGAGAAGATGGTGCGAGCGGTATTCAGTTTAGCCAAGAAGCTTTCACCATGCATTGTGTTCATCGACGAAGCTGATGCGATATTCGGAAGCCGCGGCAATGCCGGTAACAAGAACACCCACCGAGAGATCATCAACCAATTCCTGAGAGAGTGGGATGGAATGGAGATGGCCAACGTTTTCATCATGGTTGCCAGTAATCGACCCTTTGACCTCGACGACGCTGTTTTGCGACGACTGCCTCGAAGGATACTGGTGGATCTCCCCGTGGCGAAGGACAGAGAATCTATATTGAAGATTCACCTCCGTGAGGAAGCACTTGACGAGACTGTCAAGCTGACGGAACTCGCGGAGCAGACTCCCCTATACTCCGGTTCCGATCTCAAAAACCTCTGTGTCTCTGCAGCCCTGGCCTGCGTAAGAGAGGAGAACGATCTAATGAACAGCAAGCAAGACGACAAGGACTTCCAACTTCCTGAGAAGCGAACACTTTCAGGACGGCATTTCGAAAAGGCAATCAAGGAAATCAGTGCGAGCATTTCCGAGGACATGTCGTCTTTGACGGCTATTCGGAAGTTTGATGAGCAGTATGGTGAGAGGAGGGGCAGGAGGAAGAAGGCTGCTTATGGATTTGGGATGGGAGATGCGGGGGTTGATGAGAGTTCTGCGAGGGTGAGGCCGCCGGAGAGGTGATGATGGTGATAGAGATAGAGAGATGGTTGCTATTCATGAGAGTATGATTGATACCTACCTGTCTTTAGACATGATACTCCAGCGGGTTTCTCTCAGCGTCGCTACGGCTTACTTTGGCGTGACATTCACCTCGCTACTTATCGGGACTTTACTGGTCTTGTCTAGTTCACTCCGGTGTATCATCCTGGCTAGTCTGTGAGATACTAACTTCTTTCTGTGTTACTCCGTACGATCGCTTCGCCTTCTTTTTCCCCGAGCAGCTCAAGGTAGGGGATTTTTTTTTCTTTTCTGCGAGAACGGCGTGCATACGACCGAACGACGCGTACTCACTCCTGCTGCCATTGGTCGTCCCTATGTATAGTCACTCGTGACCGATACGGATTTTCTGTAAAAGGTTGCAATCTATCCGAGAGATGATACCTAGATGTGGACGCCCCTAAAATGTCTCACATGCCGTGACTTTGTGACGAACTGTCCAACACTCAGTGCACAATTGGGACGGATATAGGAAGAAAGCCTCCGCTCAAGGGCCGCGGAGGAGGGCGTGTACGCAACGCAATGCTTGGCTGTGGAGCATGGCTCGCTGGGCGCTGCAAGTGGCAAAGTTGACATGCCGATGCGATGCTGTGACATGCTGATTGTTGCTGCTGCGGCTGCGGCGGCGGTGTTGGGTCAGCATCATGCGAAAAGGGCACAAAGAGCGCTGACATTGACGGAAATATGGACTGTACATATATGTAGGTACAGAGGAATGGCAGGTCGCGAGGATCAGCAGTCGCCATAGGGATTTGGCAAGGGAGCCAAAGTTGGAAACGACGTGCAGGTACGCAATGGTCGTCAGGTGGTTGTGGCGGAGCCGTTTCCCTTTTTTTGCTTGGTCGACGGGAGAGCAACCGTTCGACGCATGGTTTGGTCGTATGGGCGTCAGGACTACGACAACCTACGGTACCGCTCTACTCCGGACCTACCTACCTCTGCTGTATACATTGCACCAACTCTACCGTCTCGCGCTCGCTCGTTTGCTCGGTCCTCTCCCTTGATCTTCCGTTTTGTTAGACACTTCGATCTTTTACATACAATACCTTCAACCAGTACAGCTCGTTGGTCGCGAACCTCCCTGTCGGGCTCTCTCAGGAACCACTTCCGCCTACTACCGAATTCCCAACTGCGCCGGGTCTGCTGAAGCCACATAGACCTCGATTCCRACTCAAAGCACGCCCACGCGGCCATGCGTGCGGTCCCGCTGCATCTTCTCTGGCTTGCTGCGACTGCCCTTGTCTCGCCGCTCGTAAGCGCCAGCTCCAGCGTCCGGGAACCCCTGGGCGCCCTCTCGACCGTGCAGAATGCGACAATTCACACGTACAACCACCGCGTGACGGCTTTGTCAGAGTTTGACCTCACATTTAATCTTCGCAACGATTTGCAAGTCAAGTTGCGCTTGGAGCCCAACCATGACATTCTGGGCGCGGATTCGACCGTRACATTTTTGGCTGAGGATGGAAGCGTGGCGCGGACGGAAAGCGTGGATAGACTGCAGCATAAAGTGTACAGAGGAACGGCATATGTGCAGCGATCGAAGAGAGGGAACGATGACTGGAGGGAAGTGGGATGGGCTCGGGTGACGGTCACGCGAGATGGAAAGAGTCCTGTCTTTGCAGGCGCATTTGTGGTGAACAGAGACCACCATCATATACAAACGGCGACGAACTACAGACGAACGAAACATCGACAGGATCCGGAGATTGAGGAGAGCTATGGTGGCGATGAGTACATGGTTGTATGGAGGGATTCCGACGTGGCCAAGGATGGATATGGTCATCAAGATCTGCGTCGAAATGTTGACGGTGGCGCCGCTACCTGTCTCTCCGATAGTCTGACCTTCAACTCGGACGCCGATCATCCTGTTTATGCAGGCATGAGGAAGCGCTCGGAGCAATCCTATGGCTTCATGGACTTTAGCAACCTTTTCAAACGCCAGATCGATGGGACTACCACTGGCAACGGCGCATCCGGAAACCTGCTGGCCAGCATCGGACAGKTCCAAGGTTGTCCGACCACTCGCAAGGTAGCCCTGATGGGTATCGCCACTGACTGTACTTACTTGTCCTCTTTCCAAGGGAACGAGTCGGCTGTAAGGGAGAACATTCTAGACGTGGTCAACTCAGCATCGGCAGTCTACGAGCGTACCTTTCAGATCTCGCTCGCCCTGCAGAATCTCACCATATCGCCTGCGAATTGCCCTGGTACGCCTGCCGCTGCGACGCAATGGAATCAGGCATGTTCTGACTCGGTTGACATCTCGGCCCGCCTGAACATGTTTTCATCTTGGCGGGGCGCCCAATCTGATACGAACGCATACTGGACGCTCCTCAGCACGTGTACCACTTCTTCCGCGGTTGGTCTCGCATGGCTTGGCCAAGTCTGTGTGGGTACCTCTTTMACCACTAATGGATCCGTCACTGGAGATGGTGCCTCTTCCGGCACTGGCAGCGAGACAGTCTCGGGCGCGAACGTTGTCATTAGGACGAATGGCGCCAACGAGTGGCAAATCCTGGCTCATGAGACAGGCCATACTTTTGGCGCTGTCCACGATTGCACAACAACCTCATGTCAAGACACTGCCTTTGTCCAATCGCAACAGTGCTGTCAATACAGCGCAACATCTTGTGACGCCGGTGGTCGATTTCTCATGGACCCCACCTCATCTGAAGGGGTAGAAGACTTCAGTCCATGCTCCATCGGAAACATCTGCAGCGGACTAGCCCGCAATTCTGTCAACGGTCAGTGTTTAGTAGATAACCGCGGAGTCACTACCATCAGCAGACAACAGTGCGGCAACGGTATTGTAGAGCCCGGTGAGGATTGCGACTGTGGTGGTGCGGAGGGCTGCTCAGACAACACGTGCTGCGATGCCACGACATGCAAGTTCACCCAGGGCTCCGTCTGCGATGACGCGAACGAAGACTGCTGTAAGAGCTGTCAATTCGCGTCCAGCGGCACTGTCTGCCGCAGCAGCACCGGTCAGTGCGATCCTCAGGAGGTTTGCACGGGTACCACGTCCTCATGCCCAGACGATCAGACCGAAAAGGATGGAACGAAATGTGGAGATGGTGATTTGAAATGTGCTTCAGGGCAATGTACAAGCCGAGACAACGAGTGCAAGGTCCGCATGGGAAGCTACACTCAAGGCAACGATACGTATGCTTGTGGAAACTCAGGCTGCACCGTTAGCTGTGCCAGTCCAGAGTTTGGTTTCAACACTTGTCTAGGGTTGCAACAGAACTTCCTAGATGGTATACCATGCGGAGGCGGCGGAAGTTGTCAAAACGTAAGTCATAACCGCATATTCAACTACTCCCTCTCGCTAACCTTCCATCACAGGGTCTATGTAAAGGCTCGACTTTTGGCGGCGAAGTCAAGTCCTGGATCGACGAGCACAAAAACATAGTCATTGGTGTTGCCTCGGCAGTTGGCRGTCTCCTCCTCATCGCTGTTTTCAGCTGCATCGTCAGCTGTTGCAGACGTCGGAAGACGACCCGACGACGAGTCCCCAGTCCACCCAATGTTCCTCCTCCTGGTGGGTGGCAAGGCTGGAACGATGGCTCCCGATCCAACCCACAGATGTCGCAGCACGCTGCTGTACCACAACATCCTAGTCAAGGATGGTTTGATCAGAACCAAGGGAATCAGTGGGCGCCGCCACCCGCACCTCCGCCGGTGTATAATCAGAGGGGAGGCAGTACGAGATATGCTTAATCTGTGAACCGTGCATCTGGGATGGAGCTTTTACTTTGTATTTTTGGCGAAATTCTCCTTTTTCTGAAGAGAGGGTGCAAATATTTAACGAGTGATGAATCGTATTAGATCTGGCGAGACTGTATAATCAGTCAGGATATGTAGATGGTCATGTGTTTGGACACAGAACTGTCGATAATTTCGAGGACTTGATTCTTCTTGTTGTCGTTGTGCAATTCACTCCAACTCAGTCGGCAGTTCCAACGCGGCATGGTTCAAATGACTTAATCGATGACCTAGAATGACAACGTGGCAGACGATGGATTCAGTAACAGACTGGTTCATTCCTCCGGGAACTATGAAAAAGTCGACTTGCAGTGGTATATCCCAAATAAAAAATCACAAGATCCGCTACTACTTCTTGCCCTCCTTGACTGTCTCGATGATCTTATCCACCACGGACGGGTCTGCGAGGGTAGAAGTATCACCGAGCTGGTCCTCCTCGCCCGCAAGGATCTTTCTCAGAATACGACGCATAATCTTTCCAGAACGAGTCTTGGGCAAATCTGGAATGATGAAAATCGCCTTGGGAGCAGCGAATGGTCCAATGGATTTCCGCACTTGCAGAATGAGGTCTTTCTTGAGTTGGTCGTTGATGTCGTGTCCGTCTTTGATGGATACGAAAGCGTTGACGGCCTGGCCGGTGAGTTCGTCGTTGATCCCGACAACGGCGGCCTCTCCGACTGCGGAGTGCTCGATGAGTGCGGCTTCGATCTCGGCTGTGCTGAGACGGTGGCCGGAGACGTTGACGACGTCGTCGACACGGCCGCGGATCCAATAGTAGCCCTCGGAGTCTCGTGCTGCTCCGTCACCCGTGAAGTAGTATCCCTTGTAGACGTTCAGGTAGGTGTCCATATATCTCTTGTGTGCGCCGTAGACCGTACGGGCCATTGATGGCCATGCCTGCTTGAAGGCGAGCACACCCTCGACATCGTTGCCATTGAGCTCCTCGCCGCTGACTGGGTCGATGATCGCGGGCTCGACGCCGAAGAAAGGTAGAGATGCCGAACCGGGCTTCGTGGGAGTAACACCTCCGAGAGGAGTGATGACGTGAGAGCCGGTCTCGGTTTGCCAGTATGTCTGTGGTTTTGTTAGTACAATGCTTTCTCTTGGTTTGGCGGGTGCAACTAACGTCCACAATGTGTGCCTCCTCCTTTCCGACAATCTCGTGGTACCATTTCCAAACCTCTTTAGCAATGGGCTCGCCGACGGAGCCGAGGACACGAAGGCTCTTCATCTGGGCCTTGACATGCTCGTCTCCTGCACGCTTGAGTAGACGTAGCGCAGTTGGTGCCACGTAGAATTGGGTAACTTCGTACTTTTCGCAAATGTCCCAGTACCTGCTGAAGTCGGGGTATGCTGGAGTGCCCTCGAATACAACAGTGGCAACACCAAGAACCAATGGAGCGTATACGACGTAGGTGTGGCCTGTGATCCAGCCAACATCACCACCGCAGAAGAACTTGTCATTCTCGTGGATGTCAAAGACGTATTTACCAGTTGCTGCGGCCCCGAGAAGGTAGCCTGCGGTCGTATGCATGACACCCTTTGGCTTTCCAGTCGATCCAGAAGTGTAGAGCAAGAATAGAGGGTCCTCGGAGCTCATGCTCTCTGGTGGGTAGTACGCTGGCCACTTCTCCATTTCCTCGTGCCACCAGTAGTCTCGTCCCTCGGTCCATGGCACCTCTGCACCGGTGCGTTGGTAGACAAGGCAGTGGGTGACGTTGGGGCACTGCTTCAAAGCATCGTCGACAATCTTCTTGGTGCCGATGAGCTTGCCTCCACGCTTGCCCTCGTCTGAGGTGATGACCACCTTGGAACTGGCATCGATGATTCGATCGCGGAGCGAGTCGGCACTGAATCCAGCAAAGACAACAGAATGAACTGCACCAATACGCGTGCAAGCCAAGAAAGCGACCAATGCCTCTGGAATCATGGGCAAGTACAGGGCAACAGTGTCGCCCTTTTGCACGCCCATTTGTTTGAGCACCCAAGAAAGCCTGGACACCTCACGCAGGAGCTCGCCATAGGTGATGGTGCGGCCCTCGCCCTTTTCGTCAGCCTCGTAGATGATGGCTGGCTTGTCGGGATTCTTGATCGCATGGCGATCCACACAGTTGTATGATGCATTGAGCCTTCCCTCGGTGAACCAGGCGGTGTCGCCGCCAGCTAGAGTTCCTGAGCGAACGGTCTGGAAATCGCGCTCCCAGGTGAGGAGATCGCGTGCCATTTTCCCCCAGAACTTGTCAGGCTCAGCGATGGACTCCTTGTACATTTGCTTGTACTCATCCATGGACCCGATATGAGGGCTCTTTGGGTGCTTTCTGGAGGATCGTCAGTGGAGCCGCAGACAATGGCAGCTTTCGGCTATGGCTTACTTTAAGAGTGCCTCTGGGACATGGTATGTCTCCGCATTGGAGGACTCTGGAATGCCATTTGGCGGTTGAGTGTTGCCTTCTGACATGGTTGCTGGGATGCCTGTGACTGCAAGAGTGAGGTTTTTGCAGAAACGGAGGGAGGAAGGTGGTGAAGAGGTATCAAGAGAGGTTAAAAAACAACAGAGCGCGATGCGGTAATGCAGATGTGATAAGAGGCTGACTCCGCGAGAGCTTAGCAGTCTTCCGGTGATGCTGAGTGGAGTAGCCGACTCTGGTGTTCAGTCGCGTTTCCGAGGATATGTCGCGATGACCTAGTCTGGACCCACTACACAGCGATCCAGTGTGCGCTGCAATTTCCAACAGCAGTCCAGAGCAGCAATTGCTGTGCGGTGGTGGAAGAGCTTCTCGGTACCGTGGGCGATCGCGGGGCAGCGGGGCTCAGATGCAGTCCAAGTGCTCGGCTTGGTATCCGTTCGACCGCTGATCGAGACGCGGCGCAAAAAAGGCCTCCGCTTGGACGGCAACAAGGAGAACAGATGTTGATACAGCACTTCATCAGGCCGAGCAATGGCGTACGCCCAGCCAGCCCAGATGTGCGGTTGCATTTTGATGGTTGCTTTTCGCGAATCGCGACAGTCACGCGTTGAATTGCGTATGTCTTTGGATCTTGCCCCTGTCAGCAGCTTCCACAGAGGGCCCCTTRGCGTCTCTGTGCCTTTGCGGGCAACCCATCGGGTGCAGCTTGATACAGCGATGAGAGAGCGTTGACAGAAGGTGCAGGATGAAGTACCATGAGCAAGGCCGCTGGATGTCCATAAAGCCCAGGGCGTGCCACAGCAGGTCTCATCCATGCAGATGCAGATGGCCGTCGCCGAGTACGGACGTGAGCACGAGCCACGAGCAGCTTCAGCATGTGATGGCCGTGACCATGACAGGAATTCACGAGAATGAAAATCTTGTGGCGTAGATCGAGTCGTGTTGTGTGTACCTCACCTTCATCAATCCAATACGGGCGAACCCAAGACTATGGCAGCCGCATCTCATCCCCTGCTGAGGTTGCGTGAGGATTGGCTCCATGTCCTCTCAATAATCTAAGGCAGGTGACGGGAGGAGCCGAATTGGCGAAGCCGAACCCCTGGCAACACTGTTCTACGATAGCATGGGTCCTGTCGAGTCGCTATGCGCGTCTCGAGAACCACGATTGTGAGATTTCACAACCCTGGCCATCTGAATAACGCAGCACGCGCTCAATCGAACTCGCATCCGATCATTACGCCCGCCCTATCGACAGTCTTTCGGTGACCGCTCGCCTGCGTTCTCCAACATTCCAGCTTCATCTTCAAATTCCAGTTTCAATATGCGATTTGGAAGGCAATGACAACAATGAGCTGGCACCAACCTCGAATACCGTGAGCCCGTCTGCGAGTATTCTCGCCATGTACACGCCATGCTAATCCATCTTCTGGGCCTACAGGTGGTACTCCCGAAGACGCTCGTTTGAAATATGAGCTCCTACTCCAGCCTGCGTCTCACGCCCTCGAATTCGCCGTACATCCCTTTCGCACGATCACCCACTCCACGATCACCGACCAAGTCCGGACGCCAGGAAGAGCCCGGATTGCAGCTGCAAAAGGTCATTGGAACAACCACCGCCTCGGCCAATGCCTTTGACTGTCTCCCCGCAGCCGGCAAGTTTGCCTTCACGGCGGGCTCGGCGGCAGTGCTGGCAACAGTGAATGATGAGCTGGATGTAATACAGCATTTCTTTCGCGCAAATCCCAGCTCGGCGGCACGGGACACGGCCAATGGATGGCCAATTACGCCCACGCCGGGTGATTCTCGAAACAGAGCGCTCGGGCATGTCAAAGACCAGACATACTCCACTTCTCCCAACAATGCGGCGTCTGTTCGAGATTGGTCAGAGTCGAACAGGTCTCTCACGGCCAAGGACCGTGTCAAAGCAGCCACATCGGTCGCAATCAGTCCCAATGGGAAGTGGATTGCCCTTGGTGAGACTGGATACAGGCCAAGGATTTTGCTATTTTCTGCCAGAGATGGCTCCTCGGAAACCCCAGCTTCTACTGTGGCGGAGCATACATTTGGGGTCCACGCTCTCAGCTTCAGTCCTGATAGCTCAAGGCTGGCTTCTCTGGGGACTGTCAACGATGGATTTTTGTATGTGTGGAGCGTAGACGCAGGAGGGGCGATGAACCTGTTTGCGAGCAACAAATGCACGACGCTGATACATGCCATGTCTTGGATGGGCAAGAGCGTCGTCACCGCCGGGCTTCGCTTCGTCAAAGTCTGGCGTCCTGACGAAGATTCAATCTTGGAGCCACGCGATAACAGTCGCAGTACTTTAATAACCCCGCGCCCAAAGCTGGAGGGAAGAAATTCTGATTATGGCAACAGCATTCTCACTCCCAAGCATCGTGTTCTAGCAGGGAAGAACAGCTTGCTTGGAGATTTACTGGACGCTACGTTTATCTCGGTCGTTCCAATCTCCGAGACGAAAGCTCTTGTCAGTGCAGAAAGTGGCGAGGTTTGCTTGCTTGACGATAGCGATCGGATGCAAGTTATGACGCTTGCAATCCATGCGGGCATGCGCATCACCTCCGCTCGTGTGGACGACAAGGGCGTGTTTCATGCAGTCGGCCCTGATTGCCAAACTGCATCGTTTCTCGTGTCTGAACTCGAGAAATGTGTGCCTGCGAGACCCACGAGTCGCCGACAGTCGGGGACAACCAGTAAGCTTTCCACGTATGGTGGTACCACAGTCGTGGCAATCGCCACTGTTGGCACCGCAATTGTCGAGATCAATTCGGATCGTGGTATCAGGTTATCAAAGCCTGACCCGGATACAAGCGTGGATGGAAGCATGCAGCGCCGTCGACTCCCCGCTCATGGAGACGCGGTCCTGGGCGTGCGGACGATAGAATCCTCTACGTTGCCCAGAGCCGCCTTTTTTACATTCTCTGGCAATGGCACAGTGCATTTCTGGGATATGGATGGGGTATCGGTTGGTGGAATCGCCGTACCCATTGATAACGCCCCTGAAATGTACGGGATCCCGAACGAGCTCACAGCCTTGGCGACTATCGGCGATGGGACGCTTCTCATAGCAGGCGACAAGTACGGAATGGTTTCTCTGGTGGAGATAAGCACAAGAGTCGTCGTACAGCAAGTTCGTGCGCATGCTGCCGAGATACTGGACTTGTTGGCATTCGAGCGCGAAGGCGCTCAGTTCTTGGCCTCCGCCAGCAGGGATCGGACGGTGCAGCTCTTCACATGTCGGAACAAACGGCTGAAGCTCTTACAGACCATGGACGAACACGCAGGTGCTGTGACATCTCTTCTTTTGGCGCAGAATGGAACCCAGTTGCTTTCATGCTCGGCCGATCGTACAGTCGTCGTCAGAGATTCCGTGTTCAGGGATCATCTGGACCCATCCACCTTAGCTTTTGGCATGTTGCGGTGCATCACGCTAAAGTCCGCGCCCACCAGTATGTGCTTGGCCGCCCAGCCCGACTCGATACTGGTGTCCACGCTGGATCGCTGCATTGTGAAATACAGTACCAAGAGTGGGCAGCCAGGCTTCAGCTTCAAGTGCTCGGACAATGACGGTGGAGAAGCAGCAGTGATGTCAAAGGTCCTCTACGCGCCGTCACTGAATGGCAATCCTACCATTGCCTGCGTTTCGAGCAGTGACAAGTCAGTCCGCCTTTATTCGGAGTATGGGTCTCTGATCGCCCGGGACTGGRGTCACACTGAAGGAATCACTGACATGGCCATTGTTATGCCACGTCTTTCGAAGGACACTGAGACGATGGACACCCTGTCGCCGCGCATAGTGACTGTCGCCGCTGACTCTACGATCTTTCTGTGGGACAGTAAGGTTACGAGCAGTCGATCACAGGTACAAACATCCGACAGCGCAAACGAGGGACAAACTACGCCTACGACTACACCGCTTGGCCCGCCACTGAGAAAAGTAATCTCTCACTCGGAAATTTCACGATTTCGTCGCGAGAAACCCGCGTTCGAACAAAAGTCGCCCTCACCGGTTGCGAATGGCACCCCGACGCACCCACAGTCACCGCCGAAAATGCGCAAGAAATCGTCTAGAATAGCTCTTTCTCAAGCACCGCGTTTAGAACCCGGCACTCGATCGAATTACGACACAATACGGCGTAAAACTGTGAAAAATAGATCACCGTCTCCTCAGAGTCCACCGAATCCGAGCAAAAGGGACGTTAAGCGGCGACCTTCATTGGGCGTGACTCTACGTTCGAAGAGCAGCGAAAATATGCTCAGCACTCCGAATGCCTCGAACAACAGCTTCGGATCATTGACGGGGTCAACCGAGTCTATGTGTCGCACCTTGCGCACGTACAGGAAGAAGCTGGCGAATACTCCCACAAGTGAGGTTGTGTCTGCCGACGCCCTGCGTGAGTTGGAGAAGGAGCTCAAGCTCACCGCCAAGATCCTTGGAGAGAGGTCACACGAAAAGAACATCAGTGAGGCGGTGTTGGCCAAGTTGCTGGACCAGGCGACGGAAAAGTTTGCGGGGCTTCTCAACGACCAGCTGAAGGGGAAAGGTGACAACAGGGCCTTGACACCTGCCACAAGCCCGTTACCAGAAATTGATGAACATACTATAAGCTTCGAACGCTCAGATACCGCCCCCGGGGCTCTAGAGACGCGTGGCATCGGATCGTGATGGTCGTGTCTCACTCTTAGTCCTCTTGGCTGTAGATTTGGATTTGGCGATTCGGGTCCACTAGGGCCTGGTATGTTCTATGCAGAGGCCGACACTGTCTGGAAGTCTCGATGGAAGTCACGATGAGCACGAGCATGAGCATGAGCATCAATGTGGGAGGGGAGTTGCTCGGGGGGACGGCGTTCAAGATACCCTTTTCTTTTTGGCAGACTTATGTATGAGTAGCGCACGACTTGATTGAATGTTGCGCAGCAGCACGATTGCTCTTCCTCTTCGTCCTCGAATGGTGTTTGTTTCCAAATCGCTGTGCCAAGACGTGAGATGCTCGGTCCTACATTCTGAGACACACCGACTGTGCGGGCTGGAGCACTTGGTGAAATGGATGGAGGCGTGTGTGAGGGGAAAGACATCGAGACCCTTGGCATCAAACCAGTACCACGGATCATAGGTGAGTGTGGCGGAGAAGCTGTGCATCTACTACAAATGCCTTTTCTAGATGACGGGTTACCTAGCTGCTCAGTAGTATTGGTACTCTAAAGTGGGACTTGTCTTGAACGACGACGTCGTAGGACTGTGAAGATGGCAAAGGTAGGTAATCTGGACCTTCCACATCGCATGGGAGTGTTCTTTGGGTGGGGCTACTGTAAGTTACGACTTTGTGCGGTGCGGTTCAACGGGGCGGATCATTATGGTCAGGTTCTTCACAAGGGGATCTTGGGTGGTGTATTCGGTACGCAGGTTCTCACGCAGGTGCATGCAGGTACACGCAAGATACGCAGGTTTCGGCTTGTTCTTCTGATACATTTTGCTTTAGTGATCTGTTCACTACCAGCGGGCATGCAACTTGCCAATGTGTCGTGCAGCAGCAGCGTACTTCGAAGCTCTGTCACGTGCAAGGCGGAAACTGGCGGAGGCCGAGATCGAGACCGGCGCGTCGGCAATGGGGGCGAGGTTAAGCTTTTTCAGACCTCACGACATCAAACCTTCTCGACACCCAAGGGCCACCAACGCTTTCTGGTCCCGTTACCAACTAGCAATGCGACGGTTTTTGCCGAGAGTCTTGACGCAAAGTTCTGCTTTGTAACATCCTGCCTGGCATACGCATATACCGCGAACTAGAACCTTGACAAGGTTCCTCCCGGCAAGCCAACTCGAAGTCAAACATAGCAAGACCAGGACGCCAATATTTCCGTGGCTGATGAGCCATACACGGATCCTCACAAATCGTTCCCTACGGATGTCTTGAAGCAGCAGCTGCGAGTTCGTGGATTGTGTCAGGATGTGTGAAGCTCCGCGGCTCTCGCTTCACAACCATCACGCCACGCCACGCCGTCCACAAGATAGCATGGTTCGTGTCAAGCCCACGCTTTCCTGTTGTGCTTGCAATGCGGCTGTCGATTGGTCATATCGGCTCCAATATGGACAATGTATGTTCTCGTCGAAATGCGGTCCAGACTATACCCTATGCTCGCATGGCAAYCATTAGAAAGGACATGAAGTAATACATACACCATGGGAGTAGCGTGCTGCTAGTCCCTCTACGAGTCCAAATACCCCTTTGGTATCTAGATCTCTAGCTGGTGCAATATCTTTGCACGTCGTCTCAACTCGGCCCCGGAATCTGAGGACGAATGCGGCAGCGCTACGATGGCTAGGGCCTCTAGCCTCCCACACAATCACTGCTTTGGGAAGTAAACAGACTTGGTCTGGATACCGTAGACTCGATCTTTTGATTGGAGATTCTACTTGTTCTCGGTCGTAACGGAACGATAGGTGAAGGCTATATATCTATCCTGGCGACGTCCCATCTTTCTCTCGACATCACTCGCACAGTATCTCATTTGCACTTCATACTTCTCTTCCAAGCCAACCACAAGTCTTTTCAGTATGGCTGGTATTCTCTCTACTGGACTGCTCGCTTTGGCGGCCGTTGCCAATGCTCTTCCGCAAGGCGTATGTGAAAAGTTTCCCTACGACCAGATTTCAATTCGCTGACCTGTATGCAGTCTACTGGATCTGGATCTTCCTGTCAGCAGCTTGGAAGTGGCACCAAGCAAGGCGCTTACACCATCAAGTGCGGAACTGACCGTGTTGGTGGAGACCTCTCCAACGCTCAATCATCATCTTTCTCCGGCTGCATTCCACTCTGCGATGCCTTGGCAGACTGCATCGGCTTCACCTACGTGCAGGGAAGTTCCTTTTGCTATTTCAAGAGCTCATTCGCCGCGGAATCCACCGACCCAAATGTCGACGTTGCCGTCAAGCCCGTCGCTTCATCGCCCTCGAGCTCTGCATCAGGCTCAGCTGGGCCTACGGGCACTGCTACATCGACCGCTGCTCCTGCCACTAGCGATACCGCTACGTCGACATCTGCGGCTCCTTCATCTACCGCAGCTGGCAGCTGTGACGCCATCGGAAACGGTAACACATTCGGCAACGGATACACCGCGACTTGCAGGACCGATGCCAGTGGAGGTGATCTTTCCAACGCACAGGTTTCGTCATTTGCTGGTTGCGCTCCAGTCTGTGATTCTGCCCCTGAATGTATTGGCTTCTCATACTTTAACGGGTGAGTAAACCTCTTCGAAAATATAGGAGAGCTTCGTTTTTCAAGCCTCTTATTAGAGACTATCTACATTGATTGTCAGGAGTACGCTAATTTGAGAGATAGACATTGTTACCTGAAGAGGTCGCAGAATTCGTTCGCATCCAATGATCATGTCGATGTGGCCTTCAAACCCGCTTCCAGTTCGAGCACCACCGCTCCATCAACCACGGCAACAACGACCACTACCATGTCCTCATCTTCCGCTTCAACTCCCTCGTCCTCAGCTCCAGCCACTACCACCACCACCAAGACCTCATCCTCCGCCTCCCCAAGCAGCACTTCCACTTCTGCCAGCTCAAGCATACCACCAGCACCAGCTCCTTCCGGAGTGATCRTCAGCCCTGCTCCTCCAGCAGGCAGCGAAAACGATTTCTGCCCTAATCTCCGCCAGGCATTCCATTTCAAATTGGCCACCGTGGTAACCCGTGGTAACGCAGCACTTGATGGCCTCTTCTTACAATCCCCATCCTACACAGCTTCAATCTCTCCCCCACGTCTCGTCTCCGGCTATGCCAATGGCGGACGCTACGTGCAGACAAACAGCAACAACTGGTTCAACATCGCTCCGRCCATTGCGTCCGTCACCTCATCCGGAACCTGCTCCACCACCGGTCTTGCGCTTTACGATTCGGGCAGCGAGCAAGGTGCCGTGGGTCTTGTACCCAATCTCGCTACGTCATCCACTGTGGACATTCTAACGACCGTCAACTACATTCTCCCCTTCTCGACCTTTAAATTCGGTTCCTTCTACGCATGTCCAGCTCCTGGCGGCGCTGCCACTCTCCGATGGGTCAAGGCCAATGGCTCCAATTACTTTGTGAGTCTTCGCCGCATGTCTTCTTGTTTCGTGATGAGATATACTGATATATATACACAGGGATCTCGTTATAACACGCTTGACTTGAACAACTGTGCCCTGGTCACCCTTCAGAAGATTCTTTAAGGGTAATGTAGCATGAAATGAAGTTTTGTCATTCGCGATTCGACTTTAGGTGTACATAGATAGCTATGGTAGCTTTATTTATCGGCAGCTCTGTGTATGACCCATAGTTCGGTGTCAAAATAGAGGTTTCAGATTGTATTTTCCATTCACTCCAGCAACTTTTTTGCAAAGTCTAGCGTCGTCAAGTGAATACAACAACTTTCACATGGGCTGAATATCTCATCTCAATCAAGGGCCAGAAAACTGTGGGAATGACCACTACACAGTCTACGCTCTTGAGGTATTTCTGCAAGGGAATGGCGAGCCGGGATATACATTCATATACGAAGATGCTTCCAAGGGTGTAAAAATCGGGAAATCACTCACGCACGAAATCGTCGTTTAATTTGACTCGGCACAGAGCACTGTTCCGACTGATTCCAAGCTCTCAAGTCAAGACGGGTGGGAGTAATAATCTAAAGTGAACAAATACTGAGTAGAATTGTATGCTCAAATCAAGTAATCGCGCAAATTTTAGTTCGAGTAGTCTCGAATCCTCTCTACTTACTGAACAAGAAGCGAGGCTCGAGTCACCATTCCAAAGTCAGACAATTAACACTTTTGTACACTTGATTGATATCGTGCACAATGTTTAGAACCGCCGGTGAGGTTTCAATGAAAGTGGACGGCCATTATTAGATTTTTCTATGTTATAAAGATGATTCACAAGGCAGCAAGCATCAAGCTTCTTCCTTCCTTGCCCATCCAAGGAGGCACTTCCACCCAGCAGTACCTTTACCTCCCTCCTGTAGAGCTTTCGATACATCATCGAGAACTCTCTTCTCGTTCCGGCCCATCTCGCTGTTGAGCTTGAGCATCCACTGCTCCCACATACGAGCGCCAACGAGACCGGTCATGGCACGGACGTCTTGGGTGCTTCCCGTGAGAGGCGCCTTGAACTCAGACACAGAGCCATCAGCAGCAACGCAACGTTCAACAATGGCAGACTTGTTGGATGTCTTGCCAGCGTCGGACCAGCGTGGCACGACGTCAGCTACGGGGAGAACCATCCACGCGCGCTTGATCTCGCAGAATCCAGCACGCTTCAGGCGAGGTAGGAAACTCTTCCCGGAGCAGGGCTCGTAGCCACGGGTCTTCAGATTGAAAGCAAATTCAACGCCGAGTGCCTGATTGGCATCCTCTGCGTGAACCATTTCGGCATCCAGCAGATCGAACTCGAGGTAGCCAGCTGGTTTCAAAACACGAAGGCACTCACGCAGAGTGAGGTCCCACTCGTCTGCTGCGCAGCCCTTTGGCCAGACTGTCTTCAGGTGAGCATACAGATTGCGGGCGGAGACTACGTCGAAGTAGTTGCTCTCAAATGGTAGCTCCCAGAGCTTGGGAGAGGCAACAACGAAGTGGTTCGCTGGTCCGTCCATCGACGACTCAGCCACGTGAGCCTCGGCGTCGGAAGAGACGGTAGTATAGATGGTGGCGTCTGGGTGCTCAAGAGCGACATTCCAAGCCCAGCTGCAGTGTGCTTGGCCAGCGACATCCAAGATCCTGACGTCTTTGCGGCCCTTGAAGCTCTGCACAATTGGACTGGTCAAAAGCTTGCCACCGTTGACTTCCTTCTGGGCGGCAAGGTGCCAAGCAGATGACTGCATCTGCTCAAGTGCCTGCCTTTCCTTGGCAGCTTGCGCAATGATTGCAACACTCTCATCGTCTTCCGCGACGGGAAGGAAGGACGAGACAGGACGCTGTGAGGCCAGCCGCTCGGAGCTCGTGATCTCATACTTGCCCTGTAGCTGGTCGGCATGTTCTTTTGGCAAGCTGACTCGCCTCACTTGCTCAGCTTCAGCGCGAGCCTGTCGGTGCTGGAAGACATCACGAGCCCGCTGTGAGCGCTTCGCATGGCGCCAGCCTTCCCAGAACGTTCCGTCGTGGATAGGAGAAACACGCTTGCTCTGCGCTGGCTCTGGCATGGCAACTGGAGATTCAGTCTGGTACTCTGCGAAGCGCACGGACTTTTTGCTGGGCGAGGAGTCCGTGGACGGAGGAGTCGGTTGATCTGGAGTTCTAGGCACTGCGTCTTGAACGTCTTTGAAGCTGACAGTAACCTCATCTTCTTCACAGATGGCCTCCATGTATGTGGTCTGAGCTGAAAGCCACAATTGGGTGCGGTCAATATTCGCCGCCGCGGTCTTCTCGAGTACTTCATTGTATGTTTCGTCAATTTCTGCGACCTCGCTAACGATCTCCGTGGGAGAAAATGCCAGTTTACGAGCAGTGACGGGATCCTGCTGAGTGCTCGTAGGAGAAGCGAGCGAGATGATGTGCTCGACGGGGTCCTCTGGTCGTGACTGCCATGGCAAGTTGTAGAATGAGGTAGCAGTACTAGTTGGTAGAGCCGAGCTGTGTGCTGGGCGGAACGGCACACCATAGAACTCAGTCGCTGTACTTGTGGTTGGTGCCGCTTCTGTGCCAGCCCAGGTCTTTCGTGCCATCGTGGAGTCTAGCGAGGCAAAGAAGCCTCCCGGGGATGGTACAGAAAGGGCTGAAAGCTCATCGTCTGCTTCATCGGCAGATCTTGGAGGAAGGTCCTGCGTCTCAATTCTGAAGCGGCCAGTGACTGGTGGAGAGTCGACGATCTCTCTCATCTCTTCCATGGCCTCTGCGGGTATCTCAATAACAGTCTCCTGCTGCACATGGTGCTCTTCATCGTTGAGATGTTCCAGCAGGTTGATAGCGGATGGATCCAACTGGAGAGGAGGCTCCCAGGGGTTCTCTCCGTCTGCAGCTTGTTGGAGATCGGGGGTGGATGGGCAGCTTGACATTGCAAGCTCTTCTGAAGTAAGACTGCCGTCTAGCGATGGTGCCGATGATGTGGTACTTGGTATCCGTAGGCCGCGCTGTTGCATCTGAGACATCATTGATGCCGAGATGTTGACCTGAAGTGGCGGTGACAAAGGGTGGGATGACCTGAGCTTCTCGATCGTTGGCCACTGGCCTGGTGATGGGATGATGATGGATGGATAGCGRGACCGAGAGTCTTTGCTGGCTATACGTTGCTTCACCGAGGTCGAAAGCTTGATTGACACCACCTCCGATTCGCTCTCGGAAACGTCGTACAGCTCATCGAAACTGTTGTGGGAGCTGCGCTTGCTCCATAGCGAGCTTTGGTCGGATTCTGAGTCGGAATTGCTGCAATTTGGGCTTCCTTCCACCAGATCGTGAAGCTGGTGGAATGTGTTGGCCCGCGGGGTTGGAAAGTCGTCGCTGAATGGCGAGGTAGCCAGCCGCTGCGGTTGGAGCTTCTGAGGTGGTTGTGCTCGTCGCAGGGAGACTTGCGGTTCATCTTCGATTACGGTATTACGAAAGCCGGCGCTGCTGCGAGCCGGCGCAGCAGGCTTGAAGGCTACGGGCCGGAGGATGGACATGGTTTGTATTTGTGTTTTCTTCGGGTCTTTGTAAAGTAGGCCAGCCTGCGTGAGAATGTAGAATTTTCGTTCAACGAAAGATTGCTGAAGCCAAAGCAGAAAGGAAATAAGAAGGCAAAGAAAGAGTGAGAAGGGACGCACACCAATGAACAGACAACGATGCAGTAGATCAGGAAGGAAGAGCCAGTGGGCAGCTCTGCGACGCAGGCCCTTATACACGCCGAAGACACTCGCCATGGGCGTCGCCTATGGGTCACACACAGTGTCATCTTGGCTGCTTTGCGCGTAGCAGAGCGCTTACTTAGCAGAATCCGCTCTAAAACGACCACGGCGTGGTCATTGCTGGCGCTACTGCGGACCCGTCGGCCATGCTTCAGCGTGCTGGTTGGATCATGGTGGAATGAACGGTCGACGAGTCGATGTTCGGGTAGTACACGTGCAGCGGGCGCCATCTGAGCGGAGTCTTTTGAAGTGGATGGATGAGAAGCACCGTTCACGGTCCCAGTGGGCGTTTCGAGTGGGCGCTTATGTGCAGTGAAAGTGGCTTGAGCCAATGAGATGCTCCACAAGGCCGTTGGCRGCGTCTCGCTGGCGGTAAGGTGGTACGCAATATATGCTGCGCCGATTTCCTTCCAGGGTGGTGATTAAATGCTTTCATGGTGGTCCAGCTGCGCCAGATGTTCTCTCGTGATTTCCGCCACCGTGGTTGCGCGGATGGTTGATTGAAAATGAAAGTGAAGGTGAGGTTCAATCTTGGCCACTTTGCTCACCGATATCGGCAGCTTGCCAGCGAAACGTATCTACCTTACCTAATTACCACTTCGGAGCCGCTTTATGAGACATTTTAAATCGAAAATTCTTGACACCGAAGGACGCTATGGATCATGGGAGAGTAAGCTGGGGTATCAGGTCCTTGTTTCGCTGTGTGCAATCGAGCTCTAAGTCCAATGGGAAGGTGGACATTCTACAATCTGCAACAAGAGACACCCGAAACTCAGCACAATAGACCGACCCTCAACAGTCTGCACCAGATGTCCAGAGGCATGAAATTCACATTGGCAAATGTGCGCCAATGTTTGTACGGAGTACCGTCTGCTTCTGCGATCGTCCGACGCCATGCGAGGCGGAGATGTGGCCTTGGCTCTCATGGAAGGAAATGTCTAGTCCTATGCCCAAGCCCCAGAGATAACAACATTTTGCCTAAGTAGGCAGGGCGTCGGTGATCAGTCAGCGGGTGTAACCAGACGCTACCTACCGAATTGCCGAAAGGCTCCTTGTACCATGTTGCCTAGCCGGCCTTGCTACTTACAGTAACGTTAGTACTCCCTCCTGATGGCAAGCCGATCGCATCGTAGCATCAATCGCGAGCTCTGACCCGGATACGCTTCGGAGATGTGAAGATACAAACCTGGTCTGCCAATACATGCCTCTTGGTRCCTGCTGCTACAGCCTTGGAACTTAGCCCGGAATAGGAAGGCAAGAAGCGCTTCTCGCTGAGTCCCAAGACCCAAGACTCGGTTGCGGTAATTATAGTAGGTGATAATGTAACTTGAAAAGGCGATGGAGAATCATTCAGAAGATAAGTACATTGCCATGCTCATGCAAATCTGCTCAACCCGTCTCAATCCCAAGCAAAAATTGAAGCCAAGATGAAAGCCAGTCTACTACTGGCCTTTAGCACGGCCGTCCAAGCCGCTCACTACTCCAAGGAAGAATATGCATCTGGCGCGGTTCATCAGCGCATACTCGATATCAAAACTGTTTGTTATCTCCGGCAAAGAAGGAAAGCATTGTGCTCACAGTCTCATAGGCGAAGTGGGATGCCCTCGCAGCCGCTGGGGCTCTGAATTCGAGTCAATGGCCCTCGTGGAAGAATTGGGACCAGCTCGACCGCAAAATCAAACGCGACCGACTGCAATGCCGAGATGGCGTCGCCGTCGCTGAGAAGGGCAACCCCATGCAGACGTAAGTAGAGCTCAGAGTCAAGGGACGGCTAGCAACACTAGACTTTACTCTCTTGATCACTGCTAATTCTTCCATGGTTTGCAGATTTCGATGCAACAATGTGAGAACCATCTCTGCTGTTGTCAGTGGAGCGCTCCCCTAACTTTTGTCTTTTAGATGGATCTCTACGATTTCCTGAATCACGACGACATGGGCGGAGGTGAAGCTGACCCTACTCTCCCAACCCGTTTGGGTTCTTCTGTCTGGGGATGGGTATCTCCTACAGGTCGTCAGATCGCTCTGATTGGCCAATTCACTGGCACAGCATTCGTCGAGATTGACCGCAAAGGGAAAATGACCTATCTGGGCCGTCTCCCAGCCCAAGACAGCGTTGGGTCTGCCTGGCGCGAGATTCGTGTTCTCAAAAATCTTGCCATCATTGGCAGTGAAGCCGTGGGACACAACGTTCAGATCTTCGACATGAACAAGGTTGCCAACATCAACCCCAAGACACCGGTCACGTTCAACAAAGACACTGATCTTGTCGGTCTCTTCGACGACCTGCCACGCGGTCGTGCTCACAACGTCGTCGTGGACTGGGATAATGAGTATGCCATTGCCGTCGGAGCTCAACCCCGGAACCAGTCGTGTGCAGCTGGYCTCGAATACATCGACCTCAGCGATCCCTCCAACCCCACCAAGCCCGGATGCGCAAGCTCTGATGGATACACTCACGATGCTCAGTGTGTCACTTACAATGGCCCCCACAAGAAGTATGTGGGGAGGAACATTTGTGTCGCCTACAATGAAGATTCCGTTACCGTCTGGGACTCGACAAGTAAGGCTAACTCTACCATGATCGGACGACTGGATTATTCGGGAGCTACATACTGCCACCAAGGTGAGTCTTTCTGCATGAAACAATTTCGTAATGTAGAGCTTATACTGATGACTTCTCAAGGCTGGTGGACCAAGCGCAACTGGCATCAGTTCGTCCTGGTCAATGACGAACTTGATGAGCTCGATGCTGTTGGCGATGCTGCTAGCGGACGACCCATCACTCACATCATCGACCTGACGGATCTCGAAAACCCCAAGAAGACCGGATTCTTCTACGCTGCCGATCAAAAGGCCCCCGATCATAATCTTTACATCGAGAAGGGAGTGCTCTTTCAAAGTAACTACGGCGCTGGAGTATGGGTTCAGGACGTCAGATCCATTGAGAAGTATCCGGATGGCTCGCGTGTCAAAGTTCTTGCGTTCTTCGATATGCATCCTGAAGACGATGCCGTTGGAGGGGCGGTGGAGTTTGTCGGAAGCTGGGGTAACTATCAGTTCCCAAGTGGATTTATTGTTGCCAACACGTTTGAGCGCGGTGCATATGTTCTGCGAGTTGCTTCTGGCAGAGGAAGGAATGGTGGGAAATACGGCTTCGGTGGTCCTTCCATCGGCGAGTAGATCCATTTGTACCGAGCGATGAATATGACGATGGGATCGATATAGAAGATGCCTATCTGTTCACAATTCAAGAATGATACTTCGGTATGCTTTAACAGATGTCCGCGGTGCCTCACTGCTGGAGGCTTTGATGTCAATAAGGTTACCTGCCGCGAAGAACCCCATAGGCTGGGTTGATCAATCTGACGACCTTCAAACTTCGTTGGAAATAAACTCGTCCATACATTTGACTGAATAGGTTACACACTGGAGGCAGCATGTAACAAACACAGACGATGCCATCGCAACGTCAGGGTACTACCCCAACCCTAACCCTCACAGACGCTTCCCGAAGTCGGCACGAATTGCATCCCGCTTCACTTGCTCCACCATGACATGACATAACTAGATTGTTTGAGGATGTCTTGACCTCCGGAACCTGTTCGAGCTCAACCCAAACACCAACTTTCCACCTTGATCCACAACCGAAACCATGGCAMCCGCAGCCATCATCGCCCCGTCCATCCTCAGTGCCGACTTTGGTGCACTCGGAAAGGCATGCTCCGACACAATCTCGCAAGGCGCAGATTGGCTTCATGTGGACATCATGGACGGCCACTTCGTCCCGAACATGACATTTGGTGCTCCAGTAGTGACAATGGTACGACCACATGTCGAGCGACCCAAGGAAGCATTCGGAAAAGGAACATTTGACTGCCACATGATGATCGCTGAGGTATGATCATGCCGGGGAGAGAGAGACAAGACGATTCGATGGAGCACTGGTTGATTGTTCTGGCAGCCGAAAAAATGGGTGAAGGATTTCAGGAAGGCTGGATGTGATCTATATTGCTTTCACTACGAAGCTGCGATCTCGTCGACGGCGGCCGAGAGCCCAGAGGCGCAGTCCGAGGAGAAGACGAGCCCGAAAGAGCTGGTCAAGTATATCCATGACCAAGGATTGAGGGCAGGTATTGCTATCAAGCCTGGAACGCCAGTGGATGTGCTGTATGACATTCTGGACAACCCCGACAAGGCTTACGTGCCTGATGTGAGTTATACATGTATTTACAGGCCATGAGATGTGCTGACAGTGCTGTAGATGGCCCTTGTCATGACGGTCGAGCCAGGATTCGGAGGTCAGAAGTTCATGCCAGAGATGATGCCCAAGGTCGAGGCATTGCGAAAGAGATATCCGGAGTTGAATATCGAGGTTGATGGTGGTTTGAGTGAGAAGACAATCGACACTGCAGCAGATGCAGGAGCCAATGTGATTGTTGCAGGCAGTGCCGTGTTTGGTGCGAAAGACCCAGGACAGGTCATCGAGGCCCTCAGACAGGCGGTGGAAAAGCGGAGGTGACTCGAGGCGAGCAAATTGTAGATGCGTTGCCGTATTCTACATGTYTGGCTCGCACCTGAGTTCTATGAATAGATTATAGAAACGTGAAGAATGGCAGGTTGGGTACAGTACATGCRAGATCTAACTTGTTTGCGGTTGAACACGCGTTGATGAGTGGAACCGTCCCTTCACACATTGATGTTTTTGGTCGTCAATGGCGTTGCCTGCCATCGATGTTGCAAACGGCTCTATTGAGACCTCTTTGAGACGCGTCCGAGATCCATTGGTCGCGACCGAAACGTGGGGAAGTTGGATTCACTTTAACCCCTACAACCTTGCAACCCATCCATGGATCGCATGCATGCCCACTCTCCCCATCCCATCATACCACATTCCCCGGAAGGCACCGGAGTAATCCAGCATTTCTGATTACTTACCCACAGGAGGGCTCACGGGATTAAAACACATCTTAGTCATCGCTCGACCGCTCAGTCGATGCACGTCTTACTTCCTTCTTACCACTTCACCTCAGCCCACGATGGCTCGGGCGGCCGAGCAGCACAGCGAGGAATCGCAACCGCTCACCAGCGCCGGCGAGCGGAGCGATTCGTTTGACGAAGACAGGCGACCATCTAGATCATCGGCATCAACCACATCCTTCATCCTGGAACATGCATCGGACAATGCGGCAATAAGAGCAAAGGAAGCTCTCTACACAGACATTTCAGCACCAGAAGAGCTAGAGTTGGAAGATCAGGTCGCCTGGCAAAGAGCGAGTAAATCTGCTGATAAGAAAGCTCGGCGAGTGCTGTATATGCTCGTCGCCATTGGTGTGGTGGGATGGGTCGCCGCATTGTTTCTATTCTTGGGCCAGGATCGACATGTACCACATTCTGCAAGACCWCACGATCCGCACGCGACGAGTACAACTGGAAATGGCAAGAAGGTTACTTTCCAGCAAGTCCTCAATGGCGAGTGGTATCCAAGCACAYACGCAATCAAGTGGATTGCTGGTCCTGCTGGGGAAGATGGATTGTTGCTGGAGCGTGGCGGCGCGGACGGACGGGACTACTTGGTGGTAGAAGATGTGCGGTATCGGGGAGAGGACGTGACCACGCAGAAGAAGCACAGCACCACATTGATGAAGAACGGCTATTTCCAAGTCGGCACCATCAATGTCAATGTGCACGAGGCCTGGCCGAGCGCCGACCACAAGTACGTGCTCGTGCAGAGCGACTATCAGAGCAATTGGAGACACAGTAATACGGGCAAGTATTGGATTTACAATGTGGAAACGCAGACAGCGGAAGCTCTCGACCCGGAGAACATTGATGGAAGAATTCAGCTTGCCTCGTGGAGTCCGAAGAGCGATGCTGTCGTCTTCACTAGGGACAACAACATGTTCATCCGTCATTTGAATAGCAAGCGCGTCAATACCATCACCACGGACGGTGGAGAGAACCTGTTTTACGGAATACCTGACTGGGTGTATGAAGAGGAAGTTCTGGCAGAAGGCGGAGCAACATGGTGGAGTGGTGATGGAAAGTACGTGGCGTTCTTCAAGACCGATGAGAGCAAAGTCCCGACCTTCCCTGTGCAGTATTTCTTCAGCAGACCGAGCGGCAAGCAACCCGCTGCCGGCGAGGAGAACTACCCGGAGGTACGAAACATCAAGTATCCAAAGGCGGGCGCTCCCATGTCTGTCGTGGACCTGCAGTTCTACGATGTCGAGAAGGCGGAGATGTTCTCCGTCCCGATCAGTAGCGACTTTGCCAACGACGACCGGCTGATTACCGAAGTCGTCTGGGCTGGTGAGACTGGCAAGGTGCTCATCCGCTCCACTAACCGCGAGAGCGATATCTTGAAAACCATCCTCATTGACGCAAATGCGCGAAATGGTAAGACTGTTCGTGAACGAGACGTGCAGAAGCTGGACGGCGGCTGGTTGGAGGTATCTCACACGACCAAATTCGTTCCGGCGGATCCCACGGCAGGACGGCCTGAAGATGGTTACATTGATACTATCATTCATGACAACTATGATCATCTTGCTTATTTTACCCCCTTGGACAACGACCAGCCCAAATTGCTCACATCGGGAGAATGGGAGGTTGTATCAGCACCATCTAGTGTTGACCTTGAGAACAACATCGTTTACTTCATCGGAACCAAGGACGGTAGCACTCAGCGACATTTATACTCTACACACTTGRACAAAGGCCCGGAAAGCATCGAAGCTGTCACGAACAACAAGGAGATTGGCTACTACGACGCCTCATTCTCCGCTCACAGCCAGTTCATGCTGCTTTCCAATAAAGGACCAGGTATCCCGTGGCAGAAAGTCCAGTCTACGCCGACCAACACGGACGCAAAGCTCGACGTCTCGATTGAAACAAATGAGGGACTCAAGGAACTGGCACAGAAGACGGAATTACCGATCGAGATCTACCAGACAGTGAATGTGGATGGCTTTGAGCTGAACGTCGTCGAAAGGCGACCTCCACATTTCGATCCGAAAAAGAAGTACCCAGTCCTATTCTACTTGTATAACGGCCCCGGCTTCCAACTAGTGGACCGAAAGTTCACCGTCGACTTTCAATCATACGTTGCGAGCTCGCTGGGTTACATTGTTGTCAGTGTCGACGGCCGCGGGACCGGCTTTCTTGGCCGCAAGCACAGATGTATCGTTCGAGGCAACATTGGGTACTGGGAAGCACACGACCAGATTGCCGTTGCAAAGCAGTGGTCCGCAAAGAATTATGTCGATTCTGAACGCATGGCTATCTGGGGCTGGAGTTACGGCGGCTTCATGACTCTCAAGACCCTGGAAACGGACAAGGGACAGACCTTCAAGTATGGAATGGCTGTCGCTCCTGTGACTGACTGGAGGTTTTACGACTCCATCTACACCGAGCGATACATGCACACTCCACAACACAACAAAGCGGGCTATGACAACGCTACCATCAGTGACATGGACGGTTTGAGGGGCAATGTTCGCTTCCTTGTGATGCATGGTGTGAGCGACGACAATGTGCATTTCCAGAATACACTGCAGCTGTTGGATCGTCTCGATCAGTCGAATGTGCGGAAMTATGATGTGCATGTGTTCCCGGACAGCGATCACAGCATTTACTTCCATAATGCTAATACTGTGGTCTACGAAAGTGAGTTTTGATGGAATTATTGCKCGATACATCCATTGTGCTGACTTTGTACCAACAGAACTGCGTGACTGGCTCACTAATGCGTTTAATGGCGAATGGCTTCGGGTGGATGATCCCAAGCCGATGAGGATTGGGCAGTAATAAGATGGCCTAGCGTAGTCACTATGTTCAGTACAGTCTGAGACTGGTGCTGTGTTATTATCAAGCGTTCCAAGCGRTCTGCTTCCCACCTTGTCTTTTCTCCTAACGTCTTCCTTCTCAGAATGAGCACGTGTGCACATAATCGCGTGAGATGCTATGCTCTCCCATAAATATGACACAAGTTATCCTGGAAGCCTCCAAGTGACTGAAGTAAGGTGAAGTCAATTTCAGATGTCAACATCTCGCTAGCGCGTCGCTTAGTCAATGGGCATGCGGTTTGAAGTGAAGCAACTCCGACAGCAGTTAAATCTGTCGCAAACAATGCAATAACGCCGCTTTCCCACATCAATCAACGGCACTTAAGAAGATGCTGTTCTTCTCGTTTTGTAACGTCCTTCACTCACCCTGACTCCGATTCCGCGCTGACTGAAAGCCTCCAGTCAAGACACTGGTTCGTGGACCATCAACCCAAGCCGCGAACAATGCGGCGTAGCTAACACAAACCGCTCAAGGTCGGTTCCGAAGTCACGGTGGAGCTCAAGAACGACATCAGTATTCGCGGGACCTTGAAGTCGGTCGACCAGTACGGAATACCCCCTCGAACGGCCTCATGATCGCGCCACATTTGGCTGACCTGCCCTGCCACAGGTTCCTCAACATCAAGCTCGACGATATTCACGTGCTGGAAGAGTTGAAGTATCCGCATTTGGTGAGTGTATCACGGAGTAAAAGCTGGACGTGGTTATACATGGCGCGGCAGGAGAGACAATCTGGATTTCGAGGAGCAAGCGCTGACGACATGTCGTCACAGAGCTCAGTGAAGAATGTCTTCATTCGGGGCAGCGTTGTGCGATACGTACACCTGCCAGCAGCAGCGGTAGACACTCCGTTGCTCGAAGACGCTACACGACGAGGTAAGAGGCTGTTCCTGTGTCTGTGTTTAAAATAAAGACCACATTGCTGACATGTGGCTGGCAACAGAGGCATCACAATCGGCAGTGAAGGCCAAGTGAGTCCAGAGTGTAGGAGAAGTACACAGGAGATACCCACACCATGCGAGGAACTGCGCAGGCACACTTGCGAGCAGTGTACTCGATGAGGCGAGGCCACGAGCTCAACGACAGCTCATAAACGTGGTAATCGCGAAATTAGGAGCGGACGTAGCATGCTTCAAACAAAGTTCTGGTTTCCTAGTCCATGGACGAATGACGAATCCAACGAAATYGTCATCACYCTCGTCTGACATATGTACTCAAATTCGGGCAGGGACGGTGACCTTCCATACAAACGGAGCAAAAGAACGGACCCACTCGCCGTGGAAGCTCGTGCTGGTCATATGATCGGCCTCGACGGGAAGCAATGCCCCAACTTCCGACCGTCTGGTTATCCGCAAGGGCAAAGCACAGCCATGCACATAACTAACCTGACACGCCGGAACGTGCACAGTGTGCATTTCACATCAGGCTTGTTGAATCACTAGGAAGCGGGACAAGAAAAGCCGTGTGTTACGTTACAACACTCGACTTGGCGTGTCACAAAATATTCGATCGAACAAGGGAGGTGGTTCAGATATAAGAGTCGAGCTTGCCGTGATCCCAAACCGCTCTCCAACATCTTCTCAACCTACCGCGAAGCCATCATCGTCATCATGATTTCAAACATCGCAATCGCCGTGCTGTCTCTGGCAGCGGTCACCAGCGCGTCAAAGCTGCAGATCAACAATCACTGCACTGAGCTCTTGTGGTTGACCATTGCCAAGCCGTCCGACCCATACCCAAAACCATTCAGTCTCGCATCCGGGGAGGCCTACGACGCCGGAACAAACTCAGGCGAAGGCAGTGCGTGCTAGAAGTCCACGATTATTCACACATCATCCACTTACGCTCTTTGCAGATAGCGTAGGAGTTACCTTTTCGAAGGATTTCTACAGCGAAGGAACCCCAAAGTTCATCCTCGGATACTCCATCGCGGGAGATAGACTTTGGTGGTCTGTTGGAAAGTCAAATGGTGATGTGTTCGATGGAAAGCACTTCAATGTATGAGCTTCGCGGCAGCAATTGAGGAATAGCTCTAACATGTTGATGTTGTAGGTCACCACGCCGGATCGTGATGGAAAGAACGTCTGCGAAAGCGTTTCGTCATATGAGCAGAAGAATAACAATTGCGTGGATGGCAGCTTTACTTTGACGTTCAACCCTTGCTTCGAGTGATGCTGAAGAGGGATTCGTAAAGTCCGAATGAGCGTCGCAGGGCATAAATCATAGCGTTATCGATTCCAAACTTCCACGATGTTTCCGTGCAATCATCTGGGCATCTACGTGAATTTTGACGTCTGTTGACCTGGTACGGAAAACCTGGTACGGAAAACCGGTCTCTGGCATGACTTGCTATGACGGCAATCCTACCAATGTGGGGAGGAGCTTCACATAGCACGCGACCTCTTTCCTGATGGACACTGAATAGCAAAGATATCAACAATTCAACCACGATGAATCTACGTAATGCTTTGCTCAGTCTGCTACCGGGCCTTCTTGTGGTCGGAGCTACAGAACAGCAGCCTCTTGGCTCCCAGGAGTTCAACCTCATCAAAGAGTACATTGACTTACACATTAAAGCTCAGATAACCCCAAACTGATATGAATACAGACTACAGAAGGCTGAAATCATCCCAACGGTCTTCGACTCTTTTCATCCCCTACTCAAGCTTAATGTGACGTGGAAGAAAGTCTCCGCAGATGTAGGACACACCATCAAGCCTAAGAAGATGAGTAAACCGCCATATGTCCAACTCCTAGGCGAACTCCCCGACTTTACAACCTCCGACTTTACAACCTCCGATGAACTCCCTCAACTCACCTTGATCCTCACGGATCCAGATGCACGCAGTCGAGATAACCCAGACTGGAGCGAAATGTGTCATTGGATCGCCACCAACATTTCGCTCACCACATCCATGTCTATTAACGCCGACGAAGAGCAGACCTGGGATGAGATTGTAGAGTATAAGCCTCCAGGTCCTCCGCCCAAGACTGGGAAGCATCGTTATGTGTTTGCTGCGCTGGCACCTAAGAATGGGACTACGGAGAGGCTGTATTTGAGCAAGCCCAAGGAGAGACAGCATTGGGGTTATGGAAAGGAGAGACATGGGATTAGACAGTGGGCAGAGGAGAATGGTTTGGGAGTTGTTGGGGCGAACTTTGTGTATGCGGAGGATAAGAAGCAGTGAGATGCTTTGGATTAGATTGGCTGGTTTGGGAAGGTTGCTGCCTCCTACGAGCTTTTATCGTCTCGGCGTTATCAAAGGTCGCCCTACCGTTGGATAGGCCTTGAGCAGGACCATCGGCGTCTTTAAATAGGAGAAGCTATTTCGGTAGCACTCACAACGTCGATGTCAAATCTATCAGCCTTCCAGACTGGATTCTGGAGAGCTGTCGGTGAAATCGGGCTCCTTGCTACCTACGGTTCGTTGTATCGGCACGTGAACGTGGATATGTGGGTAGCTGTTTGGCGAAACGGTACGATGAACAATCGAAGCAAAGATTGTGTTTTCTTCGGCAAGCGGAATGTTCTAAGATGTCATTTAACAAGGTGCGTGTGTCTTGTAAAAATGTTGCTTGTGAAGAGTACTTTAGAAAGTGCGATCCCTGTTCCCTGTTCCCTGTTTGTCCGCGGGTCTGTTCCGTCGCCTGTAAACACCATCTTTCTTTGCGTTCCACCCGTTGCTCATCTACTCAACGACTGCAACGGCACGATTTCCCTTTTAAAAGCTCCCTCCATCCAGGGACGGGCCAACACTGGATCTATCAGACCTCATCGCCTCCTGGAGTGGGAAAAACGGACGTCACAGCTCCCAGACGAGCTCTTTCAACAGAGAGCCGCCCATTCACCACTCGCGATCCCACCCAACCCACGACAATGGCGGCATTCGGAGAGGATCTGTTGGGTGTGGTGAACAGACTGCAAGACCTCGTCTTCAACACCATCGGCAATGACTCGCTTGACCTCCCACAGATTGTATGCCAACACCCTCCAAGCACAAACCCTGCGCGAGAGCTAACCGTCCCTCCGTCTAGGTCGTGGTCGGCTCGCAATCATCTGGCAAGTCCTCTGTGCTCGAAAACATCGTCGGACGAGATTTCCTCCCCCGCGGTAGCGGTATCGTCACCCGTCGCCCGCTCATTCTCCAGCTCATCAACTTGCCCTCCGAACGCACCGACAGGCCCAGCGACGATGAAGTTCACGTTCCTCRCACCCCGGCAGCGGTTGCAGGACAGGATGAGTGGGGAGAGTTCAACCACATGCCCAGCCGCCGCTTCTACGACTTCCAGGAAGTCCGGCGCGAGATTGAGGCCGAGACGGCGCGCATTGCAGGCACCAACAAGGGCATCAACCGCCAACCGATCAACTTGAAGATCTATTCACCGCATGTGCTCAGTCTGACACTTGTCGATCTTCCCGGTCTTACCAAGGTGCCAATCGGCGACCAGCCCACCGACATCGAGAAGCAGACTCGCAACCTCATCTCTGAGTACATCGCAAAGCCCAATAGCATTATCCTGGCCGTCTCGCCTGCAAATGTGGATCTGGTGAACTCAGAATCGCTCAAGCTGGCTCGGCAGGTCGATGCTACAGGAAAGCGCACAATTGGTATCCTGACCAAGCTGGATCTCATGGACCACGGCACAAATGCGTTGGACATTCTCTCCGGGCGTGTGTATCCGCTCAAGCTAGGATTCATTGGCGTTGTCAACCGTTCGCAACAGGACATTCAAGGAAGCAAGCYAATGAGCGAGGCGCTCTCCGCAGAGCGCGAGTTCTTCCGCATGCACCCAGCGTACCGCAACATTGCATCGCGATGTGGCACGCAACATCTTGCGAAGACGCTCAACACGACCCTCATGACACATATCCGCGAGCGATTGCCCGATATCAAAGCACGACTCAACACTCTGATGGGTCAGACACAGCAAGAGCTAGCATCATATGGGACAGACGCCTTCACAGGCAAGGAACACCGCGGGTCGCTCATACTCCAGCTCATGACACGTTTCGCAACCTCCTTCATCTCCTCCATCGATGGTACATCTTCTGAGATCAGCACCAAGGAGCTATGTGGAGGTGCGCGGATCTACTACATTTTCAATTCGGTCTTTGGAAACAGCCTGGAAACAATCGATCCTACTCAGAATCTCTCCGCTCTCGACATCCGAACAGCGATTCGTAACTCGACGGGTCCGAGACCATCCCTGTTTGTCCCCGAACTTGCTTTCGATCTCTTGGTGAAGCCGCAGATCAAGCTCCTGGAAATACCCAGCCAAAGATGYGTGGAACTTGTATACGAAGAATTGATCAAGATCTGTCACACATGCGGATCAACTGAGCTCTCACGGTACCCACGACTGCAGRGACGTCTCATCGAGGTTGTCTCCGAATTGCTTCGTGAACGCTTGGGACCATCATCAACATACGTTGAAAGCTTGATTGCAATTCAGCGAGCGTACATCAACACAAACCACCCCAACTTTCTCGGTGCCGCAGCCGCTATGAGCAGTGTGATGCAAGACAAGCATGATCGCGAGAAGCGAGTGGCTGCAGCAGAGGAGAAGCGAAAGCGTGACGCTCGAAGAAAGAAGGAGTTGAACGGAGTGAATGGTGTTGATGCACCCGAWGAAGAGGAGGCAGAGGAGTCACAATCCATGATGCCCATCAGAAATGCCGTCAAGTCACAACAGAGTAGGAGCATGAGTCCTGCAATCGGTCGTGATGGTCAAAGGATCTTACACGCTGCAAGCCCTTCTAACGGAGCTGCATCTAATGGTGGTGGCAAGGATTCGTTCTTGAACTACTTTTTTGGAAAGGAGAATGGCGGAGCCGCGAGCGCACTACCTGGGCAGAGCACATCCAATGCGATGACGAGCCGACACGTCAGCCAAAACATCGAGCCCAGCATAAGTGCCAGCTTCCGGAGAGGTGATACCCGCCCCCCGCCACCGGTAATACAAGATGTAGGATTCGATGATGTTGCAGATCGTGATGAGAATGCTTTGGTAAGACATGAAATGAAACCCGTCAATTTCATGAACGCAGCTCACGAATTCCTACAGGACGACCCGACAGGCCCAGCTCTGACTGAGCGCGAGTCTTTGGAGACGGAGCTTATTCGTCGTCTGATCAGCAACTACTTCAACATTGTGCGCGAGACCATTGCAGACCAAGTTCCTAAAGCAGTAATGCACTTGCTGGTCAACCATTCAAAGGACGTTGTGCAAAACAGACTAGTCTCGGAACTCTACCGAGAAGGTCTTTTCGAGGAGCTCTTGTACGAGGACGATGGCGTACGGGAGGAGCGCGAGAAGTGCGAGAAGCTGCTATCCACATACAAGGAGGCAAGTAAGATTATTGGAGAGGTGCTTTGAGGAGGCACTGCGCTTTTTGATGTCCAGGTGTATATCTACTGCTCTACCTCTTTGTTGGGTCTCTGCTCATGCTGGGGTTAAAAACGATGGACGACAGGTGACGTCGAAATGTGTACGCTAGGGTGTGTATAGAAGATCGATGCTGTTGGGAACAAGACAGACAGATGTACCATTCACTCAATTCAGAATCTCTCTCAGGCGATGTGCAGGGCTTGTGGTATACCTTACCTAGTAGCATGGATGGGATTCACACTATCATGGAGCTAAATCTGAGCTAGCTGTTTTGCAGCGTCGGGCATGCAGCAAGATGCAAGGCGCGACTGTAAATAGCTTCATGCAGCAAGTACAACGCGTGTCTCATCTTTTGCCTGGATGATGATGCAAGCAGTACGTTGTATGCAGTACCATCCATATCAGCGGGGTAATGAGGAGGTGGGACTGTGGGAGGTATCTCTAGCCCAATCTTACTGGTCGGGGGGGATTATACACAGGGTAGGTGGTTGGGAAGGTGTGGAGGCGCGAATGGGTGTGCTGCTGCGTCGTGTGTGAGAGATACCATGATAAACCTGCCCTGAGCTGTGTTTAATGGATGGGGAGGTGTTGTCGTCGTCGTCTTTCCGTTCCACCCCTTCTCCATTTCACACTTGAACATGGCAAAGTTCACCAAACGCCAACTCCTCACGACTCTTAGTCTTGTTGCATGTACTTCCCATCTTCAACCAGTCGCGCAGCATCGGGCACTGACTGCAGGATGAATATATAGTACCTCATAGCACTGACATTCCTCGCTGCCTACGCTCTCCATCAAACACACAAATACTCGCTCCCGATCCCCACCATCCTGTCGGCCCTGACAGTTGCTCTCCCACCACTAGCTGGAATTACGCTCGAAACTCTCGTTTCCTTTCAATACCAACTTGCATCCAAGAAAGGTGCGACGCAGACCTCCAAGATCTTTCAGTTTGTGAATGGAGCCTTGTATGTTGACATCCCTGCCCATCACATCCTACATCTGCGAAAAGACTGATGGGTCTGCAACAGCCTCATCTACGAAACAATTCTAGCGACTCTAGCAGGAACACACATCTACCCCATCGGTGGCCTTCTTTGTCCACTCCACGATAAATGGCAGGATCTCTTCAGCAAGAAAGATAGTGGCAGGATACGTCAGATCCAGAATGCTTTCCAGTGCTGTGGTTTCAGTACAACGAAAGAGATGGCGTGGCCGTTTCCAGGAAATGGACGAGGCGCAGATGCTTGTGTGGTGAGATATGCGGAGCGAGCGGGGAAAGCGTGTCTAGGTAGCTGGAGGGATATGGAGAGGAAAGTCGCCATCATTTTAATGGTCGTCCCGTTGGGGGTGTTTTTGTGGAAGGTAAGTGGGCGTCAACAGTGCTCTTTCATGGGGAAAGATGGAAGCTAATCGTGAGCAGGTCGCTCTCTTTCTTCTCTCATCGAGCTTCGATACCGCTTGGCTTCCCTCTACAGTTCGTCTGCCAGAAGACCAGAATCGAGCTGGAAACAGATCCGCGATTGCATACCGCGATGTCGAGGACCAGGGCGAAGCGGACAGTCTGAGGGATGAAGTGACTCGACTGAACAACGATTCAGATCTCGCTTACAGGGTGGAGGGCGGGAGGATCGTGAGACCAAGTCCGCTATTCCAGGAGAGCGGGGTCTGGAACGAGGAGTAATTGGAACTTCCAGTTGTGTTTACCACGCAGGGCTGTGCGCGTACATTGTAAGATGAAGCGGTGTGTGGTCGACCGTGTTTCTATTCATCCCATCTCCCTCGACCGGCGGATCCAGCGAGGCATTTCGTCTTGTGTGTTTGATTGAATGCGCGACTTCGTCTCCCAGGGGTTCGCGAACCTTGGGATTAGCAACGCAGTCTCAAGCTGGCATTCCTTCACCAGCCGGTGCCCTCCCACCTAGTCGTCCACCTTCTTTCCTTCTATGCATACTCATACTCATTCGCGGCCTCTGTCTCTGCAAATGTTTCGCAACCTTCTTCGGCCCACCCAATAGCCAAGCACACATTGGCTTCCTAACAGCTATGAATTTACCCTTCGGAGTGAAAACCTCCACCGTTGGCCTCACATGCTGATCGGCTTGATCAAGTGCGTCCCGAATCAAGCTTTGTCTCCGACTTCTCACCTGACAAGCGAGCTCCACCCATCCAACGCCTTCGATCAGAATGTCGGCACTGTAGACAACGAACGGTAAATTCTCCGCCTTTTGCTTCCCTGCCGTACTGTCTGTCAAAGGTCCGGTTCGACGTTTTGTCACATCCCATTCCAGTTTGAATACACCAGCGCTCTTGATACGTCCCTTGGCCTTTTCAGTTCCTATGTTCTCTACCGTACCGGTGTACGGGCCTTCGACCAGCTCGCCATCCGGTCCTTCCACTTTAGTGAGACCTGTCTGAATAGCAATCGCCTTGTCGTTGCCCGTTACATGTGGTCTTAATGGCGTGAAGTTGTAAGCTAAGAAGATGAGATTCTCTCCTTCAGCCAATTGAGGTTTGATCCGAATGATGCCTCCAAGAAGTAGAGATTGACCTGGCTTGAGTACGTTCTGCTCTGGCGTGACTCGACTCTTCATCACAAGCGAAGAGTGGTGTTCGGGCTGCACGTGGGTCTCGAGAGAGCTTCGCTGTATCCCAGGAAGATCGATGAGCTCCCCACGTCCTTTACCGTAAGGGATACGTATGGGGGAAGCGGTTGTGCCAGGTAAAGAAGATACGAGGGGCATGGTAGGATATGCAGTCTCGGGTTGCGCTGGAGGGAGGAGATTGGTGTCTTCATCTTCCAGGCCATCGTCCTCGCTGATCGTCTCGGTAGTCTGTGACAACTGCTCTATTTGCGGCTCCACTGAAGGAGAATACGAAGCGGATGCTGTGCTATGGTTCACGGCATCGAGTTCTCCTTCAGGCATCATGACTTCCCTGGCTCTATGTGCGGCCTCGTCAAGTTCTCGCTGGGTCTGTGGATCAAGACCTCGGGGCATGGGCAGAGGCTTACTTTTGCCCTCTCCGCCTTTGGGGAAGACGACATCGAATAAGGCGCTCTTGCCCACGTTGACTTTGCCCACCACCCAGCCTGCACCGCCGCGCTCCCAAATCTCCCGTTTGACATGCGGTGTCCACCACCCGCGCTTTGCACTGACACACCGTAGGCTCCCGAGACGAACATTCCTCCCTGTCCTGCCAAGCGCATCTCGTAGTACATCCTGCAGGTAGGGCATCAATCTGTCGACCTGTTCCTTCTGGGGAGCMAGTAGATCGGCACGAGTGATGATGAAGGAGACGTCTGCTTGCCGACCATGCGTGTAGGTACGAGTCTTTGATCGGCGGTTCTGTGTACGCAATTTGGGCATCCTCAAGGCTTCGGTCAGATTTGGAATCAGCGAGAGAGGAAAGTCTGCGGCGTCCAGGACATGGTAAATGTGATTCGACGTGTGGGGGCTGGACTCAATTATGGCCTGAATCGATTGCATCGAGGGATGGAGGATTGAAGTGCCCTTGGACTGGTACCGCAAAGCATGACATCGATCGCAGATAGGAACGGTATTGCTGCCATTGTTTTCGTCCATCGTTTCTGGGATGGGAGTTGGAACCACACCTTCCTGTCCGGCCAGTCTTCCCATCGCCTCAGCAAATATGGTGTCCTGCTCCTCCCGCACCTTCAACCGTCGCTTTTTGCGCTCTGTGTAGAAGCCAGCGGACTCGGGCACCACCGTCTGGCTGAGGGCTCCACATCCTGGGCAGACGACCGGCAGTGTCTGTGCAAAGGCGTTGGATTGGCTGGATATTGTCGTGCTATGTGTGGGCTGCGGAGAGGGTACAGCCTCTTCTGCTTGTGTTACTTCATCCTTGGCCTGGGAAGTCGTCTCAACCTGCCTCCTCACTCCTCCCACGGCGAAGCTCCGACTTTTGTCTGCTCTCCCAATCCATCCTCGTCCTGATCGCGGTCCCGCTTCTCGAATCGCCCTGGATACGCGCAGTCCTACGCGAAAGGTACGCAACATCAAGTGGTAGATGATGATGAGGAGGTGCAATGCCCAGATGAGGATAAGAAGGAGCAACAAGAAGTTTGAAAGTTAATCAAGAAGCGCGTTCCACAGTTCCAAAGATCCGCCATGCGGCCTGCAGATCTCCCGCTGGCTCAACTCTAAAAGTCAAAGTCTCTTGACCCTGCAATCGCGAAAGGACACAACTCGCGACTTGGGGTCACTTGATCGCTCCAACCTGGCTCAAATTCACACCGGCTGCTGGAGCAAAATGAGCATGGTCTGTTGGCAGTGATTCAGCGACGACATCGACGCCATGGCCGGCACACAATTTCCTTATCCGCGAAAGTCGTCGACCACCACAGCCGGCGTCTACGCCCCTGCGCGCTCCACCACCACTACACTGCGCCAACGGAGAGCACTGAAAACATATGGCTTGATCCTCGTCGCTTTCATAGCCCTGGTCTGGCTGCTCACCTTCCTCTTCCGCTCACCGACCTCGTCAACGACACTCTCCCCAGACCTCTACCGCACACCATCCACGAGCGTCCCCGCGGGCACACCCTCAGTGGTCATAGTAACCACATTCGACCCGAACCTTTCACCGAAACACCGTGAAACATTGCAAGAAAACCGCAAACACTATGCTTCGCGCCATGGCTATGCAACCTTCTTCCCCAACACAAACGATTACGACCTGATGCCCAACACCCCACCATCATGGTCCACGATCCCAGCTCTACGCCACGCCATGACCCTCTATCCACACACTCCATGGATATGGTACTTGACATCAACGGCTCTCATCATGAACACCGAAGAGCCTCTCCAATCCAAATTGCTCAACGCAAAAAGGTTAGAGGAGCTCATGATCACGGATCRGCCTGTGGTCCCACCGGACAGTGTGATCAGAACCTATTCGCATCTGCGAGGGGAGCATATTGATCTGATCCTGTCTCAAGATCAGGACGGTCTTGCTGGAGGAAGCATGTTTGTCAGGAATGGGGAGTGGGCAAAGTTCTTCTTGGACGCGTGGTTCGACCCCCTATACCGGACCTATAATTTTCAAAAGGCGGAAGGACATGCGTTGGAGCATATTGTACAATGGCACGGGACTATCCTGGCGAAGTTGGCGTTGGTGCCACAAAGGATCTTGAACAGCTACACGCGGGCTGTGGGTAGGGAGACGGGTGAGGGTGAGTGAACATTTCCCCTTTGTTGGGAATTGATGTCTTGAGACTAACTGTGGTTGCAGGTCTCTACCAAGAAGGCGACTTCATCGCCAATTTCCACGGCTGCCAACGAGAAGCCACGAGAAGTTGTGAAGAGGAGATGAGCCCCTTGATATCAAGGTGGAGAGAGCTGAGAGACCAAGAAGGAAGGAGATGAGGCATGGASGACAAACGATATCACCGCGCTTGATGCGACGATGGCTTGGATAGCGGGACCGGCATTTGAATTGACGTTTTAGGAGCATACCTTAGCAGCGGTACATTACCGTGACACATGTGTTTTCCACGCAACGGAGCCCGTGAAGAAGGCGAGAAGAACCCAACCAATACTCCTGCTTCTGTGAAGTGCGTGCTCGCTTCGACGCAAAAAACTACAAGCAAGAAGTACAGCGGCAAACAACCTCCCCTATCCTCCTTGGATCCACTCTCGTCTCCTTCCTCCAAACGAGCGAGATCAGAAAGTTGCAGGCAGAACAAAACATGTCATTATTCCTCCATCCTCGTCCAACGCAATGTCGCAGAGCTCAGCCAAACAGGACCATGCCACGCCGGACACCATGCCCTCAAAATCTCCCGTTCATCGTTCGCAGGACATACTCAATACCGGGTTGTCCGTCATTCTCTCAGCATACTCGTAACTTTGTGTATCATGCGGGCGCAGCTCCCGTACCATCATCGTGGTAGAACCTCCGTAGAATCTTCTCCACTTCCTTGAATTCCACCTTTGCCTGCTCGATCGTCTTTCTGCAGCTGGCCAGAGATTTCTCGTCGTCTGGTTCATCCCTGTCGCCCGTTTCGTTCTTGCCCGCGCCGAAGTGCTGGATCTTTTCGCAGGAATCCTTTACCTTTGTTAGACCCAGCGTGGCGGAGGAACCTTTGAGGAAGTGTCCGAGAGCGGAGAGTTGGTTCAGATCTTTCTTCTCGCTGTGAAGGAGAATGGTTGGTTAGTGGGGTTCGTCAATGGTGGGGTCATCGTAGATGTGTGGTGGGCTTTACAGGTTCTCGTCCATTCTCTCGAATGTGGTGTGGGCTTGTTCGAAAAAGTCGTAGACTATGCTCTTACTGAACTCGCGTTCGTCTTCGTCGTCGTCCATTTCGAGGATCTTTTAGTTGCGTCAGTTTCCGATTCACGCCAATTATGCCTCCTTCATGTCTCATCCCACTGCGTTTCTTCCACTTCCACATCCACCACATCCTCAATAACGTACCTGCTCAAAGGTAGTAGCATCCAGAGCGTCGCCAAATTCGGGAAGATTGGTGCCATCATCGGACTGCGTAGACGTGCCATCAGTACCCATGCTAGACAAGGATGCCAAATCATTGGAGAATGCAAAGCCGGGGTGAGACACAGCGTTGCGACTGAGGTGAGGTCGCATTGGCGAGCAGCACGGTGCCGTGCATACGGCGACTGTGGGCGACGCCTCCTCGACCCTCAGCCGCTGCGGCTGGCCCCACTGGCCGGCGAAGTGCGAGGAAGTGCGTACCCTCAGGTCCGAGGGTTGAGTCGTTGAAGGCATGCTGGCGGTGTTGATAATATGGGAACAGAGGTTGGCTACGTCGGACTGGGCGGGCCGTCTCTGTACTCGCCGCCGTCGCCGTCGTTACTCGTAATGGGTCGCGGGGGGAAATTCAGATATGCTGGCAAGCTGCTTAGATACTTGGTAAAGTAATGATGGTTGCGTAGGTGAATTACGGGCAGGGTTGTGGTGGGGCGCACTATCCACCGCGGGAAAGAATGAAGTCCCCTTTGCGCAGAGTACAGAGCAAAGATGTTGCGTGCTCGGAATAGATGGGACCTGCGGTCTGGACAACTCGGCCGAATGTCAGTTGCGGGCTCGACCATGATCAAGACGCCAGCGGGCCGGGGCGGAAGGGGAAATGTACCTAGGAACTGCACTCGCAGTGAAGTCCGCTCAAGAAGTTTGTTGTTGTACTGGGCTGGGCTGGGCTGGACTGTGGCAACAGTGAGCTGGTTGGCACTATTTTGGTTGCAAGAGCGGGATGACGATGCAGTGCACGAACCCGAAACAGAGATGAGTAAAGTAGTGGGTAGCAGAGCAAAGCACTTTTCACGATGCTCGACGAATGATTAGAAGGAATCGCTCTCCACAGGCAGGACTGAACAAGACAGGTTGATCTCTTAGATGTGCGTGCGTGCAGTGCGTACGGGACGAGACGAGAGGAGAGGGGAATTGGGGTTGGCAGTATGAGGTGGGGATGATTCCGCAAACTTCCTCTTGGTGGTGGAGACTTGACTGGAATTGCACGAGAAGACGCTCGCACTCAGGTCACGCTAGATACTGCGGTGGATCTGCTTTGGCAACCCAGGTCGGAAAAGTCTCGCTAGTACTCTGTATCTTTCGTCATAACCACGGTCTTGCTCGCGATAGGGCGTCCAACCGTGAAGACCTCTCCCACCCCGGTCAGCAGTCCGCAGCCTCCGTTGTCGTGCTCTGCATGCTTTCCAACCCGCCTCTCTCTCGTCAGACAAAAGCCTCTCAGCAATGCCCCAACGTACTTTTCGCCGCACACGATCGTCGTGTTGTTCAGTATAGGAATAACATGTACAATGTAGTGGTGTTACCGCAGGAGTATGACGTACGCTGCAGGGTTCCAAAGGACCTGACGACTTGCGTCACATTCGCGGTCTCGGCCGCTCGTCCATCACGCGAAGCTAAACTTTTTTTCTCGCTGTGCCGCTGCATTTTCCGCCAGTCGTAGAATAGCTCCTTGGGATGAATGCAACAAATGAGGGTAAGGACGGGGGAGACGGAAGTGAACGACCCGCTTCTGCCTATCCTCCAATCGCTGGCGACGACCACATTCCAACATTCGGAGCCGGCATGCACCTGATGGGCGTACACGTGGTTTGTGAGGTACTGTACCACACAACTCTTGACGGCGCTGTCCAAAGTTTTTCTCACCAAGGCGTGACTGTGCTAGACGCCACGTGCACCGCGCGCGGGCTTCACACTTCTCGCGTTGCATGCACCTCATCACGAGCTTGACGACAGGCGTGTCTTTGAATTATTGCTCGATATTCTTCCGGTTGCAAAAGGGATTGCTTGAGACCATTCATACAAGCCCGCACTCTCCTTTTACTCCCGCTATCTGGGAACGCTCATTTGTCTAATATACATAAATCGTACCTCCACGTGAAGAGTCCTTGTCATCTTCTCGCTGCAAGGACTGTCGATCTCCCAATGACAGGGTATCCTAATCCGCCATGGCAGTCACATTTGTTGTACTGGGGATGCGATGCACTACCTTCTAACCAGTAATCTTATAAATGGCCTCGGCCAAACGGCCCACGTTCTCAGAGGTGATTCCCGCCACACTGATTCTGCCGTCCTTGGTTGCGTACACGGAGTGCTTCTCCGCAAGCTCCGTCATTTGCTCGGGGGTAAGGCCAGTGTACGCGAACATGCCAATCTGCGATGTGATGTGGTCCCACTTGCGCTTGCTCCCGAGCTTCTCGAGGTTACCCTTGAGCAGGGCGCGCATCTTAATGATGCGGTCGGCCATATCCTTGACCTCGCCGAGCCACTGCTTGTTGAGAGCTGGGTCGTTAAGGATGGTGCTGGCGACGCGAGCACCGTGGACAGGTGGGTTGGAGTAGAGCGGGCGAACGAGAATCTTGACTTGGGAGTCGACGCGGGCCTTCTCCTCCGCAGACTCACACACGATCGAGAATGCACCAACACGCTCGCCGTAAAGACCCATGTTCTTGGCAAACGATTGCGCAAGGCACGGAAGGTGGCCTTCCTTGAGGAAGTAGCGGAGCGCAAAAGCATCCTTGTCGGTATCTCCAGAGGCAAAACCCTGGTAGGCCATGTCGAAGAAGGGGTAGTGGCCGCCCTCCTTGACAGCGTCGCTGATGGCCTTCCATTGTGCCTCCGTTGGGTCGACACCGGTAGGGTTATGTGCGCAGGCGTGGAGCAGGACGATGGAGTTCTTTGGCATGTTCTTGATGTCGGCGACCATTCCGTCAAAGTCAAGTCCAATGGTGTCCTTGTTGTAGTACTTGTACTGCTTGACCTCCAACCCGCTATCGAGGAAGACAGCCTTGTGGTTCGCCCATGAGGGCGTTGGGATGTAGATTGCCTTTGCGTGAGGGTAGTGGCGCTCCAAGAAAGCACCGCCTATCCGCAATGCACCAGTACCAGAGATGGTCTGGGTGATGGCAATACGGCCTTCCTTAAGTGGAGTACTGTCTGGACCGTATGCGAGCAGCGCAGCGGCCTTGGTGAAGTCGGGCACGCCAGTGATGCCGGCATACTCCTTGTCAAGGTTCGCAGCAACGACTTTCTGCTCGGCTTCCTTCACAGAGGGCAAGACGTATGGCTTGCCCTTGTCGTCACGGTATGCACCAACTCCAAGGTTGATCTTCTGCTTGTTGCTGTCCTTCTTGAACGCCTCGGTGATTCCTAGAATGGCATCAGGAGGGCCCTGGGCTACCTGCGACCAAGCCGAGGCGGCGCGAACGGACGTTTGTGTGCTGATGATGGAGCGAGCTGGAGCTGCAGCTGCCCGCTGAAGTGCGTTCTTGACAAGCATGATGTGATGGATGGCGGTGGCAATGAGTCGAGTGGTTGAAACAAATCACAACAAAGTTGGAGGCAAGCTCCACGACATCCTACATCTCCACATTGAGTTCACCCTAGCGCTCCGCGACCGGACTTTCAGACGCCGACAAGTTGGAATTTAATTTTTGTAAAGACGACTTTCTCTGACGACTCCACAACCAACTCGAAATCATGGCGGAACAGTAGATGACCATGGCGGCAATGGAAACGAGTAATCTTGTGCGGGCTAATGGGTCGGTCAAGGTGCAGCGCAAAAAGGGCCCAACGGCCAAACTGAGCGCAGAGCAAGAGGCGACGAAGAAGCGGCAGCGCGAGGCTAGTCAGCAATATGGGCGAGGTCAAGGTTTAAAGACCACGGGCATCAAGGACAAAAAGCTGCGCGGAAATCTGCGTGCTCTGGAGGAGCGGTATCAAGATGCGGCGCTCCAGGCAAAAGATGCGGAAATCCTGCTGGAAAACGAGTTTGGATTCCTCGAACCCGAAGGCGAATTGGAGCGGACGTACAAAGTTCGCCAAACAGACATCAAGAGCGATGTGGACGTAGAGACGGCCAAGAAAGGCTTCGAGTTGAAGCTGACGGAACTGGGCCCATATGCATTTGACTACACGCGGAATGGAAAGGATCTGCTTCTGGCCGGGCGCAAAGGCCATGTTGCTACGATGGACTGGCGGACGGGCAAGCTAGGATGCGAACTGCAACTTGGAGAGACAGTACGCGATGCCAAATGGCTACACAACAACCAGTACTTTGCTGTGGCGCAGAAAAGGAATGTCTACATTTATGATCACCACGGGGTGGAAATCCACAATCTCGACAAGCTCGACGACGTCACACACATGGAGTTCTTGCCATATCACTTTTTACTCGCAACCATTGGGAATGCTGGCTGGCTGAAGTGGCAAGATACTAGTACCGGAAAGATGGTCATGCAATTGAGCACCAAGCAGGGAACGCCCACTGCGTTCGGCCAGAACCCTTACAATGCCGTGGTCCATGTGGGACACCAAAACGGAACCGTCTCACTGTGGTCTCCAAACACAACTACGCCATTGGTGAAGATGCTGTGCCATCGCGGTCCGGTTCGATCCCTTGCTGTTGATCGTGAAGGAAGGTATATGGTGAGTACAGGACAAGACATGAAGATGGCTGTCTGGGACATTCGAAACTTCAAGCCCGTACACGAGTACTTCCTCCGACAGCCCGGTGCAAGTGTCTCGATCAGTGATCGGAATCTCACCGCGGTCGGCTGGGGTACGCAAACCACAGTCTGGAAAGATCTCTTCTCCAAGCATCGCTCCGATATCGACCAGGTGAAGGTACAGTCCCCGTATATGGGCTGGGGAGCACAGGGTCAGACGGTCGAGCGTGTTCGCTGGTGTCCTTATGAAGATATTCTTGGAATCGGCCACAACCAGGGATTCTCCTCAATCATCGTACCCGGAGCAGGAGAGCCCAACTTCGACGCTCTGGAGCAGAACCCATACGAGAATACCAAACAGCGACAGGAAGCCGAGGTCAAAGCTCTGCTAAACAAGCTGCAGCCCGAGATGATAAGTCTGGATCCTAATTTCGTGGGTAATCTGGATACTGCTTCACATGAGCAGCGGCAGCTGGAGAAGGATTTGGACCGCAAGACTGGAGCGGAGGCTGAACGTGAAAAGATTGAAGAACTGAAAAACCGTGGCCGAGGCAAGAACAGCAGCTTGAGGAAGTACATCCGGAAAAAGGGGAACAAGAATGTGATTGACGAGCACAAGACTCGTGTCATGGAACTAAGAGAGAAGCAGCGCCAAAAGGCCAAAGAAGCCAAGGCTGGAAAAGAGGCGGAGTTAGGCCCTGCTCTTGCGAGGTTTGCCAGGAAGGCTGGGTGAAGGACAGACGTTCTTTTGTCCCTTTATCTCAACGACCTGAGAGCAGGTCCGCAGTTGTCGAACTCTCGCTTCCTAATCCGTCMCGCGCCCGAAGGGATGCTGCATACGCCGTGTGCACCGCGTGTATGCCTCGAATGGATGTCAGAGAGACGATCAACATGATTCATGCTGCCCGGGATGGCAGTGGCAGTCTGCCACGAATAAGCCCAGATTTCTGGATTTGGCGCAATGGCACAGAAGCGGGAAACTCGAATGCTTGAACTATGGTATATCTTACAGGACGCCATCGAGCCATCCACCAAACAACCGTATCAAACACTTGTTACATGTTTCAAGCCCAGTATCCCATATGAATTTTCCCATCTCCCATAGGGTCGTTCACATCATGAGCCGACCCCGGCATCCCTCGGCTGTCTAATTATCAAATCTTTGGTACTGTGGTCATCCGCAACATCGTCTCGTATCTCGACCTCCTGGTCTATCTCCTTGCAAACCAGGATCCTGTCATCTCCTGCTCTGCTCGCCCTTTTGCCGCGCAAATCTTTTGGTGCGGCTTTACATCCAGCCTGGCTTCGACCATGTTCATCTCCGGGCTGAAAGCTGTTGAGAGGAAACGCTGTCTTGCCCTCGGAGCGGCCAGCTTCAAGCCTTTCCTGCGAGAGAGATGATCCGTCATCATTCCCCCTGGGATTTAGTCTCCTCAACAGTGTCTGCAGCCAATTGCTCTCCTCTGCTCTGTGTTCACCACTGTTGTAAGATCTCGGCTGAGACATTCTGCTCTTGAAGATGCGAGGGAACAAGCACCTCATTGTCGGCAGACAGGAGCACATGATGGCGGTGTTGATCTCGATGTTTGACCATATGGCAGCCATGCCATTGTTCCAAGATACATCCTGCGCCCGAGAGATGACGAAAAGAGATTGGAGGCGAAGGATGGACACGATACACGTGAATCCTCCCAGTAGGAAAACCGTCATGAGTGCTCTTTTGGTGCGTGTTGGTAGCTCGAGGTCCGACATTACTGGAATTGGGAGGACCACAATGACGATATCCGTGACGATGTTGATGGCTGCGTTGGCGAACCTGTCGAAAAGGGGTCAGCGTGATCCAAATGAGCATATTAGAGACTTTCGAACCATATTGGGAACCTCGGAAGGCATTTCCCTTCCAAACGATGGTCCCAGAAAAATGCAATGGGCGAACATGCGAAGATGGCCGTTCCGGCTGCGTAGATCGCGTAAATCACGACGACCGTAAGAAGGATAAAGCAGCACATCCGGAAGGTCTTCATCGGGCTGAAAACACGCAGGTACTGCAGTAGAATAGCGACCTTGGTACAGCAGAGTGACAAGTTGTATGTCCTGAGAGTAGAGTCAGTGGGCATATCCGGTTGTTGTCAAGAAGTGCAATTTCGCAAGCATGCCATATTGAAACGTAGAACTGTTCTCAGATGTCAGCTCTCGCTCTACATGCTCATGCCAATGGAACTATACTGACCGCCTTTAACATGGAAATGGACTCATCCTGAGACAGCGAAGCCTGTCGTCTTCCCATCCCGTATTTCACTTGAAAAAGCATTGTGATGGTGGTTCCCAAAGCGAACAACTGTGTCTCTTGTCAACATGGTCGTCATTCGCAAAAATCTCACAATTTTCGAGCATACCATTGCAAAGACGATGGAGACATCGTCGGATCCAGCATTCCTCGCGATTCTCAACCTCGCATATGTCCGACAGGCAACGAAAGTGGCAGCCAAAGCAGTAAAAGTTACAGTCACAGCCACCACTGAAGTTCCCGAAGCATGGCCGTTCATACTTGATCACCTCAACGTCATTGAGAGAGGGCAATGGTGCTGGATGAAGGTCATTGAAGGCGGCGAGAGCGGCGGGAGATGTGCAAGAGGTGTGGGTCACACGAACGGTATGAGCATGTTACACCGTCCGCCCCGTTGTTATATCGCACCGAGGATGCTTTTCCGAAAAAAAAGTGACGATTTTGTTCCCGTCTCTCTCTCTCTCTCTGAAGATCTGTCTCTTCAGTGCGGATGGTGGCTCGCGACAACCCAAAACAGGTGCCCCTCGCGTGGAGCTTGCCCACCGGAGATTCAGTTGGACATTGGGAGGTTCGGATGAGCAGGGATCAGTTCGCGTGCAACTTTGGGCCCGATAAGCGCCGGGATGTACGACCGCCCCACAGTTCGCCATGTTTGATGTTGATGTCAGATCTTCTCAGCGACTGCTGTGCTCCTAAGGTATGCTTCGGCCCGTTGGAGCCTGCCGAGGAGTGTAAGGAGCAACGAGTTCACAGAGCAGAGGCGGTGAAAGTGACAGTGAGATGACATTGCTATGATGCGGCATGAATTATTATCGACGAGGAATGGCCTGTCGCTGTTGGGACCCCAGCCCGAGGCCAAGAGTCTTCGCGGAGCAAAATTCACTGGAATCGATCGCACTTTTCCGCGTGCACCCAGAGCTTTGTGAGCATGCGGGTACCACCGCATGCTCGCGACGAGGTCCACATTAATGACACTTGTGACGAMTCAGTCAATTTGAGACCAGGAAAGCGAAGAGGCTGCTGGCAGTGCTGGGTCCTCGAGAAAGTTCCAACGCTGCAAAACTTAGCATTTGCAGGGGAAAAAGGGAAAGAGATGAGCCTCTCATGAGAACAGAGTCAAGTCTGCAGGCGGGAACTCCCCGGCCTCCCCGAGCCATGTTTGGAGCGTTTACAGTAACGTGGTTGTCGAAGGGGTTCTGGATTTATGAGCACTGAAACACAGGGATGATGACTTGAAGTCGATGAGCGTAGTATCGTGGCCACCTGGTGTGGGAATCCCATACGCGACAGACTCATGACACGCAGCTCCAGCTGTGCATCCCCAGGACGTGCCCAGTCAACCAGTATTAAATAAACAGTGCTTTCGCAACATCCCAAGCAAACGCATGCAATGGGGATCAGCTGCGGCGTCTGATTTTCCCTGTACGAAATCATGATGATCTTCTTCCCACAGCGGAAGTCAAGGGGGGGAGGTGTCGCTGTCTCGACGATTGATAAACATCTTGTCAATCTGTTGCCATTCTGGCCCGCTTGAGAATGTCGGTTGCTTTTATAACACTGTTCAAGACGTTGCACCATTTCTCCAATGTCGTTTCGGCGGAGRAGAAATGCATGATCTTGAGAGTTGCTCGATAGCTGGAAATGAGAACAGACGGAAACAGCACTTGCATGCCAGGCTCGTCAGATTCTCTCACTGAAAAGGCAGTGTTAAACTCAGGGCCTCGAAGACCTGACAATCAAGCAGATAGAAGCATCATGTCTTCCCAGACACGCCTTACTCCGACCGCTGTCGCTGACATGCACACTGGGATGTATGCTTAGAGCGTTGTGGTCAAATGTCCTGGACTGCTGGTTCTCAAGCAAGATACTGATAGATTCGTAGGTAGATTCGTAGGTATTGACAGTCTCCCCATCGCAGACATTCCGTGCATCGAAGCACGGCTGACCATGTGCGGTTGCTGACCTCTTACATGTCCTCCCTTGTTGCAAATCCCAGCTTGCAGCCTTTGTGGGCTCGCTGTTACTGCGGTGCGCCAAGTCGTTCGAATAGTAGGATAGTTCTCGGTCTCATGACTCTCATCTCAACAGGAGGCTGCTTATGAATCCAAGTCAGTGGTGATGTCCGTCGGCCCGATACTGGCAATTTCCAGGCGGATAGGTGGTCTGCTTCACGCCGACAAGTCAAATCTCACCCCACACCCTTCAATGATACTCGTCTGGTTCCCATTTCAAGAGAAAACTGCAAACGCTGGACGCATTCATAACCAGACGTGTGATCCCGGCAGAGGTGGGGAACGAAGTCATCGGAAGATGGAACGAGGCATGCGCAAGGCTGCAGCTCCTTGCTACCTACTATGTCTGGCTGGTAGAGATCAGCGCCATCTGGCATGCTGGCATGCACCATCAATCACCGCGTTCGGGTCCAGGTCGTGGTGTCGGTGAAGGAGGCATATCCCGAAGTCATGGTGCATTCATTCAGTGCCTGACGAAGATTGGCCCGAACTCGACTAGATTGGACGACTCATTCTCGCATCATTGGTCCTCGAGGTGTCTGATAGTAGTACCTTATGCCGCTGTCTTGTACCTGCATGCTGCATGCTGGATGTCGTGAGGTTCGGTCGAGGACGCCGGCGAGCCGGTGAACATCCTGGACGCTACGCGTGCCAAGTCAACGTATTACTACCCAAGATGGTTTAGATGCGGTACGGCAGACGTTTATAACGATGCACCCCGCTTGAGTTATTTGATCTTTGCTTGGTTGCTGCTCAGCCGGACTGTTCTTCCTGGTAAGTTACGCTCAATGTGCCGTGTCCCACAAGTGCCACATGGAGTTTGTGATTCCATCTGATCGAGGCGGCAATGACTCGCAGACGGCAGATGTGAGCCTCCGATTGAACCTCCGCCGGCCGAATTAACGAGCGGCGACTTGCGCGGGACGTAGCGAGACATCCTAGTTGCATTGGCTGCTCCGTCGTCATCATTCTTTGTCCTTCCTCTGAGCTATTTGTGTCTCCCTTGAGGCTACGTGAACCTCTCTACGAATGGAAAGCGCTGGAGCATCGCCGGATCATCATGAAAAGATTCGGGCTGGGAGGATGGCTCGGGGGCTCCGCGAGTAGCATTGCCTCGAGCAAGTCGTTGACGGCCCTGGATGAATCGCAGGCTTGTAAGAATCGGGAAGGCGGTATGCATCTATGCTACGGCTGATGCAGGATACAGTGGCAGAAGCGATGGCTAGTGCTGTTCACATTCTCAATGATGGTAAGATTGGGCACGCGATCTTGGGCCATGGTCTCCGGTCTGACTCGCGAGCAGATGTAGAGAGAGCCGAAGCAGAGCTTAGCAAAGGCACTTCGCCCTTTCATAAGGTGAGACATATCCGCCTCAAGCGGAGCAAACATGCCCATCATTGATGCCTATACAGCTAGGCAGGGGTACTGCTCTTTTCCTCCGAGCCGCGTTGGGTTTCGAGAAAGAGGTTATGAAAGAGGCATCCGAGCGGCTGTTAGAAGCAGAAGAGTCTGCCACTGAATACAGAAGAAAAGGTACACCTCCAGTTTTTCTGCATGGCATGTGATAATACTGGTACAGCGCCATGCAGACTCAGTCTAGCACTTGGCTACCTCCTTCATGCCCTCTACCGAGAGCTTTGACTGACCCTACGCCATTTTGTAGCAACCAGAAACCCATCAACAGCACATCAATCGAAGATCTACCCAGTAGGCTCAGAATATGCGCTCATCTTTGCGGAGAGTCAATTGATGCTCGCCGTTATTGGTGTGCTGAACGAATCCCTTACTGAATCGCTCAGAGGATTCTACAGGCTCCGACAGGCTTTCAACACTCTCTATGAGATTGTGGAGGCCGAGAAGAAGTACATGAAGAAGCATTATTCGGAGTCGCAGATATCACTCTCAACGAACCAGAGCTCCACGCTCAGTTCGGACTGCTCAACCCCTGCTAATGGTTCAAATGACCTCGACAAAGAAGTCAATGAAGATCTTGCCACGCAACTCGACCACAAACTCGACGTGAATGGAGATGGCGCGGGGCCGACAACAACCTCGGTCGGACGGAGCGGAACTCTTGAGGATAACATCGATTTTCAAACAGTCACTACCGATCCAGTGGGTTATTGAAGCAATTGACAATCGGGAAGAGATTGACCAGTGCTAATGGCACACTAGATTGACGTCTTCATACATTCCGGCACGATGATGTGCTATGGACTGCTGCAACTCTTGCTGTCGATGGTGCCTCCAGCCTTTTCCAAGCTTCTATCAATCTTTGCCTTTCGAGGTGACCGTGAGACAGGCCTGGCGTTGCTCTGGAAGGCAACAAAGTTCACGGACAACGTCAACGGTGGCATGGGTACAGATGTAACTTGTCACCCCATTCCCTCATCCCGCTAATGCTCCTCTCAGCTGCACTCATAACTTTGATGTTCCACAATGCGGCGGTGGCCGTTTGCGATATCCACACAAGAGAAGCTTATCCCCGAGAAAAATTGCAATCTCTGTTGGTCCACATGAGAACCCTGTACCCGCAGTCCGTCTTGTGGATACTCGGAGAGGCCGGTATGGCGAGCTCCGACCGCGATCTGCCTCGCGCAGTTAGCATACTCAAACCCGATGCTGGAACATCTCCCCTGAAACAAGTCGAAGCTCTTCGCGTCTTTGAGCGCAGTCTGGTATACATGTATATGCACGAGTATCAGCTATGCAGCGACTCGTTCCTCAAGTGCGTGGAACTCAACAACTGGTCGCATGGACTGTACTATTACATCGCCGCGTGCTGTAACGTTGAGCTCTACCGCTTGAAGAGGGCGACAGATCCCATTGGAGCAGATACGTACAAAGAAAGGACGAACGAGTTATTGCAGCTCGTGACGGCCAACACAGGGAAAAAGAAATTCATGGCTCGACAGTTGCCACTTGATATCTGGATCAACCGCAAGATTACAAAATGGGCCTCTCGAGCGAGAAATCGCAAGTGCGACATCGTCGACGCTATTGGAGTGAGTCCCATTGTGGAACTGACATACTTCTGGGGAGGCTTTGGACGGATGGGGCAGGATCACATCAGGACTGCAATCGAGCGTCTGGCATGGAGTGAGGACTCCACACGCGATTCAAAGTGGGAACAAGAGCCTGCTGATGAGCGCGCGATACTTTACCTGCTAAAGGCAACGTGTCTGCGCAACCTCGGCGAGGTCAAACAGGCCGATGCGATGCTTTCGGAACACGTCTTCTGCTATGATAACCAACAGATCAAATCCTGCGAACATGCAGACAACTGGCCTCTTCCAGTGGCACATTACGAGAGAGCCGTGTGTATATGGCAGGACGCTGGTGGGCAAGATGGTGGTGCGGAACATCTACAGCTCTGCAGCGATGAGTTGGCAAGAGTAGAGGGCTGGGAGACCTATGAACTTGAGGCACGAGTGGGAATGAAGGTCACCACTGCTCGTCAGACATTGAGGCAGTGTGGAATAGCTCATCCTTGAAATAAGCATGCTACACAAGTGCTGTTTTGCCTCATATCGTCATGGATCTTTTCCAAGTAGCATTCATTCTTCATCCACGACCGACCGACCGATTGAATCTATTGCGTCGTCTTGCTCGCCGCACCTTCCTTCTCCWTCCCCTCACATCCAACTGCGCTTCCCACGACTTCCTCAGCCTTGCCAAATCCACTTGTTGCTGGTTCGCGGTTTTGACTCGCGGCCTTCATGTCATCGATTCCTTGCTTCTTGTCTTTCTCTGCTGAATCCTTCCAGGCTTCGGAGCCAGTGACCGCTCCAACGGCACCCTGCCATGTATATATAAGTGATGTTCATCAAGTGGAGGGTTCAGTAATGTTCTCACCTCTACGGCTCCCTTTACATATTCAGCGTGGCCTCCGATGAGGGTTGGCTGGGCTGTTGAGTCGGACATGTCTGATTTGTTGCTTGTGTGAAATTTGGTGGARGATAGTATACTTTTTACTTTTGAAGAGGTCCTTTTGTAGATAGATGTATTTGTATTGAGGAGGCAAGATGCAAAGAGCAGAGGCGAGCAAGACAATACATAGTGTGGTTGATTGATCAACCGGCGGGCAACAATAATATAGTGACGTATTTGTACATCATTCCTCCTGGAGGTTTCACATGATCTGGTCCATTACGTTGACGAAGAAACCAGTAGAGGACTTTTGAAAACATATTCATTCGTGGGTATCACACCGAGAGCTGCTCTCGTATMATCAATCGTTTACTCTAGAATCTCATCTTACAACCACTCGCAAGCTCAGTAAGACACCGAGGCCATGCGACGGTCATTGCCACCCTTCTGGCGCTTCAATCCAATCATCTGAATCATCTCCGTCCAGAAACCAACTGGTGGGTCGATAAACGTCTCCTCGTAAGCATCTACAATCGGACGCTCCCAGACCAAGTCAGCTTGGCTGGACTTAACGAACTTGGTCTTCTTGATGACCTTCCAAAAGACGAAGAGGATCGGTGCGAGTATGAGCATGGAGTAGTAGGTGAAGAAGCTCTCGACGTCGAAGCCGCTCCTGAAGGACGAGTATCCGTAGCACAATACAATGAGCCACATCCAGACGAGGGCAATGTAGGCTCCGTACGGCTGGAACCATCCAGTGTATGGGAGAGTCTTGCGGTCAAGGCCCTGCTTCTTACAAGCGTTGTAGAAGAAAATGTAAGTTGTCGTCATCACAATGTAGTTGATGATACCACCAGCGGTGATCAAGTTGATCAACCATGTCAGGACCTTGGCTGATCCGCTGCCGAGCTGAAGGAACGACAGGAATGGGAAGCACATGACGACACCGAAGCAAGCAAGAGGAACTCCACTCTTCGTGCAGTATCGCAGGAATTTCGGAGCGCGGCCCTCGATAGCAAGTCCGTAAAGCGAACGTGTCGCGCAGTAGGTGTAAGTGTTGCCGGCAGAGAAGATGGAGGTGACCAGGAGTGCGTTGACGAGGTGAGGCAAGCCGTTGACTCCAAGGTTCTGCATGGCAATGACATATGGCGATGCGGCACCGGTACCACCGCCCGAAGAGGTTCCAGCGATGATAGCAGACAAGGTTGGGTCGTTGTATGGAATCAAGACACCAACAGCAAGTGCTCCCATGATGAAGAAGATACCGAATCGCCAGTAAACGGTCTTGAAGKCGTTCTTGATATAGATGCGGGGACGCTTGGCCTCAGCGGCGACCATGCTGATGTATTCTGGTCCGACAACAGTGAAGGAGGCAGACCAGAGGGCTGCGAGGAAACCTTCAAAGCGTCCTAGAGAACCGGTGCTCAAGTGCTCGGCGAAAGCTCCGGGCTTGTTCCAGTATCGGAAGCCATATGCATCACCTTGGGGGTTGCCGCCAACCATAGTCACAAAGGTGAAGGAGAACAGCAACATGATCAAAATGACTTTGCCTCCCGAAAGCCAAAACTCGGCTTCTCCGTATGCCTTGACCGCGAGACAGTTCAGTACCGCGTATAATACGATGCAGACGGCGATAACGGCACCTCCTGGGATGTCGTCTCTCCAGAAGCCCAGAACTGTAATAAGCGCAGTAACCTCGAACGGAATCTGGCGGGTGTTAGCACAAATTCATGATCGAAGTCTCGTGGGCATACTGACTAGAAGCGCCTCGTACAAAAAGAAGTTCCAGCCGGCCATGAAGCCGAATGCATCATCTACCCACTCTCCTGCAAGACGAATGAAGCCTCCAGAGACAGGCATAACAACGGTCATCTAAGAATCGAAAGTCAGTCGTAGTCTCAACACGGTCTAGATTCAAGGAGACCAATGGGGCGGTTTCCAATCTTCTTCCAACGCACCTCTGCTATGCAGTTGTTGACCAGTCCGAGCATGCATGAGTATATCGTGTAGGCAAGGAAGAGACTGGCAGGTCCACCGGCGTGAAGACCACCGCCAATGGACACGAACAAAGCCGTGCCAATTGAACCTCCTATAGCCAGCAACTGAATCTGGCGGTTTCCCAACCGACGCTGAAGGTCGTCCTTGTTCTCAGAGATGATTCCATGGCTGATGTCGACTGCGTTGTCCGAGTTGACCTCGACATCAACGTCTTTCTCCCGGGCGAACTTCTCGAAGACACCCATGATGGCCGACTAGTTGGCTGGGCGACTGGTGCACGCCGGCGAGTGTGGAGTAGGTGAGGTTGAGTTTTAGGGAAATGTTGTCCAGGTTTGGGCATGTACACCGGGCCATGTTATGTATTCCAGCAGCGGTGGTGGCGTTGTCCAGCCTTGGGTTCGACCACGCGACATGCCTCTTCGTATGCCATGATCCGCAATGAAGCTAACACTCTTTCGGGGTAGCACTCCACAGCCTAGGCCTCTTAGCGTCGTGCAGGTGAAGAATTCTAGGCCGGAAGGTTTTCTCGTGCTCCCATGGCCGCAGTACCGCAGGTCACAGTGCACACTTTCACCGGTACCTCAATTGYGAGACTATCTGACCCAATGGCAACTTTGGTCGCACCTTGATCCTTGAACATGATGATAGTGGTGATAGGGAAGGCCTAGCCTTGCGGAACCGGAAAAGAGCGTCCTGCCTTGGCCTGGCGACATCGCCTTATTAGCCTGCGCCTTTTGACGCCATCCATTCGCCTATCCTGGCTAGGCCTGGCGGCATCTCCGAACTTTCACGCGACGATGATCCAGTCCACGTTCTCGGTGCTGTATGGAGTTTTTGCACCTAAAGTACGGCGTGTGGCCTCGGCTACTCTGGTCTTCGGAGAGATGTCCAGGCGCAATTAAGTTTGCCATGTGGTTGGGAGGGTAGGGCTGCGGTTCCGCCAATCAGACATGTTCTGAGTGGCTTATAATTCCAGATCGCGGAGACACCTCCAATGGTGCATAGCGTAGCTTGCTTGGTATGAACGTTCACGCGATCAGTTGCAGCGCGATACATGTCTCATCTGTAAGGCTTCCATGGCTTGTAAATTTGGGGACTCCGGAGGCTGCGGATGTTTGCAATCGATGGTCCGACCTGTGGCTGTGTGTCATACCTGTGTCCGCTCATGATTCTGGCAGAAATCATGGCAGTCGAAGAGGCGGTTCGTAGCTTCCACACTCACGCAACAAGCTTCGACGGTCGAAAGTTCCCATACGCGCGATGGGGTCGATGAGGACAGTGGTCCGACAGATGCATGACCTTCCGCGGCCATCATGAGTCGTGAGGCGCGAAGAATACCGTGTACTCAAGGKCAGATCGCATCTAGATGGGCGTTGAGGCCACAATTTGCGTTATGTACGCTTCCGACATCGCCATGATTGTAAACTCAAACAGCGATCCAGATGTCTTTTCTGCCATTGGCTGGCTAAAACTGCTGAGTGCTGTATAGACTCGCTTTCCCCATATACCTTACCATTGTACCTTTGTACAATCCTCTTGCGTCCCTGACTTCCTAGTGCTCGAGACAGACGGGAGGATCTTCGTCCGGCCACGCCTATGGGGGTTTGGCACACCCTTCAGCTCTCTACCACGGTGCCGACAGCAGGCAACATTCACCACATGAGAGGCAGACCACACTGAGAAACTGACTTCGGGAAATCTTCTTTCTATGCGTATCGTTATGTTAGAAATCGTCCTGCTCTATTTATACACTTATACATTGTGGGATATCGACAAGGCCAGTGCCTCGAATAGATCAGCCCCTCCACACACACACATTAATCCGTTATAAGATCGTGGGGAGACTTGAACAAAAGTCGGCCGACGCCGCAACGTCGCGTCGTCAAAGAATAAAAAGATTGCCTCTCATCATGCGCCACCAAAGCCTCCGTCGAGCGCGCCTCGAGCGCGTTCCAGCCTTCGCCTCATCATCAGCATCCTCATCTCCCTACTCATACCATCCTTCTCATCACCTTCCTCCTCTTTTCGCTGCATCTCTCGGACAACATGCCTGAGGCTCTCTACAACGCCAAAGAGGACCGCGTTTTCGCGAAGCCCAAGGGCAACTCCTGTGGGATCCAGAAGTGTATTGACAGCGACAGACGTCAGGTCTCTCGATGGCTGGCCATGCCGATGAGTGAGGGGAGACGGTGAAGGTTTGTTAGGAGTGGATTTGGTCTCGCTGCCAATTCCAGAGTCTGCACGGTCTGAGCTGCTAGAACGTCGCAGCCTCACTGCAGTCCTCGGCCTAGGATTGGTATCAAGAGTTAGCGACTCCGTGCGGTTCGTCCAGAGAGAATGCGACTCATTGGCCCCAGCATGTTTGCTGTTCCGCCCTCCTTCGGTAGGGCCTCTGAACGCATCTCGCCCGGCATCGCTCATTGGACTGATAGCTCGATCGGGGAGGTTCAAAAGGGTGGAGATTCGACCCAACGACACTGAGATTGGCGACACAGGACGGGAATAAGCACCATTCAGGTGACTTGCTTTACCCGGGGAATCACTGCCTTCTTTCGCGGTTGAAAAAGAGTGCATGGTGCTGACACTCTCCTCGCTCAGTGGTCTTGCCGCCAGTTGCCTTTCGGCGAGTGTCCGCTCAATAGCTCTCAACCTCTCCGGGGTCTGCGGCGTATCCGGTGGGAATATCCCACCTACGCCAGGGTCGGACACATACCCATCCACGTCATTGTCGTTGTCGTTGTCGCTTTCGTCCATCTTGGCGGCGGCAGGTCCTCTAGCGGTTGCCGTGCTTGACATGCTTCCGGCACTGGACTCCGAGGGTCTCCTCTTCACGTTATACCGAGCCATAGCACCGCTGAGGAAGAAATTCTCGTAATCGAAAGCGTCCTCTCGATGCTCGTGTGGGACCACACCCTCTCCTTCATATTCCACAGCATCTTCATAAACGCTGTCCCCGGCATCAGATTCAGAAGGCGCGTAGTCATCGTCTATACTCGAGTCTGTTTTCACAATGTAATTCTGTGATGAGCGTGGAAGCACAGGAGAGGATCCAAACCCATCATCCGACAAAGGAGGGGACGGCGGCCCTGCGAGCATATCTTCTACTCCCCTGTCGTCCAAGCAGGTGCCAGGCATTGCAGTCTTGGATGAATTGGGCTGATGATAAGAATGTCTCTTCTCAGCTGATTTTCGCATCGCCGACGCACTTGACGTCCGCCGATGGCTTGTCTCATCTGCCGTCTCACTGCGCTTGTGCCCATTCTCCTGATTTGGAGAATTGTTTATCCGAATGTTCCGCACCCTTGCTTTTCTTTCGGGATTCGAACCCGTGACTACCTCGACAGCTTTGCCATATTGGATGCGATCTTTATGGATGCGATCTTTCTTTGTGCCTCCAGCTTGCTCAGCAAAGGCATTGCGGCTTCCAGACACAGCCCAAGAATCGGCGGTGCCACCATCTTGAACTTCGGGTGTCTTGAGCTMACGTGCGTCGTTCACTCCGGGGCTGTAGAAAAGCTCAGGCGCGGCGCTTTCGGCGTTGTTGAATGGTGTCGTCTGAGTGGCACGAAGACTCGCTTGGCTCTGCCTCCTTAGACTGTCTTCACGCGCGCGATCCTTGAGAGTTGATATTCTGCCCTTCAAACTTGACATTTGCTCACGCAAGTCCGAAGTCCTTGAATCAGATCGAGATGCCGGACGGTGAATGCCCAGACCATTATTCGTATCTTGGCTACCTGAAGTTTGATGGTGATATCTTTGCCTCGCAGTATCTCTCCAAGTCGATTCGTCGTCGCCCTCGGGCAGTGCCTCCAGGTGGTTCGCGTCAGGTGACACTCTGTTATGCAAGGGACGCTCGTGGCTACCCAGCTTTAGGGAATCTGAACTTCTACTTCCTCGCAGTCTTGATGTCTGTGTGGGAGACTCGGTAAATCTTGTTCGAGACGGTGTCCTGCTCCGTGACTGCAGACCGCTCCCAGAGCGACGCTGATCCAGTGAAGTAAATGGTCTTTCGGGTAGATTGACCGTACTGAAATTGCGTGTATGCTGATACTGTCTTCCCAGCGCAGGAGTCGACGTTTGCGAATGCAATGTTCGAAGGGTCATGGTCGGATCCTGATCCCCGTCGCGATCGCGGTCGTACAGGTCGTAATGTTGCTCTTGGGGGATGTAGCGGACGCGGCTGTTATATGATGCGCTTCCCTGCAAGTAATGGGCATGYGCCGAACCTAACGACGTCGCACGTTTCAGATTCGCGGTGGTCAACGGAGCCACGAGGTCGCGCGCACCTCGAAGGTTGCCTTCCATGACATTCAATCGTTTCTTCGCATTGGCCAGAATCTGTTCGGCCCGCTTGGACAGGATAGCGGAATTGTACTCTTCTATCTCCTGCTTCCGCCGTTGTGCATCAACTTCGCTGCTCTCAAACTGCGGCGCATTCTCGTCCACGGTTTCGTCGTCACTGCCTGTTCCCTCTGGCTTTGCGTACTTTGCCAGAAATTCGGCCATGCCCGACAGTCCGGACGAACTCCCGCTTTTACGACGCTTCTCTTTGTCGGGCAGCTGCAGCTGCTCGGCTTGCTGCGCCGGTTGTTCGGGCGCCAGGTTGCCCACGTCCTGCAGCACAGGCGAAGTGTAGTCGCTGTCGATGGAGCCGTGGGAGACGTTGCGGGCACGGCGAGCGTCTCGCAGATTGCTGTTGATGGCATTCCCGCCTGTGCGGCTCCGCAACAGCAACATCTTGCGGCTCATGAGGCCCGGCTTTTCGTGTTCTTTCCTGGCCATGTCTCGGTTGGCTGCGTGCTCACCCGCCGGACTGGCAGGCCTGCTCCGCTCGCGCAGGTAAGAGGGACTGGGTGGGCGTGTTCGCCGTGCAAAGCCGGCGCGGGGGGCCGACAGTGCCGTGTAGTCGCGATCCACGGTGGGCAGGATGTTGTCGGGGTTGGTGAGTGTCGGCGACGGTGGTGCGGGCTCGTCGTCCGCCCACTGCTGCGTGTGCAGAGCATGCAGAGCAACCGACATGGTGGTAACCGCCGCACACGCCAGGGAATCCCTAATGTTGGGGCCACCAGACCAGCTCCCACGCGGCACACGAGTTCCACTGCAGGAAGACGGCCGCCAGCGATACAGAGCGAGAGGCGTGGGACCGAACCTCGAGGTAGCTCCGTTTGCGCCCAAACTTCGCTCCTTAATGGCTGTTGTCTGACTTTCCCTCGACAAGCTTGTCTCATTTCACCAGCTGCTTCGCTGCATCTGTTGCTGCAAGTTCCTTCACCGTAGCAATATCCCGACCATTTTTTGCTGCAGTCAGGCGACGTATAATTTGCGCCAGGTCAGCCCTGCTACGATGTATTGTTGGCCACGAGCACGGGTGGCATACGGAGGCCAGGTTCACCGTTGTCTTCTCAGCGCAGGCATCCGAAGCAAACCCCCAAAGGAGGCTAGAAGCAGATCACTCGCTACGCCATTCGTCCGGCYCTCTATCTAACTTTTGCTCATATGGAAGACGTGTGACGCCCTCTGCAAGCTCCTGTCATGTTTCACGCGCGGTCGCGAGTTCGCGAAGATTGGCGGCATTGGCAGGGGCATCACCGTCGCGACTTTCAAGTTGTACCGAGACACCCTACCTCTTCTACATGTAACGTCCGACGGTGGTGAACGCACTCCCCGCTATGGTTCGACACAGCTGTACATGCTTGATCCTCACCTGGTATATCCCGGCATGACAGTGTCGTTGACTCAGTACGCCTGTTGGGTACGACAATCTGGCCAACATTCCACCAGCAGAGATGGCCAAGTCGCATTCGAAGCTCGGAAACAAAACAGAGATCCCCGGTTCTGCCTAACCAACCAGCCCTGCGCGACCCGTGTGATGCAAATCTGCACAGGGCGTTCGTCTGATGGCTTGTTGCTTGTTAGCCGCCTCGAGGCTGCATTTGATGCTCTCTTCGCAGTGCGCACCATGAGGCCAGTCGTGGCGGACGAATTGCGATGAGGATCACTGATCAACAATTTTTTGGTGAAGCTCATCTTCCCCTGCAGGATGCTTTAGGCTGCAGCCGTATGCAGGTACCATGCCGCAATGGACAGGGAGCATGCACGAGCCTCGGAGTCAACAATGTGGGATGACGCGAACTCGCAGCTCGAGGCGGAGTGGAAACCGTGGACGGATCGAAACACGGCGATCGCTTCGCATGTTCTAACAACAACAATTAATCCATCAATACGATCTATCGATGGATAAAGGTAAGCGAAGTGCAACGCCGAACGCCGCACATCTCATCGCTGGAAGAATGCAGTCAGCATGGCCACTAGGCTGCAGCGTTCAACGCCGCATATGTCCAGTTCTATCTGCGCTTCAGCCGCATTTCGTCCTTTTGTCAAAAGATTCAAGTTACAATGTCAACATCACAACTCACCATCCGTCCCGCGGCGCTAAAATCTTCAGATCATGAGCTTCTAATCGACTTCAAAGACTCTCAACTCGAGTGGCTGTCCGAAGTGGGAAGTACGGAACAATGGGGCACACAGCCAGCTCGTGAGGGCAATCCATCAGTGTTGGAGAAATGTCGCCAGTGGGTAGAAAAGAGCGAGTCACATGTGCCATGGGGCGCAGAGTGGTGCCGTGCTTTCGTTGCAGAGACATCAACCGGTACGCCTGTTGCCGGACTGGTCCTGGACTCAAAAGCACCTGCATATGTTCGAGCCATCCTTCCTGGACAGGACGAACAAGACCCATTCGTCTACCTCGCATATTTGATATCAAATCGGAATGCAGGTGGAGAAAAGAAAGGTGCTGGTGCCGCATTGATCAATGTAGCCAAGGAACAAACTCGAAAGGCAGGTTTGAATCGGATCTGCCTCGACTGTTTCCGTGGCAATGGTCGGAAATTGGTAAAGTGAGTACGCGTGGTTGCGATGTTAGAGTATGTGCGCGAGACTAATGCACCTTTCCATTGTTAGATATTACGAGAGCCAGGGCTTCGTATCGATTGGTGACTTCAGTGCTTCGGTCCCAGACAAGGATGACTGGCTTGGCTGCGTGATGGAGATGCGGGTCTGATGGAGGGCTTGCGACGATACACCCTAAGCGAGTACATGATGAAGTCGAAACTGGGTAGGCGGATCCCATCGCTGATCGAGCGCCTCGCCGATAACACGCTCATCGCCGGTCGGCGGAAAATTCAGATCCATCCGGAAGCCTCATTTTTTTCGCAAGCGGCTTTCTCGTCATAATTCTCTTCTTTTCAGTCGAATCGAAGTCAAACGGCCCAACATCAAAATCCTGTTCTTTGATGATTCCGTACGTTGTACTTCAGGTAGAGTCCCTTTCCTTGTCGGAGGCGCTGAGCACTGCAATAACTCCTTGCGCATCGGCTTTCTTGCAGCCACATCCAACTAAGATGCTACCCCTGGATCTTGGTTCAGCATTGCTTGTGCGAAGTTGAGGACGCCGATAGGGGAGCTCAACCCGGTACTGACAACGTCCGCCTCCATCACTCACGCGCCACGTTGTTGGAACTCTGACGATTCCCAATCATCGACAAGCGATGGCAGCCATGGCTTGCAAGATAAGACACGAGCCAAAGCTATTGTCAACTTACTAGCGTGAGGCTGATATGGGAAGAACTCAGCCTTCACGTTACATCATTCCTTCGCCCCGGCTGCAAAGAAACCCACGCTTTGCGGAGCTTTCTTCTCAGCTTGCTCTCTTGCGTGAGGCTCGTTCTTCATTTCCTCCACGCCGCTCTCCAGTCGCCACTTCGCGGCTACGACCATCTGCCCAGTCCCCTGATCGGTGACATGTACCCACCTACTGGTTGGGCCTTCAAGTGCGAATGCTACGTGCACTGAAAGCGAACATATGACGGTATACTCAAGTACCACCCTTGGTTTATAAGACCGAGAGCTAGGATTGCTTTGAGAGAAGGACGCGATACGCCTGCAATTGTTGCGCGTTTCTCGACAGTACTTACTGAAGCCTTGGATGATGGACTTTCGGGTCGCACCTTTAAGCTGGGCGTCATGTTCCATGGCTATGGCCGTCGGGGTGTCCCCTATGGCCATACCGTTTAGGACTGCGAACTCGTGGAAGGAGGAATGCAGGAGAGGAGAGAGTCTGAATGGCATCTTCGTTATTGTTCATGTGCACGGCATAATACTTACACCGGCGATTGTAGGCTGCTGGACGATTCAAGGTAGCAGTTCAACGCAGTGAATGCATGAAGCGTCTGTCGAAGGTCCCCCGAGTCCAGACGAATCATTGGAGCAATCTCGAAGGAACGAGGCAAGGTTGACCAAAGGGCGGCAGACGACGTCCTTTGCATGTTATCTTGCTTGAAATGGCTGAGGTCAGTGAGCTGTAACTGTGTAGGCATTCTTGTATCTGGTCAAAGGCTGGCAAAAATGGGCAACATATGTGCATTTCACTCCCAATGATCCGTGTGTTGCAGTCGTGTCCGGCTTCGTTCTCTTTTCGCGTGCAGGCCGTCTCACATGCCACTCAGCGCTCGCGTGCCGCATTCTCATTCTCCGGACTTCTCAACCACGCATGCGCCTCACTCGTGCTTCCAGTCCAAGCATGCTGGGGTTGTTCTCGCTCGCGCTCGCAGAACCGGAGCAAATGTTCATGGTTTTAAGGCGGCCGTTTTGTCTTGGCAGGACTAGAGAAGAGTTTGCCAACTTCCCGCAAGTTCGATCCTGTCCAACAGTCTATGATACATCAAGACGCGTTGATAATTTCTTCTTGATATCCTTTGGTGAGAGGGTCGAGCGGTTCCTCGAATTGGCGTCTCGGATAGACTTCTCTTCATTATCCGGAGCAATATGCGCCACAATGTCCGTCCGGTACCAGATTGCAAACGCATCTCAAACCGCTACCGTGGATTTGACCACTGGGCAGGCACACCCTAGCTAGAGCTGTCGCCGAAGCGAGAGAGATGACAGAAATAGTTGTCGCACGAGCAAAGACCATTTTCACGCCAGCTAAGCCAAAGTTTCTTATACTCTACCGCCACAAGCCTAAGTACGTTTGGTGCGGATGATGCCATGTCTAACCTTCGAGTCATTAACGTGTCTCCCCGAGAAGAGGAGGCACCGTACTTTGCTAGTGTACATGCAAACTACGACGACGCCGACGACGTGCTGGACGATTCACCAATGTCCACCCCCGGCGGAGCTACCCGTGCTCCGCTTTACACTAGAGAGGAAATGCCGTCTCCTGTAGCTTCGCCTGCTCCCGCGAGCGTCTTCGGAGCATCAGTGAATGACCAAGAATACCACGACCAGGCCAGCGCAAGCTCAGCCAGGCCTGTGGCAGGCGATCAAAATGAGGAAGATGACTCCGAGCTGGACTCGTTCAACCTACAGGCTCCTCCGCCACCAACGGGACGTGTCACCAGCAGTCTTGAAGCTCTTACGGCACGGTTCTTCTCCGCTGACCATTTGGATATGATATTACGCGATCAATCGCTTGCCATGCGATTTTCCGGATTCCTAGGCACATATCTTCCGCAGCATGTTGGAACTCTCAACCAGTACAAGGAAGCAAAGAAGATCATGTTGGCACTTGACTACGCCAATGCCGCGGCGAACCAGATGTCTCTCAAATATGGCCATCCAATCGAAAATGCCGCGACCCTCGACCGTCATTTCGGGGCGAGAAAGAATGAATTGGCTCACGAGCTGGTTCATGACGCCCTGCCGGCGTACTTGACGCACCAACTGGTATCACTTGTGACGGACACGCTTGTGAAAGAGATTACTGGCCATAGCGCGCCAGTAATGCGCGACCTTGTGCCTAGTCTCGCTGAGGTATACTGCATTAGCGACCCTTCATTACCTGATAATCCCATAGTGTATGCTTCCGAAGGTAAGACGTCTTTTGCTCCTCAAAGTAGACACTGCTAATGGGTGTGCAACAGAGTTTTACAACACTTCCATGTACAGTCGTGAACAAGTCATTGGACGGAACTGTCGATTTCTGCAGGGCCCGAAAACCTCATCTGCATCTATTAGAAGGCTAGTCGCAGCTCTCACACAAGGAGAGGAGTGCTGCGAGACCGTGCTCAACTATAAACGGGATGGAACGCCTTTCATGAATCTGCTCCTGATCGCTCCTCTTTACGACAACAAAGGCAAAGCTCGATACTTCCTAGGCTGCCAGATTGATGTGTCTTCTCTGATCGAGGGCGGAAAGGGCATCGAGTCTTTCGCTCAGCTTCTTTTTGAGGACCGACTGCGTGATTCTTATTCAGCAAATCCTGTCCGCAGGGACCCCAAAGAGACGCTGCGTGAATTTGGTCAGCTGCTGTCTCCCGAAGAATCAGATTCAATCAGCAATCGAATGCGACCAGCGAGTGTGGCGGCGTCGGGCTCTCTTGCATCAGGAATACCCATCAGAACGAAAAGCCGCGGCAGTAGAATCATATTAGGAATGGATGCTCCGGATCCTAGACCTCCCCAGATGTGGCCTCATGCTAGCCTTGGTCCCTCTGGCCGGCTTCCGGGAGTGTATCAAAACTACCTATTGGTCCGACCATACCCTTCCTTACGGATAACATTCACCTCTCCAACTCTGAGGATTCCTGGCATGTTACAGAGCAAGCTTCTTGATCGAATAGGCGGTCCAGAGGCAGTACGCACTGGTCTTCTCGAAGCTTTAATGAATGGCACCGGCGTCACTGCCAAAATTGCATGGCTCACATCAGGATCGGACATGCTGGAACACGGGAAAGTCCGATGGATACATTGTACGCCTCTGCTGGGAAGTGATGAGAAAGTGGGAGTGTGGATGGTAGTTATGGTGGAGAATGAGCTTGTCACAGGAGGGTTGAATCGCCACAGCCAGGTAATCACTCCTGGTGTGGACTCTGTTCAAGGTGCACAGCGATACACTGGTGCGAAGCTGTATGCCGATTATCTGAGAAGAGAAGGTAGGCCCGGAACAGGCCAAACATTGCCGAGCTCGTCTTCGACTAGGGAGATGAGGACTGTTGACGAGGTTTTCCGAGACTTCTGATTTCGATTGGACATCGCTGCCGGAGACCCTGCAACTTCGTGAGACTACCTAGGTGCCAACGTCGCGATGGTGGCGGACGCGGAGCTGGAACCAAGCGCCAGGCCCGACTACGAAGAGGGGTCAATTCAGCTATAAGGTGCCCATACAGGACTCGGCCGTCGCTAAGTTCCAACACGGCGCACTGCCGATTAATAAAAGGAGTCGAGAACAACTGTTAGCGCATTCCTGGCAAGACRATGTGCATCAGCATCTATAAGCCCGCATGCTACATATCGACATGCTAGTGAGATTTGAATGCAAGTCGGCTGGTCCATAATGCGTCGTGTGTCGTTTTGCAGTGGACAGTATCAAAAATAGAGAGCATAGAACCTTTGGAAATGTAATCATATTGCTAATAGCTGCCACTCTTGCCTCAAGCGCTCACTAGCAACATAGAGTCGAAAGCACAGTCCTTCAGGGGAAACGAACTGTAGGCCTATCGACAACTTACGGTAATATGTACAGTCTTGGGCCTGTGAACTTTGAGATCCCTCCGGCACATGTCGTTTCTCCCCTCTGCCGCTGAGAACGCGTGATTATATACAGCAAGATTCTGCCCGGGTTTTCATCGGTTCCTTAGCTCAGTTGGTTAGAGCGTGGTGCTAATAACGCCAAGGTCGAGGGTGTAAGTTCATACTCTCACGCAGTGGAGAGAGAGCCAAAAGCTAATGTTGTATTCAGTCGACCCCCTTAGGGACCATCCCATCTTTTTGCCTTTTTGCTGTGAAATCTTGGAGGAGGTTGGGTTTCCTTGTGCTAAACGCATGTGAGGAAATGTCAACGCCTTTAAGGTATATTTAGAAAGGTCCTGCTTAGTGGATCAGGGTGTGTCAGAAAGTAATGGGAGATGACTGCCCATTTTGCGTTGACGATAGGTGCTCTGCTCTGTCTCCTCATGTCACTGGAGAGCTGAGCCGCGGGATGCATTGCACGGAACGGAACGCTGTAACCCAGCGCTAACTTCCTCCAATCAGCGGCCCCCCGCCGGCGGTCGCGATACGATGCACAGATGCCCAGATGTGAGGCTGAGGCTGAGAAGCAACTTTCATTTTTTGTTCCCCTTGCTAACCATTAACGCATCACTGTCAACATTGCTCAAACCGCTTGCAACTCTTCTCTAGATTTCTGCTTCTGCCAGACGTAAACAGCCAGAGACTAGGTAGCCGAAGTTACAGCAGATATGCTGCTGTTCGACCGCGGCGCCAAAACGGCGCCCTCGCATTATCCACGCATTCTATTCCATGGCCTACGCACCGCCCAATTGATGGCAAGCCTAATCGTTGGAGCCATTATGAGTTACTTCATCTACCACTTGAGTCACGACGAAACCACATACCAAACGCCATGGACTTTCAAATGGGTACGTAGAAGCAACTCAGTCCTCGCGTGCTAGTCTCGACAATCGTTCACTTTACTCATACCATACATATGACTAGCTGACAGCGGCTTCTCTGTTCTCCATTGCAGCTCTTGCTATCACAATCGTCATGCATTGCTRCTTCGGCCTGAACCCAAGATTTAACCTTGCCGTCAACGGCATCCAGGCGATTCTGTGGACAGTGAGCTGGAGTCTTCTCACTTGGTTCATGAGTGGCACATTAGCTCACGTCTGTGATATTGAGCACTGGAAAGAAGATGTCGGCATCATGGTCTGCCGCATCTACAAGGCGTTGTTCACCTTTACGCTGATTGGATTGTGAGTCTACGAGCCATGTGCCCTACGGATGGATGCAAGAGACGTGGAACACTAATGCTCTGGACAGTGTGTCTACACTCGTCGCTTTTGGACTAGACATCTATGTTCGACGTCAACAGACACGACGAGGAATCTATCGCTTGCACGATCTGAACGGCAAAGGAGCCGTCACAACAGGAGCGAGAGGCGCTTTTGCCGATGATGCTGAGTCCGAACGCCGTGAAAGCGGAGCATGGGATGCACCACGGCTGTCTATGGGCCCGTATCGCGAACCTACCGACGCAAGGGTGCAGAAGCAAGGCTACTCTGTGCCCGAGAACCAGTTCGACTATGATACCGGGTACGGTGGGAACCAAGCAGGGAGAATCCAATGAACAGAATTTTGAGGACTTACGAATTGATCGACGAGCTCACCATAAAAACAGATCCTCAAAGGGACACCATCAGATTGGCTTTGTGAATCTCGAATGTGTTCCCTGACTGATCAGGCTGCCCCACTCCAGCCTCATACAGCATGTGTGTGGCCTGTCCATTCATAAAGACCCGAGGAGCGAACAGCCGCAATCATAACTTCATGCAAGTATTGAGCTTTCGCTTCGCTCGCATGTGGTGGGACGAATCGTTACACATGTGCCCAAAGTGGCATCCCTTGATTCCTTTGGGTCATGCTGCACTCTCACACCACCAAGGTCATCCCTTTCAGCAATCAAGTGAACGAGACATCACTTGCCCGGCGATTGTACTCGTTCTTAGTCCGGAAATGGACTCCGGAGCCAAGCATCTCGCATCGCAACGCGTCTGTGGCGAGACTGGGCAGCGATATTTTCGCTGCTATCTCCCTGTGACATGATTTTAGCCATTCGAAGAAGACGGCGATGGATATACAAAACGGATTTGGAGTATCGATCTCAGCAAAAGATCCATCCATGGATCAATGAACAATGAAGCTCAGCGATGGCCGGCACGATCAATACTCGGTGTTGCCGCAGGTGTGCACTGTGTTGGGCTCAGCTCGCTTGACAATATATCTCGCTCATTGGATTGAGTCAATGTCTCTCTCGCCAGCTCAATGCCATGCAAACGCCGCGTCGTTGACAGCTCGAGTCTCCTTGGCCTTTCCAATAGTATGGTGGATTCATGCATCTACGTGTTACTGTACTAGTCCAGCCACCGAATTGAGAATTTGCAGCGCCTGTCCTGGAATAGAATTGTGGGTCACCTTGCAGCGCAGCCGTTGGTTCGCGGTATACGAGCCTGGTCATGCAGCGAGTTTTTACACTTCACCTCACCTCTCTTGCTTATCCCTAGAGTGTTCGCCATCGTGGTGGTAATGTTCTCTGGATCGCTGTACAACCCCACATTGATAGTATCGCGAGGGTGATGGAGTGGGAGCCAGGGATGATTCCACTGGAGCACAACAGGCCAGGCCACTTGCAAGGTTTGCAAGGGAGCGCCCGTCCTACCGAATGTCTGGAGGTGCAGGGATTGAGATCTCTTTACAGCAAACGTCGACGTGTACCACGCTTCCTACGCGGCATTAGCGAAGGCCAATCTCAGAATTTCCGCATTGAATTGGCAACGGGGTTGCTTCTTCGGCGATCGCTGGACAGAGACATGCATTTTGCTCATCTGTTCGGTCGATAGGTGATGGGATGGGTGGCGATGAGGAACTCTTTGACAGCTCGAGGAAGAATCGACTCTAAAACATGCTCCGTATCCCGCCATGATGTCGTTGCCTGGTCAGGTAAAGTATTATTCGCTTGGGAGAGACGAATCCACCTAGGACCCACCGCAGCACCGCATGGCCCACTCTTCGCTATGCATCTGAACACGGCATGCACAAACGACTTGAAGTCTTGGTTCCTGTCATACGGCTTGGAGCTGCGTTTCGAGAGGGAGTTGATCAGACAAACGTGGCCCGGCGGCATTGACTCGGCGGTGGGAGGCGGCACCTCATTAGAGTGCATGTCCCCTCTCTTCATCTCCCCGAAACGCACAATCAATCTCTTTCGGTCTACGCCTCGTCAATCTATCTCGCTTCATCCCGTTCCATTGGTCATCGGACATGTTCTTCGCCCTTCCAGTCCTTCTCGCAGCTTTGTTGGGCCGTGGAGCTGCAGAGACACCATGGGTTGGCCATGATCCCGGTGATCGACGCCAGGTTGCTGCCGCCGACCCTGCCTCCACCATCAGGGATGAGATAACAAGGCTGGAGGACGCGCTTCGCGTGGAATATTCTCAGCTCGCCAGCCTTTGCAATACCAATCCTTCCGCTTGCGCCCCGTATTCCACTTCTACTAATACACGGCGATCCTCGATTCCATCTGTTTCTTCTCGTTCGTCCGCCGCCTCCATTTCCTCGGCCAATTCTTTGACAGCTTCTTCCTCAGCCGCTACATCCACCCCGGCGTCCAAGTCTAGCTCTCTCCGTTCCACTGCAGTTACTATATCTGTCGCGCCCAATACCTCCTTCCCACTGAGTGTATCACGCTTTTCAACTGTTTCCACTTCTAGCAGCACGACTTCCTCTCGGACCAGCACCACAACTTCGTCTGGCTCGCCACCACCTCCCTCGACAGCAGCTCCTTCAGCAAAGGCAAACTCAACGACCTCTACAACCACTTCATCCATGGGAGGGATAATCTCAACACCAAGTCCACCCGCCCCACCGGCGCCTGGCACACCCRACCCAATGGCGAGTGTAAGCTGCGAAACATTGTGCTCCTCCCTGACTTTCCCAACCGGTTTTGATGCCAGCCCAGTATCATGCGTATCCTACGCTGCGAACTCAACCATCACAATCACCGGAGGCCAGGCAGAGTCAACATGCGGAACATCCTTTGTACCTGAGGTAGATGTTTGCCGGGTCGTTCTGACTGTGGCTACCAGCGAGGAATCGGAGGTCTATATGGAAGTCTGGCTTCCGGAGGGCGAGAGCGAGTGGAATGGCCGTACCATGAGCACCGATAACGGAGGAGTTAACGGATGTGTCAAGTTCGTCGACATGCAATACGTTACTTCACTTGGATTCGCTGCCATTGGCGACAATGCTGGCCACAACGGCTCATCTTTCGATGGATCATGGTTTGCTGAGTCCAACGAGCTCATCCTGGATTGGGCGTACCGTGCACGTCACTCGTCTGTTGTTGTTGGCAAAGCGGTCGTCAACCAGTTTTACAACACCCCAGCAGAGTACTCCTACTACATTGGATGTTCTGCTGGCGGCGCACAAGGAATGAAATCTGCTCAGGAATATCCCGACGACTTTGATGGCATCATCTCTGGCTCCGCCGCATCCGACTTCAACCACTTGCAAGCGTGGAGCGGTCGCTTCCTGCAGCTCACGGGAAGCCCAACAGCTGAGACATTCCTGACCTCTGCGGACTGGCTCACAGTACAGACTGCCATTTTCGATCAGTGTGATGCAGCGATTGATGGCGTGGATGATGGCATTCTCGAGGATCCTACCGCTTGTCAGTTCGACTCGTCAGTGCTCGCATGCTCGAACAACGCAACTCTCGCTGGCTGCTTGACCGACATCCAAGTCACGACGGTCAACAACGTTTTCTCCGAGCTCTACAACACCGAGGGCGAACTCCTCTACCCGGCGCTTCAATACGGGTCGCAGGTGGATGCATTCAGGCTTGGCCAGCTTTCCGGCGCGGCACAGGGCATCTCCAGAGACTGGTACAAATTTGCCGTCGTTGACGATCCGGATTGGGAGGCAGTAGACATGAGTCAAGCAGACTACGCACGGGCGGATGAACTTGATGCCTTCCATGGCGGCGTATCGGCTTATTCTGGCGATCTCAGTGCGTTCCAGGCCTCTGGCGGAAAGCTGCTGATGTACCACGGCATGGCAGATCCACTGGTGACTCAAGGCAACAGCCAGCGCTACTACTTGAAGGTCGCCCAGTCGCTGGGACTCGACAACTCGGGCCTTGACGACTTCTTTCGACTTTTCCGCATCAGCGGCATGGCTCATTGTGGTGTCGGTGGCATCAGCGGTGCTGGAGCATGGATGTTTGGCCAAAACCGAGTCGCAAGCGTTGCACCCAACAGCATCATCTCGGACCTCCAAGACTGGGTTGAGGACGATGTCGCTCCAGACACGCTCACCGGAACCAAGTTCTGGTATGACACCCCCAGTCTTGGTGTACAGTTCACGCGTGCGCATTGTCGCTTCCCATACCGCACCACGTACCGTGGAAACGGTCTCGACTCGACCCTGGCATCATCGTGGAGTTGTGAGTTGATCGAGGACTGGCAAGAGTGTGGAGTCGGCGCATCGCCTCGACTCTGCAACGTGGATGGCTCGTTTCTTTGAGGCCCGTATTCTCGCACGGGGAATGGAAAGCGCTGATGGACAAATAAAAATAATGTTGACAACGAATGCTCGCAAAGCTATCTCTAGCGAATGACTTGACGGTATATAATAGGTGTGATAGAGTGATCGCTCGTGGCGATGGATAGAAAGTCGCGTACCACGTAATTCTCACACAACACTTCTCACGACTAATTTCGCTGCTTCTTCCTCCCACATTTCCTTGGCCTTTCGCCCTTGCTCCTCCTCTTTCCTTAATAATCTCGCTTGTGACAGCAATTTCGTCGCGGGTGCCAACATGAACATCAGGCTCACACTAGGATCGACGGATCATCTACAGCGGGTCAAACTACATGAACATCACGCGATGGAAAAGCCCGCCCACTGGACTCGACCTCCCTGACTTTCACTACACGCGCCTGAAAGGTCGTAACAGTATTCGCCTGTTGAAACTGCTACCGGGAACTGGCAACAAAGCCATATCCATCACGTTGATAGACAGCTACATTGGTCAAAGCTCTTATGATGCTTTGAGTTATACCTGGGGAGATGGCCAACCTGATAAGACCATCTTCTGTAATGGGCGGCGACTTCTGATCACGCAGACGCTGCTTGAAGCTCTCCGACATTTCAGGGACAGCGATCGTGAGATCATCCTCTGGATCGACCAAGTATGCATTTGGCAAGGCAGTATTTCAGAGAAGAATCAGCAAGTCCAGTTGATGGGAAAGATCTTCAAGAGTGCCCGGAAAGTTACCGTCTGGCTGGGTGATCATGCTGATAATTCTCGTGCGGGCATGCAGCTCGCATATCAATTGCTTGATATCTCCACGAGACACAGCGTCCTGAACTCTGACCAGCTGGAGACACTAGGTCTTCCGAAGCGAGGCTCGAAGCGCTGGATATCGCTTGCAGCCATTCTACGTCGACCGTGGTTCTCCAGAACGTGGATCGTGGGTAAATTTGATAAGACACTCTGCTTTGGAGCTAACTTTTTCAGGTTCAAGAAGTGGTCCTGAACCCCAACGTCGAGGTCGTCCTCGGTGATAGCAGCCTACAATGGGACGAATTTGAGAAAGTTGTATGCCTTCTCGAAGGCCCAACTTCAGAACAGTGGCAACTCGACCCGACATTGAGTGCTTGGGAGCTACCATTCTCTCGAATCAATCGCATCAGACGGCGGCATCAGAGATACCTTGCTCACGGTGCAAATCAGAGTGGGACAGGGGGCACTTCTCCAGGCGGCGAGGATGAATATCCTTCAGCGGATGTGAGAGAAGGTTTCATTGACTTGCTGGACCTTCTTGTAATGGCTCGTGGTCTTGGAGCTACCGACCCACGCGACAAAGTTTATGTAGGATTCTTCTCTCTACTTCACGCCTTCTCAATTGACCAATCTACCAGGCATTACTCGGTCTCAGTACCAGCGATGTAGCGCCGGACTATACACTGTCCCCGGCAATGATCTTCAACGAATTCGCAATGCACATTCTTGGAGAGATGACCAGGCTAGGCACTAAGATATCCTCCTCTGCCAAAGAAGCTCGTCAGATACTGGTCCTGCTTGCTTGCGCAGGAGGAGGTAGGCGGAGCTTGGAACAATCATTTCCCGACGACTCCACCAATACGCTCGATCTACCCTCATGGGTTCCAGATTGGACATCTCCTTTATTGGCAAGGCCCTTTGTGTTCGACTCTAGATTTAGAGCAGGCGGCGATACTCTTGAGGTTGATTGGAACCACGAGACTGGCTACTTGCAGCTGTGCGGAAAGCTCATCGATACGATTGAAGTTGTGGGAACAGTGATGCTCGACTATACTCCCGATAGCCCTGTCTCGGATGCCCATCGCAAAATCGATCAGTGGTGGCAGGAGAGTCTACTGATTGTTGGTTCCAGGACCGTCCGCTCTCCCGGTAGTACCATGAACGTCGATGCTTTCAAGGGTCTTGGTCGAGATCTTGAGATATGCAGTAAGTGAGGTAGCCCGTGGCGCAACCATGCATGGCTGACATGTTCACAGAGCATGGATACTACGCAAGTGGATGTGGTCAGACGAGAGATGCCATAACTGATAACATCGACTCGAAACGTCGGCGCAGCCTGCTCGACGATACGGATATATATCAAGATGCCATACACAGCGCCCAACATACCCTCGCTTTGGGCCCGACCAGTGGACGAGTGCTCTTCCTGACGACCACGGGATACATAGGACTGGCTCCATATGGAACGCGTGCTGGAGATCTGATACACGTTGTTCTAGGTGCCGGCGTACCTTATTGTCTCAGGCCTCAGCCGGACAATGTCGGGTTTGAGCTGATTGGCGAGGCTTACGTACAGGGAATCATGCAAGGCGAGGCCCTTGAAATGGACGATTGGGCCGGCTTTGTGGACGTCTGCATTCGGTGATATGACTCCCTGGCTTTTCCCGCAGACACAAAATTCCAGACCTGATGTTTGGAAATCGTCCAGTTTTGTGCTTTAGCATTCAGCGGCATTGGGGCATTCCGCCACCCTATGATCGGCTCGAAGGGGTTGGGATATGTAGCACACGCTTTGTTGTCGATTTGCGGTCTCTGTAGATGACGACTGGCTGTTACAGCTGCTGTGGATTGATGTCAACGGGACTTTGGGGAGTCCCTACAAACTCCGCGGGCTGATGGAAAACGATGGTAAGGTRGGCATTCGAATGGCGTGACGGGTGTATTGCGGATGTCCTCCTTCTCACGACATGAAGCCCAGCGGTGTATTGCTGACATATGCATGTATCATGTTCCCCAGCAGAAGGTCCGTGAGTATGTAGTACAGTTTCATCATCGAGCCGGGTTGATGAACATTGATGATTGAGCGAAGCATTGGAGGTCGTGGTCGTGCCTCGCTAAAACTTTTTACCACCTGCCGGCCGGTGACGCAATCAGCTCCCGATTAGCAATCATCGAACAACTACCGTGTAGGAGGTCCACCAAAACCATAAGAAGCTCTTCATTCAACTTCTCGTCGTTTGTTCACGACACCAAGTTCATTGCGTTGCAATCACCCCAGCCGCAAGCATGTCAAACTCCCACCACTCCGTTCAGGCACCTGCAGTGACTCCGGGTCACCTGGTCAACAAAGCTGCACCCAACACAACATACTTCACGCCTCTCCAGAACCCTCCAGCGGGAACTGCACTCCTCACGGAAGCAAAGAAAGATGTTCCCAAGCTGTTCCGGCCCCTCAAGATCCGTGGTCTTGTATGCTCATATGGAAGAACCCGCGAGCAATCAGTGCTGATGATATCCAGACCCTTCAAAACCGCATCATGCTGAGCCCGCTTTGCCAATACTCGGCCGAAGATGGACACTACACCATGGTATGTCTGATCATACACCGGAAATACAGCGTCTCTTTGCATCGAATGTTGTTCCTACTGGCCAGAGATCCGCTTTCGCAGTGGTATTCCGAGACTTGATTCGCTGCCAACGCACCAGAGCTAGGATGCCTGGGGGGAATTTGCGAATATGAACAACCTTCGATGCAAAGAGGTGCTATAATTACATGAGTCTTGATGCTGACATATTAAAGTGGCACCACACGCACATGGGAGGCATCATCCAACGCGGCCCAGGACTCACATGCGTTGAAGCTACCGGCGTTCAAGCTCGCGGCCGTATCACTCCTGAGGATGTTGGAATATGGAAGGACAGCCAGATAGAACCTCTCTCTCGCACCGTGTAAGCAAAGTGAAATGTGGATGGGTCGAGTGTGTCTCCGCACCTCATCTTTCCTGGACCCCTGAATGTATGAGACACCCGCTGATATCGACTCTAGAGAATTCGCTCACAGCCAAAATCAGCACATCATGATACAGCTTGCACACGCTGGAAGGAAGGCGAGTACCGTCGCACCCTGGCTAAGCGCTGGCGACATCGCCGGCAAAGATGTCAACGGGTGGCCAGATGATGTCCAAGCTCCAAGCGCCATTCCTTGGAACGACAAGCACGCTCAACCAAAAGAGATGACCCTCGAAGACATCAATCAGTTCAAGAAGGACTTCTCTGATGCTGTCCGCCGGGCTCTCAAGGCTGGATTCGACATCATCGAGATTCACAACGCACACGGATACCTCCTCCACAGCTTCCTCAGCCCCGTCAGCAACCAGCGGACAGACAAGTACGGAGGTAGCTTTGAGAATCGCGTGAGACTCACACTGGAAGTTGTTGAGGAGACAAGAGCGATCATTCCAAAGGACATGCCTCTTTTCCTCCGAATTAGCGCTACCGATTGGCTGGAGGAGCAGAGCGATATCCCAGAGTCCTGGACTTGTGACGATACTGTGAAGCTGGCTCCAATGTTGGCCGAGCGTGGTGTTGATCTTCTCGATGTTAGTTCAGGAGGCAACCACCCCAAGCAGCACCCACACAGCAAAYCAGCGTACCAGGCACCGTTCGCCATCAGGGTCAAGGAAGCTGTTGGAAGCAAGATGGCTGTGGGATCTGTGGGTTCGATTGAGAACGCCACGCTCGCCAACAGTCTTCTCGAGAAGGATGGTTTGGATCTGGTCATTGTTGGACGAGGCTTCCAGAAGAACCCAGGTTTGGTATTTGCGTGGTGAGTGATGATTGATATCATCTGTCTTCCGAGTGAATGCTAATCACGTTTTGTAGGGCGGATGAACTGGGAGTCGCGGTAAACATGCCCAACCAGATTCGATGGGGTTTTGGAGGACGTGGCGCGAAGAGCGGAACGCCTGCTACAGAGATTCCTGAGCTCATTGGTTCTGCTTGAAGCGAGATTGTGTTCGTGATGCAGTGATAGAAATCGCCATGGTATAGATAGATCCGCCCGGCGAATGACATTTCTTGGCCGCGCGATTCTGTCTCTCTTCCAAATATGGWTATCGAATGTACATGTCGTCCGTCTCCGTCTCCTTTTCGAACCTTTCAATTTAGGGAAAGGCTGCAAGTCATAGCCAGGGTTAGGGTTGGGGTAGTGCGCCGATCTGTTTAGATGTTTCCGAGCTTTGTGGGCATCTCGAACAGGTAGGCATGGGAGTCGAGCGTTTGTGAAAGTATATTGTTCTTGCTCCGAAATGCAGGGAGACTTTTTGTGCTTTGACAAAATGGTTTGTAGGAAAGTGCCTGGGTGAATTAACTCTCCTGGATGGGAAAAGTATTCAGCAAATGTCAAGGAAAACAACCATCCCAATGTGATTGTTGAAAGGCCAACCAAGAATACAAAGCAATGCAGACGCTATTGCGATTCTCTCTCGGAGTGACATCTTAAAGACCACGAGGAAAGGGGCATAATAAATTGCTCGCGAAGCATTCGGTTGAAGTCAGGACGGTGTGCTTGCGAATAAGGGCATACGAGACGAATGGTGATGTCCAACACCTTCAACAAAGTCGTGCTTTTACTCGTTACGCTTAGTTTACAGCAAGGGAGGAAAGGGCCACCCCAAAGGTATCTACAAAACATCCACCCCAACGCGAGATCTACTTCTTCTCCTTGGGAGCAATCATCAACTCCGGCCGAACAATCTCGTCGAACTTCTCCGAGCTGAGAGCCTCGAGCTCCATGGCACTCTCCTTGAGCGTGATGCCCTTCTTGTGAGCATTCTTGGCGACCTTGGAAGCCATGTCGTACCCGATGACGGGGTTCAAGCAGGTGACCAACATCAAACTCTCCTTGAGGATGGAGGAAATCTTGGCCTCGTTGGCCTCGAGACCAACCACGAGGTTCTCGCGGAAGGAGTTCATGCCGTCGGTGAGGAGACGGCAGGAGTGGAGTAGGTTGGCGATCATGACGGGCTTGAAGACGTTCAACTCAAAGTTACCCTGAGAGCCGGCGAAGGTGACTGCGGCTTGGTTGCCAAAGACCTGGGCGCAGAGCATGGTCATGCTTTCACATTGAGTGGGGTTGACTTTGCCGGGCATGATGGAAGAACCGGGCTCGTTCTCAGGGAGGTTAAGTTCTCCAAGACCGCAGCGTGGGCCGGAGCCAAGGAAGCGAATGTCCTGGGCGATTTTGTAGAGTGATACAGCAAGGGTGTTGAGCTGACCGTGAGCCTCTACAATGGCATCGTGTGCAGCCAGAGCCTCGAACTTGTTGGGAGCAGTCTTGAACTCGTGGCCGGTCATCTTGGTGACCTCAGTCGCAATGTCCTCGGCGAAACCCTTGAAGGTGTTCAAGCCGGTACCGACCGCAGTTCCACCCTGTGCCAGGAATCGAAGACGTGGCAGAGCAGACTGTACACGCTCAATGCCATACTCCAATTGAGTGACGTATCCGGAGAACTCCTGCCCCAGAGTCAAAGGTGTAGCGTCCTGCAAATGTGTCCGGCCAATCTTGATAATCTGCTCAAACTCGTCGGCCTTCTTTTGCAGCGCATTCTTGAGCTCCCTCAGGGCCGGGAGAAGGGCTTCCTCGAACTCCAGCACGGCGGCAATGTGCATGACGGTAGGGAAGGTATCGTTGGATGAAGCGGACATGTTGACGTGGTCGTTGGGGTGCACAGGCTTCTTGCTGCCCATCTCGCCGCCCAAGATCTCAATGGCACGGTTGGAGATGACCTCGTTGGCGTTCATGTTGGACTGCGTGCCGGAACCCGTCTGCCAGACAACCAGAGGGAAGTGGTCGACCAGCTTGAGGGAGGCCACCTCGGCCGCGGCCTGCTGAATGGCCTTGCCCAGCTTGGGGTCCAGCCCAAACTTCATGTTGACCGTCGCCGCGGCGCCCTTGAGGATGCCAAAGGCACGCACAATGGGTGGTGGCATGCGGTCCTGCGGCTGGTTGATCTTGAAGTTGCTCAGCGAGCGCTCCGTCTGCGCGCCCCAGTAGCGGTCGCTGGGGACCTCGAGCTCGCCGAACGCATCGCTTTCCTTGCGGCCCATGATTGCGGTGCTGGTGAATGTGCGGGTGGTGGTGGGGGTGGGTGTGGCAGGAATTGTCCGAGGTAGAGCTCTCGTGCTTCTAGATGCAGGTGTAGATGTAGATGTGAAGCTTCGCGCGGGGAGGACTGCTCGGGTAGTGCATCGAAGCTCGCAAGCAGCAGCACGAGACGCCGCCGTTCGGAGCATTGCTGTATGATGATAGGAATAATACGGGGCGGAGAAATGGTGCTCGTCAATATATCCTCACCGGCTGGGAGAGGCGGGTTCGAGAATCATTCATCGAAAAAGCATGGCAGAAGCATGGATCTGCTAGGTCTCCTAGATTTCCCGATGTTCGGGGGGAAAAGTTGAGCCGGAACCACATCTCATCAACGCCAGCACCGCAAGCACCATCACCATCAACGCCACCAACCATTGACCGAGTAGAAGACAGGCATCACATTGAGAAGGCAGAGGAGCGAGGTCTTGAATCATAAGCTGGGTTGTCATGAAGCTAATACATATCATAAAGCTGATTCATCGTTTGAGGGAACCAAGATCATCATCCGTCATGTCATCGCTTATGGCTTGTCTATGGGGCGGTCAATTGCGGTACATTCGATCAATAGACGGTCAATCACTCACTGTTGTTGTTGAGTCCAAGAGCATCCCCGGCCTGCTCAAGGAGACCCTTGCCGTCCTTCTCGCTGGCTCCGGTACCGCTGACGGTGTCGCTGGCCTTCTGTCCGACGGACTTCTGGCTCTCTGTGTCGACAAATCAGTTCAATGCCCTCTTTGATGGAGGATCGATCACCACATACCTGGCTGAGCAGTTCCGGCAACGGAGTCACCAGCTGACTTGACAGCGTCGGTGGCCTTCTCAACAACGCCCTTCTGGCTCTCAGGCTTAGCAGCGCTGGCGAGCTTGTCGCCGGCTCCCTGTCTCAAGTTGTCGGTCATATTGATGGATGGTAAATTTGATTGGTATTTGGTTGTTTGTTGAAGATAGAGTGCAAGTGTGGCTGTTCATTGTAGGCGCAGCATGCCTACTATATACCTCCTCAATAGCGGGGAAAAGCGCCCCTCAGCACCTAGACATCACCGAGCAACACCTAGCAAACACCGTTTCGAGATCTCTCGTCATGGATCGTGCCGCATCCATAAGAGCAAACATCTGATCATTATTGGCTCCGGGGAGGTCAGTTGGCAGCTATGATGGTAGCTGTGGTGGAAGTACCAAGACATAGCTCTGTTGCAGCCCCACAAGGATCGTCACAATGACGCGCACAAGCCACTGCTTCGCTCAGGTGTGGCTGTGACGATGCATGTGAAGAATATTGTACGCCATACTGGGTGGGTAGCATGAACGATAACGATCTCACTCTGGTTTCGGAATTCTGCTGCCTGATGGAGGGCTCGCCTCCAAAGATGAGTTCTCATCTGAATCATGCTGCCGAGGCATGGATACCAATGCAGGTTTGGGCGGGCGTTCTGTTCTAGATCTCTAGCTGTGGTACCCCTGGTAGGATGAATTGAAGGTCTCATCCGGAAAGTCCCCACTCCTATTTCCATGGCTGTTCCACAGATGTCCTCAGCCCTCCCTCCACCAAGGCCCGGCGAGATCAAGGCTCCCGCTCTGGAGCAGTCAAAAAAGATGTTGTGCTTTCTGCAACAGTGACCCCGTATTAGGAGACATCGTTCGATAAGACGTTAATTTTCCGCAATGCTGCCTCTTTCATGCATATAGCTACCCTTTTGTGAGCTTTGTCGTCGATTCACTGCAAGGAGAGCCGGCGACTTTCAATTTCACCGGGCCTTCCACGTTTGCGTTGTCTGCGCCCAAGTCTGGAACAGCTGGACTTCATCCGAACGCCGCCTTGCGAGTCCAGTGACCGCCTCACCACCAGCCTTATTCCACTTTGGAATCTCCCGCGGAGCAACGGTGTTTGGATCCTCCTAGCGTTGAGTTTGCGAATGAGGTTCGATGACTGCATGTTTCCACATCCAACATTGAAATACCACCAAATCAGAGCGCCAAATTGACTGGCTTTCAGGCGAACACCAGAGATGGCGTCGCTGAGACAGACTTMGAGATTCTTTGGAGCGGCTAGCGATCTTTCCAGGATGTAATGGGTTGCACAATCCCACTCRAACATCACGCGCGAGCAATTGCTCTCCTTGTGTGGTGCTAATAGGACACAAACACGCGAGCTCAGTACGTCCGGAGGTCGAACAGAGATGACCGTAGCTCTCGGTGCATATTCAGCAACATCCTCGTACGGTATCCCAGGGAATCCTTTAAACGACTGGATGAAGTCGATGATGTTGGGCTGCTCGGATTGCGGGCTCATTCCTCCTAAACCACCACCGCCGCGGCGTCGCTGCGGACACAGCACTGAATGTCTGATGATCCTGGACCCGGAGCAGCTTTTGTGCGCTGCTTCCAGTATCAAGTTGATGTAAAGCGCAGAGCTTGACATACAGAGATCCGCAGCAAGTACAAGCCGATTCGCAAGTCCCGCCAACTCCGTTTACGGTACAGCCTCCGTAAGTGCAGCCCTGGATATCAGACGGGCCGCAGTACTACTGCCTCAGCATGAGTTTGTGGAGATGCAGACTCCAATCCGTCCTCCTGCTGTACAAATTCCGTGCGGGTATTGTGCTGCAGTGCGATGTGCAAGTAGAAGGAACAGAATTGGTCAGGCTACAGTGCCGAGGGATTTGAACATTTTGTGAAATGGGCAAGACAGGAGTTTGTGAATCGCAAACGATGTGAGATGTCGCTGCCTTAGAAAATGAAGCTCCTCTAATGTTGTTAGAGAAGTACCTATCATACTTGGCCAGTCGCYGATAAGCAATGTCAATCAATTTTCAAAACCAGGGACAATGGTGTGGCCAAACCCACTATGCGTAATCTCTCGCTTGTTCAAATGCTGATGATGGTCGCTAAGTACACGTTTGTGGTTGAGAAAGAAACGTGAAGTAGAATATTCGAGGGAGTTGATGAGAGTCTGGCCAAGCGAGGACGATGGAAGATTGGAAAGTCAGACGGGAAGAGACTTGGCAAATGACGTCATGAGATGAAATGAAATGACCATCGACCGCCATCTCTCCATCTCAAACCTTCTCCTTGTWCGCACCCACTTCATCGCAGAACYCACCAGCATGTGGTGGGCCATCGATGGGGGGGATCTTACTCCACACGCAGTGCTCCTGCGAAGATATTCGCCGTCAAATTTGACTCAGACCGACAAAACCGTACCATCGCTGGAACCAGAAACGAAAAGGAGCAAGCCTTCGGAAGATCTTGGCATTGAACAACCACAGCTGTCCAATGTGTCCGACTACGGGTAGAGAAGCCGTTGCGAAACATGCCTCTGGACGCAAAATCCGGCTGTTGGGCTTCGATACGCCAGCGGAAACTGTCCACTTCGAAAGTCAGTGCCCAGGGTCATCATCGGATCCTGCAAAGGACAGCATTGTGCCCGTGAAGGTAGCCATGCATGCACAGCCTCTACTTCGCGAAAGCAGCTCATAGGAAAGGAGGCTCACGACACCGCTTTCTGCTGTAACGATAACGAGCTCACGACCTGTTGTGATCTTGTTTTATCCCGTATCCCATGTGCAAGGCGAGAACAGAGACTGTGCCTGGCAAAATCTTATCCAGGCCTATAAATAACGGTAAGATCACGAGTACTTCTCTCACCCGCATTCGCCTGGAAGCTCGCGTTGAAATACTTGGACCGGCTATTGAGGGTCTCCGCCAGGTCCAACCAACACCGGTACAATCTCATGTTCGCCGGCACTGAAAGCTGGTGCAAGATTCATAATCGCACACTGCTTGAGCAATGGCCACATTCGTGAGCTGGTACCCTTATTCCGGTTTGAGAAGGACCTTGCATTCCTTTGAAAAACATTTTTGCATTTCACACCAGCGCCCCGGAAGAATCGAACAAGCTCAATGACAAGCTTACGCCGCGCAAGAGTGAATTCATACCACCGATAAAAAAAAACTGGGCTCTGCGGGGTGCGCATCGACTTACTCCGTATTCAACTGCAAAGCTCGCATATTGTTGGAGGAAGAATGCCGATCCTTGTMAAGCCACGCGGGCAACACCTGGGGAAACGAAGTTTAAGTGCACGCAAGTCTACTAAGACATCGTAAGCCCCACAACGGCACTCAGTTCCGTCTCCAAACAGCAAGCCGCGTGATACGCACTGTTTTCTCTTACGGTAGGTAGGCTGACCCATCGTATTGGTGGAATCTGTTCACGCCGACCTGGTCCTGCAAGATTTGCTGGAGTTTCAGTCCAGAACTTTGACGGCAAATTGTAGGATCTTTCATGCCTATTCATCCTGGAGATCCTGGTGGAGTATTACCCGCGCACATCGACTTACCGTCTCAAACGAGGTATAAGTAGAAGTCTCTCGTTCCCTTACAACCACATTCGAACCTAGAGGACATCCGACACCCAGCATGTTCTCACAAAAGAATGTTGAACTGGCTCTGAGCCTCCTTGCCACGAGCTCACTCGTGGCTGCTGGACCWTGCGACATTTACGCCTCTGGGAACACACCTTGCGTAGCCGCTCACTCAACTACTCGAGCTCTATATAGTGCCTTCAACGGAGCCTTATACCGCGTATCGCGTGGATCGGATGGTGCCACGACTGACATCAAACCACTGTCCGCCGGTGGTGTTGCCAATGCTGCTTCACAAGATTCATTCTGCTCGGGCACGACATGCCTCATCACCATAATCTATGATCAGTCCGGTAAAGGCAACCACTTAACCCAGGCTCCACCAGGCGGGGCCGCCAGCGGGCCGAACCCCGGCGGCCTTGATAACTTGGCCAGTGCCACTGGAGCACCCGTAACACTGAACGGGAACAAGGCATACGGAGTCTTCATCTCTCCTGGAACTGGTTACCGGAATGATGAGACCACCGGTATTGCAACAGGTGACGCGGCGGAGGGGATGTATGCCGTGCTTGACGGGACTCACTTCAACGACGGTTGCTGTTTTGATTACGGTAAGAACTACACGTCCTGACCTGATAGAATGCTACTAAGTATCCCCGCGTCTAGGCAACGCCGAGACCAACAACCTAGACACCGGAAACGGGCACATGGAGGCCATTTACTTTGGATCGAACACTTTCTGGGGCTCTGGTGCCGGTAGTGGACCTTGGCTGATGTCCGACATGGAGAACGGGTTGTTCTCGGGTTCCAACCCCAAGAACAACCCTGCAGACCCATCGATTTCCTACCGCTTTTTGACAGCGATCACCAAGGGGAAGCCGGGTCAGTGGGCTCTCCGTGGGGCGAACTCCGCGTCTGGCAACCTGGCGACTTATTATAGCGGTGGACGTCCAAATGTATCGGGATACAATCCCATGAGTAAGGAGGGCGCCGTACTCCTTGGAATCGGAGGGGACAACAGCATCAGTGGTCAGGGAACTTTCTACGAGGGTGTCATGACCAATGGGTATCCTAGCGATGCCACCGAGAACGCAGTCCAAGCCAATATTGTCGCTGCCAAGTACGTCGCCGGAGCTTTGACCAGTGGTCCAGCGATTAAAGTTGGTTCGTCTGTCTCACTCCGCGCTACGACGCCTGGATACACTTCAGACCATCTGGCCCATAACGGATCAACCGTCAACCTCCAGCCAGTATCATCATCGAGCGGAACCGCTCTGAAGCAGCAGGCCAGCTGGACTGTCCGCACCGGTCTCGCCAAGAGCGAATGCGTCTCATTCGAATCCAAAGACACTCCGGGCAGCTTCATTAGACATAACAACTTTGTGCTGAAGCTGGGTACTAATGACGGTTCGAAGATCTTCAATGAAGATGCGACATTCTGCCCGCAGGCTGGCCTCAATGGACAAGGTAACTCCATCAGAGCTTGGGGCTATCCCACTCGTTATATTCGCCACTACTCCGAGGTTGGTTACATTGCGAGTAATGGTGGACCAGATACCTTCGACAATGCCAACTCGTTCAACAACGACGTGAGCTTTGTTGTTGGTAACAGCTTCGCGTGATCAAAGATGATGACATCGAAATGAGATGGGGAATATGAATCAATAGCAGTTGTAACGAATCATGAATCTACGTCCCAACGTGACATTTCAATGTAGTCTGCATGCAGAAATTGGCAAGACTGTTTAACACGCTCYGAATGCCGAGGGTTAGAGTTAGGCTGTCGCTTCTACGAGTTTCTTCAGGTGAAATTGTCACGATACGATGGCACATTAAGGCTACMGCTAACAGCTTTCAACATTATGTACATTTCTACAATGCAATGCTTTCGTCTCGTCGTCAAAATTACTCCATAACCTGGCCAGCACCTTATGCCATCGCTGTAGCATTGACAGTGACGTTCGAAATCTGACATCCGGTGGCATTCCAGCCGCCAGAGAGAACATGGTCCAAGAATTCCAACGCCCTCGCTCTTCCGTTACCTGACTCGTCGGAGTGAAGACCAACAGTGTTCCTCTCGTACTTGATCGTCGCACCGATGCCACAGTAGGACGAGATGAGTTTGTCGGTGTCGTTGATAGGGCTGACCTCATCCATAATCGCCTTGTATGCGAAGATGGGCATTTGAGGAACGCCGTGATAGCCCATGATTCCATCTCGGTTCGTCACCTTCTGGCCAATGGGCGAAGTCAAAAGCTCTGTTCCATTCATGAAGTAGTCGGTGATGTCGTTTCCGAGGAAAGCAATGATACCCTCGACGAGGGTGTAGTTACGAGCCTCCAGGAAGCCTGTAGCATTGAATTCGCCCTCCTTGTTCAAATTATCAAGCAGGTATTGCTCCAATTCTGGATACTGGCTGGCAAGACCGAGGATGCCGGCGGGAACGAGGCCAGCCGTTACCTATACGAGGAGTCAGCATTGAACAACGCGATCAAGATGTGCCGTAACACTTACAGTCCCCGATACCGCGGTAAGAACGCTGGTGATGTTGGGCGTAAGGCCTCCGAGTGCAGCGCCGGCAAATTCAAGCTCGCTCGCGTATTGCACCTGTAATTCTGCCGCCCATTCGCTGGCTAAAGCTCCGCCCGAGTATCCCCACATCGCATACTTGGTACCATTAGGACTCAATCCGAATCCAGAGGAAAGAACCGCACGAACGGAGTCGATGGTCGCATGGCCTGACATTACCCCGGCTGTGAAGGATGCCTTGGGCCCTTCGTAATCTGGGACGGACACCCACCATCCGCGTCCCAACGCGGCTCCGACATCTGACAACTCTCCAGCGTACATTGCATATGAAGGGCTGGCATCGACGTCTGCCGAATCGTATGGGATTTGATATGACAAGAGCTTGTCGTTTGAGCCATAGACGGTGTTGTTTGGTATCAGAAGTGTCGTAACAGCCCAAGTAGGTTTGTATTGACTGTCTGTTGTCCGGTAGAGGATATTGTATGCCTCACTCGAGTTGGTCTGAACGGTGGTAAGGTTGCCTTTAGCAGCCCGTATTCTGAGGATCTGTCCTGGAGCTGCAAGCTCAAAGTTCGCTCTGTATGCGGTACGATGTCAGCACGTGGCACTAGCCTGCGAAGAGTGCTCTCGCAGAAGCTTCGAACAAGTGAGAATCTCGCAATGGCTGAGACCTCAAACGCGAGCGAGGCGATACTTACGGGGCCGAGTACCAGGGATCCTGCTTTGGAGGTAGAATGTCCATTCCAAGCTCAGAAGGGCGGCTCTTAAGGCTGAAGAGCATGTCGTCTGAGTAAGCATTGCTGCTTACGAGCAGCGTCGCCAATGCGGTGAGAATGGAGGACTTCATTGTTGCACAGGTGAGAGGTCGAAGAAAAGCCTGACGAGAAGGTGAATTGAGAAGGAAATGGATGCGAATACAAACGGCACAACACCAGCGCACGGCGTCCCATATGACGTGCAACGGCGTGGCTCGAACGGTGAGCTGATTCTTTCCGCGCGCCGTACGAGACACTCTCGTATGGCCTCGTCTATGCAGGTCCCGACACGCTATGACTGAGAGAGGTCACTTCCCCGAACATAGTTCGTGCGGGGAGACCGAGTGCCGCGTGGTCAGAAGAAGCGGTCTTGAGCGGCATGTCGATGCTCATGTCATCGTCAAGACCGCTGTAAAAGTCTCCTTCAGATTCCAAAAGCCCTGTGCGGGAATGACATCAAGTCTCGATGCTAGGCGCCTCCGTAGACCTCGGCCGTACTTGGAGCGGCGAATATGTATCCACTCGGAAACGTTTACGGTGGCGATCCGCGATCCGCGAGCCGCGCCGGCCAGACTTTCAGCTGCATGGTCGAGAAGATATGCAAGAGGTGAAGTCCGTTTCCACGATATGAGTGGAAGGAAGAGACGTGGTTGCATCCCGGCGCGCTGAAACGTGGGCGCAAGGATGTCTGTCAGGCATCGGTATGAACTCCGTTATCGGGCAATCGACAACAGACGCCTCACCTCAGGCCCAATCTTGGATGATCCCAATACAACAATATGTAACGCTCTGCGCCTCGCGGCGAGTCTTGGGCCAGATGTCGTGACTGAATGTTCATTCCCAGGCCGTGACTATCGATCACGAGCATGGTGGGTGCCTTACGCTTGCAGATCTATGCACTTTCATTGCATTCATCTCTTCAAGCTTTGAAACCATCATTCAAACATACAAGGACACATTGCAGACTCTGACATGCACGACATGATATCCGCCGTTGCCAACGCAGGATGCTCTCCTATAGTGCGTGTCAAAGGTGCATCAAGATCCCTCATCAAAAGAGCTCTAGATACTGGCGCCTAGCAAGWTGCGATGCTCCCAGTCTTGGTACATAGCGCTGAGGCAACGAGAGCGGAATCCTAGTTCCCATGATCAACACAGCCGCGAATGCAAGATCGATGACTAGTATTAATTTCAAAGTCTTCCCCAACTGGAAAAGAGGACTAGGCTCAGCATTCGTCTGTTTCGAGCACGCAATGTCGGTCTACATGTTTGCTAGGTAAAGGGCCTCCATTTCTGGAGGCCATCGATGGTATTGTTACAGCGGCGAAGAGACACGGAAAGAGACTTGGTAAGTTAGTAGCTGATGGAGAAGATGCCAATGGAGTGGATTGATCTAGTTGSCATCGGCACCGATTTTAGAGCCACTGAAGCCTTTCATGACAATGCGCTACATCTTGCGCGATGTTAGTTACCCTGTGTCTTCAAGACACATCATATCTCCAACTCCCAGACGCACTGTGTCCAATTATGTACATCAGAATGTCGCAAGGATCCCTATCCTCGCCGGAATCCAGCCTGGATATCGGCGCGTGAGAATCCGATCTCAACCGACTTCTCTCCTTCAGTAGGTGGATAGACCTCATTAACAAGTCGCTCTGTCCGCTCGAGGRTGCGTTCATAGCTGCGCTCGCACTCCTTGCAAACAAAGTCTACCAACGTCCTAGCGAGCGCCTCCTCGTCCGCCTCGCCGAAATGCTTTTCAATTCGCTTACGAAGGGTATCGATATTACGTCGAATCTCTTTGCTGTCGTACTGGGCAACGACAGTGCGCATGGCTTTTCTCGAGTAAGATGGTCGTGATGACACAGCAGCGGGGTTGTCCGGATGCGTCGATAGGATGGACTCGGCGGATTCGAGGAAATCCTGTTGTTGAGCAATGTTAGTCAACTTCTTTCAATGCGGAGAAAAGATACGTACGAGAAGCTTGCCAAGCGGGCGACGCATCACGCGTGAAACGTAGGCGTCTAGCGCTTCCGATCGCTCCATCATGGCACGTCCCTTCCATTCCGCCAACACGCCCTCTTTCGAGCCATCATCCACCTCCTCAATATAATGGTTCATATTCTCGATCAACAGGATATGATAGTTGAGCATCTGTTTGTCCTCTGGATCATCGCCGCCCGCAAGGCTCTGCTTAGCAGCTGGAACGCCGGCTACAGGACTTTCCTTGGCGATGACTTTGAGACTATCAAACATTGCCCGGTTAATCCTCTCGTAGGCGTCGTCGACAAGCCCCCTCGTTTCCATTATACACGGTGCGGGTCCGTCGTAGTCGTTGCCTGCAACGGCAGAGAACACATTCTCTACAGCGGCAGCAAATGGAGGGAAAATCTTCATGAATGCAATGACCCCCTTTCGTTTCTTGATCTTAACCTTGGTGTCTTCAATAGCACGTATCTGCTCCACCACGAATCGTTCAAAGCGTGGGAGCAACTTCTTCTCCCAGACTTGATCAATCAATTGAAGCAGATAGGCCTGATTACTCCCTTGCAGGTAAAAGCGATGCTTGTTAAGGCTGGCCAGGATACCAACACCCTRGATAGGATCTTCAGACACCGACCAATCCGCAAGCTTGCCAATCTCTTCTGTGAAGCCATTGAATATCTGCACCATGGAATTCGTGACCTCCTTAGCCATTTCTTGGTTCGGCTCAGTGGGCTTGCGGTCCATGACATTCGTACCGAACCTGGCAGTAGGTGGTGCAGAGTTCACAGCATCGATAAAATCTTCCGATTCGAGAGAATTCGCGTGGAAAAAATCCACGAAGAAGTTTTGCTCCTGGCTAATCAAAGGGGCCATCTCATTCATGGCTTTGGAAAACGCGGCAGATCGCATCACGGCACCAGGCTGCTTATGTTCGGCGACATGGTGCTTCTCCATCCCAGAAGCGTTGCGCAAAGTCTTGGCTAGCGTTTGTGACCGCTTGACTGTCAACTTCCGCGCGGTCGAGGTTAAACCGCCGCCAGCTGGATCGTCCTTTTCTTGGGCTGTGAAGAGGATGTCCATCTCATCGCCAGAACTGGCTCGTGCAGTCTTCTTCCAATTGTTCAGATTCTCGACAAAGGCCTCCCGATAGAGCGGTTGAACGCGCGTGTAATACATGTGCATGAGCGTCTTCCAGGCAGGAACGCTAACTTCCTTCGAAAAGAGCACAAGAGGACTGTACATCCACAGCCCGCTCCGCACTTCTGCGAACACTTCAGGGTGGAGCTTGGCCAAGCCCCCACCCCCAGGCACACGCAAGACACGACCTTTAGCGGAGTCCACGCTGGCGGAGAACCTGGCGTCAAGGAACAACGAAAGCCGCTGACAGAAAGCGTTGACCTCCGTATCATAAACAGCCTTCTTTTCTCGTAGTGCCAGCATGTTGGAGGTCTCACTATCACCAAGACCCATGCGTGATCTGGGGCGAGACGGAGCGTTGGAGCGCATCGAAGGATCCATAGTGAGCATTGCCTGGTAAAGCTGCAACAAGCTTGCCTCARTCTCTTGCAATGTGCTAGGCTGTGAGAGATCTCCATATTTCAGAGGATCCATCACGCCGCGACCCAGTGACATGGTGTCTACCAAACCCTGGAGTTCACTATGCAGAAGCTTTTGGTTAGCGGACTGCACCTGCAGACCTTGCGATTGATCCTCGATGAACGCAATGTCATCGTCGAGAGAACTCAATTCCACGTGGTAAAGTGTCAACAGGCCTTCTAGCTCGTCGCACTCTGCAATTGCCTTATCGAGCAAGTTTTCGACATAGTTTACCCGCTCCTCCCGGGCTGCGTCTGTATGTGAGAGCCAGGAACCAGCTTCCACTCGACCTTGCTCTCGCCTAATGTCTTGCTCCAGTAGAGCGAGTTGCTTTGGCTGCAGTACGTCGCCGCCCCATCCTGACGCCGTGAGCATCTGCTCGAACTCCAGCCCTTTGCCCTCTAGTAATGAACGGTCGATGTCAAGTGCAGCGAGGTACTTTTCATGCTGTGCGCTTCTGACTTTCATCTTCACCTGAGACTGTCGGATCTGTCGGTGCTCAACTCTTTCTTCCTCCGTGTCAACTTCATCGCGGCCTAGCCCGGCAGGCCGTGTGGAAATAGGTCCGTCAACTAACTGCACGCTATGTTGAACGCTGTGAGGATCAGGAATCTCATCTCTAACCGGCGACTTTGGGGAGCTGATCTCAACAACTGGTGGCTCCTCGGACGCGACGTCTCGCACAGCGAAAGTGTCAGTAACTGGCGTGGAGACGGTGGAAACATCCTCTTGCGTATGTGCATGGCGCGCGATCGGACGCGGAACAACACCTGTGATCCCATCAGGCTCACCATCGCGGTCTGCTTTGGCTCGCAGGATCTTTTCGGCGGCCCCTCCAGGTCTCGGTTTGAAAGCGCCAGCCGCATTTGCAGCTTTCCTCAGCCGACCGGCAAGAGCCTGCTTATTGACCATCGGACCCAGTCCTGGTCGGAAGTGCTCTCCCATTGTTTCTTGTTCGATTTGCTCTTCTACTGGAGTTTCTGCTGGACTGGCGCCAGGTTGCAATAAAGCTGGAGACAAGACGCCAGGTAGAGGGAGATTTGTATCAGGCCTTTTCTGACCTTGCAAGGGCTTAACTTCAGCAAGTTCATCACTCTTGCGGGAGGCCGTTTCTTGAGATCTGGCCGCTGTTCTGTCCGGTATGCTCTCTGCAAATGAGCGAGTTTGGCTTAAAGGTGCCGGGCGAAGTTCGGCACTGCTGGTCGATGCGGCATGTTCCATAGTTGGTCGTCGCCGTGAGCGTTGAGGTGTAGGAGGGCTCGCAGGCTGCGGAATGACCGGAATCGCTGGCGCAGGGGCATCGACCACACCATTAGTCGAAGACGAGTAGGCGAGGCTGAGGTCAGTATCTTTTGGCGTCTTGGGCCGTCCGTTGTGCTGATTTGGAGCAGCCTCGAAAGGCGGTAATTTATCCTGCGGAGGCGGGGGCGTACTGCCTGGTTGATATTCCATATACCTTTGACGCGCAGCCTGGAAAAGATCAGCGCCGGAAGATGAGACGCCGTCTGTGGGCGTCCCTGGCTTGCGATCGTGCGAACCACCATCGAATGGTGCCGCAAACTCTCTTGGTCTCTGGGGACTTCGAGGTCTCAGCGGGGATGGCATTTGTTCTTTTCCAGGMGAGATAATTGCTGCGTCCGAGCCACCGCTTCGATTAGAAATGATGGAAGGCGGTCCAGCGATACCCTGACTTTGCGCAGGGGACGCAAAACGATGGCCTGGAGGTGCAGGTGAAGTTCCCGGACGAAATTCCGGCCTAGGCTCGCGATTTCCATCTCTGCTCTGCTGGCGCATCTGCTCCTGGCTTGCGAACATGCGAGGTCCTGGTGGAGGTTGTGTTGGCCCTGTGCGCGGGGCAGGCGATGTAGAAAATTGCCTATTACTCTTCCCACTGCTCGGCCTTGCATCGTGAACGCTCGSAGGAGGACCAGGGCTTTGCCTGTACCGGCTACCTTCGCGACTCTGGTCTCGCTTGACGAACGGCGGTTGTGGAGGTAACAGCGGAGCGTTCGGATCGGTGTGGTGGGGAGTAGGCGGAGGCAAGTCCCCATTAGAAGGTGGTGGAATGTTCGGTGGCAGCTGGGCGCCAGGAGGTAGTCCAAGGATTGTAGCCCTCTCTTTATCGTCGAAGCCTCGCAGCTCGGGCACCTGGCCTTTGGTGTATTTACGGTAGATCTTCACTAGGCTGGCAATGAAGAAGTCCTTCTCTTTGCTGGTACCCGCTTGCCAGTAGTACGGCTTTGTGATGGTCACAGTGAAGCCGACACTACCCGCCCAAGCACGATGTTGTGCCTCGCGGTCGCTCAGCGGCGGTGCTGTCCCGGCATATGATTCAATGGCGGACAGCTCTTCCAAGTTCCACGTCTTGCCGATACTGAAGCTGCCGTTGGTGTTCTCACGCGCCTTGTGCATGCGCACGCGTCCGGACGACCGCACGGCAATTATGATCAGACGCGGCTTCTTATTCTCAGGACCGCTTTCTGGCGGCGGCGGGGCGGAGGCATGCTGCGCGTCCTCCTGGATGCGAATGTGCGTAATGTAAGACTCCGCTAGCTGGCCGCTGGGATCTGTTTTGGAGAAGCATGTGTCGATGATGCGCCGCTTCTCGTCCTCGAATCGCTCTGCCCGCGACATCTTCGCGCCAGCGGCGGGGGAGGAGGGCGAATGTGGGTAAAAGGCCCCGTGATTCTGCAGTGGTGTGCCTAGACGGGAGCTCGGAGTCGACTGGTTGGGGTTGGACAAGGCATCTGGGCGCATGTCTCGCGCATGCAAAGCGGCAGCATCAATTCACCAGCAACAAATCCAGATCGAGACCTTGATGCGTGGTGGGACGTGGTCGGTCGGTAGGTATGCACCAACGGCCACGGGAGCTTGCATCGCCCTGCTGTTTCATACATGTACTAGCGTGAACATGTCATCACTGTTGTTGGCTCCGACAATTGACGATCCCAACCTGACTTGACACAACCCATTACCTACATGTAGGTACCGATGCAAAACTACTAAACATTATTACTTTACTGTACATCCTATGCAGCACCGCTCGCAGATGCGATAAGAGTATCGACCTTGCCCTCGAGATCCGCGCCAATGGCTCTCTCCAAAATCACGACGAAAGCCCTACGTTTTCGTGCATCCTCATCATCACCTGCGAGATTCTTGGTGTTGAGCTTGCTCCAGTGCTCGTCTAGGACACCCTGCAGCTCGCCAGCGTCTTGAGTCAGACCAAATTGCTTCAGTGACTGCCGCGTCCTGCCATCGATGTATGGAAAGGATGATGGCCAGAGCCATTGCACGCGACGCAAGAAGATGTCCAATCCAGTAGGTCCAAGACCTTTGATCTCTTTTTTGAGCAGTGCCAGCGCTTCATCCACATCATCGTTTTCCAGCGTTTTTGTCAAGTTGGAGCCATCATCGTTGCCGCCAGAGGATAACTTTTCTAGCACCACAACCGCAAGTCCGGCCAGCTGGTCCGCAGTCTTGCCTTTATGTTGCGTTTTCGCATCCCAAAGAGCTTGGTGTCGCTTATCCTCTCCCGCGTCCTCCACGGCTCTTGCGCTCGTGAAGCTGTAAGGCTCATTGATCACCGTTCTGATCGAACGCAAGCCAAGACGATGCGAAATGGGACGGGACAGGATCATCGCGCTCATGAGTTCTTCGAACGGATTCAATACCGAGGAGTATGTACGAAGACTGCCACCACGAGTCTTGATGTCTTCGGTCTCGTCGTCTGGCCTGCAGAGCTCCTCTGCGTCTTTCGACAGAAGGTRGTTCAGAAGCGCTTGCTGGGAAGGCTGTGGTTTCGAACCACCTCGCCCCGACCTTCGTGCTGCTTTCGCTGGCTGTTCCGAGCTATCATTTTCGGTCTTTTTGCGTTTCTTCGATGATCTGCTGGTATCGCTCAGCGTGTCTTCGACGAGATTGGCATTCGTAGCTGGTTTCGATGTTTGGTTCGGTTTTGCGTCTTCTTTAGCCCGACCTTGAGCATTCTTTGGCGTTTCGTCCGACGCTCCGCTCTTTGCCTTTGCAGCTCCCTTCTTTGGCGCCATGGGTAGTCGAACACACAAGGATGAGCTCCGACCAAGCCATCACATCAACAACAGTTCCAAAGTTAGCTTGAAACCTACTGCCCGTTGCGACGTGGTGAGAGCATCATTATGTCATCCAGAATGCACAGAACCACCGTTTCAGCTTTTCGACACGTTCATCAACAGAAGATTTCATTTTGCATTACCCTTTCGGCCCGAGGATGATGAGCATACGAAGTTTCGCTCGAGGGACGGGCCATGGCAGCTCAAGACAATCGCCGACTGTGCAGATTGGTGCCACGACGAGCACCTGAGCTCGTGTACCGCTCACATGGTCTCCGCCCACGCCTGCGCCCACGCCCAGCTATCAGGATTTGCCGTGCATCCATCACGCCTGCTGCGGAAGTACCGGTCACGAGAAACCGGCAGACAGCTTGTAACCAGGCATTGCCTGGCGATTGCCCGTCCGCTGCTGTCATTCTTCAAAACTCGTCAGACCGGACGGCAGGCTTGGCCAGAACTGAGTCACAACGTGGCCCAGATCGTGCCAATGCGGTATCACCGTGTCAACCTCGTCATGAGTTTTAGGAATCATCTCTCTGGTGTGTTTGATCTGTTGCTCAAACATGTCTTCAGGGGTTCGCATGCCGGGGGTTCGTGGTTCTTGGTTGGAATGTCATCGGCGGAGGGATGTGACCTGGGTTGCGCAACCACGCATCTTGAACTCAAACCAAGAGCTCGCTGCAACCCCTAATACCTCGACGGGACCGATCAATATTTTGCGGATGCTAAGGTATGCAGTAGTTTGCGAAGCTTGAACCGGTATCGTGACGACTCTCATGCACGTCGCCGGTGAACCACGGCCTGGGCTTTGCATTGAGTGACCCTCTTTGCTGCATCTAGCGAGCGCGCAGTGGCTATGTTTGCTGGTTCAACACGCGCAAACCCTAAGGATCACGCAGGATGATTGAAAGCGGGAACCGCTCGTGCGCAGCTCCATCGCTTGCGTGAGCCAAAAGCTGCGTGGTGTTGGAGGCCGGAGTGGCGGAGTTCGTTTGCCTTGCATTTACCCTGCCCTCAGGCCTCCACTTGCAACTACGCTAGGCATCCATGGACTCCTCGAGCAATGGTGACTCGACCTCACATGTTTGACTCTTCTGTCGGAGCTTTGCCTAGCGTTCCAGTTTTCCAACACTGCCGTATGAGCCAGGCTCTGTACCGGTGTCCTTATGGAGGCTTGGAGCCTGGAAACCCTAGCTCTCTGGTCTCGTTGCCTTGTTCACACAGCTTAGTGAGTGATTCCACCTGGGCATTATAACTTCTTCCTCTTCCCACGTCAGCTTTCTCTTCTCCAATAGCACCTTCTCTCTTACCGCCTGCAGATTCATCCCAATCGCTAGCACAACTTCAACCTACTGCTGCCCAACACTCCACTCCACCAACCAGCATCAACGTCTTTGACCAATCCTACCGACATACGCCTACCTCGCTGTCGATCACCTTAGTCATCCTACCTATCCATTCGCAGTCCACCATGTCGTCCTCACGACGCGACTCGGTCCGACCGGTCGTGGTCGAGATTGAGCCTCAGCGAAGACACTCCAACAAGTCACCTCAATCTCCATCATCTCCCAAAGCTGTACGCTTCGCACCAAGCTCCGGCAATGCAATCTCACGACCCTTGACAACGATCGAAGCCTGGTCTCTCTACCACTTCGAGAACCACGCCAGACATTGCGCATCATGCTACAATCCCCTCCAAGTCGTTCAACGAGGCGGCCAACTCTGCGATATCGGTCACGGTCTCGCCCAAGACGTCGCTTACCACGTCTACCACCGCGAAGGAGAATTCTACAGCACATCAAAGGACGACGCCAAACTCGTCCGGATTGAGATCCCACCAGGCTACACCCAACTCCGCAGCCTTTTGAAATCCATGGATCGAGCTCTCCGATCTCACCGCATTTCAACCTCATCGCCAATCATCAGCTACGATCGAACATATCCTGTTGCGCCACGCCGTTTCGATGACCGAAGCGAACGCGAAAGCGTCTTTGTCGAGCCCGCGAGCTCATCATCACATTCCAAATCTTCTCACCATCGGAAATCGAAGCACAAGTCATCCAGGTACTCCACAGTGGCACTCAACGATGATGACGATGATGGATATGCTGTCAAGTCACCTTCGTCGCCGATTCAACGACGAGGAACACTATATGAACAGGACATGCAGCGCAAGAAGGAGAATTACCGCGTGGAAATCCGTGAGCCTACGCGACACGGACGGGAAAAGGAGCGAAGGAGTGGTGTGTGGTTATGATTTTCAGATGAATGTCGTTGAGCCTGCCTGGAGCAGTTGACTCCGACCTGTTTTCTCTAGCCCGTCTTGCTTTTGGTGGATGATTGCGATGAGATGATACCCAGATTCAAAAGATCAATACGAATGCATGAATGACTTGACAATCTGTCAACTTTTGGAACCCTTGGCCTTTCGTGTAAATGCTCTTGATTTCTAAAGCACGTAACCATCACGTTCCACAAAGAAGGGAGGAAATTCAATCGATGATGAGTCGTGACTTGCTGATGTATCCCCCACGCCCCTCACTGAAGCAATAACCAGTGATTCTACCTGAAACGATCTGGAAACGCCATGCTTGGGCATCTTCCGAAAGTCTGACCAAATGGCAACGCCCCAACGCCTCGCTTTCATTTGAACTCAAATAACTTCATCAGGTGGCTCAACATGTGATTGCTTACAACATGATAACACCTGCAACACCAGAGTGAAGATCATCTCCGTTTCATCCTCGAAAGGAGTCCAAACCATGTTCCGAATCACTTTCGAACACGATCCTAAGTTCTCGCCCGAAGCATTCTCAACCTCGACTCTTCCTCTGATTGACTATGCACACGATTTGACGGCCTCGTCTGTGTACTAGACGTCATATGTAAGTTCGCCAACGGTGCCATCAAAGTGTGCTGAGAGCTATTCGAATTAGGCGTGCTGCCACCTGTTCGTACATGAGCTGGTCCGGGACGTTGAATCGAGTACACTGGACTGGGAGGTCGACTTGTGGCGTCGAGATAGGACGGCGGGCCCTCGGTAAAAGGCGTTACCGCTCCTGGAGTACGAAGTGCCGCCCCGTACGACGGCACTCGAGCGAGACCATCCATGTCGTAGTCCTGCTGATGAACAGACTCGTCATCTGACTGCCTACGTGACATGGGCGCACTGATGTGGGGAGAGTGGCCATGCGTGCTAAAGTAGCCAGACTCATTGCGAACGGGAGGCGTTGATCGATGCATGAATCCTCGGTCAGGTGAATGGAAGCCACTGTTAGTATCCACGGACCCGGGAATCGACCCGGGAGTAGGGGAGTTACCACCCGAAGGACTGTGACGTCGTGTGTTGACCATGTTCTGGAACCCGTCGCTCATATTACTTTCCTGGAGATTGGCGAGGCGCGAGTGCAGAAGATGGGGCATGGCACTACCATGATGAGCCGAGGACATGTCGCCATCAGCCAGACCGTTGAGTGACATGATATTCTCATGAGACCCTCGTCGTGATTGGGCATACAGTCCAGCAGGAGTTCCAGGTCCACTTCCCGCTCTGCTCATAAAGCCACTGGGGTCAATGTCGCGGTACATCTGGTCCAGCTGGTGTCGGCCATATTCCGGAGGCGCGACGATACTCGTTTCATTCGAGTTGATTTCTGCATCGGAAATGCCATTCGATGATGGGTTGACCTGGTTGGTCTCATCGACAGGCAAGTTGGGAGAGATGAAGAGCTTGACCGGTAATCTACAGACCAGCTGTGAGATGTGACCTTCTGGGTTGTGGATGTTGACCATGAGCTTGAAACGGTGCGTGATGTTGATGTTGTGGGCGTCCACATCCTGTCTGCAATTGTTGAGTGATTTGGGCAGAGGGAGGGTGGCCTGGAACTTGTACATTTCGTCTGCCAACGTTGGGTTCTCCACACTTTCATCCTCATAAGTGACGCGGGACTCTTCCGGAAAGTCCATGTCCTGCTTTGCAACCTCAATTTCCTCTGTCTTGCTGCTCGGGTAGTAGGTCATTGCCGGTCGGTCAACTCGTTTGACTACAGTCTCCAGCAGTCGCAGCTCGACCCTCCCCAATCGTATGCCCTTTTTGATGGGCGAAAGCTCCACATCTGCGGTGATTGAAGTGCCGAAGACGATAGCATCGGTGGGTATGGAGATGCTGTAGGAGATTTTGTTTGCCCAAATGTCCGCATTGACTCTACTACGAGTGGTCTCCATGCTCTCTTGGCCGAGAGTTCGCACCAGCCGAATGTGCTCCTGCGACACGATATCTTTGGCATTCCAACCCGGCCGCGATACGCTCGCATGCAGATGATATGCTATAAATGTGTCTCTAAGGCCCTCCACGCTCTCGGGCATCGCCGGCGAGAGCTCGAATTCGAACGGCCATTCTATGGTGCCGGCCTTGATCTTGTGTGAACTCTCAATGCCGCCCAACTTCGCATCCTGCTCCCAAAAAGCGCTCTTCTCTTGCATTTGAATCTGACTCATGCCCGACGGATGGTACCAAGTGACTTTGCGCTTTCCTTCTAGCCGTATCCTGGGCTTCATGATGCTCATGGCGTCCGGTGTGGTGAGGCGGACGACACCCCGCAGCTTGAAGGACTGCGCCTCATGTTCGCTGCCGTTGAAGACGATGAAGCGGGTTTCTGGGACGATCTCAAGGGTCGGTCTATGCCTGGCGCCGCTGGCATATGATCGGGGCGTGGGCACCATACTGGCGGTCCGCACTCCTGGAATTCCGGGCCAGCTCAAGGCTGGATGCGTCGGACGATTCTCAGCAGCCAGAACTACGTTCGCATTCACAGTTGAGTGGAATGAGTGGCAGTGGGGATGTCAGTAATGATGCGGATGGAAGGAGGGAGAATGGAGAATGATGGTGGCTGCTGTGAGAAGACTTGAGAAGCAAATTACAACAAGAACAAGCTTGCATGGAGCTGGATGATAGTCGGGAGCGATGGAGTTGATTTCGGCGGTATATGGAGCTGTGCAGTGGCCGGAAAGAATACAGATCGCCGGGTCCTTGCGTGTGAAATGACACACGACTGCGTGAAATCTGGTTATCGCGAGGTTGAGGAGACGAGTGAACGGTCCCGTTGCTGGTAGCTCGACCGCAGAGACGCCGATGGTTAGCAATGATGATTATTATTATGATGATGATGATGAATGGTGTTGTCAATCAGGCCACCGATTGATTGTTCGGATACTGGTGGTGGTGGTCGTACAACAGCGGAAGAGACAAAACGGTATGCTCGCATGCAGCAGGTTCGTCTTGAACCCCACCATCTTGCCTTCCTTTGTTCAACATCTTGGGAGCGGGTGACGCCACAAAGATAGAAGATAGGAAAAGACTTCTTGGGTCACAGGTGATCGACCGTCTCGTGGCACCGATCGGCAACTGGCATGGGCCCGTCGAATAAGCTCAGGGTTGGCGGATGAAGCCCGTTTCGCCGAACGGCCTTTTCATTGTGGCGCACGTACAACGGTGCCACGGACGACTACGGAGCATGCCGGAAAAGACATTTGTTGAGGAGAAACTTGAGCAAAAGCTTTCCATTCGGACCTGCACTTGAAACTGGTCGCGGCGATCATCCACTGTCCACGCGTTCTACATCCATGCTGCGATAGTGATTGATCAATCAGTCTGCACGGCTGCGCCACCCCTGTGACCTGACCTGCGTCCTCCTCGCGAATCTTCACATGACAGACTGTTCATGCCGTCGGCCGCTCCCACTGGCGGATATGCCCTGCGAGGATTGATCAAGTCAGCACGTGGTCGCACCATCGACGTGATATGGCAAGGGGTGTAACAGGGTGGGCATCATCAAATGATCCCAACCAAACCATGAAGCATGAAAGGAGCGTAAAGACCCACCATCGGTACACGCGGTCAAAATGCAGTGTTCCTCAAATCCGAGCCAGCTAAGGGGGTGGTCGTCCACCTTCTTCGACATGACTGGCGGCACGTTGGGGGTACTCGCTTTCGATTCCACGGGGTGAACAATATCTCGATCATCTTTCTCGTCGGTCTGCACTTGCGTCAGGTTCGAGGTGCTCCTCAATCTGCCGGCCGTAGAGCCACTGGGTTTCCGGTCTGTTGGCGTGTGACCCGAGAGGCTACCACGCTGCCGCGTCGCCTTTGGCCGTCCCAGCATGCCCACTGAAAAGTCCCACAGCAATAGCCTGCAGTCCTCACCGACACTGCCAAAGCGGTAGTTACGCTCGTCGCATCTCCAGGGGTCGAACTTGACGTCCGTCACCCATGAGTGATGCCCCTCACATCTCGCCACCAGAGCGTGGTCTGCCATGGACCAGACGCTGACGATATCGTCCTGCGCACCCGTGATGACATACCTGCCGTCCGGTGACCAGGTCACGCACAGCATGGCGCCAAAGAACGAACGAAACACGTCGACGACCCGCTCATTGATGTAGTCCATGATTGTGAGTGATCCATCTTCGCTGCATATCGCAAGCTGCTGTCCATCGGGAGAGAACGCAATGCAGTTGATCTTCATCGCCGACACATCCCAGGCAGCGACTGGATTGGACTTTTGGTTTCGCGACTGCACCGATTTCAAGACGTTGAATTTGCTATCAGCATCTGGCGTGTTCTCTGGTACGAAATCCGCATCCTCCTTCTCCTTGTCGTACACCACCAGTGTGCCGTCGTGGTGGGCTGCGATAAAGAGGTTCTCCTTGTTAGGAAGCCATAGAATGTGCGAGATGGGCGATGAGTTGATCAAGCCATTCTTGTTGATCCGGGCGTATTTCTGGGATACGGGTTCATACCAAATGATGTCGCCAGTGTTAAATCCCAGCACCAGATCGAGGTGACTCGTGGACTTGGTAAACTGGTTGAAGTCGTGACACAGCGCGTGAGCTTTAGTGAAGAGCACTTTGGTCATGTTTTCGGTCTTGATGTCCGAAGACAAATCGAGCCATACAAATGCACGATTGATGTTTGCGAATGCGAAGAGACCGTCCGGCGACCGTTCGCTTAGTCGCTTTTGAAGTCCTTCGTGTGGTATGACCCGAGAGACATAAGACGAGTTCGACTTCACGATGTTGTTTTTCGGCTTTGCTTTTTGATCCTTCTTGCCCTTTGTCACTACTGGAATCAACGCTGGATTGCCATCGCCGAAGCTTGAGCTTTGGTTGTAATATGTCGCAGAGCCAAAGCCATTGGCCGATGAACCGGCATCACTTTTCGGGCTTTGTGTCTCCTCTTGTATACTCTGCGGAACATGAGGGATGTTGCTCTGAGATGTGACGGTACGGAAAAGTCCTTGAGACGGTGGATTTCGAGGTGCTATGACAGCAATTGACAACTTGGTCCCTGCCACGGCCGGTCCTATTGTCGTGGCAAGCGGGTTGTGATTCGGCTGAGGCGCATCGCTCGGATGTGGAGGTGGTGTCGCGAGGTGCAGATCGTCTTTCAAGGTGTACACGCCCTCTCCTAGTACAAGCTGGAACTCAGGGCCGGTCGGGTGCTCGAGAGTGTTGTTCGTCTCCAGCATCGGCCCTCCGCCGGGCATGCCAGTCTGTCGGGAATGTGTCAGGGCAAGGTGCGTTGAGAACATTGGGAGCATGAYGCTCGATTCTGGCAGATGCGTACATAAAGATTGCCATTGTTGTACCTGGGAGGAGGTGGTAAAACACTGCACGCACAAGCTTTACCATTAGATGATCTGCTGTTCGCCGCTGGTAGATGGAAGCTTGAATTTACTTACAACATGGCTCGGGTACTGTGTTGGGCGTATTCAGCCCACCCGAATGCGAGGTAATTGATACCCGTGTGAGTGTTGACAAGGCATGGGATCCATTTGCGATCAGGTGGACATCAAGAAGCAGCTGTGGATGATCATTGACGGATGGCGTCGATCATCTGTGGGGTCTTGTTTGCCATGCACGAGCCATGTGGGTGAATGTTAGCCGAGAGGCGCATGCAAGTTGGCAGGGCAAGGCGCGTTTATTATTAATCGTTCAAGCTGCAAGCTGCCTTCCATTTGGTGGAAAGCCGAATCTTGCATTCTGGTATACGCTTCTCCACGCGACCGTGGACATCTCGCGAAATCAATCAATGGACGGAAGCATCAGAGCCTGATGGCTAGATGATGGACAAGCATTGCACCCTCTGAACTGCAACTGTACTCCCGGACTGCTTGCCTGGCAGTAACCGACGGCTTCTTGCTTGACACTTTCGCATTCGAGACGCGATCATGGCCACTGTACGGATCTGCATCTGCGGCGATGAGAATGTGGGCAAGAGCTCTCTCCTCACATCGCTGGTCAAAGACACTTTTGTCACGGGCAGTATTCAGACGGTGCTTCCACCCATCACTCTTCCACCAAACATTGGGACTCCCGAAAATGTTACGACCACCATCGTCGATACCTCAGCTCTCCCGCAAGAGCGCGATCCCCTGCGAAAAGAGCTGCGAAAATGCAATGTGATCCTCCTAGTCTATAGCGATCATTACAGCTACGAGCGAGTGGCGCTGTTCTGGATGCCATACTTTCGGTCGCTTGGGGTCAACGTGCCTGTTGTACTGTGTGCAAACAAGAGCGATCTTACACCAACGACCAGCACTGCACAGGTTGTGGAGGATGAGATGCTGCCTGTTATGGCCGAGTTCAAGGAGATCGATTCCTGCATTCGCACCAGTGCTCGGGAGCATCACAATATCAACGAGGTCTTTTTCCTGTGTCAAAAGGCCGTCACACATCCGATAGCACCGATATACGACGCGAAAGAGAGCAATCTAAAGCCCGCGGCAGTCGCAGCATTGAAAAGGGTATTCTATCTGTGCGATCGGGATCAGGACGGACTCTTGAACGACAAGGAAATACACGACTTCCAATTGAAGTGCTTTGACAAACCACTCTCAGATGGCGATCTTGCTAGCATCAAACGCTCGCTGAGACGATCGAGTGGGGCCGCAATTGGAAATGAGGAAGAGTCTCACACGGCAGAAGGGATAGACGTAGATGGCTTCATTCAGTTGAACAAGATGTTTGCGGAGAAAGGCCGACACGAGACCATCTGGATCATTCTGCGAAGGTTCCAGTACGCAGAAAGTCTGTCCTTAAGAGACAATTTCCTCCACCCAAAGTTTGACGTGCCTGCACATGCTTCCGCCGAGCTATCGCCAGCAGGATATCGCTTCTTCGTGGACCTCTTCATTCTCCACGACAAGGATAATGACGGTGGGCTGAATGATTCAGAGCTGGCCACTCTTTTTGCCCCTACTCCAGGCATGCCGACGTCCTGGATAGACTGTGATTTCCCAAGCTGCGCAGTACATAATGAAGCCGGATACATTACGCTCCAAGGATGGCTTGCCCAATGGAGTATGACGACTTTCGAGAATCCAAAGACTACACTTGAGTACCTCGCGTACTTGGGCTTCGATGCTGATGGGAAAGGCACTACACCTGCCCTCAAAGTCACCAAAGCTCGCAAGCGCCGAAACAAGCCTGGTCGGGTGGAGCGAAACGTCTTTCTATGCTATGTGTTAGGCTCAGCTCATAGTGGCAAGTCTGCACTTCTCAACGCCTTCTTGAACAGGCCCTTCACTAGCAGCTATCATCCGACGATCAAACCGCAGACAGCTGTGAACAGTGTCGAGCTTGAGGGTGGAAAGCAATGCTACCTAATATTGGAAGAGCTCGGCGAGCTGGAACCCGCCATATTGGAGAATCAGGCGAAGCTCGACGCCTGCGACTTGCTCTGTTAYACATACGATAGCAGCGACCCGGATAGCTTCGCACACATCATTGATCTGCGCAAGCGCTATCCAAATCTGAACGCGTTGCCTTCAGTGTACGCAGCTTTAAAAGCAGACGGAGACCGAGCTGTGCAAAGAACAGAAGTCCAGCCCGATGTCTACTGCGAGGAGTTGAAAATGCCCAAGCCGCTCCACGTTTCCGTGAACTGGGAGTCAATCGGCAACTTCTTCGTCACGCTGGCAGAGTCGGCTGCGGTGCCCTCTCAAGCTTTTCCAAAAAGTGACGAAGACGCGGTTGATCGAACGGCGTTGTATATTGGACTTGGGGCTTCTGCTGCTGTTGCTGTGGCGTTTGCTTGGGTCTGGAAGCGCAACATGTTGTCGAATTCGTAGACACTGGCGCGATTTGAGGCGTTCAGACCACGCGGAGCGCTTGCTGGTTAGCTAAAAGATACCCCTCTCAGTAACGATCGTAGATGATCAATGTACCCACATGTTCAGCGTCACGTCCAAAGCTGTCAATAACATAGTAATCATTCAACAGGTCATACTTCTGCTTCTCGTCATTGAGTGATTGTTCCGTGAGCGATTTTCCGATTCTCATCGCGAAGCTGGCAAGATGCTTTCAAGCGCCTTCCTCTTACCAAAGACATCTCGATTGATCGCCTCGAGAATGGAATGTTCTCAATCATACTCATGGCCGTTATCATTTCTTGCTAATCTAGTCGAGGCGGAACGCCTCGAGAGCATGTTCCTTCACCCTCCCCCCCAAACCCGCGAGTCCTCCTTGCAACGCAACTTGAACCGTTGCTTCTTCCCGAATGACACAATCATATTAGATCATGCTTCCTCTCTTCGGAAAGTTTACCAACTCCAACGCAGCATTGTCACAAAACCAGGACACCTTTTCCCCGGCGCCCTCATTCACCAAACCACACGGCAACGTCCTTCCTTCCTCCGTGTCAAATATCATCTTCATAATATCCTTCTTTCCTCCACCCGTGGCCACAAAGCCAATCTTTGCGCCGTGGTTCACGACCGGAAGGCTGAGGGTAATACGGTTTGGCGGCGGCTTTGGCGAGTCTGAGATTGACAAGACCCATGCGTCGGTCTCTCGGAGCAAAGGGTGGTCGGGGAACAGCGAGCACGTGTGGCCGTCTGGACCGCATCCCAGAAGGATGAGGTCGAAGAGCGGAAGCTTGACAGAATCGCGCTGAGCAAAGACGGAGACCAATGTCTTCTCGTACTGGTCGGCCATCTCTAGCGGATCATCCACCAGTTTCTCGTCAATGGGGAACACTTTTGGCTGACCCAGTTCCTCTGGAATCTTGTCAAGCAAGTCCTCCTTGACAAGCTTGTGGTTGGAATCCTCATGATTGAGCGGCACGCACCTCTCATCGGCGTAGAAGATCTCCCACTTGCTGAACTCGGTCTTATCCTCGTTGCTCCCATTAGAAGGAGCCAGCAATGCTTTGGCGAGCGTTTTGGGGAGGGATCCRCCAGACACAGCTATGCGGAAGACGCCGTGGCGGTTCAGAGCCTCATTCTGCGACTCGAGGACAAACTTCCGGAGGTTCGGCGCCAGGTCCYTTTCAACATCGGCAAACGAGTAGAGACGGGGTGATCGAGTCATGTCTGCGGTGGGGTGRACCAGGAGTGCGAGGGCAAAAAGATGCGCTGGAGGTTAAGAAAATTGTCGAAATTCCAGAGGTGATCTGCGCAGTCTTCCAGAGGAGGGGTCCCTGTGAGAGGGGCACACGGAGTTGAAGATATCGATGCACGAGGCGGTGGAAATCCTTGTAGCCTGTTATCAGTTGTTTGCGATGCGACTGGAGCTAGAAAGACAATCGCAGTCGGGAAACGGAGAATGACGAAACCGTGGACCTTCGGCCTCTTCAGATGCCTGGGAGGTGGGGCTGCATGCGACCAGGTGTACTCATTGGCGTGCTCACACCGTCGGCCTTTCTTATGCACATTGTCTGCGCCAGGCCGCGTCGTTGGTCGCCGCGCGCTCAAGCATCTGGGATCTCAATGGCTATATATCGCGCCGTCTGCGTTGATGTGACATCAATCGCGTTTGTGTGAGTCTTTACCAATCGGACGTCGGATGGGCGGGCCCTCCCTCCCACGGCTTCAATACGGCGCGTTTTTAAGAACAACTCTGCAACAATCCTTTTAGGCGATAGTGCGACGCCAGCATCACAGGGTATTAGAACCTCGGTAATTGAAGGTGTATTCCGTACAATAAGTAACAAGTAGCGTGATTTAATGTGCGCGTGCAATGTCCTCGCTTTCCTTCTTTAAAGTCTACGATACCTAAGTAATAATAGTCTACGATACCTAAGTAATAACAGTAAGGATAAAGTAAAGGTATAACAGCATTACGCGGGCAGCTATATAACTCTCTATATAGGTAAGTAAGATCTTTAAAAGAGTAGTAGGATAAAGACCTACTACTCTTTTAGCGACTCTTATTAATACCTAAATACTAATATTAACACCTACTACTCCTACTACTACACTACCCCTTTACTACTTACCTACATCCTCCTCCCTCCTCTATACTACCCGTATAAAAGCCTAAGAAGGCGAAGAAGCCTAAGTTACTACACCTATAGCTAGGTTATATCGATACTACGAAATACTAGAGGGCTAGAACTTTCCCTAAGAATCCGGATAATAATAGCGAATACGGATATTTTAAGT